AAAAAAAAAAAAAAAGACCAGCGCAGCAGGGGGAATAGCATCAGCTTCAGCATGGGCCACCTTCTCGATTGGAAGTTCAAACGCATCGCCAGGAGTCTCGGCCTGCCCGTGGACCGCAAACGTGCCCAAAGCATCAAAGAGTTCCCCATCGAACGAGCCCGCATCTCGCTCATCTTCCCGTTCTTATACGCGGGTATGGCCGCCATGATGGCGTATGGTTGGGCACTGGACCGGAAAGTGATGCTCGCTGGACCACTGATACTTCAGTTCGTGGCGGGATTCTGCATTGGCAGCTCCTTCACCGCGATGAGCACGCTCCTGGTGGACCTGTACCCATCCAACCCATCTGCGGTGACGGCGGCCAGCAACCTGACTCGATGCATGCTGGGAGCAGGCGCAACCGCCTCCTTCAGCCCTCTGATCGAGCGGATAGGAGTTGGCTGGTGCTTTACGGTGTGGTGTCTGCTGACGGTGGGGTTCTCTCCGGGGCTATGGGCAGTGATCCGATGGGGTCCGGGGTGGAGGGAGGAGCGGCGGCAGAGAGTCGCCATGGTTACTACCTCGTAACTAGCCAGCCAGTAATCAACCGCTTGAACCGTGACAGGCGTTGCCGTGTAAACAACAGGGTGGCTGGGACCGTCGACCAGACAACGACAAAAAGGGGAAAAGCCGAGGTCTATCCCGTGCTGAGTCAGCAGGCCCCAGCCACCCCGTATGTTACGGGCGGGCGCGTACACGGCGTAATTTACACCCATGTATACAAAGCGTGTACAGGGAAGATGAAGCAAGCTAGGAGAAGCCCATCGAACGAGTGAGAAGAGAGAACTGGACGGACATGCTTTTGACATGTGGGATGATGGCTGGAATGGTTACTCTGTCCTGGAGGCTGGGAATTGGGATACTTTGTGTATGGAGCAACTCTGTGACAGGCCTTGCTGTCGATGCGATGGCTGAAGCTGGAGAGATGGCTGGGCTCCAGAGCAAGCTGCATGAGCTGGCGGTGGCAACCAGGATCTTCCTCTCGCCCAGTTCTCTTCCTCACGTCCTCGTCTTCACCTTCTACCAAGCTATCAGCTCCTGTCAACTTCCATCACCGACTGTCAGCTTATATCTACTGTCAATCGGATGCGATGCGAACATTTCATCAGCTCCGTAATGTATAATACTGGTACCGTACTGTAATACCATAACCAGGGACATGTGAAGATAAACAACGCTAACCCGATCGGGACGTGACGTCGTAAAATAAACAAACAAAGCCTTGTTTGTTACCGTACGAGCTGATACAAGGAAAAAAGACAAATAAACCCCCAAAAAGCTCGCTTCTTCTTCTTCCTCTTTTTCTTTTCTCTCTCTTTTCCTTCTTCCTCAACCTCTTCATCTCACAACTTCATCACCATCACCGTCAATTGCACCCTCAATTCCATCTCCCAGAACATCGAACAAGACTGACTTCCATCTCTCTTCGTTCTCACCACCCCTTTTTCCCTTTCCCCCCTTTTTGTAGCTGTAGGACTTGAGAGACCTCCGTCTTTTCTTGTCTAGCCTTTCGAATTGTCCCCCAGTTCGAAAGGCATTCGAGAAAAGACGCCCCTCAAGCAGCCAATCTGGACTTTGACGCCCGCGTCCCCATCCCCTTCAGTGTCTTCCCGTCGTCGTACCGGAGTGACGCTGCTGTCGTCTCTAAGACTACTCAAGTGCGAGTAGAGGGAGAAGAAGCCAAGTTTTCAGGTGCTTCGCGCGTCGGACGGGAAGATACTCGATACGAAGGCCCGCTCCCAGACCCAAGAACCTCGACTTCTTCAGCTTCTGCTTCGTTTGACCAGAGATTCGACAACGAGGAGTTCCGTCCAGTCACCGAGTACAAACACACCACTGTTGTAGCTCACGAGGAAAGCCCCCGTCACCACCACGAGCCACGCCACCACCCAGAGGTTCAGCTCTCCCGTGAAAGGTGAGTCCTTGTTGTTTTTCTTTTTTTCTCCCCCCCCCCTCAAATTTCTCTAACCAGTCCCCGGCAGATACTACGAGACCAGAGATCGTCGAGAGACTGAACTTGATACCCAGCTTGACATCACTGAACGCCAGTACCGTGCCCGTACCGATCCTCACTACCAAACCCAGTACGAACCTGAGCCCCGTCAAGTTCGTGAGGTAGACGTTGGTTACAGCAACACCCGCACCTTCAACTCCGTTGACACCGCCAGACCAACCGAGAAGGTTCGTGAAGTCGACGTTGCCTACAGCCGAGCCTACGAGACCGTCGACTCAGCCCGTCCCCCTGTTGAAGTCCGTGATATCGATTGTCAACAGGAACAGTCCAAGCAGTCAGCTACCCTCAACCTCATCTCCGATCACAAGGTAGTTCAGGAGAAAGACCCCAAAGCCAAAATGGGTTACTACGACGACGAAGGTCAGTACCACTCCTTCCGCCGTGGAGTCGAGCGTGCTGCCGAGCGCGTGCTACACCCATTCCATCACCACCGCCACCACCATGGCCACAGCCACACCCACGAAGATGGAATCATTTCTGACGAGCGCCGCGTCGTTGTTGAAGGTTCCACCCGTGAGAGCGTTCGCATTGTCCAGCCCCGCGGTGGACACCCACCAGACACCATCACCATTCCATGCCACTTCATCCGTATTGGTGATCTCTTGATCCTCCAGGGCCGCCCTTGCCAGGTCATCCGTGTCTCCGTTTCCCAGCAGACCGGCCAGCACCGCTACCTCGGAGTTGACCTCTTCACCCGCCAACTCCACGAAGAGTCCAGCTTCATCTCCAACCCATCCCCATCTGTCGTCGTCCAGAGCATGCTCGGGCCCGTCTACAAGACCTACCGTGTTCTTGACATGCGCGACGACAACCGCCTCGTCGCCATGACCGAGACCGGTGACGTCAAGCAGGGCCTCCGTGTCGTTGACCAGGGCAACCTCTTCAACCGCATCGCCGATGCCTTTGCCGAGGGCCGTGGCTCCGTCCGTGCCCTTGTCATCAACGATGGCGGTCGTGAGCTCGTCGTTGACTACAAGGTCATCCACGGTTCCAGACTCTAGACAACCAAAGGTACGACGGCCCCAACCTTAACCTTATCTACGCGTTACTAACACAGTTCTAGAGACCCAACCAACCAACCCTGTTTGATCTGTATCCAGTTACCAAAGCTTGGATAAAGGATATAGTGCCTAGAACTCTGTCAACTTTCCGGTTTATTGGTTATCAACGTGACAATTGTTCTCTTATGTCGTGGGAATCAATTCTCTATTTCCTTTGTTAATTACTTGAAACCATCTTAGTAGTAGTGAACATCTTTCCTTTGTCTACGCCTACTTTCTCTGTCTTCCTCAAACGCTTAATTATCCCCTGTAAAATGAAAATGGAAATGAAATTTAGCTCGCTTTAGGATTATTTGACTATCACATCTAGTTCTTGTCCTGTGATGTAGTAGTGATATATGCTATATCATGCTATGTGTAGCCGTACAAGCAAAGTTGGCCATCAACTGGCACAAAGTAGCATCCTCTTATTCTTTACACTCCGTTAAACCATGAGACTATCTCAAAGTCAGTTACGGATTATTATTCTATACCTGGTAGCGCTCTTAGAAGTAGCAAGCAGTCTATGTAGTAGTTAGTTATCTAAATGAACTAGAGACGTGTCATATAACAACGCTGTTAGTCACTTATGAGCTATATACAGGAATAAACGGTGTATATACATGCCATGCAGTGTCCCTAGCGTAGTCTCTTTATCTTCCTTTAACTACCTGTATTAAGAACTACAAAGTTAGCAATATTGGCGTACGGCTAGTATAAAAATATAAAAGCCGTTATAGAGATAAATATTAATACTTCTCCCATCAAATGGTAAGCGTTGGACGCGTGACCAGACAATGAGTGGTCCAGGGTTAACGCATCTCGACAGCTGTTTGGTCCGGATTCGAAGCCGTTACTATTGGAGGGAATACCAACGAGCCAGTAGCAGCTGGACGGCCTGTTCTCAGTCGGAAAGTCGTTAGGTAGAATCGGTTATTATCAACGGATATGATATCAGGTAACTATACATATACCATCAACAGCCTATGTGAGTTGGATAGACACATATACAACTACTCCCGTGATGCTGACGCCAGGCCCAGTATCTACCCAAAGATAGCCTGACTCAAATATCAAGTTCGCAGGCTTTATCAAAGAACCAGAACCATCTACCAAGACGAAAACTGAGGATGATGATGAAGCGGAAGAACAACTTGCATCCAACGAATCGCAACATCCACACAACGAGGAAGAAAACTTATCCCCCGCATCGCAAAGTTTTTTCTAGCTCCTTGACCTCCTATTCGAAACCTGTTTCGAGATGTGTGTGTCGGGCGTATATATACTGCTACTGTCACCTGCTGGTGGGCGGGGGATAAAGTCAAGCAAGAACTGTAGCCTCACTCCGGACAAAAGGAGTTATCGAACGATATATCTCGGGATCAAATATAACACTCATAAATCCTTCATTGGCTGTGACTCATATCGAGAGACATTTACAGCTGGCAAGAAATGATACCTTTTGATAGCCTTTCAACGTTGCTAAAAGGATCACACCCCCGGCATCGAACCTGAACTGCTTCGAAAGTCAATGTGAGAGCTCTTATTGTAAGTCAGGCCGACCATATACAAGCTGGTTCGATAGCTGCCTGAAATGGCTCGGTTGATGCCCACCGGCCCGTGCTGAGTGTTGAAGCTGACGACCATGATGTGATCTGCGAGCAAATCAAAGAGAATATCGTGCACTGGCAGTATCATCCCGGCCTGATAGCCCTATGAGTTGGCGATATTTCATTTCAAACTAGATCGAGGACAGGGGGTTGTATGTATATATACATCTCCACCCCTCTACGATCCTACACCGCATTTCCCTTCTATCGTCTCCGTCGTATGTTATACCCCACAAAAGGCCGTCGATAATAATGGAGGACCTCAGCTCGGTTAAAGAGCCAAACTCCCCCTCTCGTTTTCTCGATCTCCCCTTTGAGATCCGTCATGAGATATATTCGTACTGCATCCCTTACCACTCTCATTTCGAGGAGATTCGCTATTTCAGGGCTCGTGCTAGCTTTCCGCAACCTACAAAGACAGGAAACGTCAAGAACAAGAATGCCATCCTCCGCGTCTCAAAGCAAGTCAGCGAGGAGTGCCTCAACATGCTGTACGGCAAAAACCGTTTCTACATCACCCTCAACGCCTCTAGACGCTGCCTGCTTGCCAACCGGATCACCGCAGAGAACCGAGCGAGAATCCGAGATGTCGTGGTTATCGTGCGGCATATGGGGCCTGCGTACGGCCTCCCGCCACCAGTACCTGCAGACGGACTGTGGTCTTCCTTACTACCCGGCCTGAGACATTTGAAGATCATTGCAGAGCAGCCGGTGCAATCCCCCCAGTCACCTTTTGACCCGGCCTTTGACGAGAAGGTCAGAAGCTGGATCAGATGGTTCGGCCCCCTGATGGAGTGTTTTGCCAAATACCTGACCTCTTACACCGTTGTCGAGATCGACGAGAACGGCAAGGATGTCACTACGGAGCTTGTCAGGCAGTATCTCCATCATAGATATCGAACGGTCCGGGATGATATCCATGGCGACTTCATCTTTCAGAGAGGGCGCTTCGCCTTGCAGGCATAAGCCCGACGAACACGAGCTTAATCACGTTGATCCTTCTTTTCGCATTTCAATTCTCATCAACGATAGGATTGTACGTAATCCACCGTTTTAGGGTATAGCATAACTGGAATTTGGGTGATTTTCCGAATGGTACCGTCATTGTTGTGGTTGCTTGATAGGAGCGCGTAGTTTAATGTTATGGATAGGTTAATGTTATTTGCCTTTCAACCTCTGTAAGGCCCCGTATAACTAGGTATGTGATGCTAATCATACGAAACCAGTCAGATTATTATTATTATTCTTCATTATACTCCTATATAGTTAAAGACTATAAGGAGTTTACTACCCAAATTAGTTTAATTTAGCTATCTATAGCTGAATTTTAATATTAGAGGCCTCGTCCTACTATCTATTATAGATAAATAATTTAGATATATTAACTAACCTCTTTTATTGTCGGAGCGAAGCGAAGACTATTGTATTCCAAAAAGGGGATGAAAATGTGTTGTCTCGACGAATGTAGCCAAGTAACGAAATCTCTGCTCGATATACATGGATGGTGGCTGACTAAGCCGTACATTTGACATTAACTCCAAGTAAAAAAAACACCAATGAATTGACCACTTCACCGAATTGACCGCTCTGAATACGGATATATAGTTCTTTCCACTGGCATCGCGGAGAGTTGGAGCTCGATTTAGGTAGGCACGCTGCTAATTATGACGCCAGGCCATTCTTTCACCATTGCGATCTCCGTAATAGTTCAACTAACCTCGGAGTCACTAACTACTTTTTGCCCGCCAGCAATCATTCAATTCAGGTCTTATTAACTACTGATAGTACTTAACGCCACAGGCAAACACACTATAGAATACAGAGGCCAAAAGGCTCTATGAGCGCTTAGTAGGTTCTAGTATCCGCGTTGATATTAGATCTTTCTTTCTGCGCAATATAGATACGACCCAAATACTTCTGGACAGACTGCTCGTCAACCGATGGTAGGGGATAGTCGTCGCCCCCTAAGACATGTTCTCCAGGGGGCGGGCCTTTGAATAGCGCGGCCGCGTTTTCGTCGGTGCAACCGTCGAGCATGGCGGCGATGCGTGCTAGCGGACTTGTTGGATGAGCGGCACCGTAGGCTATTGCCTGTTGCCGCCATTTAGAGAAGAGAATAATCTTCTGCCCAGCGCCCATTAGCTCGAAATAGCGGCTGAAGCTTGGGGCCTGTGTATTGGTAAAATCAAAATCTTGCCCAATTCGAGATAAATCTTGAGTCATTACTGCGACCACAGTCTTGCTTAGATAGTCGACTGGTAGTATGATAGATAGATCAGTATCCAATAATGGGAAACTATCCATCTCAACACACCCTGCGACAAGGTTGTGTAAAAAGTCACCGTGGTCGAGCCGGAAGTAACCAGTGGAGGCAGAAGCGGTAACAAATGGTAAACGATATATGGATGCCCTGGCGCCGCGCCAACGTGCAGCTGCTACCATCCGCTCAGCTATCCACTTCGAGGTAGCATAGCCGTATTCATATTGATCCTCAGAAACATCATAGCCTAGATACTTAGGCACCGTGGCAATTGTGGAGATGAGGTGGATCGCTTTACAGCGGCCGCGGGAGGCCAAGCGTAAGACTTCATGCGTGCTAATAATATTAGGGCCAACATAATCGTCCAGCGGCCGCATCCAGTCAACCAGAGCAGCTGAGTGGCAGATAGCATCAACCTGGTTTGATAGCTGCTCAAATGTTTCTTCAGTTAGGTTAAATAGGGGTTGCGCCATATCACCAACAACTGGGATAAGTAGTGGCATGCGGTAGCACCACCGAGACCTGCGTTGAATGTAAATCTGGGATCGAGGTATCCCTTCCTGACCGCCGGCATGTTCAGAACAGAATCTTCCAATACCGTGGTAGCAGGAGTCGCAGTTTTCGAGTCGCCCGCACTGGACGAGTCTTCCAAGCTTTTTTGTACTTGGGACAGCAGGAACTGGCTGAGGGCCCTCAGGTTCGTATGGTCAAACACGATCCTGGCGGTCGGTTAAGATGCCCAGCTGGTTGCGTATCAGGACCGCAGTTAACGAGTCAACTCCAACGTCCTGCAAGGGCAGATCAACGTCCAGGTCAGCAGATGATGTGAATCCTAGTGTCTTGGCTACTGTGTCTCGGACCATGCTAAGCGCAGTAGCAACGTGCTGCTTGCGGCGGACTTCGCCCAGCGTCTCCCGCAGGTTACGGGCTCCGACACTCTTTGGGTACTGCCTGCTGCCATAGCCTAGCAGAAACCGGAGGAGCGGTGGTATCCCACCCCTGTCATCATTGTAGCTTCGGAGCCGTTCTATATCATATGCGGCCACAACGGTAACCGCACGACCACTGCGCGCGGCCTGTTCAAATAGGTTTAGGCCATCTTCCGGTTCCAGGGGGTCAAGGCCGAGTCGGGCGTAGCGACCGCGGTCCATCCTGCTGAGCTTGCGTCCCATTCCCTCGCCGCCCCAGAGACCCAAGGCCACCGAGGTAGCTGGTAAACGTTCAGCACGACGGAGTTGCATAAGCGCATCTAGAAAGGTATTAGCAGCGGCATAGTTGCCTTGACCTGCGTTGCCCATCACGCCGGAAACAGAGGAGAGCACTATAAAAAGATCTAGATCCATGTCTCTGGTCAGCCAGCGTAAATTCCAAGAGCCATCTACCTTGGGCCTAAAGGTGGTATCACATCGCTGGGGCGTCAAGGCTAAGAGAACTCCATCATCCAGTATACCGGCTGCGTGCACTACGCCGCGTAGTGGGCGGTGGTTGCTATCGAACGTTGCCATGATGTCCTGCACACTATCAAATTCAGCTATATTGCTTGCAATGACGGTAGCTTTGACGCCGAGATTCGATAACTCAGCTGCCCAGGTCCAACCGCAACTTCTGGGCTTGTTGGCCTAGGGCTGCGTCGCTATGCCCCGACAGCGGCAGCAATATCGTAGGCGGTAACGGAGCTGGCACCGTGCTGGACTTGGATCCGCCGATATTCTGCCTTGGGGCTTCCTCGATGATAGCATGTGCGTTAGTGCCGCTAATCCCGAACGCGCTAACGCTGGCCCGGCGCGGCCCGTCCCGCTGCGGGAGCCAGGGCCGCTTCTCCTGCACGGGTGCCCTTCGCGGAAATCACATCACTTTAAGTACTAACGGCGCCCAATTGACGAGCGATCCCTATTTCTCTTCCTCACCATCCCAGTATTCCTCACAATTTCAGCACCTACACATTCAACCCTCTATCAGCGCGATGCGTGTAGTAATTGCTGGTAACGGCGACCTGGCTCGCTATATCTGCGAAGAGTTCACCAGTGTCGGTCACGAGCTCGTCATCCTGACACGGAGCCATAATCCGCAACTTGAGCGGCCAGGAGCTCACTCAGTTTATCACCGACTATACTCTGGAATCCCTGGCGGTCCCCCTACGTGATAGCGAAGTTTTAATATCGACAATTGGGGATGTGACCCCGTCATACACCGACATCCACCGCACCCTCATCCAAGCCTGTCAGCAGAGTCCGAAATGCAAACGTTTCATACCCTCCGAGTTTGTAGGGGATATCGAGGCTTATCCGGACCAGCAGCTTTCTACTCCCGGCCACGAGAACCAATTCGCAAGTTACTACGGGAGCAGACAGATCTCGAATGGACTTTGGTCTCAGTCAGTTGGCTGGCCGATTACGTTGTATCGGCCAAAAACCGGTATATTAAGGAGATCGGCGTTGCATGTCCTATCAACCTTGCGGACGGCAGTATGGTGATTCCAGGAACCGGAAACGAACCTGTGGACTTTGCTTGGGCGCGAGACATTGCGAAAGCGCTGGAAAAACTTGTCATCGCACCAGCCTGGGAGCCGTATACTTTCACGTCTGGGGAGCAATCAAGCTGGAACGAAGTCGCTAGGATTATCAGAGACAAGTATCGCCCAGACCTCAAAGTCCGATACTTATCGCTTGGAAATATTGTGGAGACCGTCAGGACGACCAAAGATGACGATGCTGTAGTCCTTGCGGAGCATCAGTTGCTCTCGGCGAGCCATGCATGTTCCTTGCCTCAGGACAAGGTGCAAGCTCAGAGGCCGAAGTATTTTCCTGGCATCTATTTCCGAACGCTGCGAGATGGCTTGGCTGAGTTGGACCGTGATGCGGGAATAATTGCATAACTTACCACAGTCAGTAGCCAAGATGAACTCTGTCTTATTGACAGATACTATTGGTATATAGAGTTAGCTAGTATATTAAGTTGACTTCCTCCAATTATTCTGGCATTGGTACTCGATATCGTTGGATCCCAGCCCAACTTCATGTCGATCCCTGTGCATGTTTACCCGCCTGAGTCGCGTGTCTAGCGACCTTTAATAAACGAACGCTATGCGTGGCCGATACTGTCCCTCGTAAGGCAGCTCGCATGCTAGCGTAATCTAGGAGTAAAAAAGGAAGGTCATTATGCTCAAAATCTCTATATGTTCAAGCATTCTGAAGGGTTTGAAGCGATAAGCTCAGATCTCGACATACACTCGTTCTCACTGTACATAAAACAGCACCCTATAATTAGGCACTTTTATATCGTACGTCTCTTATAACCTCTTCCCTATTACCACCTCACTATGGCTCAATTCCAGCCTAATACCTTAGTCACCCATGGCCCTCTAGCCACGAACGCCTTCTGCACCACCGACGATGACGCCCACGAATGCCTCTCCAAGGCACACCTCGAGCGCCTCGGCCGCCAGCGCCCAGCCGTCTTCTCTAGCTGGCTCACCGAGGTTGGCTTCGTATTCACTGTCGTCATGTCCATGATGATGAGCGAGTTCTTTGTTAGCGGCTTCAACATCATCCTGCCACCCGTCTCCGAGGCTTTGCACTTGGATGATTCAGCCCAGACGTGGCCTGCTGCTGTCACAAATTTGACAATTGCTGCGCTTCTCTTACCCTTTGCGCGGCTGTGTGACATTTATGGTGGCCGCACCATCTTCCTCGCGGGCCATGTCTGGTTGCTTATATGGTCTATTGTTTGTGGATTTAGCCAGAACTCCATCATGTTAATTGTCTGTCGCGCACTACAAGGAATCGGCTCTGCTGCCTTTTTTGCCTGCTGGTCTCTCCCTCTTGGGCTGCACATATCGACCTGGTCCTCGCAAGAACTTGATATTCGGCATCTACGGTGCTTTTACTTGCATCGGCTTCTATTTTGGTATATTCATTGGTTCCGTGGCGGCCGGATTTCTCGATTGGCGATGGTACTTTTGGCTGGGAGGCTGCATTGTCGGAATTGTCGCTTTGGGTGGCATTTTCGTCATCCCGAATAACCTGGATGATACTGATCCAAAGGCTCGTATGGATTGGCTGGGTGCAATCACCATTGTGTCTGGGTTGGTTTTAGTCGTCTATGCATTAACAGATGGCGGCCATGCACCGGACGGTTGGGCGACGCCTTACATTTATGTCACTCTTATACTCGGTGTCCTCATTCTTGTAGGTGCCGTTTACATCCAGGGATGGGTCTCGAGTCAACCTCTTCTTCCCGCAGATCTCTTTCGTCCCAAGTATATGAAACGTCTGATAGGATCCCTTTTCTGTGCCTATGGTGTCTATGGACTTTATCTCTTTTACGCCAGTTTCTAGTAAGTGTTCTCCAGTAGGGTATATCTGATTGCACTTATACTAACTTTGGCTTTAGTATTGAAAACATCCTACACGCAAGTCCCATCCTGACGGCGGCGTGGTTTACGCCACTTGCTGTTGGTGGCGTGTTTCTCGCCATCGGAGGAGGCTGTATTCTTCACATTATCCCGAATCATATTCTCATGATTATTTCTGGCCTAGGGTTCATCCTCAGTGTTTTGCTCTTTGCCCTGATACCAGAGCAGTCCGTGTCCAGGAACCCATCGATTAGCTTCATCTACTGGGCTTATATCTTCCCAGCCATGGTTGGCGGAACCATTGGCGTAGATATTATTTTCAACGTAACCAACATCTACATTACGACGGCTATGCCGCGACGACTCCAAGCTGCGGCTGGCGGAGTCATAAATAGTCTGTTATATGTCGGTATTGCCTTTTGGCTGGGTATTGGTGAACTAGCTATATCAACAACAGAAAGCTCATGGGGAGAGTCTTTGCCCAAGCGCAAACAATATCAGATTGGCTTTTGGACAGGATTGGGTGTTGCCGGGCTATCGTTGGTGCTGACACTAACAATTCGCATGGGCCGAGCTTCTTCTGGAATGACGGCGGACGAAAAGGCCGAAATAGAACACAGAGGAATGAGGCAGACTGGCGTAGTTTGTGAGGCTTGGTAGCTAAAGACGCTGCAATACTAGTTACTAGATATCAATAGTTAGAATTATTGAAATAGTAGATATTATATTGTAGTGAGGAGTCCGCTTCTATCTACCTCTTTCTACTTTGGGAAGTTTCCTTATTTTACTAAGTCTACGCTTATATCCCTTTTCTACTAAAGGACCTATAACGAAAAGACTTAAAATATACTTATATAATATATTAGTATTAGCTTATTATAAGAGAGACCTCCTTTATTATTTTTAAAAAAGGAAACTCTTCGTCCAAAGTCATTTTCGAAAAGCAGCGTTTAAATCAACTTGTGTGTTAGGTTGCGTCTGTATCGGCTAACATCAATCCTCTTTTAAACGTTATATACGGAGAATCAATACAATATATCCTCTGCATATCTCAGGTAATATTGAGGGTCTTGTACGCGTGTCCATGTCATTGTCCATGACGTTATCCTCCACTCCCCAGTCTGGTCCGGCCGTAGAGCTTCTAAAGGAAGAGTATAAGAAAAGGTCTTTGAGCTGCGCGTTAAGATATGGAACCGTGAGCCTCGTTGGTCTCATTAGTGCGCTTACATTATATTGGCACATTTTCTCCCATACTGTGGGTATCTAGAAGGCCAGACCGCGACTCACGGGTTAGAGCATAGTGTCATGTTGTGGTATTTTAGCCCCCTAAAAGCACTTTTAGAGGAATTATATTGCGGCACTTTTTTTCCACTGCAATCTTAGCGCTAGTTACAGGACTGAAATGATGGTTGAACGGCAGAAATAGCCTAATCTTTGCCAGAATTCTTCAGCACACATTGACCCCTTTTTAACCATTGGCGTAGACCGGCGGAGTTTGCCATTGGCTTGAATTCTCGTACGTTGACATGGAGCGTCGCAATGGGAACTTGCTCGCAAAGTTCGAGGGAACAGATACCAAACTCGCCCTATAACTATGTCCGCAATGCATTTAACTTGGGTTGGTTGCATGTACGCTGCAAGCTGGGTTTTAATATCTCAAATCTCAAAATTTAACCTTCCGCCTGTTTCAACTGATATTGGTGATGCATGTAGCAACGACAACTGCCTACATACAAATAACAAGAGGCCGTGAGGCAAGGGGCATCTGTACTCATAGGAATAAAGTGTATGTCACTGAACAATGCTGTTCCGTAGAAGCATATATAACCTGTCTAGGTTCAACTCTCAATTATTATTTAACTGTATTTATTAGTCATATTTCAATTGACAATCCACGTAACATTTGTCTTTCGGCTTGCTACCGGGTTTGCCGACTCCATTCCCCCCTGGTCAGGGCCTTACGACCGAGTACCCACCCTTGACCGCACCGCCAGCAGAAGCTCCTTCAGGAGTAAGACAGACAGCATAATTTGAACTGGGAACGGCTACTGCACCAAGCCCACCAGTGACTTTACCCAGTATTGTATCCCTGGCGAGGACAAGGGCACTCAAATTGACGCACTTGGCTATGGCAGACCGATTATCTCGTTTGTTCAAGTTCGAGTATGTATTCACGACTGGGTTAGCAATGAGTGCCACGTCTTTGGTGTGAACGTTATCCGGGGGCATGTATCCTCGACAGCAGTACTATACAATTAGTATGTGATATAGACTCTGTATAGGGAAATTTAATACCAGTTGATACCCTCCGTTACACGTTTGACTGCTACAATTAGCCTTTTGTGTCTCTATGTTGGAGATTTCTCATCAATGGCTGACCGCATAAACTTACTCTTCTTTACTAAAAAGTTTGGCGGGATATCGTGTTAGTATGATAAAACTAAATGGGCATATATAAGAAGAACACTTACACCCCTAAATACCTCAGTTCGAGAAAGTGATTTGAATTTACAGCCAAGACGACATCTAGCTCATCTCTGCACATTCCCATACAGCTATAGTCCATAATGAGCCCCTGCGGTTCAAATCATTACTTGAAGCTTCTCTGTACCTGAGTCCCTGACCGCGCCAGCCATGCCATTCACACCGACCCTATAGATTTTATTAGCTATTTATCCATCCAAAAAATTGGCCTTTTGGGCGGAGAATTTAAAAACCTACCGGATTGCCGCCCTGTAAAATGGATTAAACGAATCAGTTTGTTCCACGGAATGGAAATATAAATCCCAAATAGAAAGTGACTAACTGATACACAGCATAGACTTTGTACCGTATCACGATCCGCGCATGAAGTATTAAACCTGATGCCGTCGACCTGACCACGCATGTAAGCAAAAGCGGAATATCCTTCCGCACAGCCCTCGCCGCAAAGTGAGGTATAACAGCTGTCCGCGACATAGGCCGAATGGCGTACTTCGGCTTCCATTCCAATCGAACAATCAGTAAGGAAATTCCAATCGCTCTACCAATAAGATAGATCACCTACCAATAGTCTCGTCAGACCAGGAATCGTAACCACCGCCGAAGGATACCCCACCGGTGATATATTTTACAAACCGAGACCCAATTGTGTAAGAATTAGTGGTACCAGCAAGGTCGTCAAAGTCAATAGCTAAGTGAATGATAAGAATCCTTAGGTTTCAGTGGATAGAGATCAATATAACGACGTAATTGAGGGAAGTTTTTACTTACCCCAGATCATGGTTCCTCCTAAGCATAGTGAATTGGCGTAATTGATCTTCTGGGCGAATGTTATCTCGTTGTCGTAGCTAACCCATTGGGTCTTATCCCAGGTTATCCAGTTAACACCGGCCTCTAGAATCATGTTAGTACATATGTAATGCAACTCTAAAAAGGAATGTAAGTTCCTCTACCCTTGTCATAGATAGGGGTAAGGTTGTGCTCATCAATAATCTCCATAATCTCTATTATGCAAATCCTGTTAGCCACATCTCCATGGTTATATGGGGAGTTTTACGATAATAACATACCCGCATTTGAAAGTATTCCAGGGCTAGCAGTACACCGTCCTGGAGTACCCCCCTGTGCGAAGCGACATCCTGGTCTAGAACAGGAAACATCTTCTAAGGTGTATGAACGGCCATACCAGCCGAGCCCGAGTGTAACTTTGGAGGGTTCAACGCCTGCTCGCCAGAGTAAATCTAATCCTTCCCCAATTTCAGTCAGATTAGTATGTGGTCGCACCTAGGTGAGTATTAGTGTTTAGCCCATTGTAGCTTGAAAAAGTATTAATAACAAGGGTTTCTGCTTGGGATGACAGACAAATGGCCCTGAAGGCTTCCTATATGCGTCCGAAACACCGTGAATATCAGATGTCTTTATGCTAAACCAATCCAAATAGTGCTGCATTTTGCTAATATCAAACCAGCGTAGGTACCAAAAGTTTGTAGGGAGGGTAGCACTCAGGCCTTGAAAGATGAAACGGTTAGCCGTAAAGCAACACATGTTATGTCCGCCATCAGCTTCGCCTACCATATTGACCCTGAAAAGCCGTCCGCATCTCTTTCAGAAGTAAAACCAAGTTTGAAGTATCTTCGGTTTTGGCCCCACGATCCTCAGCACCGAGATACTATTCAGAATCTTCGTCAATATTCCTACTAAATCTATCGGGGGTGATTGGCACAACTTACCTCCCAGTCAAGATCAGCTCCATCAAAACCGTACGTCCTCATAAATCTCAAAAGCGCCGAAATAAACTTCGTGCGATTCTCTATTTTACCGACCATATTGCGGAAGGCCCTGCAAGTATTCTGTGAGTTGGCCTCATCCTAAACCATGCCATCATCAGTTCTATCCCTGGAGATAAGCTGAACGTAATAACTTACGTTGAACGACCAACCACCGATGGCAGCCCAAACCTGCAGCCCCCTACACAATTTTTTATATCAGCTATAAAATCAAGCTATTGGGCGAATGGTGTCCTCACGGGTATTTTTTCTTGAGCGCAATCACTCGAGGGATCAATTCAGAGCTTGTGTTTGTCATGGGTGTTATCTCAAAGGTGATTGGATTCAATAACATAAAGGCTATGGGTTCAATTAGCCAACTACTTTTTCTTTTTTTTTCATTCTGTCACAAATCGCTCGGCCCATACCGAAATTCAAATGTGTAATCCCCGTGAGGCTTAATTGCTCAGGAGTTGTGGCATGACATGGCCTTTCAATCGCCCTGTAATCATTATTAAGAATTAGTGAAGATCAACCTGGATATATATTTATGCCCTAATACCAGGATTGGTAGTATGCAACTCTTCTTAACGAAGCAGAAGCGCCCCCTGCACAGGATGGACGTGGTACATCTCCACACCCTCCATAGCCCGGCTGACATCCAGTACCGCAGAACACTGTAAAATATGTTAAGAATCCTGTATCTGTAAAGAGACTATAATAATACAATTTCGAGGTAGAATTATTCTTACGGGATGTTGATCCACAGAGCCCAAACTGGCTACAGCAGGCATTCAGGGGACATTTATTTTCCCCTTCTACCCCATATTGGCCACATTCTGCCTTGGTATCGCAGTTCCTAATAATCATCAGTATATTATTAAGATATTTCTTTGGGTTAACATACGAAATGCAGTTGTCTTTTCCACAATATTCAGGGGAATAACCACAGCGTCCTTTCTGTGTTCAAGTATTAGCCATGACTCTAAAACATGAAGTTGAATAGGCTTGCCTTGCTGCAACATGCTCCGTTAATACAAGGAGTCCCAGGGGCGCAGGTTCCGAGTGGTAGCTCATCTACGGCTGTGAATTTGCGGAAGTAAGAGAAGATAGAGTGACCAGCAAAACTCATATCGGCATCTTTAATAAACCGTGGTGTTGAGTTCGAAGGAGGCGTGAATCTTGGCCTATATAATGTTTCGTTGAGGGTTTGACTTTCAACTAGCCAAATGAGGGCAGCAATAAGCCATAGGCGTGCCGCCCATGCTACTCGATGGTGAAATACCATATCAGCTCAGAATTTGGGATATGATGTGTTTTTCTCTAGAATAAAGGTTGATCTCTGGAAGTAAAATATAGATCCGAAACAACTGGCCTATGGAAGTTGATAAGTTAAGGACATGCCAGTATAAGAGCTATTATTAAAGATTAAAAGAACACAAGAAACATCCTACCCTGGTACAAGGCAGAAATGCAGCTTCCCGATTGACATATAACAATAATTATGTGAAGTTGTCTCTGAGCCTTGCACGCAGCTGCAATTTATATATAACCGTAAATGTATGTATATACCCCCAGTTGTGGGTTGAGCGACATGGGATAGCGCTGCAATAAGGCTACAAATGATGCCATGCACGAACTGAGAACCATATATATATATCTGGAGTGCAGTTGTAATTTTTATGATCCAACATATAATTACGGAGGTTGGTGGATGTTGGAATGTTTATAAATAGTAAAAACACTGCCAAGAATCCCCCTTTTCTAACCATCTCGCCTCACCATAGGCCTGGTTTACCCATGCAAACTAGGCATCCTAGCAATTTATGTCATAATTATATTATTGGTAATGCCAAGGGGAATGAATTCAACCGTGAATCAACCTCATATCCCAGAGCTCTCCTGGGACTCACCTCGCAAAGGAGGATATATCGAGAATCACAGCTGCTTCAGCAGGGCCAGGAGGTTAAGTTATGAAGGCCCCCGTAAACCTCATATCAGGTCTCTTTCTTTTGAAGTTTACCTTTGCAGAGCTGAATATCTACGGGCATTTGGATCCACAGACCCTTGCAGAAGGTTTTCAGACCACCACCGCTTGTATCTTCGCATTGTATTTCCTCCCTTCGTCTCCCAATTTGATTCCATGACTGATAGCTCATTCTTATTTAGAAACCAAACTGTTCACTGCAATGAGAGGCGCGCAGTTGTAGCATCTATCGCCGATACTTACTACTGGGCATTGGATGATGTGATCACACTTTGCACTCCCCAATGTCAGCAGTCACTCAACTCTTGGATTTCCGACGTCGATGCAGCATGTGGGAATCGGCCCATCGTTGAAGACGGGATTATTAAGCTTGCATCTTCCATTCCCCTTACATATAAGGAAGGGTTTGATTTGGTTTGCCTCAAATCTGGGTATGGCCACTATATTTTTATAGATATTCTTTGCAGGTATACAACATAGCCAACACTATAACAGGGATTCGTGGTGCATTCTGGAGTCTCAACAATGGGTGGGATCCGATATTATAAAACATCCTGCAGATTACTGCTCATCTGGAGACCCGGAATATGATGGGAAGGAATGTTATGAGGAAGGGTTTGATCAGTTGGCCATTGAACCCGAGGATGAGCGCATGGCCAACCTCTATGATAAAGACTTGGTAAGTAGGATGTTATAGCAGTTTAAATTAGCTATACGCCCTGAAGGAGACGTTAACGTCTTGTTCCTTTTTGGACAGCTTTGCAGTGGTTGTTTTCTGAAGATTTTTCGTCAACGATTGCTCTCGCCATTCCTTCTTAAGGGCGGATATACATCGTACCTTGTCGAGCAGTTTGAGGATATGCAGTTGAAGTGTTCTACAAGCATGCCTTACACTACTTCCATTAGTGAAGTCTTCATGGGAACGGTCACTCGGACAACACCAACCGCTTCCCCCCTACCGGCAAGTACCACTTGTCAAGGGCCTATTATCAAACCCGCAGACCCTCCTCTATCGTGCACAGACATTGCTGATAAATATAATGTGACGTCGGGAGAAGTTCGTCACAGAACTGGAAACATCGATTGCGAATTCTCCAAGCCGCTATGCCTTCCAGAGCCGTGCGAGATTGCCGTAGTCCCGCTTGACTCTACGTGGTTAGTCCAGTCTTACCTCCAAGCCCGGGTTTACAACACTGATGCCGTTCATCCATAGTACGAGCTTTCTGGAAAGCCATTCCAGTTCGACATTTAATGTTACTATCAACCAATTCTTGAACTGGAACCCCTACCTATCTGGATCATGCGAATTGATTAATTGGTACCAGCGAGTGTGCATAAGGTAGTATGTTTCTATTACCTTTTTGCAAATGCTCATATAATAACTAAGACTTGTCTTATTTACCCAGGCCACCAGGTGGCAGCTATGAGAATCAGCTCCCAGTTCGCCAATCAACTGCTGCTTCTCAATATTATACTCCTGGTAGGAGGCAGCGATCGTATCCTAGTTATTATTTATTCTAAAAAGACAAGGACCACTAATATAATCTACAACTACTCTAGCCATCCCGCCAGCACCCACATCCACAGGAACGACTGCATCATGTGGCCGATATTATGAGGTTGTCGCTGGTGATCAATGCAATACAATTGCTCGTCATTTGTGGGTTGGATTTTACCATTTAGTTATCCGTCTAAATTCTAATCCTACTCATAGCGGGATAACTGTAGATGAATTCCTTACTCTCAATACTCAGGTCGACGAAAGGTGTTCGAACCTATGGATTGCCTATGCCTACTGTGTTGCAGCTAGTAAGTAATTACCCTCCCGCCTATATGTGAAGATCAAAATAGTTCTATACAAGAATAAATTGAGAAATCTCAAAGGCTAATTGAAGAAAATTATCGCATTTTAATAGTTCAAGTGGCTCCCCAATCAACCAACGGTCTATGCGGTCCAAATAACGGTCATTCAACCTGCGAAGGCACGGGTTTTGGATATTGCTGCTCAACCAGTGGATATTGTGAGTTTGCTTGTTTACCATGTTGCTATCATCTCCCGGGTCCTCACTATGGGACATTTATGGAGCTAACTACTTTGCTTTTCCTATAGGTGGATCAACTGATAGCCATTGTGGCCCAGGACACTGTTACTCTGGGAAATGTGCCTCTAGCAACGGAACGTCCATTACCCAAGATGGGAGATGTGGTATGTAATCTAAATCAGATATCAAACTATCCTAATACTTGTACCCCGTACCCTGCAAGTTTACTAATAAGCTACCTGTCTAATTGTCTTGAAGGTCCCCGATATCATGATTGGATCTGTGGGGACTCGACTTTTGGGAAATGCTGCTCTGTCCATGGATACTGTGGGAATACACCAGACTTCTGCGCAGCAGGGAATTGCTACTCAGGAGCCTGCTACACAGACATTGGTGGGGCGAGTGTTGATGGTTCGTGCGGGCCAAGCTTTGCAGGAAACAAGACATGCACTGGCACTCATTTTGGTGAATGTTGTAGTATTAAGGGATCTTGTGGAGATGGGCCCGACTACTGTTCACACGGGAAATGCCATTCTGGGGCGTGTCAAGGACCTAAGACGTATCCAATTTTTTTATACATTGCGTCCCTTGTCGACATTTTCTATTTTAGAATTGCGGATATGATGAATCGTTGGCGTGGCATTCTAATAACTGGCTAGTTAAATGAATTTTATCAAATTTGAACTAGTTTAATTCAGTTCTTGTTGGCTTTGGCCATACATTAAAGGGATGAAGCAGCCTAGTGTCCAATAGAAACTATCTGATATCTGCCTCAGCAGCTCCCTGGTCAAGGGGAATAAAAGATGGATTAACTAGTTATATAATCCATCACCCTGCCATCCGCGGTAAACATCTAGGCAACCACCAACCCACATTTTTGTAACTAGTTCGACTACACGTCAAAACTGAGCTTTATTAGAGAATTCAGGAAATGACAGACTCCACGGTGAAGGGTAAGCAGGAGAAAGAGGAAGAAAAAATGGAAGAAGAGCGGAAGGAGGAGCAGGACGATATGCAAGAAGAAGATGAAGGTTTTGATCCCGTCGCCTGCGCGAAATTATACAATCGCCTCATCCGGATTGGCTTTCACGGCAGCAAGGGAGAGAAGAAAGGGCAGTATCTCCAGTCAGTACTTTCGCCATCGGGTATCGATGACGACCTTGGTCCAGGATATATGCATGATCATGGTATTGACTGCGTCGGTCTGTTTCCAACCAATCATGCCTCCATCCCGCATCGTTTAGGCCTGGTTATAGATCTCGATGATTTTAGTGTACGATATCTGCCTTCCTTCTTTGATTATCACGGCCCCGAGGATACTGCAGGATGGTATTCATTACGGGGCGTATTGCTCTGCCTCAATGCTATGGTTGACACGGGAAAATATGTGCCTACTCCCGACGTGGTAGAGTATGACCCATGCTTTGAGCCAGGGTGGAAGGCTATTCCGTGGACCGATTCGGCTCTTGATGAGACCCTCGCTGCATGGGAGGACCTAGTTAATACTATTGCTATACGTCTTCCCAACTATGCCACTGAACAGGGTACCCAGCTTCAGCTAAGGCAATTAGCTTCTGAGGACAAAATACCATCATCTATACGTGGATTTACTCGTGGTTTCCTACTCCGTGCATCAAAGCCTCCGTTCAAGTATATTGCTCCTGGGTTAATGGTGTACGACTCGGACGCTCCACCACCTTCGATTCCTACAAAAAGGGACTCAGATGGGAACATGGTGTATGCCTCACCATACAAGGAGATATGTTATGACGTTTTCCACGATCCTATTATTCTATGTCCTTTCGAGGAATCGACGAGAGAAGATCCTGCTGGGCTCTGGATCCTTCCCAAAAGGGATTTGGCTGATTCATTCTGCCTAGTTCTTCCATATCAACTGGAAAAATTCCATACAACGGTTTACGGGAAATATCAGAATGGGCCCACCCGCACTGCTCTATTCCAGAGTCCTATATGCCCTTTCTACGGAGATCAATGTACGGGTCTAAAGACTCTGTTCATATTTTGGAAATCGTTGGTGGAGAAAGGAGTCTGGACCGTGGGTGCCGACGGCATCGAGGGCGGGAAAGAGTTCTATCGACAAGCGGAGGATGAAGAGAAGGGAGACTGGTTTGATGTTGGAGAATGCTTGGATGTCCCACTAGAGGCGGAAATTAATATAGACGATTGAGCTTCATATATCAGAAACAGACTTAGGCTATAAGTTGGAAAAGCCATTTTCATTTATGTTTGAAGAAGAATATAAAGTGCCAGTGCAGTGTGGCACACATATAAATGTGTACGGGGAATTAATGCAAAATAGTAGAGTCGAAAGAAGCCATTTTGTCGATAACTGCGGTGCGCTCACAGACAAGGTTCTGCGGCTTAAAAGATCGTGATCTCGGCACAAACTCTGATACTATGACTAATCATCACTCTAAGGTTCTGACTAATACGCGGTATATAAATACGCGCAGATCCACTTTTTCTTCTTCCTACCCGAAGGATCCACACGGCTAGCTTAGACCACTAGAGCGCGCCGTTGATATCACATCCCATCAAGTTCACTTGCCCATTGCTCATTGACTATAGGAGGTATAGTTGCAGGGACAAACAAAGTGCAATAAGAAGCCTTCTGCTGCGGCAGGGCCATAGTGTAGCCAGGCATGCCTAAGGACGGGCTGCCATCCAAACCTACAGCCAAGCGCAGAAAAGCTCCAACAACGAAGAGAATTAAAAAGAAGACTGGCGCTACCCATACACTCAAATCACTGGTCAAATTTGCTAAGCTGATTAATGATAAAAGGACCAGGTTAGCCTTGAATATACCCACGCAGACGCAGACTAGGTCGGAATTGATAATTAGCACGCTACGGTCGTTCCTCTATCAATGCTGCAATCCTAGTGTAGTTAGAATCTTTCAGCAAGCTACCATCTTTCAAGAAGCTCCCGAAAGCCTCATTCCGGAGGAACCGGTCAAAATCCCTTTTCGCCTACTAGATCTTCCATTTGAGCTACGCCTGGAGATATACTATTGCTGCCTTCCTCGAAAACAGCAAATCCTTATCCCGTCTAACAATACTAGCGAACCCCTCTTCCTTGACCAATATCAGCATCCGATCAAAACCCCATATTATAACACCAGTCTTCTCCGCGTGTCCAAACAAGTTAGCGAGGAATGCCTGAACATTCTTTACGGAGAAAACCAATTCGAGGTAACCCTGGAAAATATATACCACTATAGACTGCAGAATGTCAGGAGGAGAATCGTAAACCCATGCATTATTACCCGGAGAATTTCAGCTGCAAACCGCAAACGAATCCGCAACCTTCAGCTCGAGGTAATTCCACAGCTTTTAGACGGGGGTTTCTCATTCTGCAAGCGCTGGAGGTTGATCCCTAGAAACTTAAACCGCTTGGTTATCATTTTTCGGGTATGGGAGCCCAACAACTGCTGCTGTGACAATGATGTGATTCAGGATTGGGTCTGGGAGTTCATCGAGTGTACTTGCAAGGTTTTAGCCCCTCGAGCCACTGTTATTATCGACGACGACGTCTTGGCTAAGTTTGTGCCGCTGAAGGAATTGCGTATAGAAATCGTCAGGGTCAGCGACCGTCCGCGTGTTACTTTCAGGTTGCTCGACATGGACGAGGACGCCTAGGACATACATCTGCGCAGAAATATTCTTCTACGTGGTGGATACCTATCGGAGTGTAGGTGGTAGAAGTACCTTTTATCTACTGTATTCTTTGCTGAAGGAGTTCTGCGACTTTGCATTTGTATGAGTCTAGATGATATGTATGAATTGCACTCCCTAATATGATCTTACTGAGAAGATAATCCCCCAAAGACCAAGGCGTAGATATCCATGTCAGATACAAGGTAAATGAAAGCTTTGGCTCATTCGGCCAGCTAGTTATCCACGGATTCTGTATTCGTAACAAGACCTAATTTCGATATACACTCGAACAGACAAATGTAAAACAATATAACAGCCATGATATCGCTGCCTCTTCGACTCAGATAGGCGTATGAGGGATATCAGGAAGGAGAAAGATTAAGAGTATATCTGAATGCTGGCTGGTAAAAGCTATATTTTGGTATTGCACATGAAATGAAAAGCAAAGAACATGGAAGACAGCACCGAAGATGTAAGAGAACTCCATTCCCATTCCCTGTGTTTGTATGATGAAACAGTTGTGTTTGGATGCGATTCGTAGATGTGGTGGACCTGGGTATAGATTGGTGGAGGAATTAAATCGAAGAGGGTGATGGTGTATGTTTCAGTGGGTATTTTGCTATCAAAGCGTATGCTCGGGGGGTAGAGTAGGTAAGTAAGTATTAAAGGGGTAAGGTAATGTGCCTGTGAAGAGAAGAAGATGAAGAAAAGGTAATGAAAACTCCTAATATACAATGCTATCATATCGTATGGCGTCGAGGGAGGAATAAGATGGCTGGAGAAACGGCGCGCTCAGTTATTTATCACCGTATTTGCCGAAGAGTTCCTGCCACTTGAACAGTCCTCTGGTCAAGACATCCATCATCTCGCCGCTAGTGAGGTCCTTGAAATCTCTGTCGCTGCCGGCAGCAGCGGCGGAGGGAGCTGAAGTTGGCGCTCCTTGCGTTTCAGAGGAGCTCTGGTTTTCGGCTGAGGATACACCGTTGGTTGTTAGACCGTTAAGTAACGCCTCTGCCTTGGCGATGGTGGCGGCCATATCGCGGCTGGTGGTTGCCATGGTCGACGTTGAATCGCCTGGCGGGCGAGTAGGCTGTTCTCCGCTGGCTGCCATTTCTACCTGTAGTCGTGAAATGAATTCTAGAATCGCAGCTACGCGCCTGCGCATGTCGTTCATTGTAGTGCGATTGGGGTTCATGTAGCGCGGCCGACTCGCTTTGCCAGACTCGCCGTTTGCGGGGTACAAGCCGTTAGGACCTGCGTTGGAGGCGCTGGTAGGAGAATCGCCTGTGTTACCGTCATCACGGGATTGGCCGCGACGAGGAGAATTGGAGGTAGTGTCCGCGGCACCGTTAGGAGGGTCACGGTCACGGGTGTACTGGTTACGACCTAGACGGCCACGGCGGGCAGGAGGACGACCGGATTTGCGAGTTGCGGGTTTGGGAACGGGTGTGGAGGCAGTTGGAGTATCTGGAGCGGACTGTGCAAGCGCATTGGATGTAGGTTTTGACGGAGACGCGGTTTCAGGAGGTTCAGAATCTGCGGAGTTCATTAGTGATGGGAAGAGAGTCGGGTGGGAGGAGAGTGACATACCCTCGCCTTTGCGACGGTCAGCTCTTCCTTTACGTCGACTGACGGGTTCAGGTACTGCGTCTTTTTCGGGTTCGGGTTCGGGTTCGACCTCCTTCTCACGCTGGTTTCGGGTGGCCCTGGTTTTCTTCTGGTTGCCATTGACACTTGCGGTTTTTGATTTGGTTTCTTCTTCGGATGGAGAACGGGTATTGCGCCGAGATTGTTTGGAGCGGGAAGATGGAGAGGGAGAGCTTGTCCTCTGTCTCTTAGCAGCTTGCTTGTTTCTATCGATGGTCAGAGTTTTCTTCTTCCAAAGGCCGCTGAGAAGAGACGTACATTTCGCTGACACTACGACTTCTCTTGCCTCGACGGCTTCCGGTCTCTTCGACGAGGGAGGCAGTGTCTTCTTTGCTTTCCTCGATTGCTCTGCGCAGTAGTTCTTCTTCGTCGTAGGCAGCGTCTCGGCTGTTCATGGTTCTGCGCTTGGTCCGTGGAGAGGTGTCGTTGCTCTTGGACTTTTTGTCCTTTGTTTTGGCAGAGCCTCTGGAGGTGGTTGAGGAGGCCGAGGAGGTAGATCCGGCCACCGGGAGGTACTGGGAGGACTTTTGGCTGCGAGGGCGTAAGCGCGATGTCCACATTTTGAGAGTGACGGATGGGTACGAAGCTGGTGATATTGCGAGGTTGAAGAGGAAGCAAGGGAGCGCAGAGAAGCAGCTGAAGCCATCTTATACATGTGTACTCGTGTATATATATGTTGCGTGAACAATTGAAGGGGGATTCAATGAAGGGAGGGTCTGTGAATCGCAATAACACAGCGGTGAATAGATAGAATAATCTACCAGCCACCACTAAAAAAAAAAATTTCTTTTGAAGGGTAAAATAAGAGAAGAGGAACAAACTCACCCATGAGGTCCAACGATGATACTGTGCAAGTCCTTCCGGCATCTCTCGCAGAAGTACTCGTCCGGACTCGAGGCCTCCTCCATGATGCCGACACAGCCTCCGTGCTGCCAGACCTTGCACTCATCGCACTGGATGAACAGGCTGCCAGCATCATCAGACAGCGCATCGGCACCGGAGCCGGAACCTGCGGCGTCGTCGTCCTTGGCGGCCCTTGAAGAAGCAGCGCCGCGGTGGTTGTGGTTGTGGTGATGAGCGGCGTGGGCAGGGAGGCCGGGATAGTCCTGGTGGCCACAGATACAGCGTGTGATCTCCTCCTCGCCCTCTTCGTCGAACTCGTCTCCGGTCAGCGTCACGTCAGCATCCGCCTCGACCTCGACCTCCTCGCGGGCCCCCCTCGGTCGTTGCTGGCGTGTGCCCGTGCCGGAAGTGGCGTCGTGCTTCGAGCTGGCCGTGTCTGCGGGCGCGGCGTCGTCTAGAGACTGAGAGCGCTGAGCAGCCGTCCTACGCGGCGGAGTAGGCTTGTTGCCGTTATTATTAGACCGCGTGGCTCGCTCCGGCCTGCTGAGGGAGTTGAGGGAGCTGGAGGAGGCCGAGTGCTGCATTGCGGGAGCTGGGTGCGTTGCGCGGGCTCGAGAGGAGCGACGAGGGTTCATGGCGGTGGGCGCATGCAAGTAAACAGGTATTAATGGGTGCGTACGGGGGACAGGGAGAAGAGGTATTAGATGGATATTATTATATCTTTTCCCACAGACGACCAGCAGCTTTTGTGCGTCGATGAGAGGCTCCCAAGGGCCAAAAAAATCTCGGGTTCTTGTGTCAACTCGCGGCGTCAAAGGGGGACAATTGGGGTGTCAGAGAGCAAGCTGGGTGAGGGAAGAAGGAGTCTCGCGTGCGGGATGAGACGAGATCGAGAGATGCTACATGCTAGAGAAGTGGTTGAAGAGGCTGAAGATGGCGAAGTTGGTGAAGTTGGTGAAGTTGGTGGAAGTTGAAGATGGCGAAAGTTGAAGATGGAGTTTTTGGGGAAGAGAAGCAACTTTCGCTAAGTCCCCGCAGAACAGACAAGGAAGACGGCGACGGCGATGATGGGGACGACGGCGACGATGGCGATGAAAGAGATGGTGATGAAGACGAGATGACGGTAGAAAGAGAAGGGATACTAATAAATATACTAAAGTGTTCTCTGGCGCAGGCTTACAGCGGGCTCTCGACACAGCCATCTACCACTGACGGTGATGATTCTACCGCCGGCGATACTGATGGCTTCCATGTCTTCTCCTTCTTCTATATCTTCTCTCTCTACTGCTTCTTCTTCTCCTTCTTCTCCTTCTATATCTTCTGCTTCTACTGCTTCTACTCTACCATGAGACTCCGCAGCTCCCTCCGCCCACCGAATCGAAGAGCCACAACGAAGACGAACACGAGAAAGAGACAAGAGAGACGGACGAGAACACTCAAGGGCATCTAGAGACATAAGATAGAGACAAGACTCGACGGTGTTTGTAGACTCGCACGTAGTATCACTGACATAGAGTAGACAGTAATACAGCTATTCTCCTCCTCTTCTCTTCTACCTCTACTTCTCTTCTCTTCTTCTCCTCTACTTCTCTTCTCTTCTTCTCTTCTACTTCTTCTTCTCTTCTCATCTCCAACTTCATCTTCCCAAAGAGGCTAGCGTGGAGACAACCAAAAGAAGAACCAAAAGAACCAAAAGAAGACGAAACTTGCAACTTCAACAACTCGAACGAAGACGACGAAGACCTTGCAAAGAGTTCAACTCGATAATCCTCGGAGTCACGACCAAGACGACGCTGACAGCCTCTTGCTTCCTCCCCCCTTTTGTTCTTGTCTTCCTGGCCTTTTCTCCTGCTGAGCTAGCGTCTTTCTTCGCTTCTCCAGGTTAAATCTGTCCTGCCAGCCCAGCTTCACACAGTCAAGATCTAGTAAGGAGACTGTCTGGTAGGTTATATTTTGTATTATGAGACACGCTGTTATGTTACTACTTTTATTCTACTCTGTTATTTTCCGTGGCTGACAAGTGAAGTGCCGGATAGTTGTCAATATTGGGCACCCACCAAACCACACATTTAAACACCCGCGGAGCAGATATCGAGGTAGACGAGACGGAAGATAGAGAAGAGAGAAAGAGAGAGGAGCAGACAGGATCAGGGGGACCGAGACGTCTAGTCACAATCCCACGCTGCAGCTTGCACGCATCATGACTGCCACTCTGAGTACGTCCACCGCCAGGATATATTACAGGGGTTGATATATATATATATATCCGTCGTTATGGATCAACTGACGATTGATGAATGTTCGAACAGGCGGGGCATATACCTCTGCTCCCGACACACCGTCTCCCATCTTCCCTGAACGGCTCATCCGTCCGTTGCCAAAACGACCGTTGCGTTCCCGGCTCTCCTCTGACGCTGCAGACACCATCCTCTACCCACCCTCACAACCAACCACACAGCTCTTCTACGGTGCATACTCCACCACCGGAGACTCCCTCAACGACGCAAAGGTCTACGTGCAGGGTAACGTCTACGGATACGAGCACAGTGCCGACGGGGGTGACGGGGACCACGATCACGACCATGATCACCACCATCACCACCACCACCACGATCATCACCATCACCACCACGATCATCACCACGAACATGACCATGACCATGAACACCACCCGTACGAGGACGGAGCAGAGTCGGGTGAAGATGATGGACCGGTGGCTGTTCGTCGAGGGTTCCTGCGAGCCATCGCCGCGTCTGCAGCTGACAGCACAAAGGTGACATCGAACGGTACTCAGGACGGATACGATGCGTTTGAAAATACAAATAATAAGAAAAAGAGGAAGATACCCACGTCGGGCGGTCTGGGGTGCCACTCCAGCCTCTCTTCTGATATTGCCAGTCTCTCCTGCAGTGGGGGCAGCGGAGCCTCGGCGGACGATGGTAGCGGACAGAGCTCATACTATGGCTCCGGAAACCCTGTCTCCCCCGTTGGAACTTCCGGCATCTCTGGTAAGGGACGATATAGCCGGAATGGGCCTGGCCGTGGTGCCACCGCCAGGACACCGCTTGCTGCCCACTCACCAAACACATGGTCGACCGGCCGGCGTCACGATAGTGCCCTTGCCCAGGAAAACTTTGGTAATGTCGTTTAACTCTCCGGATGAGATGCGTGTATGCTGACGTGCAACAGAACCAGGCAAAGATAAAGGCATAATATCTGCGGCAATAGCCAACGCCGCTGCAGCTCTCTCGTCCAGCCCGCAAGGCCAAAAGAATATCAGCTTGCTCGACCAGACCAAACGATCAGCCCCTGCCAAAACACAATTCACGTTCACCTGCGAGTCAGACTCCTCACGCGGCATGGCATGGCAGTCCGCACACCCGTACTCTCTCCCCGATCACCACCGGTCCGTCACTCAGCCTCCCTTGCCCGGTCAACGGGGTTTCTCTACCCAAGGCACCCAGACCAGCCCCAACATGGCCACCCAGGCAAACCACCACCACCACCAGCAGGCTCGCCAGCAGTCACAACAACAGCAGCATCAGCAACAACAACCAGGTCAAGCCCCAACCCCTGCCCCACCGCCTCGAAAACCCCGTCGTTCGGCACGTGCAATATATGCCCATGCTGCCCGCCAACGACGCATCCAGCAGCAGTACACCAATCTCCACCACCCACCTGATCTCGAGAGTATCTGGATATGTGAATTCTGCGAATATGAAAGCATCTTCGGCCATCCTCCCGAGGCTCTCATTCGACAGTACGAAATAAAAGACCGCAAGGAACGCAGACGACTAGCTGAGAAACGCAGGCTACTTGAAAAGGCCAAGATGAAAAGTCGAAAGGGCAAAAAGGGACACAAGAACACCGCCAAACAGCAGAATGCGGCCGCAGTGCATGGCCAGGGCCAGAACCACGTTGACCGTGTCCCTTCTCACCCCAACGACCAGAACCTACCGCCCGACCACGATAACGGCGAGGAGTATGATGAAGACTATGAAGATGACGGACATGATGATATACATGCCGACGCAGCCCCTCGCATCCCACCCTCCATTCCAAAGCACCATCACCCTCCATCCCCACCGAATTCGATGCAAGATGGCACCGGTGGACAGTCGGGGAAAGCTTCGGCTTCAGCTTCAGCCGGAGGAGGAGGTCCGGGACGAGCGGGTTGACGGTTAACCCCCAGGTTTCCCTCTCGGTATGGCTCCCCAAGCTGCTTGTTTTACTTTTGTCTCTCATCCTTGTTTGTCTGCCTGTATGTCTTCCTTCCCCCTTGCCTTCCCCCTACCTTTACATCCTGATGCCCATGCATCGTTTATCCACCTTCTGGCTTTTAATTATTTTATCCCCCCTATATCTCCATCCCTCATCCCCAAAGCTATCTTCCCCATTAGTCCCCCTTTCCTTTTCTTCCCTCATTCATTCATAGATATGAACGTCATGTCGGCATGCCCTGGTTTTTTCCCCCTTTCCCCTCCCATTCCCCTATCATCTGAAGTCCGTTTTTCATCCTATCATAACGTCCCCACTCTATCCTTACCCCTTACCGCTTTCCTTGTATTTTTTTGGAGGCGTACTATGCTATGCATGTAGCCTGCATGATATAGCGCTCCTGGAAGCGTTGATCCATTGCTTTTGAGATATGAATTATTTCCTGTCGGTCGGCGAGGAGATGTCGCTATTCGGTGCTGCAGTTCAGCGACCATGTTGCTGTGTTAGGGTTCAGATGAATAGCTTAGGCTATATGCTGCTGAAACTGAGAATACGTTGAATTGAGAGTTGATTGTCGAGATCGAAACGAAGAGTTGCGCTGCTGGTGCTGGGCAGTCGCGGTCATTGATGGAGCTAGCAGAGTCTACATACTTGACGTATAATTCCATGCCTCTTCCCCTGGGAGAAGGAAGAGGGATATCAAATATCAATAAACACATCCTTCTTCCCGCATGTCTTTACAAGAATACACTCTGTTCATCATGAAATAGCCTAAACTGGGCCATATTCCATATGTAGAGAACAACCTTTCACTGTAGCCGCCAGAGCGGGTTTCTCTCCGTTAATTATAGATCTTCGGCAAGCAGATGAAACGAGTCTTAACTTTGTCTATAATGGCAAACCAGATATTATCCATAATCCACTTCTCACTGGCGGTCGAAGCTCAACCCCTGAGCGCTAAATGAAGCCGGCGCTTAGCCATGAACCAACGACAAGATCAACTCCCATCCAATCCATCATTCTTATGCCAGACAAGGCCCTGAAGAATCGAACAAGAACAAGAATAAAGCTCCATCATGCTCGCTGAAACCTCAAACAGGCCGTTTCAAGGCCATCTTCCCTCTCTACTCATGCAGCATCTGATTCGAGCATAAGCTCTGTACCCCCTGATATCCTGATATTCTGATATCATAATATTCCATGCCGGGCGGCAACTTTGCTGCTATCTTTGGCTTCATCTTTCTATAGAACGGAAGATATATCGAGAAATACAAACATATAAACCGCCTGCTTGTCTCCTCGATATGTCTCCCTTCTCTTCTCCAGCATCAATCAGGACAATAATTACACCGGACTTCCCCCCCCCTTTCTTTTCCTTTCTTCTTTTTCCCTTATCTTTGCTTCCTATTTCATTCATCTATTTCATTCATTCATTGAAGCTGGCTGTGTTGCTTGATCATTCTTTCACTTGATAGAAAAACCTCCAGTGGTGCAGCGCACTGCTTCCTTCCTACGTATCAACCTACCTTCACTACATCAAGACTTTCTGCTTCTGTGAAGCTGCTCGTTTCTCCTACCAGCTTTTCCTGTTTCTTATCGACTACTTAATATCGAGCCTTGCCTTGCTTTGCCCTTCATTTCACAAGGACAGAAGATACCAGTTTCATAATCTCTTCCTTTCGCCCACAATCTACAACAACAAGATAATTATTCAGAATGTTCGTTGCCGGACTCCTTCTCAAGGGCATCAAGAGCCGCTACTCTACCGGTTCGATCTTCGGCACGCTGGTCGAATGCAGTATTCGATTTCTCCAGTTCGTCTTTGGTATTGCTGTCATCGGCCTGTATGCGCAAGACGTCGACCGGGCCAGAAGACACGGTGACACCCAGGACTCTCGATGGGTGAGTTCGAGTTCTCCTGCACGATATAACTACGATATGGCACAGTCTGACCCTTTCACAGATCTATGCAACGGTCGTTGGCACCCTATCCGCCATCTCGGGGCTGGTCTACATCCTCATGCCCTGCGCTGTTCAAAGACCCTTATCCCAAGCAACTTTCATCCACCTGCCTTGCTTCGTCTACGATAGCGTACTTGCCATCCTCTGGCTGACCCAGTTCGGCATCTTTGCAAAGCTATACATCACTGTTGACGATGAGAAGGACACCAGTCTCAAGCGTATGAAGCACTCTGCCTACGTGGACTTGATCAACCTCTGCTTCTGGATGATCACATGTGCCTGGTGCGGTATCCGCTGGTGGAGAGGGAACAAGGCTGGGGCCGGTGGTGCTCCTAGGGATGAGAAGGCCTTTGATGAGGAGCATGTTGAGCATGTCTAGTGCCTGACTTTAAGGAGGGATGTATCCCCTCCAACGCTCGTTTTCTGAAGTCTGAAGCTATCATCTCTGTATGGCAACGGAGTATCCCTTCTTTTCTCTTCATGTTGCTATTATCTTGCGTTGCTTCCCTAAACTTTCCTTTCTCTCTTCTCTGTTTTGTTTCTCTGCATCTTCCGGCGCTCAAGGAGTCTATGCGTTTACACAGCATAAGCGAGTATAAGAAGAAACATAAAACTTGCATTTTTCCGATTCGCACATTCCAATCCATGGGTATACAAAAGAGGTAAAAGGAAAAAAGGAGAGAGAAAATATGTCCACCAGCTGATTAAACCTGACCCCTTTCGTTCATCACTTCAATGCGTCAATCCATAAATTACCCGAACAGTTCTCCTTCCACCTAAGTTATCAGCTATCCCTCTTTCTCCGTCGCCAGAGAGGAATGCAGATCTATCTATCCATATTCCCGTGATTATGTATTCATATATCGCTCCTGAGGAGACAGAGAAGTAACAAACACTCATAAAATACACATGGTCAGAAGACGTGGAAAGGTAGGGTTTAGAAGACTCAGCTTTTATTTAGCTGGCCTAGTCGATGATCAGGGATGGGTGGGAGATGCCGCGTCTGACATCGCTGCTGGTCTCGTGGGCGATGGCCTGTTATTACTATTATCATTACCTGTGGTGGAGGTGGAAGAAGTAGAGGAGGTGGGTGAGTGTTTTGATTTCGACTTGGACTTCTTCGACGATGAGGAAGAGGATGAAGAAGGGTTATGGTGATGGTTTGGCCCGGGCTGGACACCATCGATCAAGTTGGTAAGAGAAGACACGTGGTGATACTGCTCTTTTTCCTTGACTTGTTTCTTAACGAAGCGGGAGCGGAAGCCCTTTTCGACCAGAGAGGCAGTAGAAGGCTGCTCGGATAGTGGGCTGTGGTCTATAATTACAGGCGAGTTTGTGAGGTACTCCTCCAACAGCTTCTTATCTGCGGGAGTTATGTCTGCAGACATCCGTATGTTTGCGGTCAGCCCCTCATCTTGAGCGGTGTAGGAACTTGCGTGTTGAGGTTGAGAGTGCGACTGCATGGCGAAGGGAGATCTAAACTGAGGCCTTCTCGATAGACTAGAGGGTGTAGGATTGGCTGGCCTTGAAGTAGGGGCTGAAAGGAGGAGGTCACATTAATATTTACATCTTTTCCCTTTGTTTTATTCCAGTGGGACACCTGGGAGGGTTGCTTACATTCGGCAGGACTGTCGTCGAATGGCCCCCTAAACTTGGCTGGAGGCGACTGAGGTTGAAGCTCCGCAGAGCTCTCGAGGGTTCGCACGGGGAAGGGCTTAGCAATCCTTCTTTGGGGAGAGCCGGGATCCACCTCTAGTGAGCTGGTGAGGTTACTGGCAAAGGCGGTTTTCTTCCTTCTGATGGAGCCGGGTCGTGATAGATCAGAGTGTTGGCAGAGGCTGTCTCCAGAGTGGGATGCTATGACGCCCTCCTTCGACGGCGAGTCGGTCAGCTGTTCGTCGGACGGTGGCCGCGGTTTCTTCAGGATGGACGGTGGAAGCTGGGTTTTCACACTGCTGCCTGAGGGCGTGAGTCTGGAGCTGTTACTTCTGCTTGGCCCCTGAAAGGAAGGTAATTTGGGTAACGAGTTGTCGACATAAAACCCGTGTGGAATAGCTCTAGGTTTGAGGCCTGCAAGCTAGATTCACTAGATTAGCATCTGTAACTAGGCCTAGAGCAGGCATGTTCCGGTGTTACCTCTCTCTCCTTCCTCAGCCACTCCTCAGTGGTGTACTCTCTCTCCGAGATCTGGATGAAGAGTGAGGCCAGAGTATAGCCACGGATCGTGCAGCTTATCTGACCATTACTCCATATCCTCCAGAAGAGGTTCTCCAGCCGTCTACCCGCATCTTTCTCCAGAGTGGTCTTGTTCGTCGTATAGACTAAGCCAAGTCAGCAAAAGGCAAAAAATAAAGGATCAGTGACACAAAGAAAGAAGCTTTACCTCTCCACAGCCTGGCCACATCTTCAACCTCGACGTGGGAATCGTGGTTGAGCTCCGAGCGGATGCTGTGGGTGTTGAAGACGATGCCGTGGGGGAGAGCTTCCGTCATGGTCCAGCTGCCCACGAGACAACGTAGATGTATAAGATACGGCTCGACGCAGCTCCCAGCATAAGGATATCACTTGGTACAGCTCTTATCCAGAGGTAAACAACCAAGAAGAGAGGGAAGAGAGGAAAGAAGACGAAGAAGAAGAAAAAAACCGGGACGGTAGCCGTGGTATATATTTCTAATACTTTCTTAAAATAAATCTGACTGCTTGGTATAGTATGCGGTGTGCAGGGTTAAGCTCAACGGGCGCGCATGATCAACATGGCGCGGGTTGACGGGCAGCCAACGGAGCGCAAAGGGGTATTTTTAGCTCTCGGTTCAGTGTTCCTGGAGATGGGAAGGACGGACTAATGCAAGGACGCTGGCGTGTGAGTGGAAGAAGAATCAGAAGCAGAGTCGAAGTGGTGCAAGAGAGAGAGAAGACGTGGGGAAGAAGAAGAAGAGAAGAGAGGCGGGAGAAATTGTAGAAGAGGCGCGGACGGGGGAGGTCGGCTGCCGCAGCACGTGAAGTGTCCGGATGACCTGCGGGTCCAGATATGAAGCTGGTCAAGATGGAGCTGGAGAGAAGAGGATGGAGGGAAGAGAAGACGCGAAGACGTAGAGATGTGAAGGCGTAGAAGTAGAGAAGAAGAAGTTGAAAAGGCAGGGAAGAAGAAGATGAGGTTGAAGAAGCGACGTTGAAATCTCCCGATCGGGATGAGCCTTCTTTTGACGACTTCTTCCTTTTTCCAACCTTGAACCAAGAAGAAGCTGATGATGTTGCAACTTCAGACGACGAACAAGATGAAGCAGCAGATATATTACAGACAAGAGAGAGAGAAAACGGCCAAGGTCATGTGCCGTGAAGGAAAAGCTAGGCAGGTCTTGATATCAGAATCCATGCAAGGACGAAGGTCAAGACGAGGTCAAGACGAGGTCAAGACGAGGTCGAGACGAGGTCGAGATCAAGGATGGAGACACATACCAGGGGACAGAAGGGGGACAGAAGGGCCTCCAGGTTTCAGCCAGAAGCGAGTTTGTGATCGATACTTTGTTTCCGAGTCGTCCATCAGCTGGGATGTTTTCTTTTCCGCTCTCTCTTCCGTCTCGACTCTCTCTGTGGTCAACTGCTTCGAAACTCTTGCTACGGTGGTATCTTCGCCTTGCGTCTGCATGTACGATCAAGACAACTCGCTCTCGTATCAGCAGCGGGTTTATCTCCATTATGATTCTAGTGCCTGCTGGATGAGGCTGGAAATCCGATACGGGATGCATACAGACATGGTATACATATACATCTATACAAGGAGACGTATACATCTGGAGCAAGGATATCGGCTAATGGGTCAAGATGGTATTATTATTTTAATAAAGCAAGCAAGATCTAATCAACGGACTGGCCAACCAATGGGGGAATAAGAAAAACAGGCTGTGGGGAAAAAAGAAAGGGAAACATGTTCATCTAGGTGACGGTATATCCGCCATCTACACGCAGGTCCGCGCCAGTGACGTATTTGCTAGCGTCACTGGTCAGGAAGACAACGGCACCCATCAGGTCCTCTGGCACACCCATCTTGCCCTGGGGAATCAGCGAGGTCCATTTCTGATTGAGGTCCGGGTTGTCGTCCAGGATTTTGCGTGTCCTAGCCAACCCTTGTCAGTTAACCGTCGCATGGGCATGTATATATTCATACAGGAAAAAAAAAAGGTAGACTTACAATGCGGTCAGCATGTACCCTGGACTGATACAGTTAACCCTGATACCTGCACCCGCCCACTCGACCGCTAGGGAGGCGGCCAAATGCCGGATCGCCGCCTTTGCTGCATTATACGGTGCCTGAGGCTGTGGAACATTCACAATCGAGCCGGACATGCTTCCTATCAGCACCATGCTGCCGGGAGCCTTGCGCTCCATTAGATGCTTGGCTACCTCAACAGCAAACAGGTATGAGCCGTCAACATTGACTTTCCATAGCTTCTGGATTCGGTCGTAAGGGTAACTGATGGCGTCGAAGTTCTCAGTAAAGCCAGCCGAAGTGACCAGGTGGTCGATCTTGGAGTGCTCGGAGATGATCTGAGAAATGCTGGCGTTGACGGACTCGGGGTCGCCCACGTCTGCATAGTGAGCTGTGATCTTGGGTAGTCTGTCAACTGCATCGTTAGCTTTGCCATCAAGGTAGACTGGAGAACAACTGACCTGTCTAGACCTGGGTTCTCCTTCTGAAATTGCTCCAGCAACTTCTTCGCCTGCAGCTCTGCTTCTTGATCTATAACAGCTTGTCAGTCACGCTTTCAATACGTATTTGAGTTACAAGCATCAACTTACGATTCAAGTCAACAATGGCAAGATCAGAGCCGGATGCAACCAATGCCTGACCCATAACCAGTCCCAGCCCACGCGCACCGCCCGTAATCACCGATACTCGGCCCTCGAGAGAAAATGAGGCCAGCGTCCGCTTGAAATGTCGACCACCCCGGCCTTGCACGATAGGCGTCTGTGGCATCTCATCGTCGGGGGGATACTCGACTCTCACGCTATCATCTGTACGAGCCAACCCACCCTCTGCATCAATGGCAGGTGCCGGAATCTTCTCGTCCTTGTATAGAGGCGTAGAGCATGAGAAGTTTCGATAAGCTTGCTGGGCTCCGAGTCGTCCTGCAGCTGCACCTCCTCTGACGGCCGAGAAGCCGCAGGCCGCTCGAAACAAGGTTCTTCTCGCCGATAGTCTGAACATTGTATCTGCTTACTATCGGTTTTATATGATAGATGGTCGTCTGATGTTGATGGCAGGTTCAGCAAACACAGGCTTGAGACTTATGGCTTGTCCTGCGTATAAACGTCATAGCAAATTAGTAACTGAGCTGCAATTGCATCAAAGGAAAACCGGTCACTCACCTTGTTTGGTATTTACCAACTCCAGCCGAAAGTGGCCAATTGGACAGTCACTTGGCTTACTTGGTCGTATTTCACCAAGGCGGGCAACACCACCGGTCTACGTATAAGATGAACAGGCTGGTAAGAGATGGGAGGAAGACGAGAGAGAGGGTGAGAAGCAGGAACAAGAAATGAAATCTCTTCCCACGGTGGTGCCCAAGGAGAAGAAATATGGGACCTTTCTTCCATCATTGATCCACCGCAAGGTCACTTGAGCAGGAGGGTTTTTTTTGCAAATAATATCGATAACTAAGGAAGCACAACATGGCTTGCGTGTGTGTTTTAACTTACGGGGAAAGGGGGGGAAGGGATAAAAGCGATAAGGATAAAGCTCTCTTAACCTGGCTGAAGCGCGCCTTTTTAACTGGAGCTTAGCTAGAGCTTTAACTGGGTTTTAACTGGAGCAAGGCCAGGGGTTCCGCCTTGACGGTGGAACCTCCGTGGCGCCGGTCGGGCTTCCAGAATGGCGATTCATTTTTTCAATCTGGGAATTTTTTTTATTTCTTCTATCGTCTAGATCTGATGATGGGCTATATATATATACACACACATACACAAAATAAACAAGTGACAAGGTCTTTTGGGGATCCTTTTCTTCTATCCCAAATGGCCGCCATAAAGAACAATTCAGGGGAGGGGAACGTTAAACAAACAGGAACTCATCGTATTCATCCATAATAATGTATAACCCGTTGAAGCAGGAATGCCGTGATGTAGATAGTTGGGCGAGAAATTATAAGTGCTCCCTGGGTACCCGATCAGCCGCGAAGAAAAGCCATCGTGGCCTAGAAGGGACGTTGGTTTGCTATGTTTCTGTTTCCCGAGGGCGATCAGCGAGAAGGAGAGAGATGTGGAGATGCCTTTATTTTTTTTATACGCGCGAGAGAAGATGCCGACAGGATGATTTGAATCCACGGTGGATAACTTTCGTGCGAGATATTTGATAATTCTCCAACACTAGGCGAGACGAGAGCTTTCTTTTCTTTTCTTTCTTTCTTCCCAATTCATTGGCAAACATGTCAATCGTTGACCGTCTTTGATAGCCCGTAAGGGGGTCGCCGAGAACGGCTCCCTTACGACTCAGGGGCCTTCGGCTCAGCAGCGAACTCGACCAGTGCTGTGCCAGCCTTGCAGATATCCTGTAAATCACACTTTGTCAGCACCACTTCTAGACCACCATTATTATCATCAAATAATTTTTTAACTTACCCCTTGTTTATGCACAATTTTCTCCACTACGCCTTTGATGGGACTCCGGATAACCGTTTCCATCTTCATACTCTCGATCACTACGAGAGGTTGGTCCTTCTCCACTACCGCCCCTTCGGCTACTTCCACACGCAGGATCTTGCATGGCATCGGAGCTAGGACGCTGTTGGCCAGTTCTTTGATACCGAGCGCCTTCTCCATCCATTTGGCCCGCGGGACTTTAAGCCTATACTGTCGTCCGTGCTGGAAGGCGGTGATGCTGTCCTCGTCGCGGATGACGGTGGTGTCGAGACGGGTGTGGGGGAAGAAAGAGGTCAGGGCCTTGCCATCGGCAGAGAGAGAGGCAGTGACGTTGCTGAACGTCTTCTCGTTGTTGACGGTCACATCATAGCTGGATGGGCCGGTTTGATGGATCTGTACAGTAGCAGGCGTGGCTTCGGGTGTGTTGGGGGCTGTGGCTTCGACAAAGGTGAACTGGCGCTGCTGGTAGCCTGGGCTGAATCCAACGCCAGCACCAGTGTTTCCAACGGGGTTGCTGAGGCTGGTCCCGGAGATGAAGGTCGAGAGAGCAACCTGGGCCCAGAGCTCTGGCTCAACAGGCGCCTTGGCGAAGAGCTCCTCACGGTGCTTCTCGATGTAGCCGGTCTCCACTTCACCGGCAACAAAGTCGGGGCTCTTGCAAACGCGCTTGAGGAACTCAATGTTGGTAATCGGTCCTGCCACTTCGTACTGCTCTAGGGCCATGGAGAGGTTGCGGAGAGCTTCGGTGCGGTCAGCACCACGTACGATGAGCTTTGAGATCATAGGGTCGTAGTGCGAGGACACTTCGTCACCGGCAACGAAGCCAGCATCGATACGCACATCCTCGGTAGGCTGGGGAGTGCGAACGTGGATCAGTTTGCCTGAGTCAGGCACAAAGTTCTGCTCTGGGTTCTCAGCGTATATTCGGGCTTCGATAGCATGGCCCATAGTGGCCATCTTGGCTTCAACCTCTTCCTGAGTGAGAGGTAGAGGGGCTCCCTCCGCGACAAGCAGCTGCCAGTGCACAAGATCCTGGCCCGTAACCATCTCAGTGACCGGGTGCTCGACCTGCAATCGAGTGTTCATCTCCATAAAGAAGAATTCGCCGGTATCGTTGTCGAAGATGAACTCGACGGTACCGGCACCCTCGTAGCCGACGGCCAGCGCTGCGTCTCTGGCCTTGGCCCAAAGGTCCTTTCTAGTGGCCTCTGGTAGATGTGGTGCCGGTGACTCCTCGAGAACCTTTTGGTGGCGACGCTGGACACTACAGTCTCTCTCACCCAGTGCAACGGAGTTTCCGTGCTGGTCCGCAAACACCTGTACTTCGATATGGCGTGGAGTGATGATGTACTTTTCAATAAGCATGGTATCGTCACCAAAGGAGCTCATGGCCTCTGATTTGGCTGACTTGAGCTGGTCCTGGAACTCGGCAGCGCTGCGGGCGATACGCATACCCTTTCCACCACCGCCCTTGACGGCCTTGATGAGGACGGGGTACTTGATCTTCTCAGCCTCAGCAGCTAGGAAGTTGACATCTTGGTTTGTGCCGTGGTAGCCGGGGACGCAGGGAACGCCAGCAGCAGTCATAATCTCCTTTGAACGACTACAGTTATATATTAGCTTCCTTCTTTTACTAGAAGAGAACGGCCGTCAGGACTCACCTCTTATCACCCATGGCATCAATGGCCGATGGTGGTGGTCCAATGAAGATAAGACCGGCATCTGTACACTTCTTTGCAAATCCTGCATTTTCACTCAACTGTGGCCCCTTCTGTCAGCACCATATCCCAGACCTAAAAGACCAAATAGTTTAAAAACATACAAAGCCATAGCCAGGATGTATTCCCTTGCACCCCTCCCGTTTGGCAATCTCAATTATACGGTCTCCATCCAAATAGGCAGAGGTCTCGCCCAGGTTGAATGCAAATGGCGAGCTCAAAGCATGCTGAGCATGGGCGTCAGGGTCTGTATACAGGGTTGTTACTCGAATGCCATGCTGTCCTGCTGTCCTGCCCACTCGTCTATAGTGTAATATATCCGTCAGCAGATACGTCGATTCGTGCGAGTGGAAAACATCTTACAGAGCAATCTCTCCACGGTTGGCAATAAGGATAGAATGGAGGGATGTGGTACCCTTGCCTGTAGCTGTAGAGGAGCTATGGCGGAGTGATGGGGCAGCGAAGAGGGCACGCTGGGGGATGCGCGAGGCAGAGGCGCGCAGTAGAAAGGACATGATGAAGTTGAAGCTCGTTGGTATCTCGACTAGAAGCCCAACACCATGTCCAAGCAAGAGAGAAACGAGGAGGTTTGGTTGTTGCTTCGCTTCGAGATATCAACAAGCCAAAAGTTCTTCAAAAGGCGAAGAAGAAAACGAAAGCCGCGAAAGTTTCCTTGTTCGGCATTTTGGCGTAAGCGCCGACAGAAAGCGGGCGGTCGGCGACCGTTCCCGGTATTTACCTGGTATTTACGCATCGGATGGGGAAACCGAAGCCACGGGACACTCGGCTCACCTTCCGTATATGTACCATCACATGACTTTATGCCTATTACGTCAGACAAGGAAAATGTTTTTTTTTTTTTTTTTTTAATTACAGCAGTGCGCGTACTTACCATCATCAATTGACCACGCCATCCTGGTGCCCGGGCATTGACGCTGGATCATATACTTGTTTATGCAATAGTCCTACTGTCTGCAAGTGCGGAGCCGCCATTAGTACGACGTACAGCTACTTATCATTTACCCGTCTACCCCGCCTTCAACTCATGAGCCGCGATGTCCGGCGAGGAAGAATTTGACGAATTTATGGAGGATGAGTTCCTCTGGATAGATGCCGGAGACCCTCATTTTACTGTGAGTGAGATTGATATTTAGAATTCACAAACAGGATGCTAATGAAGGGTGGCAGGATGAAATGGCCATGCTGATCAATCCAGACCCGGTATTCCTCGACGACGAAGCTCTCTATGACGCGCTGGACAGCGATACAGACTGGGAATACCTTTCAGACGAGTACTATGACAATGATCTCCCTCTCAAACTACGTCGTCGACAGGAGAAAGCAGCTGCAATAAAAGGGAAGCGTGAGAGCCAGAAACCAGCTGCGCTTGATAACACTAGGTACTATGGTGTGTCATGGTCGGCTGGCCCGCGAGTAGAGAACAATGGACCGCTTTATCAGCCTGGAGAGGGGGTGAAGGTATCTCTTCTTAAGAATTGGCGCGAGATCTTTCATGAGTCGAAGCCAAAGACGAAGCAGGTAAACGAAAAGATAAAGCACGATGGTCATATTAGGGCGACGTTTCATGACCGACTATCCACAAGGCCGCGCCGAGACAAAAGGGGAAATGTGCCAGTAAATGGCGCGGTCGAGATAGGCGTTGACACGGAGGCAGAGGGTGATGTACCGGAGATGGACGTGGAAAGCAACGGCTTGGTTCTTGATAGTACCCCTCCTGTGACTATACCACTTCCACCGTCGCGATTTGGCAGCCTTGATGGTGATAATGAAGTAAAAAAGCCAGCGAAGAGAGGCCGTGGTCGCCCGCGTATTCGAGGCGGTGGCTCGCGGCTGAAAGAAGTCACTCCTGCCCCTGAAGAGCAAAAGCGTGTTCCAGGACTCGAAATCGTACCACCATCACTGCCTATAAATGTGGAAGAATATAAGGTGATATCCGCTCCGAATGCGCCAACACGAGGACGGAAGAGATCAGCCGTAGAACAGGCTACCCCTGCCCCTGTTAATGGTGGCCCTGGCCCAAGCTCTAGCCCTGTAAGGAATCCAAAGCGTAGGAAGCATGCCGTTACGAATGGTGTGAGTACCGCGGCATCTTCCCGGCCTACGCGATCTTCAACAAGGCGGAAGTAGGTATGCCATAGTCCTTTTTTTCCTTAAGGTCTTGCTGTATTATGCAATATCGTGTACTATCTTTACATAGTCGAATCTCAAATCTCTGTTTCCTTTCAATTTTTCTTTTTGCGGCCATCCCATTATCCAGGGTATATACAATCCTTCATATAAACTAGGAAAACTCCTTGTTGAACGCTCTGCCAATAACCATTCGTCTAATCTCGCTGGTACCTGCACCGATCTCATACAACTTTGCATCCCGGAGTAGTCGGCCGGCTGGGATCTCATTGATATATCCGTTGCCGCCCATCAGTTGGATTGCGTCAAGAGAGCATTCTGTTGCACGCTCAGCAGCATAAAGGATGGAGCCGGCACAGTCTTGTGTTCGGACCTGCGTTCCTTCGGGAGAAACAGCGGACTGATCAACTTGTCTGGCAGTGTTGTAGGTGAAAGCCCGAGAGGCGGCGAGTTTGGTGTACATGTCTGCCAGCTTTCCTTGGATGAGCTGGTTGTGTGCAATCGGCATTCCGAACTGGGTACGGGTGTGGGTATATGGAAGTACAAGGTCAAGACAAGCTTGCATAATACTGTGGAGGCCCATTAGCACCAGTTTTGTGCTCTATAACCTATGTTTAGACGGAATGACTTACCCTAGCGGTCCAGCACTAAGAACAAGGCGTTCGAGGTCAAGTCCTTCCATCAATACTCTTACACCTTTGTTGACTTTGCCTAGGACGTTGGCGTGTGGGACAAAGACATCCTCGAAGATGAGTTCACCAGTGTTGGATCCTCGCATGCCGAGCTTATCGAGCTTGCGGGCGCAAGAGAAACCCTTGAAGTCCTTCTCGACCACAAAGGCAGTGATACCCTTCGAGCCGGCATCAGGTTCCGTTTTGGCGTACACGACGATGAAGTCAGCATCGGGGCCCTGGAGTTCCCTGGTCAGCCGGTAGATCTGATTCGTAGTATTAAGTCCAAACCTACGTTTGTAATCCACATCTTGGTACCATTGAGGACGTATCCGCCGTCAACAGCCTTGGCCTTGGTCTTCATGCTCACAACATCAGAGCCAGCAGAATGCTCGGACATTGCGAGCGCTCCAATCTTCTCTCCGGAGATGAGGCCAGGTAGAAAGCGCTCTTTCTGCTCTGGCGAGCCATTGAGGCACAGCTGGTTGACACAGAGCTGCGAATGAGCAGCGTATGAAAGCCCGATGCTTCCTATAACGCGTTAGAGATCAGAGAAAGAACTAGATAGCCGTAGTGTGCATACCTGAAGCACGGCTAATCTCCTCCATGACGACACAGTGTGCCTGATAGCCCATTCCCAGGCCACCATACTTCTCCTCAGCAGTGACACCCAGGAAACTTTATCCGTTAGCTATCAACTCGTACTTTGTATCGCGGAACGGTGGTAGCTACCCAGCTTCGCCAAACTTCTTCCACATCTCCGGTGGGAATTGATTCTCTTGGTCCGTCCTGGCAGCGACCTCCTCTGGTATCTCGCGCTCTAGAAGCTATCAGCGCATGATCCTCCATACGTCGACGGCACTGAGTATACGTACTGGCAAACTCTCGGACGGTATCCCGAAGCTCGTTCAGCTCATCTTCTGTCGGCGGGGCGAAGCCCTGAGGGTGTTTAGTAGATGCTGCCCGCCATGCTGCAACAGGTACAAGCTGTCTGCGGGCGGCCAGGGTAGCTCTGGAGGCGGTACGACCGATAAAACGAGGGAGGATAGGCGATGCCATGGTGAATGGGCTGTTATGGTATACTCAAGCTAGAACGGGCAAAAGCAGATGCAAAAGATAAAGAGTGAAGAAGTCGAAGAAGAAAAAGAAGACGAAGTTGCAAGTTGCCTCTTTCGGTGCCTCGGCTGACTTTCCCTTTCGGCCCTGCGGGCGCGGCTTGCGGCGGCAATACTGCCCGGTAACGCCAATACGCGTGGGGCTCTTTCGGCAAACTTCCCAGCTTTATTTTTCCGGCGTCAAAACGTCCTGAAGAGGAAATCTTTTTCGACGTCGCGATATCAGAGCAGAGAAATAACAGAGAGAAAGCGTGCAGGGAGGAATTGAGCACCAGAAAACAGTCGAGCATGATAGTAGGATAAGAACTTTGCTTCTATCTTATTTTTATCACGAATCGCGATTTCAGAGAGAGCAGTTGGAGCTTGATCATGGCTCTCCGCGCCCCCTCAGCAGGGCTTCTGCATAGCATGCGATGCGCTCTCAACCAGCAGCTCCCTCGACGAGCAGCTCTCACGCTGAGAGCAGGATCTAGCTATCATGTTAGGGGCGTTGCCAGCTTCACGCACGCTCACCAGGCGTCTGCCATCTCCGTGCTGCCCACCACCGTCGATACCTCGTCCGCAGACTTCCAGGAGAACGCCAAACAGATGGAAGAAGTCCTCAAGAAGATGAACGACCTGCACGCCAAAATCGCCCAGGGAGGCTCTCAGAAGGCTCGTGATAAGCATATTGCGCGTGGGAAAATGTTGCCCCGAGACAGAGTGACCGCTCTTATCGATCCGGGCACCTCGTTCCTCGAGCTCTCTCCGCTGGCAGGCCATGAAGTCTACCCGGGCGACGATGTGCCCTCCGGCGGTATCATTACCGGAATCGGCATGGTCGAGGGTGTCAACTGCATGATCGTTGCCAACGACAGCACCGTCAAGGGCGGTACCTACTACCCCATCACCGTCAAGAAGCATCTCCGTGCCCAGGCCATTGCTCAGGAAAACAAGCTACCCTGCATCTACCTCGTCGACTCTGGCGGTGCCAATCTGCCCCATCAGGCCGACGTCTTCCCGGACAAGGAGCATTTCGGTCGTATCTTCTTCAACCAGGCCCGTATGAGCTCGCTCGGCATTCCTCAGATCTCTGTGGTTATGGGCCCATGCACGGCCGGAGGTGCCTACGTTCCCGCCATGTGTGACGAGTCCATCATCGTCGAGAACCAGGGAACCATTTTCCTTGCCGGCCCGCCGCTGGTCAAAGCGGCTACTGGTGAAATCGTCTCCGCCGAAGACCTTGGTGGTGGTAAACTGCACTCCACCATCTCCGGTGTGACCGACTACCTGGCCGTCGACGACGCCCATGCCCTGACCTTGGCCCGCAGGTCGATATCGAATCTCAATTGGCCCAAGACCACTTCGCCGTTGACACCCACATCAGCTTCTACCGAACCCATCAAGGAACCCCTGTACCCAACCTCCGAACTCGCCGGGATAATAGGCACCAATCTCCGTCGCCAGGTTGATGCACACGAAATTATCGCCCGCATCGTCGACGGCTCTGAATTCTCCGAATTTAAACGCGACTACGGCACCACCCTCGTGACTGGCTTTGCACGCATTTACGGCACCCAGGTCGGAATCGTCGCCAATAACGGAATCCTCTTCTCCGAATCGTCGCTCAAGGGCGCACATTTCATTGAGCTCTGCACCCAGCGAAACATCCCCTTGCTCTTCCTGCAGAATATCTCCGGTTTCATGGTCGGAGCTGATGCTGAAAAGGGCGGTATTGCAAAGAACGGTGCTAAGCTGGTTACCGCCGTTGCCTGTGCGGATGTTCCCAAGTTCACTGTCGTATATGGCGCTAGTGCCGGCGCAGGTAATTACGGAATGTGGTATGTTCAAACAGACATTATATCCGTTAATTGATATTACCTTGAGCAGATGCTAACTATTATACTTTTATTGCAGTGGCCGTGCCTACTCGCCTCGCTTCCTATTCATGTGGCCCAACGCAAAGATTGGCGTCATGGGCTCTGAACAGCTAACCAATGTCATGGCCGCTGTTGGCAAGAGTGTTGACCCTTCGCTACGTGACCGTATCGACGCCGAGAGCGAGGCTGTCTTCTCGTCCGCGCGTCTCTGGGATGACGGTGTTATCCCCCCGGCCGATACGAGAAAGGTGTTGGGACTCTGTCTAGCTGCCTCCGTCGGCGGACGTTCCGAGGATGCAAAGACCAAGTTTGGTGTTTTCAGAATGTAGATTGAGCCATTCACCTTGTTTTCCTTCCGTGTCCTCCCCCTTTGCTTTTTATTATATATATTCAACGTTTCTTTTTCTTTTGAAGGTGGGATCCTTAGGCAGAAAATAGAATCATGTACAATTACAGTGCTCAGTGTACGGTTTTGAGGTTGAAGTCTGCTCCATTTACACGACCCAGCATGATAAATCTATTCCATAGATATAGATAAAAAAACAGTATGAAAACAAAAAAAAAATAAAAATAAAAAAATAAAAAAAATGAAAGATAATGTAACGACTTCGGGATATCAAACCAGACGATGTTAATAAAAGACAGGATATATAAAGAAATATAAAGAAACCAAGCCAAAGGGGCAGGAAAGTGAATATATATACACAGGATAAAAAGATCCCCATACTTTTTTTTTGCCTGTGATGGCTCGTTGGAATGTTTTGCTGGAGTCATGATGATATCGTAATGAAGTCTGCTCTTGCGCGCTCTCTCTTCCTTCTTTTTCGTCTTTCATCTGACAAGGAAAGGGGGAAACTGGGGGGGGATATCCAAGAACAGGAAAATATAACAAAGGGGAAACTTTTCAGGAAGTTGGCGGTAATTTTTTTATAGAAACAGTAATATGTATATCACGAAATGAACGGTGTAGTGGATGGAGGATCGACCCAGTAAGACAAAGGTAGAAGATGTAAAAATCTTAAGAGACGTAAAATAGTAAGTAGTAGGTGATATCCAAAAAAATGGCGAAAAGAATAATCAAAATAGCAAACCAGTGATGCGGAAGGGGTATATTAAGGCGGACAACAACAAAACAAAGGACGAATCACTTGCAGGACATAGGTGAGGACAGCAGGAGGGCAAGCGAAAGGATGGGAGAACAAACGGACGGTCAAAGAATCACACAATCGGTCTTCATCTTTGTCCTTCTCCGGTTTCGTCGCTTGTCTGCTCCTCCGCCGGCCTCTTTCTTGCGACTGCCCCCATACTCTCGATCTCGATCTTTGTTGGATCGGATATCCTTCCTTATGATCTGTCGACATAGGTCGATAAACGCTTCGTCGACGTTCGCTCGTCTTCGCGCCGAGGTCTCGTAGTATGGCGCATTCCCCCACTGCTGGGATAGAGCGAAGGCGCGCGACCGCGAAACAGCGCGATCCTCTTCGAGATCTGACTTGTTACCGACGATGACGATGGGGACTTTTTCATCGTCTTTGATACGGATGATTTGTTCGCGGAGTTCTTGCAGTTCGTTGAGCGAGGACATGCTTGTTATGGAGAAAACGAGGAGGAAGCCTTCGCCTTGTTTCATGTAGAGTTCCCTAAAACGGATTGCCTTGTGAGTCGCTGTTGTAGAGCGTTGGGCTTGGCTTGAGGGGTGAGAGGGAGTTCGCTGCGTGTATCTGGTGTGTTTGAGGATAGTCAAGGATAAGGTTTCATGGAGATTGAATTACCTCATTGCGGCTATCAATCACTTTGTTAGTCTGGGGAGGATGTTCAATAGTGCCAGTTTTGTGCTGGACAAGACTCACTGAACTGTTCCGTTCCAGCTGTATCCAATCTATGGTCCATCAGTCAATATGATTGTTGTGTGTATAGGATCTCTGCACCGTTCGGGCCATGTTCGAAGAGAGGGATACGTACATTTCCAGAAGGCATGGTCGTCCCTATAAGCAGGATAATTAGCGGGCGTCCAGAAGAGATTGAGAGGCGGAAAGAGGACAGGTCAAGACTCACATCCACCGCAAGGACTTTTCTATATGAATCCTCGATAGTCGGATCATAACTCTCAATCCATATATTCTGTACAAACTGGGCTGGGGTGAACCGTCAGACAAGCGGTTTGGCGCAAAGAGTCGAGTGGCGTGAGTTTCCTTACCAGTCAAACAGCTCTTCCCAACTCCACCTGCAGTTAGAAACGATAAGTAAGCATTCCTCCAAGCAGTATTATCGAAGATAGAAGAAAGAAAAAAGAGTTCCTACCAGCTCCCAGCACAACGATGTGATATTCCCTCCTGGAATGCCGTAAATGAAAGTTAGCCTCGTTATTCGCTGGGAGTGTAGGGGAGGAGTGTTTGGTCGAAGAGTCAAGAGAAGCGCGCAGATACGGCACCGGCACAGACATCCTTAGGCCAGTAAAAGCAAGAAAAAGAAAAGAAAGGGCAACACAGGAGGCAAAAAAAAAAAAAAAAATAGGGCCATACCGTGGCTGACTCTTTGATGCCATCTGAAAGGGCAAGCTCGAATAGCTTTTATTAATAGGGGCTAGGAAAAAAAAGGGAGAGGAATTCTTGGAGAAGACGCGGCGTGGTGGATCGATGGATGCTACGTTAAGAGCCAGGGCAACCAGAGTAGCTTCGACCTTTGATGTGACAGGGAAGAGAAAAAAAAAAAGAGGGAAGAGTAGATAGAATATGATCTGACCCTTCTGTCCGAACGATGTCTTCTTATTCTTCCTCCCTGCAAGTGTCCTTTTTTCTCTTCCTGTCTGTCTGTCTTGTCACTCTGTCTTGTCGTCTGAGAGGGGGATATGGCCGCTGAAGCGTAGCACAGCCGCAGGTTCACAGGCAGCCCGCAGAAACCACAGGGAAGCGGAAGAAAAGATAGAAAAAGAAGAAGAAGAAGAAAAAGAAGAAAAGACCGCCGGGCTGGCCAGTTCAGACAGGTAATATCGGAGAGAGAAGAACCAGAGCTGCAACGGCAAATGGGAATCGACAAGCCCAATTTCCCTCCCCGAAACAACCGGACAGTTTGGCAGGTCGAGCGGGCAAGGGGGACCGAGATGCCCTGTTCAACAGGAAAAGAAAAGAAAAAAGTATCAACTGCTTTTTTTCTTTCCTCTCCCCCAGCTCAACGGCGAGCTAAGTCGACCGGAGCAGGGCGAACTGAGGTTGGTGGACTGCGTGCACTGCCAGGAATTATTATCATATATATCGACCATTCGCGTATGAGCTCGTCCAGGGTCCAAAAGGGGGGGACGAAAGGGAGGGTGAGGGAAGATGTTCGTCCGTCTGGCCTGGTCGAGGATCTTTTTTTGAGGAGCGCAGGATGGGGGATGTTTCAGCGGCAGGACAGCTTGGGTGAGTGCCTTGTCACGGCTTGTTATCCGTTTCTCGACTATCGTGTAGTATTCGTTCTGTCTCTCTCGCTCGTCTCGAAGAACTCCTTCGTCTTCTTCCTTGTGGGAGAAGAAAGAGATGGGAGGAAGAGAAGGCCAGAAAGGAGAGAGAAAAGACAAGCTAATTACCTAAGAAGGTTACCAGGCGGGAACTAAAGAAGAAGAAGAAGAATGAAGAAGAAGGACTACATCCTTTTTTTTTTCGATATGTTTTCTTTTCTTCCCCCAAATACATAGTAAGAAGAAGAGAGAGAATAAGAAACTATCAGGGTTGTCGAATTTACTGTAATATCAGGCATCGAACCAGTTCAGGCGTCTTCCAACACCCCGGCACCGGCTCCCTCCTCTACGCCGTATTGGTGGCCATCTACACGCTATACAAGCCCAGTAGAGAGATCACCACCGCTAATACATGGGGATCTAACGCTGGCCAACCGTCGTGCGGCGCACCCTTGATAGGCCCGGGGAATCCTCGTTCGACCGGGGAAGAGAAGAAAAGAAAAGAGGAGGTAGATATATAGTTCGTTACTTATATATGTACAAACGGCCGGGCCCATGCAGACCAGATTGAGACGGGATCAGAGATAATAATAGTCATGGCACTAAGACAGGTCGATATCAAACCCTTCTTTTTCGTCCTCTCTCCCCTCATCTTACTGGGTCGTCTGGTGCACGTTGTGAAATGAAGCCGTCTCCTTTCCGTGACTGACGGAAAGGAAGGGTGGCGCCATGTCCGGCCATCTCCTGATGATATATCGTATTAGCGCGCTGTACATACTATGTATATCCGTTAGTTACCATACTCCACAAAACAGGTATCGTCTGCGCCGTCAAACTGTTCGGTCAGCTTGGCCGGCGCCGTCCGTGTCCGGCTCCCCAGCGCCTTGAAAACATGCGGAAACACCAGCTGGTCCACGTCTCGAGCCCAGAGGAAGTCGAGGTGCTCGTAGTGCGCAATCTCCGTGGCTGTGGTGTGGCTGGGGAGTTCCTCCAGCATCACGTCAATGTCCACCAGGCTGTCTGACCCGCCATAGACTAGCACGATGGGTGTCTTGATGTTCTTCGTCGGGAACTTAGCCGGCTTGTAGAAGCGTGTCTTGGCCGCTATGCTGAGCATCGACCCGGCGTCGTCGTCGTACATCTGGAAGCTCTTGTTGCGGATGATCTGGAACCAGTGCACGACTGACTTGGTGCTGGTCGACGAGTACAGATGTACGTATGCCGCCAGCTTCTGCGCCGTGCTAATGTTCTTGCCGCTCCAGTTGAAGAGGAACGAGAGGGCCGCGTCGATGATGCGCACAAAGATGGGCGGGTAGAGGATGGCCTGCCACATGGCGGTGGAGCTGAGGATGCTTCGTCGGCCAAACGCAAGAAACATCACGTCCGGAGAAGCTTTCACCAACGCATCCACTACCCCGTTACTCAGTCCTGCGGGCGACATGGCCGGTGCCAGGGCAATGAATAAGTTGACCTGCTGGTTCAGCGTAGGATGGATGGACAGCGTTGCAAACGCCTGTGCCGTCCCCTGTGAAAATCCAATATACGACAACGACGGCTGCCCGGTGACCGAAAGGATATAGTCGATGCTATCCGGAATATCGTGAAACGCAAACTGGTCGATGGAGAAGTTCCAGAATGCGCTGTAAGCGGGGGACATCGTCGTCGACTTTTTGGAGTACTTGTTTCCCCGGTTATTTCCAAACCAGACGTCGTAGCCCAGCTCTACCAGCCGGAAGGGCAAACATCTGCTCTCTTCCGTCAAACACACCCACACCTCGCTGCTCATCAGCAGTCCGTGATGAAGGTATACGACCGGTTTCCGAGGCGTCTCATTGCCGATATCATTCCCACTGGCGTAGGTATGTGGCTCATCCTTCCGCCACGGAAGCCTATGGAGTCCTAGCAGGTATCCATCCCTCGTCTGGACTACATGCTCCTCAGTTTCGTAGCCAAAGATGGCACAGAGCTCGGTGAACTCTGACGCCTTTGCAATATCTGCAGATATACTCTCCTGCTTCCGACGCTTGGGCTGAGCAGCAGACATCACATGGAATAGCCGCTTTGACTGACGATAGCAGATATCTATGACTGGTTGAGCTGTAGACCGTTGTTAGCCTTGCAGCCTTGAAAATTATAGGGGGTCAATCCGAGCCAACTCACGAAGGCAGAGAGTGATAATATGAATGATCCCTTCCAGAAATACCAGCCCCAATGAGATAAAAAGAGCTATATACTCAGTCCTGTTCATTACCCCATCAGTATCTTCCTGTATGAGTATCACCCAGTCTTCTGCCAACTTACCATAATAGACGGCCAATAAATGGAACGCGTGCCATCGTGAGCCAAAAACTCCCCAACCACCCGGGGAAAAAAGAAAGACAGAAGAAGAGGGCCCCAACCTTTGGCCCTGGCAAGTCACCGTCTATATAATCCTTCTTCCCTCCTCTTCTTCCTCTTCTTCCTCTTCTGCTTCTCTTGATTTTTATATCTTTTAGTATCTTTTTCGCATGTGAAAACAAACTTTACGTCATCGAAAACACGAGATTTGGCTTAGTCATGTTTCACGTGATCCAACCTCTAGCCCAATCAGGATGCGCATAAAGTAAAAGCAGAAAAAAAGGAAGATATAAAAGATGTAGCTCAGCGGGCGTTGTAGAGCGCAGACAAGCCAAAGCAACCCTTCACAGTGCCGCAATGCCGAGTTCGTGTAAAGACCTGCGTACGTTGGACCCGATTCTGCTTGCTCGTGCCACGGTCATGAGCGTTTCGCTTGGCTGCACCATATGACAGATTGATCCATATGACACGAACCGTTACAGAGGACAAGTTGCTAACGAACGAACAGGCCAGGCGCTGGCGGAATGTCTGCAGGAATCAGACTGTATCATGGTCCAGCGGAATACACCTCAGGAATGTTTGCGTTCTCCCAACCTCGAGCAACTGCCCGTAAAGTGTCAGCAGCTGAAGAAGGGTCTTAGCGAGTGCAAGTACGCAGCTTTTCTCCCCCCCCCCCCCCCCCCCCTCTGATGTTCCTGAACCATGGCTAATCGAACGCAGGAGAGGAATGGTAGACATGCGCAAGCGATTTCGCGGCAACCAGCCCTTCCATCTTGCCAAGGAGACGGATAGTGCTACGGGCGAGGTAGTCGAGAAGAAGAAACCGGTTCCTCAACTGTACGCTGGACGACCGGCGTTCCAGGCCGTTCAGGAGATAAGTGGTGATGAGGTGCAGATGGACCCTGAGAAGACAAGGGGTTTGTAAAACGTCTATCCTGGACGGTTTATCTTGTGATTGTGGGTATTATAGATGCTCCTCGTGCAGGTGGGGTTTAGACTTGCATCTTTTCTCTGAAGCGTCGGGATATTATGAGCATGGCGTTTTTATTTATTTTCTATCATTATTTTTTGGGCATACTCTCGTCTCAAGAAATTGTACAATATGGATCGACCAGCGGCTGCTATAGATATGTTTATGTATTTCACGGTTCTAAGAAAAAGTCATATCGTCACTTTTCATGTATTATACATCAGATGAAACAGTAATTGGCTAGTCCGCTTGCCATGGATGAATGATAAAGGGAGCTGAAAGGTAAGTGTCAAATCGAAATTCGGTCGAAAGGAACACTCCAAATGCTGAATTTCTTTTGTTTACCCCATAAATAAGTCCATTCTTGTTTTTTTACCCTGTTCTATTGCTCTTTTTTCGTGAGGCTGCTTTTCATCGGCGGTGCAGAATACAACCAAACCATCACAAATGCGAGGAAACCCCCGATAACAGACCATAGACCGGCGATCCAAACCCATCCACCGCTAATCCGCCAGCTTCGTGGCCACTCATCATGTGCGAAATGTCGTACTGTAACTTCGTGCTTTTCCTCGATGTAGGTGAAGAAGGGCCGCTTGTAATTGACACGGAAGGAAAAGATGCCATGCTGGTCAGGGAGGGTGAAGGAGGTTCTGTAAATGGCAGCATGTTCCGTTCTGTCAACTGGTTGAAGGTTAAGACGGTGGAAGGGAGATAGCATGGTGAATTCTAGCTGAATTTCATCATTTTCTGGAGCCCAAAAGGGTATCCATTGATCATAGCTATACTCCGAAAGTTCGATTGTGAATGTCTAGCGTTACATGTTAGTACGGGATTGATAAGCCAAAGAGGGAATGATACGAACCACATCGTTTTTGATACGGTAAATTGATGGGTTAAGCTCCTGCGGTCCCGACTCTATGTTACTCTCTTCGTTCAGGTAGTGTTCCACCCGAGTCACTTTGATCACACCTGTCTCCTGGAAGGTCCAGGCAGTAAGTTGCTGGGCAAACTGTCTGTTGGAGGTCTCAACCTTCTCGCCCTTGGGCACCTTTACCTTGGCAGAAAACCACTCATCCTTTAGACTGTCGACTGATCCGAGGACAGTGATTCTCGCCGAGTTCCTTGCCTGCATAGCTGTGGCTAATGAGAGCTGCGAGCCTGTTGGGAGCTTTTGGTCAATTGATTGATCATCATCCCTCTTGTCATAGCTATATGCCGTTGCGGGAGCCCGGATAATAGGAGCCAGCAGAGGACTGTTGTTGCCTAGAGATTGCCCAGCAACATTTGGAAAAGCTAGAATGCCTTCTCCGTTGAAGAATGGTTTAGTGTCGGGGCGTAAGCTGCCGGGACGGGGCAGAAGGAGAACGTTATGTTTCTCTGCAGCAGATATGGTATCATAATTAAAGTGGTCCACCACAATTGGAGCTCTATCCGGCGAGAGATGTATGTCGAGTTCGAGAAGAAGGGAGCTGATACCACTGGACGTCGGAGCACCGCCAGAGAGGGCAATTAAAATGTTTCCGTCATCGTTGACAAAGTCCAGTAACGTTTTCGGCGTCAGAGCAGGCCCCAATCCTACATACAGCAAAGACATTCACATTAGCATTGTGACCGTACACTTGTCTATTTTCTGGTTGCCGCACCTTTGGATTTTGGTGGGAGGAGTATGAGATGGTCGTAAGCTCTTGATCCAAGATGGAAGAGAGAGAGCTTGATGTTCTTCGGCGACTCGAACGTAAGTTTATACCCTCGACCTAGGAACAACGCATGCATGTTTAGCCCAAACTGGCCTTCGATAGACGAGGCAGGGTTACATATTAATATGCAGAAAGACTAACTTTCCAAGTCTGCCCAGAAGGTCGAAAATAACTCCCTTTCAGAGTCGTCTTCCTGGATAACAAGAAGCCTATCTCCAGTACTGCTTAGGGCGTGTACCGCTGCGCTGTATATACTCAGGCATAGAAAGGTAAGCAGCCACTTCATCGTGGAGCTTGCGGATATATCAAGAGAACGGGCAAGAGGATGAGGGCAGACACAATTGATTGCTCTGAGGGTGGCGACAAAGACAGCTTTCAACAGAGACCTTTATGCGATGGTGGCATGAGTATCATCGCGATCCCCAGTCGTTTGCTGTAAAGAAGTTGTAATAGCTCGCCGGCGCATTCGATGTTTCGTCGTTGTAGAAAAGAGCAACGTGTAAGGTCGCGGCAAAGAGAGAAGCGCCAAGACGCTGAGCAAGCCAACCACAAACGACGAAAAGCAACTTCGAACTTCGAACCAAAATAGCCAGAAACAAAACAGCAAAGCAAGCAGAACCGCCTGTTGGAACGAGAGCGACGGGACAGTTCGATATCCGCTTGGTTCGACATTTGCCTCGAGGAGCCAGATATACCATCTCACGACTCAATTGGCACGTTGACAGCCCGCTTCACCGAATTCTTTCCACTCCAAAAACCAGGTCACCATGTCAAAGCCCTTTTTCTTCGCTCAACCATTCCGCTATATGCGATGGGCCTCATATGAGAAACCGGCTATCTTCTACTCGATTGTCATCGGCTCTCTCGGGCCTGTAGCACTCTTCGCGCTGCCCCCAATCAGACGATACTTCGGCGACGTTGACCCCGCGGAAATCCCTTTCTCATACCCAGGTATGTTCCCTATTCCTGCTTGGCTGTTTCTGCAACTTGGACAAGAAGCAAAATGCTGACCATAACACTTTTCTGCTGATAGTCCCCGCCGGACCAAGGAAGATACCTCAGGGCTACGATGATGAGTAAAACTGTCAAAATATTGATTTCTTCGGCGGCTTAGTTGCGAAATAACGACATTATTCCAGAATCCCAGTCATCTTTCTAGCCGATTCCTTTGGTGTTGCCGTTATAACTCATATCTCTCTCCATGCCATTACAAGACAAAAAGCTATGTTGAAGACCCCAGGGACGAGCCAACGGGATATCATTGAGTAGGACGGCAATGCAATTACGGAGAAAGAGAATAATGGCATAGCCACCTGAATAACCCACTCCTTTCCGGCTATTTTTCTTTTGACTTATCTTTTGTACATATATGTTATATTAGCGGCCATCCAGTTGGTTCTTCAGTTCAACTTCTCGCTAGTAAAGTATGTTCCCTACATGCTGGTTACTTGAGCTAATAAATGTAGGATAATGAAGGTAGTATAGGTTATGATAGGTAGAGTTGGTATTAACATACATCCTAAAAGTCTGGATAGCGAGACACAGTTACTAGTATATAAGAGTAAAGTGATGTAAATTTAATAGGCTATGCTAATCGGAAAAATCTGGTAAATCGAACGCCTCTGATGCAACTATCTAGTATAGGAGGTGTTATCATAGCTATGATCTTTTGTTTCTCTGCATAACGGCAGCGATATAAAGGCCAATGCTCCGGAATGTGATGTAAGCCATCATTGAAAAGAAGACCAGAAGGGCTAATCAGTAATGCTATCAAGGGTATGTATATAAGAGGTGGATCGGGCGTGCGTAAGAATATGACGAGAAGGTCCAATTATTAAAGAGTATGACCACACAATATCGAACAGACAAACAACAGCATGTAAGACGGTAGAGGAAATGCACGAATATATCGAAAAAGCCCTAATGTACCCATCGAAAATGGGCCCAACTGTACACTTAATCAATGGCACGGAATTTCGAGGAGATGTGAGGCCGGGAATGATAAAATTTGTAGGAATAAAGAGAAACACGATGGTAGAAAAGATTCAAAACAGCCAGCCCAGTTTTAATAGTTGTGTCCTTGATATCAAATGGAGAGGGGGAAAAAAAGGGAATAGATTTTAAAGAGAAACGTGACCCAGGGATAAAAACCTAAAGTGGCAGGCAAGAGTTGGGCTCCAGGGGATATTGAAGCCTCAACGGGCTCGTATGGTGATATATAAAACAGTTGATTTCGAATGAAATCGTTCAAGTGTCCAACTCAGCGCAACAATCCAGTGGAAGTGGGCTCCAAGGTAGAAGTGCTCCAATATCATCATTAGTCATTCATTCATTCATATGTAGCCCGGATTAAACAAAGCATGTCCCATATGTAGCCACTGTAGCCGGCTGAGTGGAAATGGGATCGACTACACAGATTATCCACATAACAAGAAGATTGCCCAGCGATGTGATGTAGGATAAAGAGGGTAGCTAAGAGGGTTGGTTTAACACAGGCTTGAAAAGATACATGTCCTAGAAGGAAAGAATAAGACGTCGGTGCTATGCATCTAGTGGCGAGGGGCTGGATTCCTTGGGTGTCCCCGGTCAGGCTGACGGTCCGGGTAAGATTCCACGGGATATCCTGTCTCCATTATTCTAGGGTCTGGTCCACTCGATGGGGGGTATGGAGATGTAGACTGGCCAACAGGGGAATAATCACGGTCATTTTCATATCCTTGTCCAGAGTAGCGAGGCTGTGACATTCCTCCGGGGTAGGCATAGGCGCCCTGGCTGTGGATATATGACTGCTCAGTGGTTGTTACAGGTGGAGTTGATTGATTTGAATAGGGGGCTCCGCCACTGGGGGCATAACCACTGTCTGGTGTATACCCAGGCTGGTTACCATAGTCTTGATAGCTTGACGGAGATTGGTGAGCAGGGTATGATTGGGAAGGTGGATAAGTAGAGTATGATGGCTGTTGTGACTGCTGTGGACGGGAGGATGGATATGGTCCTGGGGGCCGAGTCTGACGAACGGAAGAGGAGTCATAATTTGCTGGTAATCTGTTAGGCGCTGGTGGGGTATTAAAATTATCATAGTAAGTACCTCTAGGCTGACCACCTTCTTGTCTGCGGAGGACCTCGACATCCCAACGCCTTGAATCTGCTTTCAGATCCGCAATCATTTCCTATTCCACAATATGGAGTTAGAATGATATAGATAATAATATACAAGAGATGTTGATCACCTACGGTTGTCAAATTTCGGTAAGCACGAATGAAATATCCTGGGCGTCCCTGTTTATCAGTGTCAGTAATTTCAGTCCAGGCCCCCAGATGGATAAGTTTACGAGGTAAAAAAGGATATCTTGAAAGAGAAGATAAAAAGGGAAAAAGAGAGAGGCCGACCTGGTGAGTCCCAGGCCTCACGAGGGCATCCCGTCCAAGGTAGCGGCAAATATCTGCTTGGATAACCTCACGGCTGATACCATCTTGATCGATAAAATATTCATTGAGTCGCGTCTGAGGCTCCGGGTCATCATATCTTAGGGGTTGTCGCTGCGCCATTTTATATCCAAGGCACAAAAGAAAGAGAAAGAAAGAAAAAAAGTAACTAGGTCCTGGTTTTCACTGCTGGAGGGAGAGAAGTGGTCCAAGTCCTGGTGGCCTGATGTACAGAGAAGATCCAAGTTTATGTCTCCAGGAGATCTGAAGTGGGTCGAAGATGTGGTAACGGGAAGAGAGGTATATGATTCCCGATATCTTTACAAAGGGGATCCCAGGTGAGAACAAGAGAGAAATAGAAGTATTGAGAAGGAAAATGAAACCCTCTTGGAAGAGAAAGAAGTTAAGAGTAAAAAAAGAGGTCAAGTGCCACACAGGGAAAAATCCTCGTAGGCTAATAATGTATATATATATGTCCTTTGGGTTTGGTGGGCTCACAGGCAGAGAGATATCTTGAGCACAATCTTTGACTTGACAGTGGAGATGTCTGTTTTTTTTTGGGTTATTTTTTGGGTTATTTTAGTTGTGTCTTCCCTAAAAGAGAGATGCGTTAAACCGGACGCAGGGGAGGGATTCCTTGGGTACGGGTCCAAATGGCGGATGTAACAGTCTTTTGGGGTCCAAATATAATATACCCACAACAATACCGGAAGCCGTGCAACTGCTCCTCAATAAGGTATGATAATGTTGTAGTATTGGTAGTAGCAATGGTCTATGGCTGAAACAGAGTATTCCAAGAAGAGTATGGCAGGGGGAATCCGACGGGTAGTCTGCTGGTCCACTGATGGAATGACCGTAGTAGGAGGGTGAGAAACTGGTTGAAGTGGCCCTTTGCGGGTGGAAAGACTACTTGCGATGCAGCAAAGACGCAGCAGGTGAGGGCGAACAGCGAGAGAGCGTCGTAAAAGGAGTAGAACTTGAAGGTTGAAGAGGAACAGAGGCAGAGGAAGAAGAGAGAGAGAAAAGAACAGAAGAAGAGGAAGAGAAAGAAGCAAGAAAGGGAAGAAGAAAAAAGCGCCAGGAGGGGCAAACAGTGGGTCGGCCAGCTGGAACGGTGATTGGTTTACTGTATTGGGTATGTTTGCTTTGGGCCGGACAAGGCAAAAAAAAAAGGGAACAGCCTAAAGCGAGAGAGAAAAGAGACGGAAGAGGAAGACAAAGACGAGGAGGTAGAAGACGACGACGATGATGGCGAAGATAGATGGCAGACGAGGTAGAGAGCCGTGAGACGGATATTTGGTGAGTAACTGAAGGCTGGGAAAAATAGTACAGTTCAACTAATTCTGCACGTTAACTAATTCCTTGTAGGGGACAACTTCGATCAGTCGACGAGGATTGTACGTGATATCCTTCAAATATCAACAAATGGAGAGCCTGTCTGGCCCCCTTAGCCTGCTTGAATTTTTCAGTGTTGACAGCGTCCTACATGGGCTGCAGGACGATTGGGTGTGAGTTGCCGCTGCTTGTTAGGCACTCATGCAGCTTCTCCTTGGGCACTCACCCAACCCTCCACCTCCACCACTGCACATACTATGTACACACACTAGGGTCGCCCATCCTCGCTCAACTCTGAGGATCCTTTCTCCCTGGCTCCCTGCATCCAGCAGAATCTCCCTCTCAGCCGCTTCGTACGGCCCTGTCATACATAAAACCTCCCCCAGATACGACTCTATTAACTATATATGATTGTTAACCGCCAATAGCGAGATTAGGTAAGGTTTCTCGTCCTTCTCTCTACTCTGGCCAGCCAGTGTAGTCTGCCCTTTGACTCCGGGGTAGGGATCATGCTACCACTCTACTGGATTCCCGGCCTTTTTTTTTTTTTTTTTTTGCGAGAAGAAAAAATTAAATAACCAAATGCACGCTGCCTTCTTCATATAGTATGTATGGACCACCAAATTCTTGCTCCCTTTCTGACATGAGGCTACCATTCCCTGGGAGCTGTGAGCTTCCATTAACGGATGAAGTTTATGCGATGTACGGAGTCCTCCGTAATCACCGCGTGGCTGGTTTGGGGTTATTAGTCCAGTTCAAAAGATGTCAGACCGCCGCTGATAGCTGGTAATTCCTTTTTTGAACTGCGAACGAGCCATCAGATTCGATGGTAAAACGTCGGATCGGGTTCCTCCGACTGGTCAGATCTGCATGGAAGACCGCTCCTGGTCATTTGGCTGGTTTTGATCATACAGCAGGGTTTCGTGACGGAATTATTATACAAGGGAATGGCGGTAGTAGTTGATTCACGTGCCACAATGGTATGTCGAAAAATATGTACTATATGTGTAAGTCAAAAAAAGGGTCCATTTATAACTAACCTCAACTAACATTATATATACTGGATTGAGTACGTACTCCATACAGCTCTCACAGTTTTGTTTGCGTGTTAGCTGCTGAGACGACTCTGAAATTAATCCGCGGAAAGTGGACGCGGATGTCAAAAAGGGTATCTGCCGTCTTTCGCTCCAGCACGATCTCCTTCGAATCCAAGGTGATAAGCGTGCCAGCATCTTTATGGGTTGATCCTGAGTCGGTGGGCCAAACCATGACTTCTTCGCCCTTTTTGTAGCCCAAGTGGATCCGAATCGTCAAATTCGCCTTCGTTCTCCGCAAATGACTGATACTAGAGTCCATCAAGCACATCGTTGCCAGAGACAAGCATCTCCCCCATTTTTGCCTCTGCGTTGGACAGAGCTTGTCTGAATCGGGTCCTCCAAGCAAAGACTTTAGGATGACTGGTGTCAGAGATGATGCTACCATCCAAGGAACCCATGTCAAAAACCCAATTTAGAGGCCAAATGGCTAGAAGAAAAATGACGCAAGGGATGTCAGTCTTCCAATCGTATCAAAGCTTAACCCCAGGCTGCCAGTAGACTTGTTCGAGACAAGTGATACTCGAGGCATTGGAAGGTAATAGAAAACATACCATGTATGTCTGCAAGGGTTGGCTTCTCTGTCTTGCGGAGCCATTCCCTTCCATCCGCCAGTAACGTTGATTCTAAAAAGCCGAAAGCCCGCTTTACTTGAACAAGTGCCTCGCCTCGAAGGCTGGGCATATCCTCAACCTTCCATGACAGCCCGGTAAAAAAGGAAGCTCTGTCCTTTAAAAACGCCGGATCCCTGAGGGTCGGAAGGCCGAGCGGCATCAGGAGAACAGCGTTAAGGAATAGCCCGCCATCCGTTGACCATGATTCAAGCAGATTTTCCAGAGCCTTTCCATCACCGTCTATGTCGGTGGCCCCAAGCTTCCGGCTGGAAACAGCTCTTCAAGTTTCTTAAGAATCAATCGAGTGTCACAGTATACATCCTTTCCGATACTCAGGACGGGTATTCGTCGGTACTGGACGCCGAGAGCAGCCAGGTCCGGCCGTGGCATAATTGGTGGCTGCATCTGAGGTTGCTGTCAGCATGCATGCACCTAGCCCCGTGATTAAAGAAGACACGATATCATACACATTGTTTGTACCGAATTCCGCGAAGAGCCAAATACCTTGAAACGGGGTTAATCGAATAGTTCTCTTTCCGTGATCATAATGTTTATTGTAAGCCTTTGATTATCTACTCACCATGCAACCCTGGCATACGGCAAGAATGAATAGTGAATAGGACCGGGGTTAATTCCGGGGCCATAGTAAGCTACCTTAAGCAGTGATTAATGATACAGAGTGTATATATTCTCTGCTTTGACCTGGTTTTAACTGCCAGGGCCTCTTTTGCCTCCTTTATACTCATCATAGTGGGAACTTCGTAGAGCGTATCTTTAGGTGTCTCTGGGGCGTGTCTGGATGCCGAGGTGTTAACGGAATAAAATTAATCCTAGATGTGCTTATATAAGAATGGCGCCTATTCTATCACGTGATATAAGACATCAAGGATCTATCCGCGCCCCGCAAGCCAGACCACGTAACGGAAACTCTCGCTCATACCTTATATACATTATCGACATTCAGTAAACGATCAAATCACTTTATATCACATTGCTTCGCCAATGGCTCATCTGTTTACCTCACAATGCTACCAAACTACTTGACGAGTAGTTACTTACAGTACAAAGAGGATACAAATGCAGTGGCATCATGGCTCGCAAAAACTGCCAAAAAATGTGGATACGAAATGGACCTCCAAAAAGACAAGACGGGTCAACAGAAAAAAAAAGGTAGGCAAAAGGGGAAAGCAAGGAAAACTGCCCGTAAGGCCAAACCTCCTCCGGTTGATTCATCCACTACAAAATCAACATCGGCCAAGCTGCGCACGCATATCATTGCTGTTCGTGACTTCGTCCCTCTTGCTCAATGGATTGTAGACTGCGAAACACTCAGGGTTCGCGTCCCGTCCACATTTTCCGTAGCGATCGAGCGAGCTATATCGGCACGGCAAGCTCATCAGGGTATTCTGGGAGGAAGTGGGGGAATCAAGGACGACGGACATACTCATTTTATCAGTATCCTCGAGCGCGTTCAAACTATTCTACAACCTCTGTTTTTAGAGGAAGGCAAGGATGGCCTGGCCAACAGGTTTGAGAGGCTCGATATTCAAGAGCCGTCAGATAAATTTGTTCAAACCGCAGATATCAAGACACCAGAGACACCAGAACCTGAACCAGACTCAGATACCCAATATGAAGCAGAACAAGTACAAGATATGGATGAGATGTATAGTGCATTCCGCCTTCTTATCCAGGATTATCATTCCTTCCGCGTGGCAATAAACGAAACATGGGTGGGCTACCAGCAAGGCGTCTTCGATCTTGTTTCTGCGTCTATAATGACAAATACAGCCCTTGAATTTGCCCGTCGGCTGGAGAAAGACGCAGAACCCCTGTTTGAGAAATTTGGCGGATCGGAGCAGATCTTAGTGGCGGCATTTTTAGCACAATGTAAACGTATGGGAGAAGAAGAAAGCTATAGGGAGCAATCTGGAGATGAGTTTAACTTCAACGTTTGGGAGGCTGCATCAGAGATCTTTTTCCCGACCTACATGCTTCTCGAAGCATTCGTTCCCATGGTGAGCAAGTATAATATGCCAATCTACAAACCCGGCTACTTTGGTGTTTACGATCCCGCCAGCGACCGGACAAAAAAAACACCAAGGGAAAAATTCAAAGAAGACAAAGTAATTCTTACAGAACATTTTACCGAGTTTGCATTGCTCGCTATTTGCGTGCCCGACCTCGACGCTGAAGATGAACTTACGCGCAGCTTCAAGGAAGCATTCGAAACCCACAAAATTACACTCTCTCTTGTGTTTGCTACCCAGGTGTACCTTGATATTCACCATGTCTTGCGTGAAGGGGTAAAACGTGGCCTTTCTGATTTAATGACTACCGCTGGGATGATTGACGAGTCAATAAATGACAACTTTCAGTATCATAAATCACTCCATATCGCCGGGTGGCCTCGATCCAATGATGCTATTCTGAAAAACATCCAGCAACATATATTCCAATATACCAAAAAGGACATGGTAGGAGAGGCGAGAAAGCGTCTACATCATCCTCCTAGCAAGCCTTACAGATTGCTCTCCTCCCATCCTCTGTTATGTGGGCTGCTTGTTTATAGCCTAAAGGTTACATTCCAAGACGTCAGTCTAGCGTTCGCAGATGCCTGGGGCTCCGTCTTGTATACCTTTCATTTATACAATGCTGTGAAACAAGAGAAATTACTTGGGAAAAATTGGACGGATATGGACGTAATAATGGGTATACAAGGCAAGATTTTTGTTGGAAATCCACCGAAAACCCCGGAGGATTACCTGAAACAATTCGCTCTCAGCATGGGTTGGTCAGCAACAGCATTCGCCAAAGACAGACATCACGGTACTTTGCGGGCTTCATCTCGTGGTCCCAGGTGTCTTAAGGAGCTTGCACCAGTTGCACAGATGTTCAAGGCGAGATTTTGTGAAGGCTCTGGCCAGACCGACTGGATGTCAGTGGATATAGAGCAGATAGTATCCAAGTCTAACTGGAAGGAGGAGCCTCCCTCTGGAGACCTTTGTATATATTCCATGTCTCAAAAAGAGGATAAGGAACAAAAGCGAACAACGTCAGCACGGTTAGATGTAATCGATCTATTGAAACGTCTCCGAAATGCTCTACAAGCTGAATCACTGGAACTCAGTCTACCATATCTTGAATTTCATCGAATATGCTGGTCGATTCTTCGCAAGATTAATGAATAGTGTAAACCAGCTCTTCAAGAAATGTTCGGTGTCGGTTATTTGGAGAGGGAAAATCAGCTGCCTTTTGTTGTGGGTTATATATTCATGGCTGCAACAAACACGAAAAAATTGAGTGGCCTGTTAGGGGTTCGAAAGTCGGATGAGGTTACTAGCAAGTTGTTGCTTGCAGCTGCTACCGTCATAGACGAGTGTATAGGAATCGTTGGGAGACTGTGCTGCGACATACTAGAACAAGAAAATATTCACGTTGCGGATGAGAGCAGCGACGAAGATGAAGATGAATGAGGGTTGGGCATGAAGGGGCCTATGAGCTAGCATGTCACCGGTGATACCAAAAGGTGGTAGAAAGTACTAGAGAAAAAGTACTAGGATTATTTAGCAATTATCTTGTTCCCCTTGTAGCTTAGGTTTCGGAGCTTCACTTTTATAGTTATATACCTTAAGGGTTATCCTAATATATGTCTATGTTTTTATTTTCGGTTCGTATATATAGACCAAGATGTTGACTGCTATTATTTGGTCTGAATCCGTTAATAGCAGTGCGGTATACAACTTCTTCATCTCACTCAGCAGCGCAGTTGTAACTCCGAGCCTTAGCCCTCCAATTAACCTTGCGCAGGTCATCGTAGCCAGGATAATGGATCTGAAGCTCCGATCCCTGACAGCCCGATTGCCTAGTTGTATATAATATATCAGAGGGTGACGAGCCTACTTTGCACTGATGAAGCATGACTTACGCGTATAATGTACACCAGCTTCCCCGATCAGAGCCAGCGGCATTGACTCCATTGACTCCGCCATTGCCGGGAGGGAATTGGTCGGTTATTGTAACTATTGAATGAGTGAGCTAACAGGTTATACATTGAGGAGATGAAAGAACGTATCAACATACTGCAATTTCCGAAAGCGGTTGTGTAGTACTCGCAATGGCCGACGAAACCAGCTCCGGAGCATAGATATAAACCGCCATGAGACCCCTCTGGAAAAATGCGTGGATCTCCGTTGTCTGGTTTATTTATTACCTTTTGGTCGTAGGGTGCAGCGTAGGTAGGGATGGAAAGGGACAGCAACGCAGCAACACCAAAAAGGAGGCCCATTTTTGAAGTAAACCGTGATAGAATAAGTAAATGGTATATGAAAATTCAATCTCAAAATTGATCAGATGAATTGGTCTTCTGACATTCGAATGCCGGGGAAATGAAGAGCCTTTTATGTCTCATCGTTGATAGTGGCCCTTTCATCTTTCGGCCTATTCAGCCGTCATCTTCAGCTCTCGACAAGCTGAATACCTCTGCACCAGGGCGATTGGGATATCTTCCAGCCGTTTTACCGAACATTCCACTTAATCATTGTTACCTGAGTAATTCTTTAAAACTCTTTTCATGCAATCTTGCCCACTAGGGTAGGGGGAATGGTGCAGTTATCGCTAAGCTGCCTCTCCAGCCGTGCCAGCTGAAGTCCAAAGTCTTGTCGAATGCAATATAGCATGCATTATCGCATAGGTATAGATGTTAGTCGCTTAGATTCCTACATGCATATGTAGCTACACCCCAGTCAAGTCCACGCCAACTTTCATTGAGAGAAAGGAAGATGCGAACAACAGCTCTAAATCAATTTAACTCGTAAGTGTGCTATTTCATGGAGCTCAATAATCTCAGCACTCCGAAAATCGCCTTCTTAGGGTAGTCAAGGTGTGAATATATATAGCAGAGTAGTTGAGAAAATATTTTCGCCACCAAGATGGAATGCATATAACCTTTATATTAGCCATAAGCTAGTTAATTACCCCTGTCCAAGGGCAGCACAGGCGGGCTCCGATAATGTCTACAAAGAGCTGAAGTAAACATTGGTAAAATGGGAGCAAAAAGGTTGAGAACCAATAAAAGTCGTACGATATAGGAGTTAACAGTTGCAAGGGAAGATCGTGCCCTCAGGTATATTGTAATAGAGGAAACGCTCACTGTAACGCTTCGGAGCATTTCTTCAGCATAGCCATTTGAGTATTCAAAGTTTTATTCCGGCGGATTATTGAACAATGCCAGAGCCAAACCCAAATTTTCCCTGGTAGGCCGACCAGAAAGTGCATTTCAGGGGCACGACAGCTAATTTTACAGCCCATGGAGCACCGGTATCTAGAAACTGTCCAAAGGAGCAATTCGTTGTGTCAAGATCATTAGGGCAGAAATCCATTTTATTCAAGCTGCTGCATCCATCGAGTAATAAGAGCGGGATTTCCATAATCTTTCACGCGCGTAAGACGCACGAAGTCATTTGTTCCTAAAGTTCATAAAAGTTGCCTTGTTCGCGCAAGATGATAGGAAAAAAATGGGTTGGAAGCATAAGAAATCATTCCACAATATGCGGATTCCAACGCTCATTGAGGTGTTTGGAAAATGGTATGCCCTTGAGCAAAGGAAGCTCTCCCGTCTCCTCTTCAGATTTTTGGTCAGGACGAACGGTTTACGGTTTTCACCATAATAGTTGGACTGACATGGTGGGAATAAGTGTCGACTCCACCGCCCAACCCAATCATGTTTGCTGAGAGCGTCAGAGTAATGGAAACTCTTAGCAAATCGCATCGCCTGTCATGGTGGTTGTAGTTGGCAAATAGTGAAGGTTCCCCTAAGAGAAATGGAGCGCGCTGCGGGAGAAGCGTTTTCCATCGGTTAACTCATGTAGGCCGAAATGTAGGCCGCCATAGAGTAACTGCGTTGTCAACTATGAAATAAATAGTCTCTGCCACTATTCAGCGGCGGGCTCTTTTGGCTGAATGGGCAGAACTTTTGACATTATTTCATAGTTAGGCGTAGGGTGCGAATGCAGTTTGTATATACATATATAGCCAACATACTCTGGGGTAGACATAGCTCATCCACGAAGAAGTACCTCACAGCAAGCTCTACCAAGGACCACGAAGTTAATTATCTCTGAAAGGCCACACATTCTCCCATGCGCTCCTTTCCTCTTTATTTTTGGCCATATGATCCAAGAATTGTTCTTTGACTATTGCCATCTTCTTTTTTAACACGGCATAATCTTCATGGCTTGACCAGCCATCCCAACCATTTTCGGCACCGCCTAGAGCCTCAAGCACATCTTCCATCATCTGCACGCCTTCTCCCCACTTCTTTTGGTCCTCTTTTTGCGCAGCAATACCAGCTGCCGTGACTGTAATGGGACAGGGGCCCCCATCTGGTCCAGCAATTTTCCCCCACTCGCGAGCTAGCTGAATTAATTGGCCCCTTATGATAGGCTCGCCGTCATTAAACACTTGAGAAGTAAGTGAAATAATTTGACTACCCAGAGTCTCCGTGTATTGTAATGCTCTAAAGACAGGCATGTTCTCGCGGCCGGACTGTACTTCATATAGCTTATATAAAGACTGTTTTGACTGTAACGCCTTGGCTTCCTTTCTCTCGGTAGGGCTTAATGCGTCGAAGTTGTCAGGTGGTGAAGGAAGTGTAGTAAGGCCTAATGGTAGTCGTGGCCCGTCAAATTCTAGGAAGCTGGGAACTCTAGCTTGCAAGAAAAGTGGTGCGATACTGACCGCCTGCCAGTCAATAATAGAAGTAATTTTTGATGGATCTTCAGAATCAACAAAAATATTATTGTCGTGGAGGTCGCTGTGCCATAGAACGGGTATATGAACAGATATATCTTTAGGGAGTAAGTGCATGGCCACCCTCTCGAAGTCATCCAACACGTCAAGTTTAGTCTTAGAGGTAGGTTTGTAGCCCCTTGGGCCGCCAAATATCCCCTCTGGTCTCGGAAACCCGGGAGATTTCTTGATACATTCTCGTTCTCGCCTAGATGATGCTAGAATATACTCGTGGGCATTGTTCCCTGTAATGCGTCACGAAAGTTAGCGAAGCTGGCGATGTATCCATACTTCACTTGAATAATGGTGCATAACACAAGCTTGTCATATAGTAACTCACATGGTCCCTTATCTGTGCTTATTTCCCTCCGCCCATCTTGGAGGAATTTCCTTTCCGTTGTTGGGCCAACCACGAAACTAGCGTAAGCGGTTTCAAAGAACTTGTCGTTATGTCTTGACTGATCGAGATCAGATTTATAATATATGCTTCCAATATGTTGGAATCGGAAGGCAAGAAGAGATTTCTCAAGAGAAACAACGTTCTGTATCAGTTTCACTTTTTGTTTTTTACTCATTGAAGGCCACCGTGAACTTAATACCACACCATCGGCTTTTTCCATGATGATATACTCTGTTCCAACAGGATTATAAGATGAATGAGGGCTCCAAGTATACACTTTTGGTATCGGCAGCCCGGCGAGATTTCTCACCTAGAGAGATTCTAATTAGCATCCTTTCGATGACTAACTAGACATTTGATGGCCTGGGAAGATGATGGGCTTACAAAGTCCATAGTGGCTACTTCACTTGCAGTATTATAAAATGGTAAACCAGCATTACGGTTGGGTATTTTTGCAATTAGTTGCTTTTCATCTTGAAATGTGATAAGAAAGGTTTTGTTGAAATCTCCCTCAGGCAACTTTTCCACTTTAATGCAGGAATTGATGTCGTAGCCCTGACTTGTAGCAGCAGTCCGAACTAGTTCTTTCATATTGAATGTTAAGGACCGATCCGCGAGTTGTTTGGCTTCGTTATAAAGCCAGCGGCCGCCCGTATATTGATAGAAGCTCTCATCGTCCCAGGGCGAGGCTAGGCAGTTTATCAGCTAAGCAAACTCATATCCAAGGAGGACGTCACACACCTCTAGGGCTTATGGGGAGGGCCTGAGTCGTGGAGATTGCCCTGGTCCGTCGCAGGGCATTGAAGTCGTTGGCCAGATGTTGGAATGAATGACGTGGTGTTGTCATGAGAGAGCATCGAAAAACAGCGCCAGGCAGTCTGCGTAACCCCATCACTCGACCATGGAAAGATCAATTCACTGATTACGGGATATTTATCATGTATGTATATTCTGCGATTCTTCGAATCGCTCTGAGTTAAAAAGACGAAGCTGAAGCCAGCGGTTATTGAGGTATATGCTGTTTGGACAAGCGCCGAAGTCAGCTAGTGAGACGATATATACATACCTAATTAGAATAATTAACTAGTTTAATAAGCAGTTATAAAATAGTTACCCCTTTTAACCTTACTATAGAAGGGAAAAGAGGTAGAGTACACAGAGTACATAGAGCGGGCAGAGCATCCAGAGTGTGCACAGAGACAGAATAGAAGAGGCCGATACATCGTATCTGACATAATATAAAAAGAGTGCTTTTATTGGCCAAGTACCCTTCACTAAAATTAACCTGAAGCTTAACCTGCACCTCGCCAAGCGGCCAAATAACCAGGTTATTAGGGGGTCTCTGCGTACGGAGGCCTCTGTATAACCGGGTTATCTGGCGTCCAAGTTATAACGAACTCTAACCTGCCCGTACTTATTGAATCCTGACCTATACCAGAAGCTCATTGAACGTGGTTCAGCCACAGTCGACTCGGTGTGGATAGCAACAACCACTATTCTCTGCCGGACACAACTGCGTCCCTGCATCGGAACCAACATGACATCGACACCACGGGCCCAACAGTTAGGATCGGCAAGACAATTCTCCCATATACTGTCGAGACCGTGACATGTATCCTGAACACTAGCTACTCAAGCTTGCAGCGAAGGCAATCTCGCCGTTGATATTTCGAAATACACAAGCCTGGCGATGGTATACTGTGGTACCGCCAAATGTATGCAGGATGTCTCCTTTCCCTACATCCCGCAGGATCGCGCCTAGATCGCGATGTATATGGAGGGAGAAAGTGTCGGGTTACTAAGGCCATAGACACAGTCACAAAGTGGGCGCCGTAAGTAGGACTGTTTCGTCTTTTGTGGCAAGCGTACTGCCATTAGAAGCCCAAGAATCTCATTAGTTGACTATTATATAATAGTTAACGGATAACAGTAAATCACAAATAAGAATCAACCCAAGGTTCAAATAACCCCATTCAACTCCTCGACGCATGATCTCCTGCACCCATCTCCTGATTACTATTAGCATGCCATGGGTCTGCGTCACCAATCTTCTGCACAACCAGTCCAGCGCTGCCAGGATTTTTATACTTCGCTGCAAGCTGGCGTTCGTAGCTCACATTCCTCAGCCTCTCATGTTCACGGGGTGTGAGACGCAGATACAATTCAATGCCCACGAAATGTATGAAAGTTGCTATTGAGCCGGCGAGAACTGACTGGAGTTGTACGCTAGCTCCAATGGCCGCGGGATCAGGTGCGGAGATATCAGCCTTGACAGGGGCGTAAAGCTCGACGTTTCTGAATTCTGGGAGGAGGGTGGCATTGCACATTGGATATGCACTAGTGTATGGAGACGAGATGTTATAGAATTTCTAGGTAAAATCAATCTGATCGCATGGCCAGCTAACATAGAATTTGTAGTCAAGAGAGCGGAAAATGGGCGATAAAAGCTCGATGAGAGGTCGCATAGTTATTATGCTTCCCATATAGAACATGGCCCGTAGCATCCAAGCTCGGTGTTGCTCGACTTGTTTCCGGCGAATGTTGATATAAGCAAGTACGACAGCGGTTGTGGAAGAAAGAACAAGCAGCCCGTTATTAAACTGCGTACTTGGGTCGCCACCAAATGCATGGGGGGCGATGATGATCACGCCAGCATTTGATGTCAGGAAAAGCAAGATAATCACATATCCATTGAGGCGATGGATCAGGGTTGCCTTGTGTCGAATTGCCGGAATAAATTGGAGAACAATAAGGACAGAACATGGCAGAATAGTTCCTAAGTGCAGCAAAAGGCCCGTCTTATAGAGGTTCTGTCGGTAGTAGTACCATTCTCCCGGAGCAGACCCTCTCCTGAACCTGTTGATGTCTAGATATTGGAGGCGGGCAAGAGTGAAGCCAAGTAAGCTACCAGCAAAGATGAAGAAGAGGATAAAATTGTAAGACTTCTTAAAGCCAATAGCCCCGATGATGCGGTACCAAAGAGATGCCAACTCTGGTTTCGTCATGGCGGAAAGATCAAAATCAATATAGAGGAGAGGATATATGCGAGAGTGGTCGTTGATCTGGTTTCCTTGACAGTATCAAAAGGAGTTGAGGATATGGGAACGGCTTTATAGCCGTTTTGCAGTCATGTCACTGCAACGCCTCATGGCTATTCATGGCAGCTAAGTTTGATATATATCCACCTAGCTTGAAACGGGTATGGAGGGCTCCTTGCACAGCTCGTGTCAGTGTAAGTTCATCCTCAGCCCATCAGTGCTTGGGAGACATGACTTTGGGTGTTAGTTCATGCGACTATGTCGTCGATGTATTGGAGAAGTATGTATGTCCATTCCGGATTTGGTCAAATATGGCCTTGCAGTGGAGTAAATGATAGGTTACGAACGAAACGTATTAATAATTAATTAGGTTAGGATGTGGTTCAGAACAGTGGCTGATGTAGAGCCTGACTTAGCTTGTCTATTAATTCCTTAAAATGGCATTTTTGCTGCTGACATACCTAATTCTTCACTGGAAGCCAAGATCCATACAAACCACTGTTACGGCCGTAAAAACAAGGCCTTATTCAGCTTTAATTATGGTAGTCCCAAGTACCAGTCTTCTTTTTTTTTTCAACTTCTGTGCATGAGAAGAGTTGAGAAATGGTCAATTGATGGTGACCTTTGGGGGCTTTAAAGTATGTTAAATAGAGTGAACGAATATGAATGATGAACAAGTTAATAGACGAGAAGCAAAGTGCAGGTATGAACGTGTGTAGCTGGATGGTTGATACAGACAATGAAATCTCTGGTCGATATTAGTGTCGAGACATGACTTAGTTAAGCATCAGCTGGCTAGCTACAAGTTCTAAATGGCATCTATTGAACAAGTGTTTCTGGAACCACATTTTCTAGACTCATACTCGTCCTTGCTATTCACTCTACAGCGCTTACCCTCTGACTAAATATCCTCTTGAGAATTCTTGCTAGTTGCTTGAATGGCGGTGAACCTGAAGGTCCTGAACAAGTAAACATGCATAAATAGGTACCTTTCGGCCGGACAAGTATCCCGAGGACCGATCATTCCATGTATATATATCCCGTGAGCCTCCTATAAATTGCGTATACAATGACGATATAACTCGTCGATTTTCCGCCTATATATCTCCTTTTGGAGATGTATCAGAGCTGTGTTCTGTTATATAGATTTATAGTATACTATTACGTGATATATCCAAAATTAGCCTTTCCTATAAAAGGTATTTTCCCGCCGAGTGGGTCCGAGATGCCCCACAAAAACTGTAGGTTATTTTAAGGTTAAACGGCAAGGGCGTGGCCGATGCCACACGAGGCATGCAGCAGCCAGGCAGTTCGAAAAGGCAATTGCCGTGCCTTCCAGCCTTTCAGTAATATATATTCACGGTACCTCTGGGTGGACGGAGAATATGAGACGATGACTAATGCTCTAAACCGATGTACAAGTTCCAGCCCCCACGGGAATGCGGGTGAAGAGCCAAGCTATAGAATCGCAATTATTCATGACTCACTAGCGGTCGCACGGCCAGTTAAATACCCCTCATGTACGAGCATTCAACATTCTCACTATGTATAGCTTGACTCCCTCTTTTTCCTCAGGCACAGCTACTATCACCATCTATCGCCCCACATCCTGGTTCGTGCGATGCAAGGCACAGCTCTCAGAACGGAACCATGAAGATTTCAAACATACTACAGAGGCCTCCTCCTCGTTATGTCGTGGCTAGTATTCTGTGCTCGCTAGGCGGTTTTCTATTTGGTGTTGATACTGGAATTATTGGCCCTGTTACTGTCATGGACTCATTTACCAAGGCTTTTGGCCATCCGAGTCCTAGCCTACACGGACTCATTGTATCTTCAATTCTTATCCCTGCGGCTATCTCCTCGTTCCTAGCTGGTCGTGTTGCCGACGTTCTCGGTCGGCCTCCAGCAATTGCTATCGGTTCTGCTATCTTTGCCCTTGGTGCCGCCATTGAGGCTGCTGCTGTTCATCTCGGCATGTTTGTTGCTGGCCGTGTGGTTGCAGGCATTGGCGAGGGACTCTACTTGGGCACTTTGGTCGTGTAAGCCTTGCCTCTACAAACTTGAAAAACAGTCAGAATATATGGCCTCTGGCTAACCTGTGGCCTGGCGCCTTACCGTAGGTATATATGTGAGATCTCACCAGCACGGCACCGCGGGAGCCTTACGACTGCGCCCCAGCTACTCATAACCACTGGGCTGGTTGCAGGGTTCTTCACATGCTATAGATCTGTGAGAATCGTGACTACCCTCTCCTGGCGTTTACCATTTATTCTTCTGGCCTCATACTCTGCCATATTCTCAGTAATTTCTTATGTGTTTCTGCCACCTTCTCCAAGGTGGCTGGCTGACCTATACGGTCAGAACACAGCAGAAGTCGAGGCGGCTTGGGATCGATTAGGTGTACTGGCTGCCGATCGAGAAATTATGACAGGGCCGAACCGGGAAGAAGAGCGAAAGGCAAAATCAAATGTTAGTAAATTTTTCCTACTCCATATCCTCTTCATTTCCATACCCTAGAGATAACTACTAATTGCAGACCTTGTAGATACTGGATGTGTTTTCTGCCGATGCTCGTCCAGGTTTTTTCCTCGCTGTTTTCCTCATGGGTATGCAGCAACTGAGTGGTATCGATGGCGTTCTTTACGTACGTTCTATTGAAACTCTGATCATTTCCCAACCTAATCTAATACTAAATAGTATGCTCCTCTACTGTTTCAACAAGCTGGCCTCACATCAAAAGGAGATACCTTCCTTGCCTCGGGAGTCTCTGCTATAGTCATATGTGCAGTTACCATTCCAGCTACGATTTGGGCTGATAGCTGGAGCCGCCGTCGGAACACCATCTACGGCGGCCTTGGGATGGCCACGACCATGTTCATTATTGGCGGACTATATGCTGGAGATGCTGTACATGCCTATGGCGCAGGACGCTGGATAGCTGTCGTATCTATTTATCTCTACACGGTCATATTTTCCATCTCCTGGGCCGTTGGTGTGAAAATCTACGTTGCCGAAATCCAACCACAACGAACCCGAGCCAGTGCTACTAGTCTTGCCCATGGCAGCAATTGGCTGACAAATTTCCTTGTTGCTCTCGTCACACCAACGCTGCTTGCAAACACTAGCTATGGCGCCTACTTTCTCTTTGGCAGCTGTACCTTCGCCACGGCCATAGTTTGTTGGCTATTTATGCCCGAGACTCGGGGCCGCACGCTATCCGAAATACAGGAGGCGTTCCATGCAGGCCATGCTACCGGAGTTGAGACTCCTGCGAGAGTGATTTGGAGAAGGGTACGAAAAGCTCCTATAATTACAGTTACAGAGGATTGACACGACCGTGGCATAATGCAGCCTCCAACGCAAGAAATTACCGGAACGATAAAGGGGGTACTACCTCTGACCAGCACATTCTAATAAGGAAAGCTTTCTAGGTAGCCTTTACATGTAAGAAGTTAAATGCTGTTTTGGTTTACATTACTAGCCCTTCATTGTTGGAGTACGAAATTACTTCCCTTTGCCTCACCACAACTGTTTTCACGTCTCATATAAGTCATTATCAATCAAGCCTTTTTTAATACATATTTGAATAGCCCAATCATATAGGAAGTATAGAAAAGGTGGTACTAACAGTAACCTAAACTCAATTCGATACCTATTAGTTTACTGATGAGAACTTTGATATATGGAGAGTTGTGAATTTGTAGAACTCTGGTATCCCCCTGGAGGACTCTCGCATATTGTTATAATGCATCGGCTGCTTCAGCTATGTCTTGCCTTATATGCCGCCTCGACTAGCTATTTTTTTCTTCTATCAGGAAGGGCAAAGAGTCAACCGGACGCAGTTTCTAGAAAGGTACAGGTAGTCATAATGTATGCTTATCAGAAATCAGTGGGAAAGAAAAAAACTCAAGTGGCTATATTTTGGGCAGGTAAACGATCAACTAGACAGCCACTTCACCGGCGAATTCTTCCAACATCCCCCGTAGTTCAGCTGGTTTCTCTAATTGAACCCAATGGCCACAGCTAAGAGTCTTGATACGAAGGTCCTTTACCCACTTCTTACTGTTTTCAGTTTGTACATCTGCCCGCGTTACAAAGTCTTCCTCAGCAGCAACAAAGAGCGTAGGTACTTTGCAGTATCGGCGTTCCTCCGGAATACCAGCCTCGTCTGCAGAGTTGACCTCCCGAACCCAAGCTTTGTACCAATTGAGCGGACCCCCGTAGCCTTTCATTGAAATGATGCGGTCTCGTACTGTGTACTCAGCAAGGTTGAACCATGACGGTAATGGCTTAAGTTGTCCACCTTTGACAAACTCAGCTGCTTTTCCAACAGATGCAAAGTCCTTTATCCAATCGGCTGGATCAGCGGGGTATAAAAGGCTAAACACTGAGGCAGGCTAGATATCGGATGTAAACATCACATCAATGGCATAGTAAATAAATTGACGCGGAACTTTAATCTTACATGGTCATCACAATCTTTGGCAGATTCTTCAGAGACATGCCAGGGCCAATAACCATATACATCATACCCAAACACCTCACGGCTCATCTTGATGAACACATCTGTAAACGGGCTGATTAGCTATGGCGAATGGTCGCAGGTAATAAAAGCTGTCATACCGATATCCCATACGATCCCAGGTTCAACATAGCCCAGGGCAAGGAAAACAACACCGATCAAACGATCGGGTATGTAGTTCACCAGCCGGGAAAGCAACGTAGACCCCCTTAGAAAGAATAATAATAATAATAATAAGCGTCTGTTCTTTGGAGTTTTGAATCCCCATCTCTACCCGAGGCCTCACCAATCATGCCCGACGGCAATGCAGCGTGCAACTCCCTCGCGGTCAAGGATATCAGCCATATGATGAGCTATGGTCTTCATCCGATATGAGTCCAAATCTTCAGGGGCATCCGTGTCTCCGTAACCAAGCAGATCAGGTACGATGACACCAAAGCCACTAGTTGGCAGCGTTTCGATCTGACGACGCCAGTCATAACTGGAACTTGGATATCCGTGGAGAAAGAGAAAGGTTGGCTTGTTAGCAGAAGAGGGCGCAACTGCGACATAGCCATAAGTTGTCCCGTCAGGCAAAGTGGCCTTTTTGGCCAACGATGGGAATGCGAGGGATGCCATCTTAAACAGATAAGTTGCAAGATACGATGGGTATGAAATAATCTGAAGAGCTAAATGAGGGGATCCCAGGGTTTTCTACATAGTGCTAACTAAGTCTTTCCTGTGATGGATGTGTAGAGTTCAGCTGTAACCGCTAAAACGAGGCTGATTGGTTAGCAAAGACTAGTTATGATCCTTCGACTGCGAATCCTTCGCTCTGGTAATATCTTCACCGAGTAGCAGCTCATCCCAAGTGCTATGGATAGTCATCCATTGTAAATCTTCTTATTTCTTGCTTCGTAAACGATTAAAACCGTCAAAGCAGAAGATTAAAAAAGGAGCTGCTTATGTAATATTTCCATTTACTGGGTCAGGTGACTTAAAGTTAATCTCTTCTATTACGTAATATTTACTGTAACTTCGCCACGCTAAAACGAGCAACTTCTTACATCGCTTTGTTTCTAATCTTTTCCAGAGAGCGAAATGAGATATTGCAGTTCAAGTTACAGGGAGGTCGTGTCTCCAGGCACTATGAAGAAAGACAACTACGGAGTACCCATGATAGGTTCCTATAAAAAAGCCAAAGTTGCATTCGGTACTATGAGTTACGTGCAGCAGAGTCTGTATAAAAAGAATTATTCCATAGTGATCACAGCCCTGAATCGTACGCTTCCCTTGACCATCGCATCTGTGAAAAACTGTTAGCTAGTTATCCACAACAAAATTGCGACAAGTGACCACGACTTACCATATGCATCGTTAACTTTTTCTAATGGGAAAGTTTCCACCATGCAGTTGATGTTTTCCAGCTTGGTGAATTCAATTGCCTCCTCGGAGTCTGTGGCATGGCCGCTGGGCCAACACTGAACTGACAATCCTTGACGAACCTGCGAAGCGAGCAAGTCAACCGCTTTATTCTTTCATGGGCAAGTAGATTGAGACCAAGATGAACTTACCATGAGGCCGGTATTTATTGTGATATCTCCAGGGACTATACCGTTAATTCAGCAACGGCTCAAGTGAACATCAATCATCAATATGAACTTACCAGACAGAATCAACAGTTTTCCCAGCATTCCCAACCCTTTTAGGAGTGGTTCCACGGCGTCTTTACTCGGGGCCGTCGAAACGATCATTGATGCACCTCCAAGATTTTGCAATTGCTCTCCAATATCACCCTTGCTGGCGTCGAGATATTCATGAGCTCCTAGATCTCTTGCGAACTTTTCCTTCTCGGAGCCCCTAGACAAGGCAACGACGCGGTATCCGAACTTGTTTGCATATTGAATTGCCAGATGCCCTAGGCCACCTAGGCCCTGGACAGCGACTGTTGAACCAGGCATCATGTTCATGTGGCGCATCGAGTTGAATACGGTCACACCGGCGCATAAGATAGGGGCATATTTTGCTGCATCGATATCAGCTGGGATACGCACACCAGCTTCGGCACGTAGCTTGCAGTATTCGGCATCTGGATGTGTTAATTAGTCTCTATATACCAACGAAAGATATCTAAAGGAGGTTACATACAGCCGCCTCCCTTGTTTACGCCATTGACTAATGCATTATCACACATCTGGAAGTAGCCTTTCTTGCATGGCTTGCAAGTACCTGTGTCTGAAGTTAGCCTTTCCTAAACGAGTGATTTCGGGCCCCAGCGACTGTATGTGGTACCTACCGTCATGACCTCCGTGCCACGCCCCTCCAATTCGATCACCGACCTTCCACTGTGTCACTCCTTCACCAACTGCAGCTACGTGCCCGATAATCTCATGTCCGGGAACCCTTGGGCTATAAAATTGGGTTGTTAGTCTCACTATCACTCTAGCAAACTGTTGAAAGGAATGGTATGCAAAGAAGACTTACAGGCTGCCTACAGCATTGTGCTGTACGTAAAAATCCGAACGACACACTCCACAAGCCTGGACTTTAACTAGAACCTCTCCTTTTTCTGGAGGTGTTAAGGGCACCTCCTCCAGAACCAAAGGAGCACCCGCCTCCTTGAAAATAGCTTGTTTGAATGTCTTTGGAGCATCCATCTTCACCAGCAGATTTAGGTATTTCTCGTCAAGTTAATTTGACCTGTGTCGAAACCGGCTTCAACAGTTCTAAATCTATTGAAAAGCAGAGGACTATCTGAGGGGTAACTCTGGATTTTATATACAACCAGCGTACTGCTGTCACTTGTGGCGCAATAGATAATAGGAGTTTGGAGCTGGAAATAGGTCTAAAATCCGGTCCGAAGTTAGTTATGAAGCAAAACGCCCTCTTTAACCCTGATTACTGTGATTTGGTCGATCGAATGGATGTGGCTGATAAATCGGTGCACGAAAGATCCGAAGTATAGACAGCGAGGCCCGACGACAGCCTGAATGGTCAGCTTTCCTTCGAACATGCATGGAGTTAAAGGGCGAAATGTGATATAAGAACATTCATTATTTAGTCATCTTCCACGATTCGCCACCGTTTGCTCTCGGTTGCGCATACATCATATCAGGCTGGACGATCGTTTTGCGGAGATTAAATCATCCATGCCAGATGGACAACCTGCTATGTACATAGTATGGAGAATTCTGAAGGTTGCTTATTGCAAGGCAAAAGCGGCTAGAATTAGTTATTTTTGTAAACCCTGATGCTGTCTAGTTACCCAGTTACAGAGCTAGAAAACTAGCCGCGTGGTTGCTATTTGATTAACTGTCCATCCCGTGTGATGCTGGCTTGTAGCTGCTGGCTATACTATGTAGAAAGACTTCGAAGGACGACTTTTTATATTATATAAGCTGGTTAGCGGGTGGAACCGGTTCCACCCGCTTATCACGTGATATGGTTATTTTTATCAAGTTTCTTATTCGTCGTTCCATCAATTCAACGACTTCACAGTGTGAGGCGGCATTCTAGGATATCCAGATGGTGATGTTGCTTCACACTAGTATCATATCGTTAGGTATTTTGCCCTTTCGACACCAGCCATGTTGCTTCGGGGAAATCTACCATGCGGTGTGCCTCTATTGTTAGTTACTGGATAACTACATATCAAGGAATTACATACCAAATACCTTCCGTCAACGTAAGAAATTAAGTCTGATCAAGACCTCTTTTTCTTCACGTCAGGGGGATTTCAATATAATGAAGACACACGGCTTCGAGAGAGATACTCAACGTTGCTACTCTTAGGAAGATGGGTTTAAGTGACTTTTCTTTGTCACACTCGAGAACGGCCCTGGTTATCGAAATCATGTTTGTGAATTACACGTTCTAATGTGGCAAGGGTACAGCGTTGGAGGTAGGCTGTGAACCATTTAAGTATTTAAACATATCCTGCTTGCCCCTGTTTCCTAGAAATTATCTACACCGGATAACTAGCCAACCCTCCACCACCCTGATATATTGGAATTCTGACCCTTTCTTTTTATTTGGCTATTCTAAAAAGTCAAGACCTTGCACCTAATGACGATTTTCATACTGTTGAAGCTACTAGCGTGATGGACTAGCAGCATAGTTGTCGTGCACCCCAAGATGTTTGAATCCACGAACAAATCCATCGGGTAAAGAGGTACAATCTCACCTTCTCGCTGCCCCTTATATCTGCTCTAGTTACGGCATCTATATAGGTTACATGTTTAGAAATACTGGCAATCTCTTATCTCCCAGATAGTACATAATTCTTCATATTTAACCTGTTTAATTCTTGACTGTGGCCTACCAAAGCACCAAGAGTCCCCATGCAGCAAAATATCCCGTCCTTCACATACCTCTACCTCTGAATTAATATCCTATCATCTCTGCCGCCATCTTTCATCTCTGTATACCCATCCATATACTCTGCGTCGGATAAGCTTAAGTTTTGCAGGGGCCGGAGTTCTTGCCGGCCCGGGCCAGATGACACATCACGTGACTGACCAGGGCCAAACTTTCGCCGCTCAGATTTTTTTTTGCTCCGACTTCTTCCATCTTCCCAGATCAAACCAAACGCTCACTCAAATCTCTACTCTTCCCTCCATCTCCCATCCTTCTGCGTCTTGCGCACCCATCACCGTTGCAATGGCCGCCTCTCCTGCTGCTCTGGCTCAGGCCATCCCCGAGAAGAAACCAGAGGGAGTTGGCCTCTACGCTCGCTTCGCCTTTGCCGGTGCTGTCTGCTGTTCCGTTACCCACGGTGCCTTCACGCCAGTCGATGTGTATGTTGCCCAGCTCCCGCATCAATTGATCTTGATCTTACTGACAAGTGAATCTCAAATAGCGTCAAGACCAGAATCCAGCTTGACCCCTCTACCTACAACCGTGGTATGATCGGTGGTTTCCGTCAGGTCATCCAAAATGAGGGTGCTGGCGCTCTTTTGACTGGTATCGGCCCTACCTTTGCTGGTTACTTCCTTCAGGGTGCCTTCAAGTTCGGTGGATATGAGTTCTTCAAGAAACAGTCTATCGACTACCTTGGTCTCGAGACTGCCCGCAGGAACCGTACTGCTGTCTACTCTGTCTCTGCTGCCAGCGCTGAGTTCTTTGCCTCCATTGCCCTCTGCCCTCTTGAGGCTACTCGTATCCGTCTCGTTTCCCAGCCTGGCTTTGCCAGCGGTCTGATCAGTGGTTTCGGCAAGATCCTCAAGAACGAGGGTGTTGGTGCCTTCTACAGTGGTTTCGGTCCCATCCTCTTGAAGCAGTAAGTTGAAACAGCCCTTAAGGAACTTGGCAATGCCAAAACAGTAATAGAATAAAGTCTAACATGGCTGTACAGGATCCCCTACACTGTGACCAAGTTCGTTGCTTTCGAGAAGGTTTCTGAGACTGCTTTCTCCTTCCTTGACAAGTCTAAGCTTTCCAACGCTGCTCAGACCGGTGTCAACTTGGGATCTGGTCTCATGGCTGGTTTCGCTGCTGCCATTGTCTCCCAGCCCGCCGATACTATGCTCTCCAAGATTAACAAGACCAAGGGTCTCCCTGGTGAGAGCATCGTCTCCCGCCTCATAAAGATTGCTGGCGAGCTTGGTTTCCGCGGTGCTTTCGCTGGTCTCCCTACTCGTCTATTCATGGTTGGTGGTCTTACTGCTGGTCAATTCGCCATCTACGGTGACATCAAGAAGGCTCTTGGTAAGTCTTTTGCGGCATCTTACATCTCTCCGATTAATACTGACCTTATACAATTAGGTGCCACCAATGGTGTCGAGATTGCCAAATAAGCATCACACCGCGAACATAGCAAAATTTCGCATGGTTTAGATAGGTGGGAAGAAAATGTTTTGGTATAGAGATGAAGGTGGCTAAACCTACGGCCATTTTCATTGTTCAAGTTGGAGACGGGCACCTTTTTTTTTTTTCATTTCAATTACCCCTTTTACCAAGATGCGGTGCCCTCCACATCCTCCGCAACTTTAGTGTATAATTGCATCGGGCCGGCCATAAACAACTGTACACTCTGGCGGGCGTTATCATCTTGTTTCAATGACTGTAATAGACTATTTCCTTGTGCTTTAGATTTCTAGGTTATGCAGGCGGCTTCTGCATGGCTTTTCCACAATCCAGAGACATTGATGTTATGTTTCAATCGCAGATGCCATCTAACGTTCTAGTGCACTCACTGTTCGACATCAAGATGTTACAACATCGTGGTCTCGCGGGCCTTCAAAACAGCTTCTACTACTTACACGGTCTGTCGCTTAGGAAGCGCTACGGAATATCCCAAGGACGCCAATGACACTTATCTACACTACATGAAATCTCCAGACGATGCCCAAGGCGATGAAATGCACCCTATCGCTCTTGTTGCAGAGCATAACCGATGTACCAACTCCAAGATAGAAGCCATCTCGAATTCTGAAGCTATTTCGTCCACGCCCCGCAGAAAGGGGCGCCAACAGAGATTCGAAGCGCTTCAAAATCAATATCGAGATACCTGGACCGAACTCATTCAAAGAACGAAGTTCATAATCTATTATATGGGAGAGATATGCCATGGTTAGCGGTTTCAGACATTAATTAACCGAATACTATTCCCTCCAACATAGGTGGATTGGGAGGAAAACTTACGAGAAGCTTTCTGTATGTAAAAACACCTCTTTAACATGGCCTGCTAACACGCTCCGTTGTGCTTCTGCCGCCGCATTTCGAACGTCGTGTATCATTAAAGATGGCCCACAAACGGCTATTCCAATCGTTTTGCCTGCAGCTCTATCAGTCAGAGAAGCCACGGCACTGCTTATCGATGGCCGGCCTTGTAGATGGATGATAGGTCTTATCATCCCTTGGGAGTTTTCATTCTTTTCACCGTGCACCGATCCTTTTTCTATATCATCATAGCTCCGTGTACGGGCGTTCTGTGGGCGGTCGGTGATATCATCGTTATTGGATGTCCCTTCTAACTGGGGTTCAGAGCCACGAAGAGAGTCACCATTCGACGTGGTATGTATCAAAACCGAGACGGCTAGGCTTGACGCCCAACGTGAGAGCATGGTCCTGATCTCGCCATCGTACCATTGCGCCATAGATGAGGAATGAGCTGCGTATATGATCTTTAGAGTCTTCTCTGCGGTTCTTCCAGGGGAATTGGTCTCTGTGACATGTCTCAAAACATCTTCTACTACGGTAAAGGAGAATCCAGCACCAGAACCACCAGCGATTACTAGAATGGTATCAAACTTGGCCATAGTTCCGCTCCCGTGACAAACACCCCCGTAAGGGCCTTCGATCAAGGTCCCCATGGTTAAAGAAGAGGCTTCCTGAACAGCGGTTAAGAGCGATTTTGTAGTCCCTTCTTGACGTTTAACATAAATAACCATGTCGTTCGGCTGGTCACTTGAGGAATTGGCACGCGGTAATGAAGCAATTGTAAAAGGGTGTGCCGTTAGAGAGTGAGCTCCCATGCCAAGAAATCGGACGAACACATGTTGTCCTGCTTTCCATGAGATCATGCAGGGTATCTTAATACGAATCAGGCCGCAAGGGAGAACATCGATTGACGCTAGGCAAACCCGGTTGATATAAAAGGTCCGAATTTGAGCAATAACAAGGCAGGGCAGATATACGGCTGCAGTTGCAATGAAATAATCCCTATTCAAGATAATTTGTTCAGATGCTCTATGATGCAAAAGCAAGGGAGGTCCATTACCATGAAGTTAGGCGAAAGCCACAGTGTATAAAGAAGAATACGACAAATACTACTGCCGCGAAAAAGTGGGTGGCTTTGAACAATTCGTAGAATTTTTTCCTGAAACTCATTAGTCTCGATACAGCAGTTGTCTTCTGGGTCAGTGAATACCTTATCACTGGTAAGGACATGAAGTTCAGGTAAGCCTGCGCAATAATTACGACAACGCCTGTCCAGTAGTATGCAGATGTACTCCACCGGTACGCAATATCTCCGTGCCGAATTTGATATATTATAAAGGGGAACATATGGATTAGCCCTAAGGTAAACATTGCCCAGCTTGTCCACTGATGGAAGATCTGATCAATGGTTAGACGAGAAATGCATCTTCTTGGTAATTGATACTCACTTGAAGTTTTTCATGGGGTACCCCAGTCATCATCGTAATCCAGTTCGTTTTCGCTGCAAGAACGCTTGTTTGATAGTTAGAACAGACGAGCTATATCTCTTCTCAAGGTAAAAAGGTTCACTAACATCACAAAAGGCAATAAACCAAGGGCCATCCATCCCGCCCTGATAGCAATTGGGGGACTGTTCCCAAATATAACCTTTTCCGTGTTTGGCCAGTAGTATGGTTTCGGCCCCAGGGTTAGAGCTATTAATCGACATCAGCTCTAGCCTGTCTATCTTCGATTGCATCCTTATATAGAGGAACGGACCCGAGAAAAAGAGAATACCCAACGAAACTACCAGCATTCCACCAACATTTGGTGAAAGCAAGGAAAGGGATGGTATGCGGAAGCCCCTATACACGAGGTACCGCATGAATCCTTTGGGCTTCTGAAATAACCCATTGGCCAATTTCGGGGGGATTAATTTTCGAAATAAGTGTGCTATCATGAATACAGCAACAATAGCGCACAGAAAATAAACTGTGCCCCGTGCATAAACGAGGTCAGCAACATACCTAAATAACGGCATTAAGTCAGCTTAAGCAGGTAACCATCTTCTCGTCAGGGAAGGCTACCAATTTCGCCAGTGACCACTGCGGTATTCGCATTGTGCTGGTGTCAATTTACACTTGTCTTCCCTTGATGAGTGTAGTAGAAGCGGTTTACGAAGCCAGGGAATACCAGTAGGCTTCAACCTCTCCATTGTATGGTGAGCCATAATAGTATATGTGCAGCTCGACAAGCGCACCCAGTACGACCTTGGACACTCGTGTAGACAGCGGCCAGGGTTGCCGGTACACCAGAGACCGGGAGCATCGTATTAAGAATACCCTCTAGAAGCAAGGACAGCACTATGACTAAAAATATCAAGAGCAGTTTGAAGTAATGATGGGCCAGAGGGAGGGTTTCAGGTATAGATGCCCATGCTTGCTGTTGCTCCTCTATAAGGTCGAACGGAAGAGAAAACATGGTGGGTATATATTGAATCACATTGAATGCTTCCGATTCCCCTATTTTTAAGTATATCCAATGGTATTATCTGAAAGCCACTCACAAGGCCCAGAAGTAATGGCATCTTGCTCCGTGAAAAAGGAAGCATAGCTCTAGAGCCATTCTTGGCGAGAATATTTGAGCGGGAATGTCAGCTATAGAAACTTGATATCGGAATTATAGTTAATGGATTAACTATGTCATCTTGTGGGACGTCGGTATAATAATATTGCGAGTTTTGTTGTTAATGGATCATCTATATCATCCAGTGGGGTATACACCCGGGTAAGCATCTTTAAAGCATTAGTCAAATTCGAGCATGCAAACATGTAATGATGATATGGCCGGGAATCTGTGATTGAGAAGTGGGAGTAGGCGAGAGCTGACTAAGCACGAGTAAACTAATATTTGACACCATCTTTTATGTCGCTATCTTCCAATATCTTCTATCTTCTTCACCGATTGAAACATGGCTATGCTTAGCAGGATTTTTACTATGTATCATTTACTTCAGTTACAAACGGCTCCCTAGCCACACGATACGGGCCTACCAATCAGAACAACACGGCATCCTCCCTCGAATACGGCCCTGGACAAGAATTTTGTCGGAGTAACGACGGGATCAGCTAGAAGGTTCGAACAGCTTCTCGCAGCCGATTTCTCCTTCACTGCACAGCTTACAACCTGTAAAACCGCAGGTCTCCAAGGAATAGTTATTTTTGAGAACCATATCAACATCAAACCATCACGCCTGATGCCTCTGGCGCCACGGAACCCAGAGCCCGCGCAGACAAGAGGGAAAGGCAATCAAGAGAACCAAAACTGCATCGATACGATGTCTGGTGGTAGTGATATCGCCGTCCGTGCTACCGGGTACGAAACTCGTCTTAAACTGAGTACTGACACCCTTGGTCCTTGAGCCTAAAATCTAATCAGAGCGTGATGTGGTCAATAAGAATGGCTTCTGTTTTGTAGCCAAGTGCCTGCTGCCATCGTCACACAGCCCTCTCACATGGCTAGCATGGGGCTATGAGTTGTGATTCATTCTTATTCTGGCGTTTGCGGTTTGGATGATGAATAACCGAGCCATATTCTGAGATATATGATGATACCTTTAGACGGGCTCAGCATCATACCGTATCCTTTGAATAAATTATGGGATTACGGGTTGGATAACGACGATGATGTCCTTGGTTGGACAAGTTTGCCTAAGTTGATATGGTTCAACCTTCTTGGCCAGCCGTTTAAGGAGTGATATATGTTTATATTTCTCCTTGAAATATTACTATAGGCCATGGGGGCCAAGTTATTACTTTACTCTGATATTAACCATAATAGTCTACATCGGCGTATTCTTGAGATAACCGACCAGGCCTTTAGGGGAATATTTTTTCACTCTCTGGAATCGCCTTCCGACGTAGGAGTCGAGATACGATACCCTACTAATCTTGTCCTCAAGTCAGGGATGCCTTACTATCCTCCTACTTACTGGCTTATAAATGTCACAATCCCTGGTACCCCTGATACCCCTGATATCCCTAATGCCACGAACCAGAACCAGTCCAGGGGAAGTCACGTGTTGTTAGACTTTGGTGCGGCTCATGCCAAGATGTTTAGTTAACTACTCAATCTTATCATGACGAGCTCGATTCACTCTTTATCGACAACGAACGGTCGGAATCTAGGGGAAAGTAACGAATTTCAGATTAAGTTACCCTTAACATTATTTGCGGGATCTAAGTGAATTGACAAGTTGAACCGAGAGGCTAACATAGATACCCCACAGAAAATATCGGGTTTGAGACACATGAGAAAGGAGAAATGACACAGGCAAGTAACCTTCCATCATAGATATGAAAAATCTTCTTGAAACTTGGGAAGAAGGAAAGGCCTCCTAGAGAATGCTCTAGTTGCAAGAGCAGCCAAGGTAGTTGTTGGTGCAGCGGCCGTTTCGTCCATCGCAGCCATTCTCGTCACATTTTCCGACATTTGAACCACATCCGTATCCGCACTCGCATCCGAGGTAGGGTCCCTACGGAAGATTTGTGGTTAGGCTCCGTACTTCAAAATGTACCATGCGGGGGAAAAAACCGGGGTATGCTTACAGAAGTGCAGGTGATCTTGTTGCTGCTCAGCTCTCCGTGGCAGTCGTTTTCGTAGCAGTTACCATTTGGATAACCGCAGTTGTTGCGGGCCTGAATGGAGTCTGCCTCAGGGCGAGCGAAAGAGGTAGCCACAGAGGCGAGGCCAACAATGAGGAGGGTGGTGAAACGCATGATGTTTGATAGAACTGGTTGTTCTGCTGGAATGCTCTTTATCTTAGTGAAGGGTGGAATGTGATGTGAAGATTTCTGATTCTGAATTCCAGCTTTGAAGGAGGGAAAAGATCCCAATATTTATACCTTTTTGAAAGCCCTCTGAGTCCGGATATCAACTCCCGTCGGTGATGCAGCTGAGTTAGTTGTGCGTAACGATTGATCCTTCGAGTCTACTGTTTGCATGAGACAAGTACTCTCATACAGTACCTTGCTTGATTTTACGGCCGAATAAATGAGGATTCCCATCACGTACCATGCACCACGGTCACACATGCGCATAGTGTTCTGTATGGGGTTGTATAGCATACATTCTAAAGGTATATCTCGAAGATAGCATTTTTGGGGCGCCCTATCCAGCGAAGGATCTGTTGATCGTGATGATGGGGTAAAAATCCGAACTAATGAAACGCATATTACCATAAGCGGAAACCAGAGACCGTACCATAAAAGCACATCCGGTACTCCTAGGCCAGATGAAAATGTAGGATTTGCATCCTTGCCGTCCGAACCGAAGGGGGAAGATCCAGCTTACACTTTACATTTACTTTGGCAATACGGCATCATCCGGAAGCAAGCAGAGATGGTTTATCTGATAGGAAGACCTTCAGATGGCCACGCGGCACGCACAACCTATGTGGAATAAAGTGACAAAGATGAGTCGATCGCACATGAAGGGTACGAGCAGACAGGCGGATTTCAATCGCACCTAAAGCCCCGGGAATAACAAATGCAGAGACGTATCTCCGTGATTTTACACAAGTACATTTATTCTTTCCTAATAATTCTGTTATGTCGCTGACGCTGCAAGCAAGGCTGGAGGGATATACATAGTAGGCAGCACAGGTCTAGAACGTGTAATCAGGGTAGCTTTGCTCAGGACCGGGGTTGCGGCTGCGGAAAGGCTTGCTACATGCGCCACCCCTGCTACTCCAGTTATATGAGCGAACGTGTATATCCATGTCAAAACTCCCAGCCATGGGCCTCCTTGTTCGTGTGGGGAGTGATGGTGGCTTTATACAAGTAGTCTTACTGGTAAGCCAGAGCCCCTTTTAAGCTTCGGCGAAGGAAGAAGAGCTATTTACTGATAAATAGTACGTTACATATGAGAATGCTTGTGTCAGTTAGCGTGGAAGTTGGTAATTAAGCATTCTTGTAGGATGCAGGATTTGGTGGCACAGCGATGCTTCAGACGTGGTTTGCCAACAGTGCTTCAACCGTTATCGCATCAGCTGAGCTTCAGGGGCCTAAAGATACATAGTATGTACATTACTAGGCGGTTGTTGTCAACTAGGAGATACGGGAGTAACATGGGTGGATGAATCCATTAACCGAGGACAATTTACCCTATCTACTTCATTACCTATCGATATACCGATAGACACATAGGCATGCATAAAGAGCAGAGTAGCCAAAAAAGCAACGGAACGCTCTCACGTACAGCTGCAATGGAACGAAGAAGATGACAGGACAGTAGGGTAGCAGAAGAAAATATAGACATGGACAAAAAAAGGTTGGAAGAAGGACATAAACATGAGGGAGGAGGGAGGATTTTGGTTTAATCCCCCCTTTTTTTCTCTCTCTTTTGTTAACGGAGATAAGTTTTATATCTGGGCATGTAATTGACTGGCTGACATTAGATGAGCAGCGCGGGATATCAACATGATAAAGCGAAAAAGGCCTAACCGAACAAAGTATGGGGAGAGAAGGGGAAGTATACCATTACGACAACACGGGGAGTGAGATCATTATATTAGACTCGAACTCAATTCAACCAGTGAATAAGGGGGGGGGGGCGGATAACCCTGAAAAATGGAAGGAAGTAACAGAGAGATTTTAGGCAAACTTCTCCTTCAATTTGTGCAAGAATCCGCTGAGACGGTGTTTCTTCTTCTTGTCTAGGGTTTCGGCGGTGTCGGTTGTGCCATTTTGGGCTGAAGGAGCGCCGGCGGTAGCGGTGGCAGTGGTCTTGGGTTCGACCGGCTTTCGTTCAGGTACACCTGAGGTCTCAGGGATGCTTTTGGTGGCAGGGCCGGTTGTGACCTGTGGAGTCTCCTTTGGCGGCTCCGTGGGTGCGGAGGGGACCTGGGACGCGGTCATGCCGGTGGCGATGGGCCCTTCGCCTCCTGCTGGGGCATCTGGCTCATGGGACTTGGGAGATATGTCTCCTGTCCCTGGATGGTGGTCGTCTTGTTTCTGCACTGGCTTGGTGGTGGTGCTGCCGGTTGCTGCCGGTGCAGTTGACGCCAGGGCGGCTGAAGTGGTGGGAGCAGGCTGACCACCGCCGGTAGCTGGCGGCACTTCGTCGAGCAGCTCCTGCTCGAGCTCCTTCTTCTCCTTGACCATCTCGGGAATACAGGCAGCCTCGGAGTCTGTGTGAGCTTTGCTCATGGACTCCTTGACGAGGTCGGGCACCTGCTTGGCGGGGACTTCAGGATCATACTGGGCAGTGCTATCTACAGCATTGCGGGCCTTTTCGAGGGGAACCGCGCCTGCAAGAGCGGCCGTGGTGGCCTGGGGGGCGGAGGACTGGATGGTTGGGTTGTCGTTGGGCCCGGCAGACTTGGACTTGGGTGCAGTGTCGACGGGGAGGGCGGAGTAGGTGTTCTTCTGGTCGTGTTGGTGCTGCTGTGCGGCCAAGGCGGCCATGGCAGGGTCGCTAGCATCCTTCTCATAGCCTGCCTTGTCGGTGGTGACGTTGGAGTCGAGAGTGCTGGAAGTGATGTCGTTTGATCCGGGCACCTTCTCGCCAGGAGCGAGCTTGACGGGGTTTCCAACCGTCCCGGTGGCGGGCAGAGGGTTGACGGAGAACTCCTTCTGCTGCTCATCTGCCGCCGCCATGGCGGCCATGGCGGGGTCACTGGCATCCTTCTCGTAGCCTGCCTTGTCGGTGGTGACGTTCGAGTCGAGATTGCTGGAGGTGACGTTGTTTGACTCTGGCACGTTTTCGCCGGGCGAGAGTTTAACCGGGTTTCCAACCGTCCCGGTGGCGGGCAGAGGGTTGACGGAGAACTCCTTCCGCTGCTCGTCCGCTGCTGCCATGGCTGGATCGCTGGCATCCTTCTCGTAGCCTGCCTTGTCGGTGGTGACGTTCGAGTTGAGGTTGCTGGAGGTGACGTTGTTCGACTCCGGCAGCTTGTCGCCCGGAGCTACCTTGACCGGGTTACCAACCGTTCCCGTTGCGGGCAGAGGGTTCACCGAAACCTCGCCCTCGTCCATCGGCGTCTCTGGAAAGGTGCCTGGGGTCTTCTCCAGGGGCACATCTTTGGCGAGCTGGGCGGTGGTGGACTCGGGAGCAGCCGTGGAGATGGTGGCCTCGTGGGCTGCAGGCTCCTTGGGAACGGCGGTGGTCGACTCAGGGGCGACACCAGACATCACAGCGGCTGAGGCGTTGGGGCTGGTGGCGGTTGCGGCAGGAGTGGGCGAGAGGTCCTTGGAGAGAAGGACGCTGTTGACGTTGTTGTCTCTGTCGGTCTCTTCTTGGGACGCAGCAGGGTCAGTGTGCCACGTTCCGTCGACGATGAACTATTGTACGTCAGGGCCGTCCTTATGGTCGTGTATATATATGTTTATCCAGAGGAGAGTTGGGTGAAGAAACAGGCTGGCGGGGCTTTTTATAGAGCGGAAGCAAAAAGAACGCTATCGCGATGGAGCGAAAGAGAGGAAGAAAAAACAAAGCAGAAAAGGTAAAGAATGACGTAGGGCAAAAGTGACCTCGAGATACTTCTATACACACACAAAACAGGTGAAGACGGAGGTAGCGTCAAGGTACCAGCGTATTTATGGTCCCAGCCACAAGTCGACAAGGGGGAGAGAGAAGACGGCCGACGGTGAGAGAAGGGAGACGCACCTTGTAGAGGATCCTGTCGTCGTCGTCTGGGAGGTGAAGCTCCTTTGCGAAGCCGCCGTCCGTCCTGTCGAGCCTGACGCTCTTCGACCAACGGTCAAAGGTGCCGGTGACGACCACTTCCTGTGCCTGTCGAGGCCTTCAAGCAGTCAGCAAGAGCGTAAGAGCGTAATATCATGAGCCATCAGGTAGGACGAGAGAGAAGCCGACATATCCAAGTTCAATGGACGTTTCCCCTTCTTTTCTTCTTATCCTGCATCCGACTTACCATCTGAACGTATAGTAGCCCATCCTGAGTCAATGCCTGACGGTGAAAGAGTCGAGACGGTCAGGAGAAGAAGTCGACGTTGGATGGCGGGAAAAGATGCAAGTACTATCGCGCTGGCGGCTGTTTATTGGCGGCAGGGATGGGCTCAACATAGATTGGGATACCGGTCGATACGGCAGATATATAGACAGGTATAGAAGATGCCTATAGATGCTTGTATATTCCCTCGTTAGCTTCTCCATGAAAGAACTCGCGTGTGGCTGGTACTTCTGCAGGAGTCACAGTTACTTCTGGCGCCCGTCGAGCGAAGAAGACCGCAAGTACATGTACAAGACATCGAAGTCACTCTGGAAGCTCAAGACGAGTCGATAGCTTTTTTCCCTTCTGGCTTGACGTTCTAGAAGGACGACGACGCTTTTTGCTTTTCTTTCGTCTGCTCTTCGACTTCTTCGACTTCTTCGACCCATCCTCTTCCGTCTCTGCCATCTCCGTCTGTCGAGCGGTTCTCGTACTCGACTTCCACCGTCTGTCGTCTCATACTCGACTATCACCTCATACTCGACTATCACCGTCTTCTACAGTCAAGGCATCTGTCCGCTGGTAAGTCCACGCTAAACAGCCTTCCCGCCCAACCCCACGCAACCGAAGCCTGCAACTCCCCCAGACAACAACCCCAAAAACCTATGCACACAGTTGTAACAGCACATAATACCATATCGTCGTCTCCTCCAGACGCTCCCTCGACCGCAGAGCTCCTTGCATGACGCCTGGTCTGACCGGTTGTTGCCACAGTTCTGTCTCGTCACTCGGTAGGCCGAGCACCTGCTTGCCCCTCATCATATATCTATACACACACGCAAGGACGGGTAGACGGGAGACAAGGCCAGACAGCATTGACACGCAAAAGAGAGTCAAAAAGTCGAGACGAGACAGATGTCTCAATCGCACTTCGTCACCAACCCGTTCAGCACCAACGGTGGCGGCAGCGTCAACCGCATCGACGAAGAGGAAGAGAACGTAGCCTCGCCCACAGACCCCGTCAGGCTGGGTGATAGGGCTGCCAACACCGTCAGACAGCCCCGAAGCACACACACGAACAGCTCAGGACCGGGATCGGGAGGCATGTTTGGGTCCAGCGGCCCCTTTGGCGCCAGCCAGGGCGGCTCCTCTTCCGCCAGCGGGTTTCCAAGCAACTACTCGCTGGGCCGTCGTACCTCCGTCTCAGCCGAATCTCTCAACCCAACCTCTTCCGGCACCGACAGCTGGACCCCCCCGCACCACCCAAAGACCCCGGCCCAGCTCTCCCGCCTGCAGGCCGCGGTCTCGTCCAACTTCCTCTTTGCCCACCTGGACGACGACCAGTTCAAGACCGTGCTCGACGCCCTGGTGGAGAAGCCGGTGCCGGCCAAGGACATCAAGGTCATCACCCAGGGCGACGCGGGAGACTTCTTCTACATCGTCGAATCGGGCCATTTTGATATCCACATCCACCCGTCCGGCACCGCCCAGCCAGGCGGACACGCCGGGCTGGGTGCAAAGGTCGCCTCCATCGGCCCCGGGGGCGCATTCGGCGAGCTGGCGCTGATGTACAACGCCCCCCGAGCCGCGACCGTCATCTCCACGGAGCCGTCTACCCTCTGGGCCCTGGACCGCATCACCTTCCGCCGTATACTCATGGACAGCGCCTTCCAGCGTCGACGCATGTACGAGGCCTTCCTGGAAGAAGTGCCCCTTCTCTCCTCCCTCAAGCCCTACGAACGCTCCAAGATAGCAGACGCCCTGGACACCATCAAGCGCCCCAGCGGGGCCACCATCATCGCCGAAGGGGAGCCCGGCGAGTCCTTCTACCTGCTCGAGTCCGGCGAGGCGGTTGCCTACAAGTCTGGCATCGACGGCCCGGTCAAGGAGTACAGACGAGGCGACTACTTTGGTGAGCTGGCTCTGCTGGATGACAAGCCCAGACAGGCAACCGTCGTGTCCAAGACGGAGGTGAAGGTCGCCAAACTTGGTCGAGACGGCTTCAAGCGGTTGCTTGGGCCGGTCGAGGAGATCATGAGGAGAAAGGACTACGGGACCGCCAGCGCTACCGAGTCGGAGGCGGGCACCAGGGAGAAGGACGGCACTTGATATGCACATTTTTTTATCATGGAGTGGTTTTCTCTCTCTCTCTCTCTCTCTCTCTCTCTACCTGGCATCTCATGGCATTCTTAAAGATAGTGTCCTTGCTCAGTTTCGCTTCTGTTTACGTCCCTGTTTCGCTCACTGCCTGTTGGATGAATTAATGTTAAATGCTAGTACAAGTTTCGTTACGAGGTTATCTGCTTATTTTCTCTTCCCCCTTGTCGACTTACTCCCCCAGTGAAAACGAAAAAAAAGAAAATCTGGAGAACCAAAAACATGCATATATAACTATCGTTTAACTACCAAATCACTTCGAATCACCCACTTCTCTCCACCAGTCACCTCTCGTCCTTCATGCAGTAGACACTCGTCGCCGTGCCGGTGCAACAGGGCCATGCCGGCTTCCATACCCACCACTACCGGCTCCACGACTTTGCCCTTCCTACGACCTGCTCCGGCTGCAGGTTCAGGGTAGAACGCCGTCTCCCCGCCGGAGCACGTACTGAGATATATCAACAGCGTCCAGCTCGTCCTGGCCCGGACGGGGGGTGTCCCAAAGCTCACCGGAACAGCTTCATCGTCTGGCCATCGTCAGCACCGTAACAGCAAACATACCGGGGGGGGGGGGGGGGGCAAAACATACAATGCGGTCCAAAGAACTGGCCCTCGGTATATCGATATACTCGAATATTCGGGTTCAAACCCAACACCTCTCCGTCCCAGTCTGCGGCTCCGCTCTCGCCGTCAGCCCGACCTCGACCGACCAGCTGCTTCAGACCGGTGCCGGACCACAGCCGCTCAGCAAAAGCAGGGTCGTCGACCTGGAACCTGTCGTTGACGCGCAGGGCTTCGTCTTTCTTCGGTCTCCCCGGCGTCGTGGCGAGAGGCAGGGTGGAGAGAAAGGAGATGTAGGCCTTGCATAGGGCGGAGGAGAAGAGCTTCCGGACGATGTAGATCTGGGATGGCAGGATCGGGGTGAGCGAGAGGCCGGACGTAGGTGGCAGAGGGCGCAGAGGAGGCCAGTCGGGCCTGACCTTTGCTTCCTTCGTACACGGCTCTGCCTGTTTCTCTTTCTTCGCCATCACTGATATCACTTATGGGTATATGAGCAAGTCCTCGTATTATGCAGCAGCGACGTTGGCCCGCATCACCACGTAATCCCTTTGCCCTTTCACTCTCCCTTCACCTGGTCTTCATCCAACATGATGATAATTCTTTCTCTTCATATATAATAAAAGAAGTCTGGATAATAAATAATAAAAAGAAGTCTGGATAAGGCCCGCGCTAACCCCGAATAGGCAAGGCGGGCCCATGCAAAATCCGCGCTCGGCGTTTTTTTTTTATCTTTCAAGGAGTTTCGAGTTTCTTCTTCGTTCGAGAATAAGCAAAGAAGACGAAGACGAAGATATCCAAGGGAGATGCGCTCTCGACGGTGAACGGCCATCCAATGTCCTCTTCCCAGGCCGTGGCGGCGTCGCTCATGGGGCCTCCGCCTCCCGACGCCGTACCAGAGAGGTCTCGCTTTGACCGGCTCGACGACCATCACCATCATCATCCTCGACAGCCAGACCATCCCAGTCCTGGTCCTGCCAGGGAGGACGCCGCTGCGACACAGTCCTCATCGAAGAACACGAGCTACTCTCCAGACGATGCTTCAGGTACGGTTGTGCTTCTTGCTATCTAGTTCATGGTCAAGGTCGCCTTCTTTTTCCCTCTTCTGACGTTGTTAACTACGACTAGACCGGCATCCCCCCCAGTCAGACCCCCAGAAGCAGGCCGCCGCAACCACCCTTCTGGCCCAGCTGTTGTCCGGTGCTGCAGATAACAACGGCCACGACGGCGCGTTGCAGCCCCTATCCGATCTCCCCGTCTCTGCAGCCGATGCTGGCGCTCAGGTCTGGCCGTCAATGCCGAAGTCGAGCGAGCAGCCTCCTTCGACGGTCGAATCGACCGCCGTCCCGGATGCGGGCGCGGAGGGCGACTTCCATGGCCTGCCTGGGATGGGGGATCTGCCCGCGTCCGATGCGCTGCCGACTATAGACATGCAGACCGACACGTCGATGCTGGGCCCGCTGGACAACGTCGACCTCAAGGTCTCTGACCTGGACACCCAGCATTTTTCAGACTTTACCGCGTTGGCTACCACGCCAGTCCATCCGCGAGAGGCGTTGGAGCAAAACGGCCTGCTCGCCAGCGCCGGATACTATGGCTCTCCAGCCATGAATGGAGGCGGACCAACACCGCGGATAGTCGGTTACCCTGACTTCTCCAACTCTGTAGACATGAAAGGGCGCGAAGGGTCCGAATCCGTCGCTGGGTCGGAGCCCAGGATCCAGGCGTTCGCGAAACTCGAGTTTGACGACGGCCATTTCTACGTAAATACGTACTCTTTCATCCTGGGTCGCGATGTCCGCGCTGCTCGCGCTGCCTTCCAGAGAGAGTACCAGGCCAAGCAGAACAAGGCTCACAGCTCGAGCGGACACAAGACACGTACTCCCAGCAGGATCAAGAGAGAAGGGAGCGCGTACATGGGCAGCGTGATCAGCGACAAAGGTGGAATCATGGGGTTCGACCCGGACATACCTCAGAACGGCCCGCCGCAGATGAGTTGGAAGTCCTCCAACTCTTCAGCCGACCAGGTCGCTCGCCCGTTGCTGCATATCTCCCATGGAGAATCACAGGCGAATTCTGAGCCTCGAGAGATGACAGATTACAACGCCCTTGCCATGCAGTCGCTACAACGCGGCCACCATGAACCCAAGAGAGTCGACACCCTCTCTTTGCTTCCCTCCCCGGAAGCGTGTCCGACCATACCGATTCATCCCCCCGTGCCCGCCAACGGCGGCTCGTCGCATAGGGCAATTTCAAGAAAACACGTGAAAATCGCATATAACTTTCACAAGAACGTCTTTGAGATGGAAGTCATCGGTAGGAATGGCGCCTTTATGGGCGCCGATTGGCTTGCTCCCGGTCAAGTCAGACCCCTTCACAGCGGCGACTTCATACAGATCGGAGGCGTCAGGGTACGATTCCTGCTCCCAGACGTGCCTATCGGAGACACCGGTGCTGAAGCCGCTCCCTCATCACCACCCGAGATGGGCCATGGGTTGCCTCATCAACAGGAGATTGAACACTCTGAGGAACCGGAACGGCCTAACGTGGAGGAGGAATCAGAGCAGAGTGGTGGTGACGGTGCGGTTAAACCCAAGGATAAGGGTCCATCGCGGCCTGGCCAGAAACCGCCGGTAGAATCGGGCCAGGCTGCGACGACTACTACTACTACCACTACCAACAAACGCCGTGGACCTGGCAGGCCGCCCAAGGATGGGATCATGTCTAAACGCGAGAGAGCAGAAATCGCACGGGAGCAGAAGTTGGCTGCTAAACGTGAAGCTAACGGTGCCGCTGCCGCTGCCGCAGCCACCGCCGCCTCTCCACCGCCAGCTACTGCCGCTACTACCGTTAAGGTAAAGCCTGCCAAAGCTGCCAAAGAGCCCGCTGCTGTACCTGCTGCCGTTACCCCTGCAGGCCCTCCTGCAACCGGCCCCGAGGACCCGTCAACGACGACCGTGAAGGTGGAGAAACGAAAGTACACCAAGAGGAAGAAGCCGGATTCGGCTCCTGGCGAAACCGTGATGCCATCCATCGAAGGAGCTGCAGGTCTAGGAGGTAATATGGAAATACAGCACAGCGAACCCATACGTCTTCCCTCCGTGAAGAAACGCAAACCCTCCAAGTCTCCATCCCCTGACTATCCCCCTGAAAGCTTCTATACACCCAAGGAGCTTGCTAAACCGCCATACAATTATGCAGTTCTCATCTATGATGCACTATCAGAATCCCCTACACCCATGACACTAAAGCAGATATACCGTGCTCTCAAGCTCAAATACCCTTACTTCCGCTTCAAGTGTGAGACCGAGGGCTGGACGTCAAGTGTACGACATAACTTGAATGGCAACACCCATCTGTTCATGCACGCTGAACGAGACGGCAAGGGATGGTCGTGGAAACTCATACCAGGCGCTTCTGTCGATAAGGAGAAGAAACGTCGTCCATCCCCTCCGCCTGTCCAAGATGTATCCAGCAACAGTCAGCAACGATTCCTACCGCCAAATACCGGGTCTGGAGCCCAATACATCGCTCCTCCGGCTCAGTTCAACCGTCGTCAATATCCCCCTTATCCTCCTCCAGCGAACACCCAGTATCCTCCTCCACCTCCCCAACAGCAGCAGACACAGGCTCCTCTACCACCTCCACCAGCTGCACCGCCATCACAGCCAGTGGCAGCATCTAAACCCCCTCCACTACCTCCTCCTCCTCCCCCAGCCGCTGTGATAGGCCCTCCAGCAGCTCCTCCGGCACTTACTCTACCACCACAGTTAATGCGAAATCTTCCTCCTGCTCTTTCTACCATGAACCCCACCCTGTATCTCTCTCCGTACATCATGGCCTCTTCGTCGTTTGCTCCGCCACAGCAACGGCCACCCCATCAACAGCCAATACAACCGCATCCGCCTCCTCCCACCCATCCACCTGGCCATCAGCAGCAGACTAGGCCACCGCAAATGCAGCAACCACATCACCCACAACCTCCTCCACAACATCAACCCCCAAACCAGTATAGGTTCCATAATCAAATCCTACCCCCAAACCATAGCCAACCTCACCAGGCACCTCATCGCCCTCCACAACCTCCCCAACCTCCTCCCCCAACCCATACCCAGGCGCAGCGACCACACAACATCCCCGTCACGTCGGCATCTGCATCCCAGTCAGGCATCCCGACATCAACAGCGACATCATCTCCCGCTCTTCCCCCCGCCCCAGTTTCTACTCAAAGTTCAGGCATGGACCCTGCTTTCCTCGCTCGCGCCAACCAAGCAATTGACAATTTCGAAGCGGTGCTCATAGAAGACTATGAGGATAAAGACTACATCCGCAAAGTCCTTCGCAGTGCGCGCGACAGAGTCCTCCACGGTGCAAAAGAGAGCTCAATTGCAGGCGGCGAAACAAAGGACGAATCAGTCATCATTGATACGCTACGGGGAATAATTGGAAGCCTTAATGGCCAAGATCAATAAATACCAACAACGAGATTTGGACGACTAGAATTCTAGCTGAGGCCCTGAGTTGGGTGGAACTAAATAGAACTATTTGGGAATATGTCTTATAATTACTTTGCCCATTCTACACACAAACACACACTATATCGTACTTACACCTATACCCTTTAACTATACCCATACGCACGAACTGTGCAAGATATACGAATGATGCGAAACGCTTTTCCTTAAAAGATCATTTCATGTTTGCTCCATTGCATGGGCGTTTTAATTCTCCCCTGGAGAAACGTGGGTTTTGGCCGGTACATACATACATAGTGACCGTGTCGCAGCATTGCGTGGCGGCTTGTCGTGCATTCTAGACATTTTTTCTTTCATTCGGTTGATATCCCGATCTTGTGGGTTCATTCGGCGACGGGAAAATAACATATTATGGCGCTGTTTATTGTAACTATTATATAGCCCAATATGGATGGACCCTATATTGAATATACTGTCTAATCGGTCGTATAGTAGTGAATCTGTTCATTAAAGCGAGGTCTTGCAGGCTAGTGTGACCAGTCAAACGAAGAGATAAAATATACAGCGTGCAGACAGAAATACACCGGAGGAAATACAGTGAAAGACTGTAAGCAGGAGAACGGCCCAGAATGCAAAGGATATTCAGCTGCTGATTGAGAAAAGAGAGTAAACCGTAGGAGACTGTCGTAGAAGGTATTCTACATAAATTAGCAGAGAAACAAACAAAAGAATAAAAGAATTCCCTTCCTTCCAGACGCCACGTCCCGTAATAAGTTATTTAGATGCTCGCTTTCCTAGTTTCTTTCGTGTTTTCGTTCTCTCATGCTACCCGAAGTTGATTGCTCACATGGCCATCTCGGCTCTTAGTTTCTCTAATTCGGCCTCCTCGTCTTCTTCCTCGGTCCGAGCTTTGGGTTGTTCTTTGACTGTATTGGAAACAATTTATTAATGGGCGATTGACATATTGTGAGAGTGGATAGACTTACTGGCTCCATTTGCAACAGAAGGTAGTCTATCAATCCTATCTCCAACCGGCACCGTCCCGGTGCCTATCATCTTATTGTCGATATGCTCTTGTTCTAGGTTGTCCAGTTCATTTTCTAGTTCAGTCTCGTCAATGGGCTCGCCAATGGGGGCGTTGGTAATTGCGTTGACTATTTCTTCGCTGAGAGTGTGCTGTTCTTGTAGTTCGCCCCTGTTAGGTAGATAAATGTTAGAAACTTCTACAAAATTTTAAACGGCTCATATAGAGATTATTATAAAAAAGCAAGAGGATGCTGACATTGTTTGATCGACTGCTTCTATGGTAAGACCAGTGTGTATCTGTTCCATAGCAGCCTTGGCGCTCTTCATGGCATTAAACGTTTCCTGATTGATATTTGCGGATTCGATGGAGTATATATGTTGTTCCAGCTGCAGAATCTGAGCACTGGTTTGGTCGAGTGACCGTTCGTGGAGTTTCTTTCTCCTTAAAGCAGTTTTGGCAGCTATTCTTCAGAGTTAGAAATGACATTTTAGGACAAGGGTAAGTTCGTAGGAGATAAAGCTTTGAAAAGGGGGCATACCATTTTTATTAACCGTTACATTCTTCCTGGCTATGGCTTCTTGTTCATCCATCTGACTTTGTAAATACTTCTCCCGCTTTTGCAGCATGTCAAGCTGCTCACGAAGGGAGAGAATGGCATTTTTGGGAACATCTTTCCGCTTCTGCGCCGCCGCGCCGCCAAACCATGACCACATAGTTGCTCGAAGGTATGTATGAGCACCTTGGAAATCAAAGATGTGCTGGGAATAGGATGGGCCCAAGTAATATGGGTGCCTAACAGTTTAGAACAGAAACCCGATGTTCGAGATATCTAAGCAGTTTCAAACCCGATATCTGTGTTTCCCGTCCAGCCGAAACGTCGCCCTGAATATATACTGATGCCTATTCGGCCCTCAATAGACGATAATACGGTAGGTAGACAGGATGTGCGGGGTGACGGTCTCGCCCGTCAGGATCGAAAATAGAACAAAAGTGAGGTGGTGGGTGGCCAAAAATCCAAAAGACCAGCAGATCAGGTGTACGGGAGCGTAAGTTGAATGTACAGTTGCAAGACTTAAGAAATGCGGTTTGATAACGTCGTCAGGCAGTGAGATTGTTCGTTACTCGTTCTTTTGATTCTTTCATCGACTTTTATGACATCGAATCATCTGGAGATGGTTATATCACGTGATAGGTCACATGGTTGGCTTAGTAATCGCTTATCAAGATCGGTTTTCGGATGTTTTGTTGGAACCGTATCGGAATAAGCGATACGCCGCTGCCGCCACCTCCTGCCTTATCTCGCTTAGGCACTAGTTAGCCGACGGCCCTTATCCTATATAGATAAATAGTCGTAGTATAGCCTCTAGACCTGAGCTCTACCTGGTCTACATACGGTTGAAGTCTACTCGTACACAAGCGAAGCAGTACTTATGTATTCTTACTAGTTAAATAACTACTGATTAAGTATAACATTCGACATACAGTGGACAAAATTCTCGACGTAGCAACGAGTGCAGGAAATAGCGACACTAAGATGCGATCCACCGCTCTATGAACGTTCCGCCTCCTAACTCATTTATACTTGTCTCCCATATCTCCGAGACAAAATGCTTAATCTCCTTGTACTGTTCAACTGTCCTGAAGTACCCCGATTTCTCACAGCCGTGTATGTTTCGGTAAGTTAATCTTGCTTCTAAACCTATATATTTAGTTACAAACTAAACGTTTACAGTACGAAAACCAATCACAAGCTCAGATTTAACGGCAGGATTACATGGGAGGCGAAGACGTTAGCCGGTCTTTGAGGGTTCTTACATTCATTGTATCATTTCGGAGGCTGTTGGGAGAACACGTGACCGCAGCCTCCGAGACGTTTTTTCCCATCAAATTTGAAACTTCAACTACATGAAGAGAAGAAATGGGATGTGGTGATAGAAACGTTTCCGCTACACTGCGAGGATTTCGCTTCGAATGGAACCGGCCATACCGGGCCCCCCTCCGACAAGGATAATATTTCTCTCGCAAATTCCAGCATGCCCCTTGGGCTACAAGGTCCGATTCTTAGGATGGTATGTTGACTTATTCCACACGTTGTACTCAAGATGGGGAGGCAGTAATAATAACGTCACACGCGTAGTGTCTCGAAATACAATGCCACTACTGGTCGTCTGACTCTTGAACACAACTGCAATGTCGGTGGGGTACATTCTCGAAACCACAGAGTAGAAGTTGATATAAACCTTCTACTTGGAGATATCAATCATACAAGTATTCAAATAGGGGTCTGGCTCAACGTCCTTGGGTATATACGTGAGGACTCGTTCTATGACGATTATAGAAGAAATAAGGATGAAAGTATTTCGAAAATTCGGGAGCAAAAGGTACAGAAAACAGCAGCTTTACCGGTATACATTCAAGCTGTGATGATACTACCGGCTGGATCCGTTCGAATTGGGGAATATGAAAAGGTCTTAGATGACATGCAACAGGTTGAAAGACGAATAAATGATGAGTAGGTTTAGAACATACCACGGGTTTCCTCCGTCCTAGACGCGAATTGAAGGAGTCGTTGGATCTCTTGGACTGTATAGCTCTATCAACCGCCTGAGCAGTGGAAGTCATGATACATGGCAAGCTATCGCCACATCAAGAGATAATGATAGAATGAGCGCTACGTATCACTATTAAAGCGATAGATGCAAAGATATTATTATTCTCGAGTGGAAGAACCTATCTAAAACTATCTACCCCCTTATATAATATCTACATGCGAAATAAACTGATGTGCAAATGGCAGAAATTCTGACTAGATTAGGGGTATCAATTAGACGATAAAGCAGAACATTCTTGTAATTCTCATACATTATCATTCGGATCTGGCAATCGTACATTCTTTCCCTGAGACGAGTGGATTGCTCAAACAAAACTGAATAGGTATCGGAATATCGTAAAAGCAATGGCCAACTTGGGGGTTTATTCACTGGTTTATAACCCTCAACGTTTGCCGGGGATTCAACATGACACCTAAGAATGTCGGTTCTTGTCCAGCGAGTAGATCTTCTACACTACTGCTAGCAGATGGCCCTGGCTGTCCAATATAGTCTAAATTTCCACCACTGTTGCTTCTCGTATGCTTGTGCTGGTGATAATCTCCGCCAACCCAGGACATACGCGCTGCAGCCGTCGCCGCAGTAGTCACAGTTAAGTTACCACTTGAGCCAGTTGTCCCAAGCCCAGCGCTGCTCGTGTGGTCTGAATACCGTGGCGGAAAAGATGAGATTTTGTCTCCATATCCGCTTCCGACTGAAGAACGCTGCGTGGCGGCAAGATGGTTCTTATAGATTGCTAATCGTCGGCGATAGAGCCAGGTTACGAAACCAAGGTATATGGCTAATATCCCAAGGCATCCGGCGATAACGCCCGCGATGATTGCAGCGATATTGGGGCCATTTCTGCCTCCATCCGAAGTGCCTGAATGCGGTCCTGAAGTCGCAGTTGGCAGGACTGTGTATGTGAGCGGTTGGCCGGTCGCTAGAGGTCCATCCGTTGGTGCCATAGCAGGGACAGTCTGGGTCGCTTTTCCCGTATCATCACCCCCTATCACAGATTGAACCACTTTGGGGACCCGGTATCCATAGCTGCCTCCGAGGCCACTGCCATCTCGTGTTTGCGAGGCTTGCTGGTTTAAGTCATTCCCACCCTCGAGGGACGTATATTGATTGTTCCATGTCAATTCTGACGCATCAAATACATATATCCCAGGGCTATCACAGCTTAGATCTTGTCCCACGTAACCTCCCGTGACAACAATTTGGGAGTTCCAGATGTTACACGTATGCCCAGCTCTGGCTGGAGGAACAGACTGGCCGTCCGTGTCAGCCTGTATCCAGGTAAAGCTAGGAATCGATAGAATCCACATGTCGTTATACTGAATCTGGCTTCCATAAGGTATTAGGTTTTGTCCACCAAACAGGTAAACCTGTGTGCTACTTCCGTCAGCTGCCGATGCAGCGACTGCGCACGGGTTTACTCTGATGTCTGGAGTCTTCCCACTCGTCGCCTGTTTGTACCATTTTGAACTTGCAATGTCAAACACATCGATGACATTCATTTGAGTCTAGACAAAGAGAAGGTTAGCCATCGGGCAATGCTATAACCAAAGAAAGAAGAGTCACTGGGCGCCTTACAAATGTGGCATTTGTACCACCAGCCAGACCGAGAATGATACCCTCTTTACCAAATCCAGGTATATACACGAGGACTCCATCAGCTCGTTCAGTGAACCCTGCAGAGTCCTGTAGCCCTCCCTCTGTGATATTTCGCCAAGCACCATCAGGTCCTGCGCGCTTATCGTCTGTATTGATCTTGACCCCGCTGTTGGTGAATCCTGGAAAGGTATACTCGATCATCGATTTAAGATACACCCTTGGGATCGACTGCGACCAGCCCTGGGTGGTATATCCATCAAGATGGCCACCAAAGTACCATCCTCTTCCTAGGTCTGGGACGTTTATACCGGCACCCTCTGCAGACCGTTGCACCGGTATATTTTCTGCATCAGAGTTTTCTCCCGACGAAGTCTTTGGGGACTTGTGTTCTATCCAAGATGACGAAGGGATGTTGTATTCCCATAGACTAAAAGCAACTGGGTCTGTAGGAGGATTATCTGAAAACTCTCCTCCATATAAAAACAGTGATTTATAAGAGTTCCACAGATATCCGTTCGAGACTGGAGGAGGGCCGTTATCAGCACGAGGAAGCCCAGTCAACTTTGGCGCTGAAATTCCCCAGCTTGACTTTAGGTCAAGAGTAAGAAAGTTATCATCTAAGGAGTCGTGTTAGCATTGGGATGCCGTATACATAGTAGAAAGTAGGGGGAAAGGCTATCCATACTCCAGGTCTTATCCTTCTGGTTGGCGTCTGTCGTCGATCGGCCGCCGTATATGTAAAGTGTTCCGTTAACTATGGCTGTCTGCTGAGACCATCTCTTGCATATATCCGTTGGGCTATTATCTCGTTGTGTCAACACTCTCGCGTGAGCATGTACACCTTGTTGAGGTAGTATAAAACCAACAAAAAGTATGAGTAGAAGGTACGTCATGGACGTGGATGTTTGACCGGCCACCGTGGACATCGAAACCGACATCTTATTCTCTACCAGCAATCACCATAAACAAGCATGGCCGGATTGTATGGAAAAAGGGAAAAAGAGATAGTCGCCGCGTGTCGGATTCCAGGGTAGTTTTGAGGAGGTTTCTCAATGAAACACTCTCAACAAAGGAGTCTCCCCCTTGAAGCCGTAGGTATATATGAAGTGAAAAAAAAAAATGAGAAAAAAAACGAACGAGAGAACGGGATAAACCGACTGCTCAAACGAATGAGAACATATGGAGAGAAGGATCAATACTTTTTCCCGTTTGTTGGCTGAGGGGAAACGATGTCTCAGTTAGACTGCCGGCTATGTGTGTTATACATAGCACATAGTGTATGCACGAAGCATGCATCAACCGCCACATGGTGGGACTATGAGACACTTGGATAAAAATTAAAAACTATTCAGGCCGCAGTGGTCGTACTATGTATATAGATAATTCTTTCTTCGTGGCTGGAGTGAACGGAGCGTCTCGTAGAGATTGGGAGAGGCCAATCCTTTTGCGCTAAAGTTGTCCCCTTTTTCTTTCCTTGAGCACATACAGAGCTATGAGAGGCGATATCGCACAGCATGGACTGTTCACGGGCATCCACCGACAATCCCTGTAGGCGGCAAGAAGAACATGCAACGAGTTTGAGATGCAAGGAGTCGGTTTTGGTTACGCATCAAAGCGGCAGCTAAGGATGGTTATTTTCAGCCAAGTCCCAGCCGGGCGCCAATGGGCATGTATGCCGTGGTGTATTTAACGCGCGTTATCCTTGGCCCAACGGCTTAACCGGAGCGGATTGGACGCAAGGTCCATAAGCAGGTCTCAGGTCTGAAGGGCTGACCTTTTTCTTTCCTTGCTGAGGCGCGGGAATTTCTGACGCGTTGGGGAAATAAATATAATAGCAGTTACACGGTAGTTATGTTGCTGTATTGTATTCGTTGCTCCGGAGCGGTTAAACTCGATTTATTCATGATTTTTGTCATGGTTCTAGCTCCCAGCATGTTCATGTAGATCTGCGCCTGGACTATCCTCAACAAGCTAGATGATGGGTGACCCTGGATGAACTGGATACACTCGCTCGATAGCTGTAGTTCCGTCTGGGGACTTGGCCAACATGGCCTCTCTGGGGGATACAGGTGTGGGTAGAGAAAAACTACCCTTTATCAACCATAATCAGATGCCGTTTTCCTGTGTTGAAAGTGACCCGTCCCCCATATACCAGTCGTTTTTGGGGGATATTCATAGTCATTCCCTCCCTACTCTTGCCTTTATGCTGTCACTCTGTAAGTTCAAGTTCCATAGCCGTTCTCTTAAGGCTGTGCTTGCTGGTGCCTCATGTCCAATATGTCTCTCCTGAGCTTCTCCGCCGCAATCTCGACATCCAATGTTCCACTCACTCCTCGTCTCCATGCATCGTCCAAGGCTGCCAGTTCACCTCTGACACTCTCCTGCTTCAGCTTCCTCTCCCTATTTACTGCCTCGGTGGCCTCGGTGACCTCGTGCAAATCCTTCTCCATGCGCCGCAAGATATCTTCCAACTGTGAATTGCCAATTAACCACGCGTTTTTGCCATGAGCCTCTAGCAAAGCGAGGTTGTCCTTTCTGGTAGACAGATGTAGGTGAGCGGCGTATGCACGCCGTAGGGTCTGTCGCCAGTCATCCAGAACGGTGGTAGGGTCTGCGTTCGGGTCCGTGGAAGAAGACGGTATCTCTGGCGCTTCGTAGCGTGACAGGTCGATGCCACCAGAGATAGGCTCGTTTCTGGCCTTTCTCCCAAGCTCCTGCTCTATCAAAGGGGAGAACTTGGTCTGAGGAAGTTCTACCAGGGACGGATGAACAGTCGAACGGTAGTCCGGGGGAAGCTCAGCTTCAATGAGTCTACTGATCTCTGTACGCAGTTGAGGCGTCACATCCTCGTCTATGTCTAGAACCGGGTAAGCCTCTCTGCTCTCTGTTTCGCCGTACTTGTATACTTACATGGAAGGGAGTCATGTGTCTCATTGATAAGTGGCATCTTGCCGTCTCCTCTTGTCTTCTTCTCTTGTTGTCTCTTGTTACCCTTCACTTGCTTCTCCTTCTCGCCTTCAACTTTTCCTCTTACATAAGTCTTAGCAGTCACATATCACGTGCCTCCAAGCTAAACCCAGTTAGAACAGGATGACTAATATCCACTCCTCCGAGCCCAAACAGGAAACCAATCGTCGATCCTAATCACGGGGCTTCCCCGAACTTTATTTAGCCTCGCCTTCACGTGCTTTCCTTCCCGCCTGTCCGGCCCGTATAAAAAAAAAGTAAACGAAGTTTTGTACTTCATCCCCATCCATGGAACTTGCAGCCATCCCAGTGATCATATAGACATCAGATGTGCTGGTCGACAGGCATCGGACGTCGGTGTCGAGCTGGGGCAGTCACGCCAGCCACATACATGAGATCCTGCTGCCAGCACTGAAGCTAAATACCATCGCAGGATTTCTCGTTCCTCTACTTTGGTCCATCAGAAGTTAACAACAACAGCCTCGGAGTTCCTGACGAAGGAGGGAAAAACGCCGTTGAGCTTAGCTACAAAGACCCACCTGTTGCGATCTTCCCCCGCAAAGGTTTCCACCCATAACATACAGAATACACACTTATCCCGATCCAGGGGTAGTGATAAACCGGAATACTTGTATAAAAGGATCATCGGTTTCGCCCTTATTCTTCGTTTGGACCGAAGGTGAGGTTCCTCTTCCTGTCTCGAGGACCTGGCATCTCAGGAGACGGATGATTTGTTTTGTCTAGCCCCAAAGAGAAAAAGTTACGTTTATTGAAACATTTTCCGATATATTTAAACCCTTTTGTTGTTACTTCGATTCTGGATTTTCGCTGCTGCAAAGATGCCACCACGTACTGGCACTGTGGTTGGGATCTTTGGTGTTCTATTGGGCGTCATTCTAGCCGTCCAGCTCGCTTTCAACTTCCGGGGAACCAACCGGGCTGTTCAAATCGGCCGTTCAGTGCTGCTCCAGCCGTCGCATGCCACTAAGGCAGCTGCCCAAGATGATATCTTTAACCTTGGCGTTGGAAAAGCAGATGTTACAGGGTACGACTAATATGTTAACCCTGAACATCAATCTCATCTATATACTGATTGAATCATTACAGACCGGTTGTAGAAATCACATTTATGGGATTTGCGGACTCTGAGCAAAAAGGAACTGGTCTTCGCCAGCGCCTTTACTCCCGCACATTCATCATCGAGAATCCCAGCAAGCCAGAAGATACTTTTGCCTATATTGTTACCGATCTCGCCGCCGGCGATACCGCTGTGCGAGATGGTGTCCTCAAGGGGCTTGCCGCCATGGGACCAGAGTACGCTCGGTACGGGTCTCACAATATCGCTCTGTCCGGAACTCATTCTCATGCCGGACCCGGTGCCTGGCTTAACTACCTGTTGCCACAGATACCTAGTGCAGGATTCGACAAGGCCAGCTACCAAGCCATTGTCGATGGTGTCCTGCTCTCGATCAAGAGAGCTCACGAAGCTAGGACACCTGGCCGTTTAAGTTTCGACACCGCAGACCTTGTTGATGGCAACATCAACCGAAGCCCATACTCGTACCTTCATAACCCTGAGGATGAGAGAAAACGATACCAGTACGACACCGACAAGACACTCAGCCTCTTGCGGTTCGATCGTGCATCAGATGACAAAACTATGGCTATCCTGACCTTCTATTCTGTACATGGAACCTCGCTCTACGCAAACAATACTCTCGTTTCAGGCGACAACAAGGGTGTTGCTGCCTACCTTTTCGAAAGAAGTGCCCAAGGTGATGACCGGTTTGCTGACGGTTTCATTGCTGGATTTTCCCAGTCTTCCGTGGGAGACACATCCCCTAACGTCTTGGGGCCATTCTGTGAAGATACCGGCTTGGATTGCAAATTTGTATGGCTAGATTCTCTTTTTCCTCTTCTTTTTCCCCTTCTATAAGCCCAACAGCTAACCATCCCAATAGGAAGATAGTACCTGCAATGGTAGCACCGCAAAGTGCCATGGACGTGGCCCATTTTACCGTGAGCTCGACCAGGGTACAAAAAGCTGCTTCGAAATGGGACGTCGACAGTACAATACTGCCAAGGAGATCTATGAAAAGATGGATACGTCTGCAAAGAGACTCAGAGATAACTCTGCCGTTAAAGCCTTCCATGTTTACAAAAACTTTGATGGGTACACTTTCCAGTCGCCATTTAACCCCCGCAAGACTTTGACTACTTGCTCAGCAGCCTTGGGTTTCTCCTTCGCTGGAGGTACGACCGATGGACCAGGAAAATTTGACTTCACGCAGAACGGCACTGATTCGCCCGGTACAAAGAACCCTATCTGGTACATTGCCAGAGACTTCTTACATGCTCCCTCCAAGGAACAAAAGGCCTGCCAAAAACCCAAGAAGATTCTCCTTGACGTTGGTGACATCACTGTCCCCTACGCTTGGACTGCCAACATCATTGATATTCAAGTTCTTCGTGCTGGTCCATTGTTCATTATCGTTGCCACGCCTGAAGTCAGCACCATGTCAGGACGACGATGGAAACAGGCACTCGCGAATCACGCCAAAGATGTCTTGGGTGTCAGCAGCCCGCTTGTTGTCCTCGGTGCACCATCAAACACATATGCCCACTACGTCACAACCGAGGAAGAATACGGCGTTCAACGCTACGAGGGTGGCTCTACACTCCACGGTCCACATACCCTTGCTGCCCATGTCAACCTCACCCTCACCTACCTCCCATACCTTGCCGCAGACTCCAATGATCATCCTGAACCTGGCCCGTACCCACCAATTAACACCGACAAGTCCCTTAGCTTCATCACTGGTGTTGTCCTGGATAACCCCGGCATTGGCAAGAACTTCGGCGACGTCGTCAAAGCTCCGGAAGAGGGCAAAACCTTCCGCCCCGGAGACAATGTCAAGACTACATTCGTTGGCGCCAACCCCCGCAACAACTTTCGACTAGAAAAGACATTTGCTGCTGTGGAGCGTCAAGTTCCGAACACGAACAAGTGGGAAGTTGTCCGTACTGATGCCGACTGGAACTTGGTATATAGCTGGAAGCGCATTGGTCCGATTATTGGGACTAGTGAGGTTACCATTGAATGGGAGATTGAGGATGACTACTATTCCATTGGTAATAAGAAGAAGCTGGAGAGCGGAACCTACCGTCTTCATTATTATGGAGATGCGAAGGCTCCTGTTACTGGGAAGATATCAGCCTTTGAAGGCATTGGGCCCGCTTTCAAGGTTGAAGTTTAGAGATAGTATTCAATATGCCCATTTTCGGTTAATGTCTATTTTTCGGGGATCAAACGAGGCGAGAATTTTATTTACATATATGTCCATAATAATATGATATACATGCATGGTACACTCACAAAATATCTTTTACATTTTTACCGTTGATCGACCCCCGGAACTGCTGTTCTAGGATCAATATATGTACTATTTACATATAAACGGAAATTGTACATATGCCAAACTATAGACCCTGCCAATATAGATGGTTTACTATCTACTTACTATGAGAAAGCAGGTAACCGAGTTCTTGACCATAAATATCAATCATCTGATTCGAACTTAGTAAATCACCCCAGCCCATATTTTGACCATGCCCCTGAAATATACTCAGGGTATCTAGCCTTAAGCCCCATCACTGTGAGGATTAAAGCAAGTTGCACACGATGCAATACCCCTCTGGATGACTCGCCAGGACAGCAATTCGACGCTTCTAACTCCTAACAGTACTGCCCCGAGGTTTAATTCTAGTTAACTCTTACGCCCCATGCTCGTACATACCAGCGTGACTAGCCAGCATCTGGCACCTAGGTATTAAACAGCAGACTTTTTTTTATTCTAACATTTTACCAGATAATATCCTGGCTTCCTTTCCTCGGTTAAATTTATGCCATCAACAAAGTCAGTCCAGGAAGATCGACACGAATCTGAGGCTGCCCAAATTTATGATACAACGCACCGCCATACCCCCATTCAAGATAATAGACAGCTTCAGAGCCGTAGTGCTTTCTCCTACACTTTCTAACATAGATACCCACTAAAATCACGCCCTTGTCAAATCTCAAATGAGGGTTCGTGTCTTTCCAGCATGCCATCAACTTCTTCTCCAAACTTCTTCGGCGCTTAGAGCAAAAAAGATATCACGTGATACAAAGTTTGTTTCATGAACCAACCAATCAGCGTGCGTTTTCGCGGGACTTCCATCCATGTTTGAGACGAGCAAGCAAAACAAAACGGAGAAGATAAATCAATGTCAAGACGGGACATCCAACCGTTTGCCGCCGAGCATCTCAACTTCATGCAGTTTCAGGCCGGTGGAAGGTTGGCATATATATACCAGCCAGTAACACTGAAGGCATCCATCCATAACCTGGACCAAAGGACAGGCAGCTCCATGTTTTGAGAGAAGACTCAAACAAGGAGTTATCTACTGCTACATGATTCCAGGAAGATGCTGTTTACCAGCGCGCTTCGCGATGGAACAATATTTCTTATTCTCGTTTGCTGAAGCTGAGGAGAATGCTATACTTAAGCTTCAGCAAATCCGTCTTCATTTTCTCTCTTTCTGTATATTCGCCACTTTTCTACTTTGATATCATTTCAAGGACTTTTGGCTGGCACAGAAGTCCTCTTTCACTATAATATCTACTCTCTTTTGGCCTGTTTAATTGGATATACAAATCGTATTCTCCTGCCACCACTATTTCACAATTGTCTATTTCACCCTTTTTTAAAAGACTTCGTTAATAGATACCAAAAAGATGCGCAGCCTACAACACATTTTGGGCATAATATCTCTCGCCCTATTGTCTCATGTTTCTTCTAGTCCAATATATCAATCCCGGCGGGAAGGCCTCTTTAACAGAGGCCTATACTCAACACACGATCATGACGCAGCAATCATGACGCTCACTGTCACCCGAATCGCTGCTCGACTCCCGATGACGATGTGTGTGACTACAGGAGCTGGAAATGCCGGTAGGCCTTCAATAGTACCCTGCCCGACTACGATGACCTCGAAAACGGTGGCAGACACTACATCTGCTCCCTTCCCACAACGTCGGTGAGCTCACCGTTGAAAAGCGGAGGTGGAAATGTCCCTGGAGTTGGAGTTGGAACTGGAAATCTCCCCCATTTCCTACCTATATTCATCGTCCTGGTATAATTTCCCAGCCACGACTACCGCAGCCAATTCGCATAGCACGCACACTTCCGCCCCATCTTCTACCTCCAAATCGACGACGTCAGGCATTGCAGCAACCGGTGATGGGGTCTCTACCGTATCTACCACAGACGTCCCAGATGCTACAACCCCAAATTACTCTACAACGTCTAGCAGTGGGTCAATCCAAGTTACTAGCCAGCCCATGAACGGTTCCTTGTCATCGACAACTTCATCTACCCCAGGGACATCAACATTAACATCCAATACCGAACTACCTCAACCCACAACAGTTGTTAATATAACTACCAAGACAGTGTATATATCTCCTACTAGCACGGCGACTATCACTACAAGTTATACTCCTGTTCCAACTACAACTTCTGTTGCATACCCTAACTGGAATTCCACGCTTCCATCCCTCAGCACAATCACCGAGTCAATCACAGAATCAGTTACGATGTCTTCAAGTTCATCTTCGAGTTCGTTCACTCCCTCAATTACGAACTCGCCGCCGGCCACCACAGTCACACAGTCGGCTACCCAGCCTTCGACCGCTACAACGTCGTCATTTAGCAGCAACCCCTTGCCCAGCTTTACTTCTAAGCCTGACACCCAGTCATCAACAATGACGTATCCATCATTCAGCAATGGCCTTCCATCTTTTACTACAATCTTACCAGAGACATCAACTTCGCAGGCGATATCTTCTACTCTTGTTCCCGCTCCTCCACCAACAGAAGTTCCAACAATCCCTCCCTCAGATTCTCTCGTTGTTATCCCCGTCACAGACGCAGCTCCGGCTCCAACTGGTATTGAACTCATACCCATAGGACCTTGAACGCCAAAGGCCATAAAGACCATTAAGAGCCACCATGTTCTAAAGCAGCACATACCTACGCTCCTATTATGCCGATTCATTGACGTACATGGTCAATGTATTGGCTGGTTCTTGCCTCATCACTTTCATTTCATCCCTTCCTTACCGTCCCTTACAATCTTGCCTTTATTGACTCTATTTAATACTCCACCGAATGTATACACAGATTAACACCACCAAAAAAGAAAATTATTAGCATTATAGTTCATTCCAGTCATCAAATATTAAAAACACAAAATAAGCCCGAGACCAATGAGTTTATCATTTATTTAGCCCAAATGCGATATATATTCGTAAAACGGCAATACCTTTATACTGGATTATCGTGATACTGATATTCAGGTCTATTGTGGTGGTCATTATCATCCGCAACGTCTAATGAGATGAGCCATTTCCTTCGCTCCATATCTCTTGCCCACAATGCTGAGCCTGCAGCAGTGGTCAAAAGGAAAATCATTGATAGCCCAGGTACAAGCTGCAGTACAAGTGCCATCGTGCCAAACCTGGAGAGTTAATAGCCCGGATCAGTATTCTACGACACTGCATGCATATCGCCTAGAGAGGAAGACCCACAAAGTATACCTCAGCATTCTTCTATGAATGTAGTCCTTCCTCTCCTTCTTATTAAAATCCAGTAACTGGAAGTATCTCCAGTGATGGAATGGGCCCCCCCGATAACCTGTCAAAACCAAAAAGAGCGGAGTCCCAATTACTGGAACCAAATTTAACGGCAGTAGGAGAATCAACTCCACTATCTGTCTAAATGAAAAAGGAGCATATACGGCGGTGTGTAGAGGCTTCCCAAGCCACTTTGCGGGATCCTCAACCTTCTGAGTGAGAGGGTTGGTATAATTTGACAGATCCAATGACCTTGATTCAGACATCATGGAAATGATATGATCCCGGAAAGAGGTTGAGGGCTGGGCGTTTGAAGCTGGATCTGACACGGATGTGGGATCTTCAAGTGGCATTTTCATTGCTTCGTAAAGCAAGACTGAATCGAAGACATCGACCTGTGCCTCATCAACAAAGAATGCTTCAAATAACAACGCTACTATCGCAGCGCCTTCTCCCAGGACCATGACGGCCCCGTTAAACCATGCGCCGGGGCCATGGAATATGGCTAGGAACGCCACTTGGGGAAGGTATGTAAAGACGAAGAGTATGGTGTATATGAATAGCGACAGAAGCGTTATAGGCAGCAGACGAGACCGGAAAAGAGGCCATAGGAATGGATGGAAGATGAAATACACTATCCCCTGTCTCCCTGTGTTGTTAGTAACAGCGTAGCTGCCTTCATGGGCTAGAATACTGAACTCACCTGTAGCGGGTAGAGCCAGGTCGCGCTTCGAAAGCTGAGCAGCGTAGACATCCTCAAGATGAATCCTGCTACTATTATTTATTCCCTTGTGCTCGAAATGCGTTCACCCATCCTCATCAACGCGCGAAGTTGTTTATTCGCAGACAGCTATACCACGTGACCTGCCCTTATAAAATCTTCTTTTTTTCTTCTTGATTCTTTTCTTCTTTTTCTCCATACATAAAACTGTTTTCCTTCATATTCACTCTATCGTCCCGTTCCATGGATAGATTTGGAGGGGAAATTGGAGGATAGATTACGTCTTCGCTGACTTACCCCGACACTTTCTACCAATATGAAAATCATCGGAAATATTTACAGCGGTACATTTATGGTTCATTACCGGCTTTATACATAAGCGTGTATACTAAAAACCGAATGAGCATTAAAGACTTATATATTATACCGTTAGGTAGCAGAAATATCATTCTTCGGGCGTTTTTTCCTTGCTACAGATCAATGATATTCCACACCATTTTGCCTCTGCGTCGCTAGCTTTCCTCCAGTGGCCACACTGCCATCGTTGAATGGGGTGAGACCACGTAGAATCCAGTAATTTACACCGTGGTTCTGACTCATGCCCAGCAGTAATTATTGCCATCTCAAGGCGAGAATTTGATATTTTTACAAGCATTCTCTGGCTGTTCTGTTTTGCGAGCAAGAATGTGTAAAGTGGCTGTATGACTAAGCTCGTATTTCGTCTATCAAACTCTTTCCGACTTTAAAGAGCTGACGTCGGACACCCAAATGAGTTTGGATATCAGTTTCACCAGCAGGACTGGGAGAATATTGAGGCTATGCTTCATGCGGTGGATTATAAATGACGCCTAGTTGAATTACTATATATTCTTTTGCCATGTTCTGGGGGTGAAGTTGAAATGTATTCAAGGATTCATTCTTGACAAACCTACCATCCATTCAAAGGAGTAATCAAATCAATTCGCTGTCATGATGGGCCCAATCGAAGATGATGCCAAGGAGAACTATGGAATATTTCGGGAGTGCGTGTCGAAATCGATCCTAAACCGTTCGATAGAGAAATCCAGCATGGTTCGACGGAGGAGAAATAGAAGATCCAATGCCAAAACCGGCTATACGAAAGCTTCGTTTCCCGAAGATAATGATCCCGCTGAATTAGCAGAATTCATTGATGTGTGTGACACAAATGTTTGAGGATTGCTTTGGTTGCAGTGACTAAACAGAATATCTAGTTCATTGCTCAGGAGATATTTAGCTCGTTCCCAAGAGATGTACAGACTCTCTCTTTCAATACCATACAATCATCTTCTACTCTCGCAGAAACCTATGCAGGAGGCATTTCAGGAACTACCATCGAATTTTTAGCATCATTAGTCGATCCGGCAGTCGCTGAGTCTCTGGTTACCTATGGCTTGATGTCAGAGCCATCTGATCTTACGACTGTCCTTTCTTCTGTTTTTATGGAATATTCTTCCACCGTTACTGCTAAACCCCCTCCCTTCAGTGCCACGCGATCCTCTGCCTGTGAGATTTGTGAGCGGGATTGGATACCCCTAACCTACCACCACCTTATACCCAAGGCTGTCCACGGCAAAGCTTTGAAGCGTGGGTGGCATGAGGAGTGTGATTTAAACCAAGTTGCTTGGCTCTGTCGTGCTTGCCATAGCTACGTGCATAGGATGGCATCTAATGAGGAGCTGGCTAGAGAGTGGTACACAGTCGAGGCAATACTGGACAGGGATGACACTCAAGAATGGGCGAAATGGGCAGGTAGACTGCGCTGGAAATCACGGTAGAAGGGCAATTCCGAACCCCCTATCTCCATTTAGGGGTTATATCAAATTTGACCCTTTAGCTTGGAAGTTAGCATAATATTATCAATTGCCGGGTAGTTTCTGCCCGGTCGATCTCTTATATTTGGCAATGATTTATTCCACCAGGTTCGAATAGGCACAGACTATTTACTCTCTACGGCCTGTGGGACCTACTCTATAACACTATATGGAGTAGTATGAGGTCATAAAAACTGTTGCCACAATATCGCGTATGGGGCTGATTGTCTCAATCAATATGCCCTTTCTGTGTTTATATAACATAATATCACTTTGTGTTATGTGTTTCTCACATGCTAATTGATTAGCTTTTCTCTCTATTTCTTTTGCTCAGTGTCTGTTTACTGCACATACAACAGCTTGTCCTTTAGATTCGGTGGAACCAGCCACAGAGTCGTATATCTTATAAATAGAGCCATTTCCTACTTAATATATTGATATCGATTCCCTCAGCTGCTATACTAGCAACAAACACTGTGCAATTATTCTATATCAACCAAAACACCCCTTTCTGACCAGGGTTTGTTCTTGTCTTGCAGTCAATTACCCTTACAGCAATTTCTCCATAGAGAAGCATGGCTCTCACTACTGGAAAAGTATGTACAAGTACCACTATCTTTATTACCTCCTTCAAGCTGACCAGTCTGTGTTTCCAGGTTGATATGTTTACAGAAATCTACGTGAACCATGCGAATGGAACAATCAAAGATCTGGTCGCAAAGGACAAACCCCATAGGATCTCAAGGAGGGAAATCGAATATCAAATCCTAGAAGGAATCGACAATTCCGAATTCCCTACTGCTTTCCGTATCGTATTCTACTCAATGGTAAAGGCCCCCTGTTTGTTATCCACTCGTTTCTCTCTTTTTGCGGGTGCAAACCACATATATGCTAATATTGGACATTTAACAACTTGTCAGGTCTTGCATACCAATACATTCGATGGTTACTGGTTTGGCCAGCAAAATCTGCTTGGCTTACCAAAATTTTCAATCACTCGGCTGAAGCCTGATATGTCCCTGCTTCGGAACCTTCATGGCACGGGAGCCCTTGATATATTAACATCTTTATCCAGCGATGAGTCTGATGCATCAGGTGCTGAGGAGAGTGAAGAAGAAGACATATTTCAAAATGATGACCTGGATACAACAAAAGTTCCTACTCCATTTGACCCAGCCAATGACCCAGCCTATTCACTTATTAACAGGGGACATGTTAGTATCGAGCCCAGCGAAGTCGAGTTTTCCGATCGTGAAGAAGAATCTCATCCAGCTCGCTCATCTACCCACACACAGTATCCAACGCCAAATGAAACCCCCGTCCAAAGGAGAAAGTGCGCTGCTGCCGTGCACGACGAAAACGAAACACAAGAAGGTGATTATACGATACCAGGCGCAGACTGGATGACCGAAGATATGCTGGACGAAGATTACATTGACCCTTCTTTTATTGATTGTCCCGTGATAACAGCATTTGGTATACCCTTAAACAATCCAGCACAAGTCAATATGCCAGCCAGTTCCCCAGTTCCAAAGCCTGGTGATTTGACATCGAAGAGCTCAGCAAAGGGCAGGCGAGGCGGTGGTCCTAAAAAACAGGTACGTCTTGCAGCTCTTCCACAATAGGGCAATTATTGTCCTTATTAAAAGCTGGAGGTCTTGTTATGAATACATGTCCACTGAAAGCAACGTTAAAAGAGAAGAAAGCTAAGCGAGTTTTAATAACGTAGGCACCCATCCGCCCTCCCCGTACGCCTAATCCCAAAACAGGTGGAAAGAAAGCAACAGGCTCTGGCATTAGCAAAGCAAAAGGCAAAGGGGGTGGCGGCAAAGGGAAAGGGAGAGGACAAGTTAATGAAGTTGCTCTAGCCTGCTGAAATATCTCAGATACCAGCTAGCCCTACTTGCTTCTCACCCTCGACTCTTGTTTTCGTTCCCGAGCCCTGATTCCTTGCCTGGAGATTCATGTGATTTTGTATTACCAAAGGTTTGACGGTTGATTTGTTTGCCATCTTTTAGCACGGCATATTGATTAGTGTTTAGTTCCTTCGATTCGCTAAACAATGGTACTCTCTCTTGGTAGATACAAGATATTTAAAGATCTAAAGAAAGTAAATAATAGGTAATAACAAAAATCTAAGATGGGAGGATGATAATATATATAATACAAGATCTCGAAGGGCAAAGGTCTATAAAATGAGCAATTTGTAAGAAGCTCCCACCCTGATTATGCATGCCAGCCACCAGAAATCGACCTATACAAAGTTGTTATTACATAGAAATGAAAGTAGAATAGATATTTCAATCCCTTCAACACCGTTAACATGCCTCTAGAGTTAGTCAAGATAGCGTTTCTCGTGAACGACTTCGTATGTTTGGATTTCATCGCCAACAGCGAAGTCAGCCCAATTTTCAAATGCCATGCCGCACTCTGTACCTTTTCGCATCTCCGTCACGTCCTTTTTGACATTCTTTAGAGAAGACAGAGTACCTAGATAGAACGAAGTCAGTTAGCAAGGCTATGCATAAACGCAAGATAGTGAGAAAACCATACCATCGTAAATCACATTCTTCCCTCTTAGAACCCTCACGTTATGAGAACGATATATGACACCGTTGCGGACTTTGCACCCGGCGACAGAGGCCGTCTTCTTGCCTTTGAGTTTGATTTCGAATATCTCACCAATTTCTGCCTCTCCCGACACACGCTGCGTGACGGTTGGAGGTAGATGCTCGCTTAACCTCATTTTCACATCGTCGATCAATTCATAGATAATGTTGTGGTTCAGGATATTAACCCCTTCTGCAATAGCGAGTTTCATAATGTCCGGTTCAACAGACTGGTTGAAGGAAATAACGGCTGCGTTGGCAGCGGAAGCAAGCCGGATATCTGATTCTCCAATTTTTCCAACGTTAAACCGCAGGATTTTAGCAAAGACTTCGTTATTTCCGATGGCTGAGACAGCATTAACTATTGCTTCGGCGGAACCAGAAACGTCGGCCTTGACTATAAATGGAATGGGCTCAGGGCCACTCTTGTCAGCAATATCTGCCATTGTGCCACCGTTATCTTCTTGGGCCGCCTGCAGTTGTCGTTTCTCGCGCTCCTGGCGGCGAGTTTGGTTGATAGCTTCTACATCGCCGCCTAGTCGTTGTGTTTCTTCTTTTTCAAGTCTGAACATAACAACATCCTTTGCGCGTTGCTCATCCGGTGCTTGCAGAGCTTCGGATCCAGCGACCGGCTGGTCTTTCCAACCATCAACTTCTACAGGTGTTCCGGGCAGGGCTTCATTAACTTGTACACCAGCCTCATTGCGCAAAGTCCGGATCTTAGCCCATGAAGTCCCTGCAACAATAACATCTCCTGGCCGAAGGGTGCCTTGCCTTACAAGCACTGTTGCGGCCCGGCCTCCCTTTCTAGTAGATGCTTCAATCACCCAGCCTTCAAAGTTGCATTCCTTATCAGCTCGAAGATCTAACATCTCGGATAGTGTAATAACAGCCTCTTCTAATTTCAGCATGCCCTGGCCTGTTTTCCCGCTAACACCGATTGCTTGAACGTCGCCACCATAATCCTCAACACTGACATTATGGCGTGCCAAATCCTGCTTAACCCTTTCAATGTCGGTGTCCTCTTTGTCAATCTTGTTAATTGCAACGATAATAGGGACATCTGCACCCTTTGCGTGCTTTATAGCCTCAATTGTTTGTGGTTTAACGCTGTCATCAGCTGCAACAACCAAAATCACAATATCGGTGACGTCAGCTCCTCGTTTCCGCATTTCAAGGAAAGCAGCGTGTCCAGGGGTGTCCAAGAACGTTATTTGTTTGCCGGAGGGCATAGTAACAGAAAATGCACCAATGTGTTGAGTTATTCCCCCATGTTCTGTAGCAACAACGGAAGACTTTCGAAGGTAATCGAGAAGAGTGGTCTTTCCATGATCGACGTGGCCCATGATGGTGACGACTGGGGGTTTTGGAGGTAAGTTAGATGTGTCTTCAGGGGCCGGGGCGGCAACCAGATCTATATCATTGGATTCGGCAACAGGTTCAAAGTTAAACTCAGTAACAATCAGTCCAGCAGTCTCAGAATCAAGAACATGATCATTGGTCACGTTGTCGAATCCGAGATTCTCCAAGCTCTTGATAAATTGAGGACGGCGGACGTTTATTGCGTCTGCCAAGTTCCCAACGCTGATAAAATCTGGAAGAACTATTGGAGTTGGGCCAGACTGCTCTCGCAGGCGCTGTGCAACTTTCTTTTTGTCTCCCTTCCGCCTGCGCTGGCCCATGCCATATTCTTCCGCCAGATCCATTAAGTCTGAATCTTGATCACGTTTCGAGCTATGATGTTTCGGCCGTATTTCAGGTTCGTCGAAGTCTTTTTTTGAAGCAGCATGTCTCCCTTTCCGTTTTTTAGGCTTGAACGAAATATCATTGCCAGCTTCTTCGTAAGGTGTAAAGTCTTTATTATTTTTCCTATAACCGCCTCGTGAAGAGGTTGGGGTTGTGATATGCTCCTCGGTAGAAGTATTAGTACCCATTTCATCCCATTTTGGTTTCGATCTGGCGGGGAGCGCCTCAGAGTGCGGAGCTATGTCTGACAGCTGAGGCTGTTCAGACTGCGGTGGAAGACTTCTAAATCCCGATAATGGCCATGAAATATTGCCACCTAAGGCTTGAGTCTGTGAGTCCAAACTACGGCCAGGCTTCAAGGATATATTCTGAACGTCACCGTTTTGCTGTGATTTCTGGGTGGCCGCGTCGGCTCCTTCTCTGGCTGTGGATATTCGGCTAGGACTATCTGATGAAGGAGTTTGCGTGGATGGGTTAACATGTCGCGGAGGTTGTCTACTCCTGTCAGACCTTTGTGGCGGTTGTTCAGTTGCCCAAAATCTGGTAATGGTGAATTTACTCTGCTTTTGGTGTTTTGTACTGCCGGGTTTTTGTTCACCTTCCGATGACGCTCTAGGGCCCAATGGTTTCCGTTGGGGTGGCCGAGGTGTTGAAGACCTAAGGTACGTCTGGCTAGGTCTCCAGTGACAGTCTGGACAAAACGCAAGTTTCATCAAGTTAACTTTTTGGCATTGGGCGCAAACCCATGTAGCTCGCTGGTCCCTAGTCGTGTTTTCATTCTGTCCATGGCTCTCCACGCACATATTAGCTATATGAACGAACTGGCCCCAACCCGAAAAAAGAAAAAGAAAGGAAGAATATGAGTACTAGGCTAACCCCGTGTGTTACTTCCGCAGGCGGCGACGGTTTTTGTCGAGGCTGCTTTGCCAATAGGGCTTCCCGCTGCTTCAGCTCAGCAGGGGTAAATGTCATCGGAGCTCCAAACGCGGGTGAGCCCCATCCTCGCCCAAATGCAGAGCCGGCAGACTGAGGTTTTTCATCTCCATTATTGTTATCCGGTCCGCCCACATTGTTAGAGCTCGAACTCAGCTGTCGTATCTGCTGCCCGAGTAGTTCATGGTTACCGGTATACTTCAAGGGCAATCGGCCTAGAGAGTAGCAGTATCGACACCGAATGCCCTGGGAGTAGATACCTGTCAGTAACTTCCAAACAGTAGGTAAAATACATAACCGTAAGACTCACCTTCAAGATTGAGTGCCTGCGCATCCTTTCACTTTGGCATTCTCGTTCGCAAGTGCCCAACCGTCCATCTCTTTTTGCGCTCTCGAAATTTAGTAAAACCAAGCAAGAAAGTTTCTCGTTCGAACTTTTGATGCCAAGACTTTTCTCGGCCCGAATGAATTCCGGCAAGATTCGCTTATGTAATACTCTTATCGCGCCATTGATAGTCCTTGATTATGTAATATTCTCCCGCCATTCGGATTTCCTTTCGTTCTTTTCTTTCCCTTCGGTTGTATTTTTCTCTTCCTCTTGAGCTCGAACATCTCCCCGGGTTATGGCCAATTGTGCGAGGACTGTATCTAGTTTTTGTTATTTGCATTAACTCGTTGATTAACAGACAGTCGCTCATTCTTCATCTCACACCGCCCTCTCGTTCTCTTCCCCGCTAGTCCCGGCCTCATCGGCTGTCGGTGATATACAGAATGACTTCTGAACACAAGGTAGAAGGGGAGGACCCCATGCAGACGATCAAGGATTTGACGTCGGGCGCTGTTGGAGGAATTGCCCAAGTCCTTCTCGGTTTGTGCTTTGTTGTTCTGTTAGATATTGGATCGTATTGCTAACAGGTTTTAATAATAGGCCAGCCGTTCGGTACGTGAATATATAGTCTTAGCGAGAGACAGCATAGCTATGATAATAGAAACTAAATTGATATTATCTAGATATTGTCAAAGTCCGATTGCAGACTACGACACACTACTCCAATGCCTTGGATTGTGCTACAAAGATCTTTGCAAGGGAGGGCCCATTTGCATTCTACAAGGGGACCTTGACTCCATTGATAGGTATTGGTGCTTGTGTACGTTTCCCCTCACTCTGTCCTGGTATATCTTAAGTGTTTCTCTCTCCTCAATCTAACACCTTTCCTATGCAGGTCAGCGTCCAGTTCGGAGCATTCCATGAAGCACGCCGTCAATTCGAAAGGATCAACGCTCAGAAAGGGTTAAAGGATACCAGTCTATCCTACTCACAATATTACATGTCTGGTGCCTTTGCAGGTATTGTTAACTCTGTGATCTCTGGTCCAATCGAACATGTTCGTATCCGGCTGCAAACCCAGCCCCATGGTGAAGGGCGGCTGTACAATGGCCCATTGGATTGCATAAAGAAACTCTCATCTCAGGGAGGAGTGTTCAATGGCCTGTATCGAGGAGAGGCAGTTACAATTCTTCGTGAAGCACAGGCCTATGGAATGTGGTTCCTTTCCTTTGAATATATGATGGACTGGGAGGCAAAGCGAACCAACACTAAACGCGAAGATATCTCTGCTTTGAAAATCGCAGGATACGGTGGCTTGGCTGGTGAGGTGCTCTGGCTCTCTAGTTATCCATTTGATGTGGTCAAGAGTAAAATGCAGAGCGACGGTTTCGGTGAGCAACAGAAATACAAAAACATGCGAGACTGCTTCAGGCAAACCCTCGCTCAGGAGGGAATTAGAGGATTTGTTAAAGGCATTGCACCAACTCTCCTAAGGGCAGGGCCAGTGTCAGCAGGTACTTTTGCAGCGTAAGCGTTCCTACCGTACACCCTATATCGCTATGATAGTTATGGTGCTAATGTGGTTATATAGTTTCGAGCTTACCAAGAGAGCTCTAGGGTAATGATGGATTTCACACTATCATTATTTGCTTTATATGCCACCATTGGATCTGTTGGGCGGGAAATATTCCTTTATACTTTCAACAACTATTGTGCAATTATTATGCTCATTAGCTTCCAGATACCCTTCTAGATTATGTATCTCTACAAATGGTAGATAGATGCGCTTGTTCGTTATTTTTGTGCGGTTACCCTTGTGCGTGCCCTATTTTACTAACTTGCACCTGATATATGTGCTCTTTGTTTTTTAGATTACAGAAATTGCTTATAGATTCAAGGCAGCTGTTGTTTTCTTGGTTACCGTCCTAAACATATTCCTACTATATTGACAATGAACGACCGCTATGAGAGCGGAGTATAGAGTGAATGATTACAAATTTAAATAGAATTCAGGTTGAGAACATGTAACTTGAGTAACGGACTACTATGTATACCACAGAGCTAATAGATTCACATTAGCTAAGAATCACATCAGTTACGAGCCTTACACAATGGTCACATCGTCAAAGCGCCTTGCATAAGACTTGGCATGATTTCCATGGCAAAGTTATTAAATAAGGTTATGCCCACGTGGAAAACTAGGTTAATATGGTTACTCCACAGCTGCAAAGCAAAGGACAATATTGAACTCCAAAGTATTTTGTATGAATGTGATAATATACTGGCTTTCTATTTCCTGCTTTGTGTGTCGTAAAGGAACAGCCAAAATAAGAATAATCGATGGGGTACTTGAAACATTCGGTAGAACTGATGGAGGCATATAAGCCTCCCCCCGTGTCCCGAATAGGGATAATATTTAAGTGTCAAGTTGGCCAGTAAAGAAGAAGAATTAGCCAGCTAACCATATAACTGCCAGAAACACAGCTCATTAAGGCGAAACTTCCACAAAACCTCGATTACCCTAAACCTGGAATCAGCTCACTTATTCAAACTTTATGGTTTAAAAATGTAAACGTATACGGTAACGGGTCGTTGAAAATGGCGTACCTCTGGATAGCTAGCAGATTGTAATATGTGAAGTTGGGGAATCATTTCAACGATCTTGTCTTCCATCAACACGTTTCCTGTTAATGGCACTCTGACTAGCATATAGCCAAGTAGCTTCCGAATACCTGCCAACATCCTCTCTCTCTGAGGTGGAATCTATTCTATGAGACAAAAATTCTGCTATTTGACTCAGAATCTGGCTGATAACTCGGAAGCCGCGAGTTTTGGTGACAAAGGTTTCTTCTATGGAATCAGGGGAGTTCATCGGGGTGGCAACTCGGGCGGAGGAAGGAAAAGGCACGGGTGGTGATATTGGCCTGGGCACTTGGTAGGGTGTGTAGCCTTCCAAAGCCGGTTCCTTGAGCTCATACGCTTCAACTTTTGTGACATATTTCTGAGTAAAATCTTGAAGCTGCCGGAAAATTTCGCTGGATGGCCTGACATGGGACTCGCGCGCAAGGGTCTGAATGCGTTCGAGATCACCACGGAACTGTGAAGGAACAATAAAGCAGGGCTTGTTAGCTTCAGCACACTGAACGCATTTTGTTGAAGCGTGGGCTTGAGGGCACTGAAGCATGGGGGCTTCGGCGATGCGCTTGCTACATGCTAGACACATAGGTCGTGGCACCGGAGCTGAGCCAGCTAGCCTCTTAGCCTCCTCTTCATAGACAAGATCTTGATCACCGTAGCCTAACTCCATGCATGAACTTCCTATAGATTCCCGTCTATCACGATGGACAAAAAAGAAATATCTCTGATGATTTTGTATAAGTAATGGTTGTCGGTATAGGGTTACTCCTACTCCTTGTAAACTATTTAGGAAGCCCACGGCAGTATGACGTGGATTGCAAGAGGCGTCCGCAGCTTGCCTATTGGTGCAAAGACGGTGATTCATTAGTACCAAAACATGGCTTCCTGCTTCCTGTTGTGCCGTTTTTGATTTGAAAGATAACCGGGCTACCGAATCAGTACTCTATCGTCTCTATGAAAAAGATCCAAGGGGCATATTAGCCGCCTGATGCACTTAAAGTTGGGCATTGAAGCGAGCTGCAAGCAAAAAAAGTGTCGTATATTTAGAAGAAAAGTCAACGGAGCCGGATTTAATGCACAATAAAGATCAGTTATGCTATAGTACATTGCTAGCCTGGTCATAAAAAAAACCACTGAACCTAGTATACACCTCTCTAGAGACGAGTAAATCCGATAACTTAAGACAGCATATCCTTTTGGGATTGAAGAACGATGGGCTTATAAGGCAGATCTCCAGCAGCCGACTGTTCCAAACGCTTCTTTTGCCCCTCTTCTCCAGCTCTTCCCAAAACACCCGCAATAACACTTATGCATCGGGGACTATCATCATTGGCGGGTATAGGGTAGGTGACGCGGGTAGGGTCGGCATCGGTATCAATAACTCCAATGGTAGGAATATTCATACTAGCACATTCCTGAAGCAGTGGCTTGTTCTCGAGAGGATTAAAACAGACGACCAAATCCGGCTTCAATGGTGCTCTCTCGGGGTCTATTTTCTGGAATCCCGGATAATCTACCTCTCTGTCCAAAGCATCCACAAGTTTAACCTCACATTTTTGCAAGATCTGCAAGGAGTTGGTGAGAGACCCGGGAACCCAGCGATCAAAGACATGGCAACCCTGCGCTAGCTCCGCCGCACGAACAACGGCTCGTTTATGGCCCTTCCTCGTACCGACGAATAAGATAAGACCGCCAACTCGAGCAACTTCTTGAACAACCTTGGCTGCTCGTCGTAAATGGGCTGCCGTAACGTCGAGAGAGATTATATGAACACCCTCACGAATACCATGTATGTATCCTGAATTTCCAGGGTTCCAAAGAGAAGTCGAGTGTCCAATATGTGCTTGAGAGGCGAGAAGAAGTTCAAGAGTGATATCAGAAGCCTTGGGAGGGTTAGTTATCAGACTTTCGGGTCGGTAAGCACCTTTGATCTGAGTTCCGAGCCGATTGAATCGATTCTCTATTCAGGTGAAAACAACAATGTCAGTGAGCTTCTTGAACCAAAGCTTGCTTCTTTAGCTGATATTTAATAAATAGCAAGTTGTGATGATCGATCTCCATCTCTTGCACGTACTTGCTGCTACACTGGTCTCATACTGGCTCCATCCTGACGGAACAAGACTCTCCGGTTCATTATTTTCCACCTCTGCGCCTTGACTCAATTTCAATTCGGCATTTGGGATGGTTTGAGTAGGAACTTGGCTGGATAAAAACCGAGACTGAATGGGCGTTTGACGGCTGGCTTGAATAAAGGCGCGCGCTACATGAGAATGGACCGTTAGTCTCTCAATTGTAAAGGGTCAATAGTCAAGAAGGCATAGAAGTCACATACTCTGCCTTACGGCGAACCGTCGCAATATCATCTTTGTCGTTTGTGGCTTGTTTGATCTTGCATCGAGGAGAAAACTGAACGAAAGTCTTTGAAGCTGTAGAGAAATTTTTGATTACATAAGCATTCTTAACTCCCGAACTTTTTGACGTTCATTTGAAAAGCAACTTTCAACGACGAACAAACCAGCCGGTGAAGGTGGAGTGATTCTACAGTGATGAAGCGGTGGCTATGGGCCAGCTTAACGCGTTTCAAAAGGCTTCGAACTATGATGTTTACTTGAGTCTATGAGCTTGAACCAACTTCCTCAAGATGGATGGTTGTTAGGATACAGGCTAAACGGCATTCCATCTCTAATATTCGATGCCAACAGGTTTATCAGTCAAGATAAAACACTTTCAAATTGAAGGCCGTGATAACTGACAATGATAGTCTATAACGTGCTAATTCCCCGCATAAAGACATAACCAACCGCTATCAGAGTTCAGAATATTAAGAACAAGAGAAAAGAGATGGAAATGAAATGAAATCACAAGTCTTTAGGTATCCATATTCATTACGCGCTTCCCTTCAATATGACCCATAAACGCCGTTAAAACACCGTTCTTCTCGAATATACTCGGCTTCTTCGGGTTGATAAAGGGTATGTCCCGCACCACGCCGTGCTTAAAAGTTATAGCCAGCTACCACAACACACGTCCACTCTCTGTTGAGCGGGAACATATTTATTATTTCCTCCGACGGTATCCCTCTCCCGCTGGCTTCGTGCTAACCATCAAGATGATGGGAAGTAAACAGAGAAAGGGGATAAAAGCGGTAGGTAATGGCACCCCACTAGTCTGCAGCCGTAAAATGTTGTCGAAGTCTCCTCTGTCCTCAAGGGAGATCAGTCTCGGGAGAGTGTTCTTGCTTTTCAGAGCCCTCAAGGTTATTGAGTTCGTTATCAAGTTCCGCGATTTCTTTGAGATCGCTATCTTCAAGCTTTTCGGGTTCATCCGGTGATGTGGGTGCGTTAGGGGCTGGGGGTGCCTGGGGCGCCTTGGGCTGTCCCTTTTGTCCTGCAGGAGCCTTGGGCTTTTCAGTCTTTCCACCAGGCGATTTTTGTGTCTCAGGTGCATTTGGCTGGCCGGGCTGCTGTTGCTGTGGTGGTGGCTGTTGCAGTTGCTGGCCGGGTTGTTGCTGCAGTGGTGGTTGCTGCAGCTGCTGACCGGGCTGCTGCTGTTCCTGTCCTTGTCCTGGTTGTTGCTGTAGTGGAGGTGGCTGTTGCAGCTGCTGTCCGGGTTGCTGTTGCAGTGGAGGCTGCTGGAGCTGCTGTCCGGGTTGTTGTTGAAGTGGCGGAGGCTGCTGGAGCTGCTGGCCGGGTTGTTGTTGAAGTGGTGGCGGCTGTTGCAGCTGCTGGCCAGGTTGCTGTTGTAGTGGAGGCTGCTGAAGCTGCTGTCCGGGTTGCTGTTGCAGTGGAGGCTGCTGGAGCTGCTGTCCGGGTTGTTGTTGAAGTGGTGGAGGCTGCTGTAACTGCTGGCCAGGTTGCTGTTGGAGTGGAGTTTGCTGTAGCTGCTGGCCAGGTTGTTGTTGAAGTGGAGGCTGCTGTAGCTGCTGGACAGGTTGCTGCTGTAGTGGAGGCTGCTGTATCTGTTGCCCTGGTTGCTGTTGTTGTATTGGCGGCTGCTGAGGTTGCTGAGGTTGCTGCTGAGGGTCGGGAACAGTGGGCTGACCCTCCGTCTCTGGTTCCTGAATTACTTCACCGTTAGACTCTTCTACAGGTGCATCTGGCAACCCTGGTAGGTTCCATTTTGGGATTTCAGGTACCTTAGGTGGTGGGTTGTCAACTTCCAGTTTTGCAAGGGCAATCTTCTTAGCCTGCTCTTCTGGAGAGAGTTCCTTAAAAGCAGCGGTGTTTCTATCCCATTCTTCGACGCAGCCCCTGTCCCAGTTACATTTCTCAACCTCGCCATATACAGGGTGATTAAAACGGGGATGGTTCTTAGGCCATTCGGACGCGTGGTAATGATGCTTGACCAGCGCTGCTCGAGCATTATGGTTTCCGGAGTCGGAGTGGCCTTGCCCAGCAGCGAATGCTTCGACAGTCAGGACGAGAAAACCGCCTACAAGCTTAGATTCATGCATATCATGGAACATATCCCATTTAACAGGCTCTCCAACAATTTCACTCATCTCTTGCAGAATGGCGTTGGTGAAGGCAGAGGGTCCAGTGCCACTGATAACCTCGTCAAAATCGAGCACGATCTCTGAAATTGGCTTGCCTTGCTTCTTTGCAACGCTGTTAAGCCATTTGAGAATGTTATCGACAAGTCTCATCATAACTGGGAGCTTGGGCTTGCACATGAATGTCCATTGACAGAAAGACTTCGATTTCTGGCCCAAGATTGCATGATCGCTGAAACTAGGCTCGTCAATCTCAACGCTGATGACCATGTTGATGTCCCTCTCGTTGTATCGTTCCGGGATGAATCTCTTGATTGGTCTGATGGCTTCAACGTCGATATCGGTATAGACTCCGCCATCCACGTACATGACGAGGTACCTTAGCAGGTCAGCCTTGATGATCTTTGCAGTGAGCTGCCGGTATGTATCCACGATGTCTGGTCGATTGAATCCGTCAGGGCCAAAGTGTGTTTCAACATAATACATGTCATTCTGATCAGTTAGGACTTCGTATCGATACTCCGGGTTCTTTGACACCCAGCTCTTTGCGGTATCCAGATCTCTTTTGTCAAAATCCAAAGGGTCGACTTTCCAGGTCTGCCATATTTTCCGTGGGAACTTCTCCATTGTCGGGGCAAGATTACGGGGAGAGTCATGTTTCGAGCTGGTGAAGGCGCCAGCAACTGAAAGATAAATAACAATGACAAGACAGGAGACGCATCCCACAAGAGCTCTCCTCATCTGCCGTGGCATAAAACCTCCAAATTTTGGTGCAATGGATTTGACAGCCCCCATTGCGTGGTCTATCGCTGCACGAATACTCACAGGAGTACGATTCAGGAAGGGAGAAAGCGGCTTCATCGTGATTTTTTAAGGACAAGAAGCGGCGATTTCCATGTGCGGGGGGGGGAGGAGGAGAGAGGAGGTTTGTCAGGTAGAAGAATTGGAATACCTGGGGGACCAAAAGTAAGCGACTCCGTCAACGTATCCACGGTCGATTTCCGATCGAAGATGGGAAAAAGTGCCGTTTTTTTTGCTTTATGGCCGAGAGAGCTGTTGATTATTTCCCGCTTGTATGGCTCGGGATAAGCTCAATCAGACCAACTAAAAAGTTTTTGGATGGCAAAAAAAAGTCAAAAAAAGGGGTGGATACGCAAAGTCAAACTGCGTACCAAGAAGAAGCCAATCTCCACATCGCAAGGATGGATACAATTGAATGTACCATTTCCTGGCAGCTCCGGGGAGGGGGGTGGAATAACCTGGTTGCCTCTCGGGCCAGGGCCCAGGGGTGGGCGATGGCAAGGAACATGTATACACAATCAGCATGTGAACCCCCTAAAGTGCCCCAGACGAAGTCGGTTCTGACACTCCTCGGCACACATTTATGTATCCCGAGCTGCCTGTGATTATTTTATATTTTGTTTTGGTTCTCTGGATGGCTTGTTTCGTTTCTTTCTTTTTTTTCTGACGGTGAAACTGATATGCTTTCGAGTCCATACTATGTATGTCAATCCACAGGGTTTTTTTTTCTCGAGCCCATATTACTCCGCTCCCATCGAACAAGGGTTCGGCAGCTAAACCCCAGCGAAAAGCCTCCGCATGCCTGAGATCTTGATCAGGATAATATCTCTCTCCACGTCTCCTCTACCCGTTAACCCCTTTCAACCAAGCTGCGAGCCTGGTCGACTCGGCAGGGAGTAGGATATATTCAGCTTCGATCTTCTTTCCTTCTGAACGGAGAGGACGGGACACCAGTCGCAGAAGATGTCTGCCTTACCTGGAAATATATTAGAGAAGCAGTACTGGCAGGAGCCAACAGGAGAGTCGAAACAATCTCGGCTTTCCCGTGCAGCACGATGGTTTCTTGACATAGTACGGCCGTCTGTTCTAACGAAGGGCCGGCGGAAGCAGATGGGACGGACAAGCTATCTCGATGGCTTAAGAGGATTTGCGGCCCTGTTGGTTTATATCGGCCACCACGAGCTCTGGGCTCACGACGCAGCAACCCAGAACCCCATATTCGAGAATGCGTTCGGATACAATAACAAACACCACTTTATCGCCCTACCTGGGGTAAGGACATTCTTCTCCGGCGGCCATTTTGCTGTCAGCGTATTCTTCGTTCTCTCGGGCTACGTGCTGTCGGTGAAAGCTCTTAGCTTGATACACGCAGGCGACTATATCAAGCTTGGAGATACCCTAGCCTCCGCCCTATTCCGACGATGGCTACGACTATACCTACCCGTCATAGGAACCACCTTCATATACATGACAATATGGCATCTGTTTGGAATAACAGCAGTTCCCGATCCGCAGGGGAGCTACAGAGATGAGCTGTGGAAATGGTATTGCGAGATGAAGAACTTCAGCTTCATCTACAGGACCGGGGGAGAGCCCTGGTTCCATTACAACTTCCACGCGTGGTCGATTCCGGTCGAGTTCAAGGGCTCGATCGTCATCTACACTGCTCTTCTAGCGTTTTCGAAGGCGTCAAGGAACGCTCGCCTGCTGTGCGAGATTGGACTGTTTGTCTACTTCATGTACATTGCAGACGGTGCGCTGTGCGCCATGTTTGTTGCCGGCATGCACCTCTCCGACCTCGACCTCCTCGCCGAGGGTAACAACCTCCCAAAATTCTTCTATCGCCTCCAACCGTACAAGGACACGATATTTTACAGCCTTTTCGTGATCAGCATGTATCTTGGCGGCTGTCCGTCCCACAGCTTCGACGCTGCGCTGCTCAAGGACTCGCCCGGCTGGAACTGGCTCTCCTACCTGAAGCCACAGGCGGTCTTTGATTTCAAATGGTTCTACCTCTTCTGGGCCGCCGTCTTCCTCGTCTCCTCTATTTCGCGCATCCGCCCTCTGCAGAGCTTCTTCGAGCTTCGATTCAACCAGTATCTCGGTCGCGTCTCCTTCGCCCTCTACCTCGTCCACGGGCCTGTCCTCTGGATTCTGGGCGACCGCCTGTACTCCGCAGTGGGCTGGGTGAAGGATTCACACCACAAAACAATCCCCGGCTGGATCAACCGGTTCCCTTTGCCCACCGATGGACCACTGGGCCTCGAAGTTGGCTTCCTTGCTCCACAATTTATTCTCCTTCCGCTCACCCTCTGGCTAGCGGAGATTGTCACCAAGCTTTTTGACGGACCCAGTGTCAAGTTTGCACAGTGGGCGTATTCCAAGACCCTGCCGCCATCCGCCAAAGCGATGTGATTTTCCTTATTTCTTCATTCTGGTGGCCTGTTTTCTCCAACTTCGACCTCTTTTTTTTTTTTTGATTAGATATTTTTGATTTACGGGAGCAGTTTCACATGTTCATAGCGTGACGACTCCAGTATCACCCTGTATATAATAGAGAGAGAGATTTTCAGGCGCCGTAACGGAAATGAACTTAGCTTCTTCATGGGTTCATGTAAATTATGTATCAATCGAGTATCAAGTCCGAGGAGGCTTGACTGGGATTCTTTGCTTTTTCCTTTCAGCTTCTTCCACAGGCCAATCCAAGTCTGCCGCCTGCAGGTTAACCTCGACGCTCACAGCGAGTCGAGATGCTTCGCTTCTTCCTTATATCCACCTGGCGGAACCCCTGGATCCTCCCCCCTTCTCCATGCCTCGGGGAGCTCCAATTGGGCCTCGTGGAAATTGGAACGGTCCACGAACCACTCCTCAGGCCAGAAGCAAATCACACGTAATACGATAGTGTAAATCTTGCAGGAGAAAATCCAGCAGCTTCTGGAGCGAAAGGTGCTTTGGCTGGTGGAAAAGAAAGACTGTCAAGCGGTTCATCCCTGAAGGACCAGAAATAAACCTCGCACTTGAACAGAATAACACTCCATGCTTCTTCTTCCCACCCCGGGTCGATTGGCGATGTGAAAAGAGCAAAAAGGCCGTCATTTTCCTGACCTCGACCTGCTCAATAGGCAATGTTAGTCCGAGGGCTCAAGCGACTTTTCCTCCCCGTAGCGTCCTTTCTGCTGCTCGCCTTCGTTGTCGCCACCTACTTTGGCAGCTCAAACTCCTCCAGATGGTCACTCCGCGACCAGCTGGGCCCGCGGCCCTTCGATCGAGATGATAGCGCTGGCGGACGAGACGTGTCGACGACTCACCATGAGGTCTTCTCCCTGTCGAGGCCGGACAGGAAGTACTTTCGCCTCAAGTTCGGCGAGCTCGAGGCGATAAATCCCAGCATCATTCCCCATCCATCGTTAAACGACACATGGATCATCTCTGCGCAGCATATGAGTCGAGGCGCTGTCAAGGACACCGTCTGGTTCGCTGAGCTGGTGTGTAACGCCGTGTTCAAGAACGAGAGGCTGGAGTGCATCAGCCCGCCGATGAATATGCCCATCGCGGCAACGGTGGGAGACCGTACCAAATGTACGGACGAACTGGCCTTCTTTGCTCTCAACATCGGTCCTCACGATGCGCGAGTCTTCTACGGCCCAAGATTCCCGCTTACCATCTACGGATCGAACTCGATGTTCACCTGCTTTGGGCAGTGGGTGCAGGATTTCCGGATGTTGATGGACTGGGGATACGAGCACTTCTTCCAGAACGAGTTCAGGGTGCCTACCGAGATCCAGCGGCCGACCGCCTACGGCGCCATCGAGAAGAACTGGTTCATCTTCTGGGACAAGGATGGCCAGATGTACGCCCACTACGACGTTGCGCCCAAACGTGTGTTCGCCAAACTAGAGTATAATGGCGCTGTAGGACCAGATCTCGCTCCGTTGGTCGCAGCCCAGGACGGCAGATGTATGCAGCGGTACATGCCCTCTATCGGACCGGAGCTGGAATCCATCCACCAGGCTACAAACTCCCTTGCGGTCACACTCTGTAACCGATCGGATACAAACTGCAAACCAAACGATGAAAACACGTTCGTACTCACCATCTTCCAGCACAAGAGCTTCTATTCCTTCCACAGCGTGTACGAGCCGTACGCCATGCTCTTTCGACAAAAGGCTCCCTTCGGCCTATACGGCATATCCTCGAAACCAATCTGGATACACGGACGCGGCAAGGAAGGCCAAGGTAAAAAGCCTCCTGGCCTGACTCCGGAAGAGATAAGGGTGTGGAATCAAACGGAGATGTTCTACATCACCGCCATAAGCTGGAAGACGCACGGCCAGAAGTATCATGGATACATTGACGACGTGTTATTTATTTCCTTTGGGATAGAAGACGGAGATACTGGAGGCATTGATGTCCGAGCCAGTGACTTACTGGAAGGTTTGGGACGATGTTCCATTGCATGATATACGGAGGTGTATTTCATGCTAGTTTGGTTTGCTTGTGGCTATCATAGACACAGCCGGAGTTACACTTCTTTTATTTATATACCTATTTGATATGCCTTGCGCTATGGCCGTTTGATGTACAACACTATGTTTTTTTTTTTCGAGATATCAAAACCATGAATCCTTTTGATTACTTCTGGAACAGTGTGCATCTCTCTACTATATATAGTTCTCGAACTCTTTACGTGATATCGCCGGAGCACAGATGATACCTGGAGAAAGAGCTGGACAGTGGAATCATCTCTGGTCATACAGAGTACCAGACTACTAATATCCAGCTGGGTCTTCTGCGACGTCACTGTCAGGCTGTATCACGGTGTCACCGTGGCCGCAGGAAGCCTGCCATCCTCGAGTCGAGTCCATGGGATGCAATATATCAACTTTCTTTGACCTCGCTAAAGATCAAAATTCGGTCTGTCCGAGCGAATATTCGATCTCCAACCAACATAAATTTGAGCATGGGTTGATTGACATCGTAAAATCAAAAAAAAAAAAAAAAACCAATTATATTAACCCCTGGATCGGCGAATTCTTCTTTTGCTGGTTCCCGCTGAGGAAAAGAATCCTACAGACGCCACAGAGCCGGATCGGCCGTCGTTCCTCGTATTAACGAGCCTTATCATGCATATAGAAAGCTCCGGTTCCTATTCATCGCCAACAGGGCGCTGGAAAACCCCACTAGCCGTCGTTGAAAGATTCACCTGTCATCCTCCAGTGCCTCTCTCTTTCAAAAGTCCGATTTGTTGAGCTCACGACGGAAATGTCTGCATGGCTGTAATAGATTGAAAATATATTTGCGGATCTCTGGCTGATCGATAATAGCCTTGGATGTGTTCAATGTCTGGTTTGTGGTTGGCGAGTTCCCACAGGAACCAGTATATATCTTTGGGTGCTGATTTGATACCATCAGAAATCTGATCAGACCATAATCCCATGGTTCTTGTATAAATTCCGTATGGGTAGCCTTAGATATGGACAAGGCGGAGGTAAGGTTGTTCCACGGGGGTTATATGGAAGTACAAAGTTGCCAGAGGTGGTGATGATATGATAATTCAATTTCCTAGGGGTTAAACAGGCAAATGGCATATATCAAGTAGTTCAACAATCGATACAACATGATACAAGTGGTCACAGCCGTCAAATCAACACGTGGAATGCAAAGAAAAAAACAACTATATTGTTGAATCGAACGCAGTATCAGCACAAAGGAGAATCATACAGGCATGTCATTATCCGCTCGCGTGGTTTTTGCCCCCTCCACATTTCAATCCCCGCGATTCCCTACCGGTCTAACATCCCCGGTTCACACTCTAATGCTTTCCACCGCCGAACATGGAGCCGAAAGAGCTTCCGCCGTGGCTGCCACTTCCATGGCTGTTTCCGTGCTTCTTGAGTTTCTCTTCGGCCAAGTGGCCAGCGATGGCTCCTCCGATGGCTCCTAGGATACCATGGTTGGCCTTGCCGCCAAGGAAACCACCGGAGACACCGCCAGCAATGGCTCCTCCGATTCCACGCTCGCCCTCTTGAGCGCCGCCTGGTGCAGATTGGTCTTGTCTGTTATTCAGAGAAGAAAATAGTTAGAAATGGTTAAAAGAAGCAGGAGTGCGGGGGAAATGGATGATGCTTACCCATATTGAGGCTGGCCGCCATAGCCATGTTGCTGGCTATTCTGGTTGTAGTCATGGCCTTGCTGTTGGTATCCTTGTTGGTTGTAGCCGCTCTGGTCATAACCGCCCTGGTGCTGCTGCTGGCCGTAGCCGTGCTGCTGCTGTCCTTGGTTGTGGCCTTGGTCATACTGGCCTTGGTTGTAGCCGTGCTGCTGCTGGCCATAGCCTTGTTGTTGATTGTAGCCGCCCTGCTGGCCATAACCTTGCTGGCCGTAGCCTTGCTGGTTGTTGTAGTCGTTGTAGCCGGACATTTTGGTGGGATGTGGTTGTCTGAAACTGTAGAACTTTGAGTCTATGATTATTCTATTGGTGACTGACTGTCTAAAAGAGATGGACTGATGGCTGAATATCCGGTATCTGATAAAATGATGAGGAAAAGGATGAAGATGGGTAGGAGGCAGACCCCGCCTTAAATATAAAGTCGGATGATCAGACCCCGCTAGCCAGTTCAGGTATTGAGAATAGAGTCCACAGGCGGCGTCCTTATTACGTAGGGCTATTATTAGAGCGCCGCACTTTCAGATCCTCTTGGATTTATGCGCAGCAAGTCTCGGTCTTTCAGTGCGCCAGGAACATGCATGCGCCGCAGTTCCCACCCCCAGGATCAGACGAGATATTGCTCATCGAAATGCTCCATTTTGTGATGCCATCATCCAGATTGGCAGCAACGCACTGCGAGTGTCCGTCTAAGCCTACTCTCATTCGTCAACATGAGATCCACTTCAATCATGCTCAGCTGGGATACGATGAGCAAAGCCTCGCCAAGTGATGTTTGTGGTGGTCGTTAGCCCCCCAACTCTCAGTACATAGAATGTATTGCGTTCTCGTACCTTCGTCTGTTTGTAGAATATCCCCCTAGTCCAGGCTCCTCCTCCATGATGCTGGACGAGCTGAACGCTTCCCGGATATTGGCCTAATATGGAAAAGTTGGGAGATTCAGCTGAGTAAGGTGAGGAACGGTGCATGTCCCTCCATGGCCCCGCCAATATTTAACTTCTCAGGAAGGATTTGACAGCAAGATCCATAATACCCTGACAACATGAAGCCCCTTGTCCTTCCTCTGTACAGAGTACATCAGAAAAATATTAGGAGGTCACTGTACTCCGTATTGTGAGCACACAATTAATAATCTCTGTTAAGTCGCTTCCTGACCGCATCAGCTGAGTTTATCGCGTGCCGTGAAGACATAGGTGAAGTTCAACCAAAGTCATGTTTTGTGCGGTCATTTCCAAACTGGTGTTCTTCATCCGAATTCTCCCGCGCGGCGCACCATGATACCATGCGGAGTTTAGTTTGTATACGCGCGATACAGGGGGTTCCGTAAGGCAAGTATCAAGCTGATCGCTCAGCCTCCACTGCTTTGCCCAAGCCTCGATGGTGGCTGGGTTAACTCCAGGCACCGCCGCAATGCACCGACGGCGCTTAGCTAATCTTTTTTCATCCGTCTAACCGTCGGATGCAGAGTGCGACAAGCTCGAATAACTTTTGGAGGAATCATAACCGTTAGTTATAGAGCTTGTCCCTTCTTTAAGGTCTTGTCTTTTATAGAGCTTGTCCCTTCTTTAAGGTCTTGTCTTGCATTAAATGTACCGTCATGTGGCTAGACTGTTCCGAAGCAACATCACACATAACCGTTAGTCAAATCAAGGGCCTGGCGATATAGATTCAACCAGTTCAGACTCTGCCGTTGTTGCATTCTATACATTAACATTAGGTACTTTTAGTTCGAAACGATTTCCTACAGTAACTTATTGAAACAGCATTAACAGTATCGCTATCCACGTCCTGGGGCTCGTTTCGTCTTACCTGCATCCATCTTAGCCAGTCAAACCAGTCATTCCTTTAGCCACCGGAGCCAGGAGTAGTTATATGCATAGGGGAATGGATCTGATTTAAACCGGTTAATATTCCAACCTGTAGGACGAGGGGGACTGTTTCAACAATCGTCATCACTCGACACCAGGTGAAATGGTCTATGGCCAGCTAATGGTGGGATGTTGACCTCTGCCTCAGCCATCAAGAGTCGGCCGTCATATTCATGAGGAATCTGTCGAGTTTCAGAGGCAGTCTGTGGGATAATGGTGCTGCAATTTCACGGCCTTTTTAGGCCGTAGCTGTGGCTGTATCCGTAGCTGTCATGGAAGGCTTCGACACAAACCCCCAGGCGACATCGCGTATGTTTTAGCCTGTCGTCAACTGGCTATTGTTAACACCGTCCTAATACATATAATAATAACATCATTGTCACTATTGTCATGTGTAATGAAGTGTATCTGAAGAACGTCTTTCTATATAGATTGTTTTCAGTACGTTTAAGAAGATATTATTGGACTAAAGGCGGTGAGGGGCCCCACGGCAGAAAAGCAAGAAGACGCCAAGATTTCTTCCCACCGTTCAAAGATTTCGAAATATTTTCAAAGGCTTCAACGCAAGCTTGATATCTTTTTTGTTCCGGAGCGTTCTTTCTTTTCAGTTCTGGGCAGCTATGGGGGATAGCTTAGAGGTAAGGTGCCTACGATCTTTGGCGGTTTCACTTGCTAAGATTTTCTTTGTCTAGGAACGCCTACGAGGCCATGCCAGCGCGTTTGACGGCTTGCTGTCGCTGATTCCTGCAAAGTACTACTATGGAGAAGATAACAGTGTACGCTTTTATTTTTGGACTGCAGACCTTTCTGTCTCAAGGCTGTTAACACCCTGGAACGCATTGCTGACTCCTGAGCTTGGGAATTTAGGAACAATGGCAGCGGAAAAAGCAGACCAAGGAGCAGGCGAGAGATGCAAAGAGGGCTAAACTAGACCCTGAATCCTCGAAATCGGCAAAGGATGTAATGGACGACAATGCTAGAAAGAGGAAACGAAGAACTGATAATGATGAGGCACAAGATGTGGACGACTCGCACTCGGAGGAAGAGCCTCTAGGCTCGGAGAAGCCAAGGGAAGGCCTGAAGCGGGGAGACTCCAAGCTGAAGAAGCAAAAGAAGGTCACTGCTTCAACCGATATAGAAGGCCGAGAAGCCAAGGCGGGAGATGCCAAACAGCAAGCAAAGAGTGAAGCAAAGGCGGCAAAACAAGAGATGATGAAGCAGAAACAAGCTGAAAAGCGGGAGAAAAGAAAAGAGAAAATAGCGGCGCTCAAGGCTGCGAGAAGAGAACAGCAGGCCAGTGTAGATGCATCTACTAAGATATTAGAAGCAAAGGCCGACGATGCAGCTGAGAATTCGTCTTCAGTACAGAAAGCCCCCAAGCACAAGACAACAAATGTCAAGGAATCTACAGAAAGTGATGATGAAATGAAGGACATAGCACTAGAAGGGTTCTCCTCTGAAGCTCTACAAGGCCAGCCAGGCCATGAATCTACCACGCCTAATTCCTCCACCAATGCATCAGACCCGTCCAACCCCCCTTCAGGCAGCTCTTCCGTCTCCTCCATCGTCCCACCTACTGAATCATCCAAGCCCAAACCTTCCGCCAACGCCACAGGAAACAAATCCCCGCAGATCAAGAAACCCCAATGTACTCCCGAACAGTTAAAAGAAAGATTGCAAAAACGCCTTGATGAACTTCGTGCAGCCCGCCATGCAGACGGCATCAATGGGAAACCAGCTAAGAATAGACAGGAACTCATCGAAGGCCGACGACAGCGTGAAGAAGCCCGCCGCGCACAGAAGAAGGAACAGCGACAAAAGGCCAAAGAAGAAGAGCAACGGCTTCGAGATGAGGCTATTTCCAAAAGATTTTCATCCAAGGGCCCTGGGTCACTCCTCTCCTCACCCGGCTCCCCTGCCGATTCGATAACATCTATACCAAACAATTTCTCCTTTGGGCGAGTAGTCTTTGCCGACGGTCAACAGCTCGATGCCAGCATGACCGGACTCCGAGACACAGCTAAGAAGCGTGGACCTCAGGACGCAAACACTGCTCTCAAGGCAGCAGAAGCCAAAAAGGCTCGGCTTGCTGGCCTTGATGAGGAGAAACGGACCGATATCGAGGAGAAGGATATGTGGCTTAATGCTAAGAAGAGAGCACATGGGGAACGCGTCAAGGACGACGTATCATTGCTGAAGAAAGCGCTGAGCAGAAAGGAGGGGATCAAGAAGCGAAGTGAAAAGCAGTGGAAGGAGAGAATAGAGGGAGTTGCCAAGGGGAAAGAAATCAGACAGTCCAAGAGAGATGAGAACATACGGAAACGAAAGGAGAACAAGGGCGTCAAGGGCGGGAAAAAGGTGACGAAGAGCAAAGGCAAAGGCAGACCTGGATTTGAAGGGAGCTTCAAGTCGAAGAAGAAGTAGGCGATGATCTTCTGTTGCCCTTGCCTCTTACTCCTGCCGAGTTCATTTCTTTCATTCAGATATCTCTCCCTTTTTTTGTAATATGGAGTTTCAGTACGTGGTTCGGGAAAGGGGAAAAGATAATTGATCAATTGGATTCTCTGGCGAGCTGTTTCGTTTTCATCTCTCTCTGCCTGTCTAGTTTAGTCAGTTTAGCTTACGCAGTTGTGTACATGATTCATACTCAACCTGGTAAATACAGGAGAAGGCTCACGTGTGTATGTATATATATGTTGATAACAACCGGAGCTATCGATAGTGAGAGCCCAAGAGGGATAAATTCAAGTCTTTTGCTAGTATTCCCTTTGCTAGCCATCTTATCAATGATATACACAACGCTCGACTGGATTGGCTCCGACCACTCTAACGATCAAGTCTGAGGAAGTTCCATTTTACAGGAGTCAAAAATAAGAAAAACAAGTACTAAAGAAAGATATCAAGGACATGGGTAAAGGAAAAAAAGAAGTGCGTCCGGGGTTTGTTTTATCTATATGGAGCATCAGCTCTGGCAGCAGCGGCGAGTTCTGGCTCCCACTTGTCACCATTCGCCAGCAGTTTCTCCTTGTTGTACAAAAGCTCTTCTCTGGTTTCAGTAGCATATTCGGCATTAGGCGCTGTATCGAGCATTAGCATCATTCCCTCCTACACTTAATGGGGAGCGTGGGACATGGAATTCTCACATTCGACAATAGCATCTACCGGACAGCTCTCCTGACAGAATCCGCAGTAGATACACTTGGTCATGTCGATATCGTATCTGGTTGTTCGTCGACTTCCATCGACACGCTCTTCAGCTTCAATCGTGATGGCCTGAGCAGGGCAGATGGCTTCACAGAGTTTACAGGCAATGCATCGTTCTTCCCCAGAGGGATATCGGCGGAGAGCGTGCTCGCCACGGAAGCGGGGGGAGATGGGGCCTTTCTCGAAGGGGTAGAAGATGGTGTATCTAACTCCTGGTCAGCCCGGCCACTTGCTCACGACACCCAGCCAACCATTGACCAAACAATTGATCCGATATATATTGCTGGATATAGATCCGTGGATATAAAATGGCGGTACATACGGAGGTCTGAAGAACTGTTCCAGCACCACATACATGCCCCGGAACAGCTCCGCCATGAGGAAGTACTTGGTAGCGCTATCGAGCGAGGTCTCGTCCTGCTGGTCCCATCGCTTTGGGGGAGCAAGACGGAAGCCTGATGGCGGTGGTCCGGCGGGAGTGGCAGCTCTGATGGCGGAGGTCGAGAAGGACGACGTTGATGCGCGGAGGACGGACGACGGGCTGGCAAGGGCGTATGACGAGGCCAGCGGCGACGGCGCTCTGTAGGCCAACAGCCTGGCAGCAGCCTTTGACGAGGCCATTGTTCAACTGGTCGAGTTTGTCGTCTCTGTCTTCGTCGACTTGATGTCTTCTTTTTTTTTTGATGTTCGACGTTCGTTTGGGAGAGCAAGAAAAGGTCATACCGTTCACGTGTTCTCTGATTGGCCCGAAAGAAGGAAAAAAAAACATCAACTTTTCGAACGACGAAAAGACGAAAAAGACGAAGACGAAAGGAAAAACGACGACGCTTTCAAAAGCCATTTCTTCGAAAACAAGAGCTGCGAACTCATATATCGCCTGGTTTTTGATCTTTGTCAGAGATATTTCTACCATCATCATGTTCCGTTCCGCCGTCATCCGATCGCTGAGGTTGTCCGTACCTCGCGTTGCCAGAGCTGCTTCGCCTGTCTCTCGTCAGGTCCCAGCTGTGTCCAGCATCGCCAGACAAGCTCAATTCGCTCCAAGCTTCTCCTATCAGGCCATAAGATCATACTCTGCCCCCGCCGGCCTCAACCAGACCGAAGTCCAGGGCAGAATAGTCGATCTGTTGAAGAACTTTGACAAGGTACGTACCTTGATATAGTGGCCTTTCTTCTTCCTTTCTCTTACTGATGGTGGTTTATTGTAGGTTTCCGATGCCTCCAAGGTATGTTTACGGGTGGAATCGCTCATTTGAGTGTGGTTGTTGCCTTTTTTTGGTTGAATCTCACACGTTTGTCAAGATCACCCCCAACTCGCACTTCACAAATGACCTCGGGTTGGACAGCTTGGACACCGTTGAGGTTGTGATGGCCATCGAAGAGGTAACATTTACTCCATTCTGATACTGCATGAGATGTCGGAGGTGTTGACTTCGGGAAATAGGAATTCAGCATTGAGATCCCAGACAAGGAGGCAGATGCCATTCACAGCGGTACGTCCTGAAATTGCGATTCCTTCTATCTTTCAAACCGAGCCAGATGAAGACTCGCATTAGCCCCTGGCTACATGAACGTGCCATTTGCTGACTATATCAAAAGTTGACCAAGCCGTTGCCTATATCCTCTCCCAGCCTGATGGTACGTAGCCATTGCCCCGTTCCGCCTGGCCTCTCAAAATCTTTGCTGACAAGTAAACACAGCTCACTAAACAATTGTCGTCGAGCCTCGTTAAGTGGATTGCGGCCCCCAAACAAAGATTTCCTTAGCTTTTCTAGACAAACCTGAAAATCGGGCGCCGGTTTTATGTGATAATTGCCCCCAACTTGTTATATCGTGTACATCAGCTCAGCCATCGCATCTTGATATAATTAGAGAATATCTTGTGTGAATTCTACTCTTATACATTGCCTTCTATTATTCTACTGAGTAAAGCAACTGCTCTCGTGACGGCGTTGGGCTTGCATAACGGCCACATAAACCGCCTCCAAAAAAAAAAAGCCACAGCAGGTCTACATAAACCGCTAAATAAGAATCCCGTCCGTTAACCAAGTTTCATGTTAATAAGAACTAGAAATACAAGTTATTTTCTCCTTCGAGTGTCCAAACAAGCTGGCTAAAATCTGACCACCGCCAAGCCGAACAGAAAAAGCGGATTTTTATATCAACTTCTCTCCCGCCCTTTTAGAAAACGGCCCATACTACAAGAACAGCTTCCCGACTTGCGCCCGATTCCAACTCCGCCACTGCGCATATATAGGGCCCGTGATTATATCGTACCTACTTCGGTCTCAGTCCCCGCCATCCCTAGACAGACTCACCGTCATCGCTGTTACGCCAAAAAGCGGCCAGCGTTTCGAAGTTGCCTGCTCTCTCCCTTTAACCCCCCAAATTTTTGAGACAGCCAACACCCAGTTCTATGCCCCAGGCAGCTATTGCCTGAGCTTGTTACGGCTCTTTGTCGACTACCAGCGAGCTCGTACGCTCACTTTCTTACACATCTATGGCGTCTACCAGCGGCTTAACTCGCCGGCGAGGAGCTGGCCGAGGGGACGGTGGTATTGAGAGTGGCAGAGTGGCCTCCCCGTCGTCGCTAAACGGAGCGTCTCAGGATGGCCGTGGAGAGTCCTCGTTCACCGGTGAAAATGGGCACAAGATCGCATTCGATCCGAGAGATATCAGCGAGAATGAGGAGCGGAGCAAGCAGCCTAAGCTTACACTTATGGAAGAGGTGCTGCTCCTGGGTTTAAAGGATAAGCAGGTAACAAATGCCTTAGAGGAACGCCTTGAATCCGTGTAGCATTCTAATTTCACGCCTTTTTTATGCCATAGGGGTACCTATCGTTTTGGAATGAGAATATTTCATATGCATTACGCGGCTGTATTGTGATTGAACTGGCGTTCCGAGGTCGAATCAGCATGCAGAAAGATTCGTCGAGGCGACGGTTCCCACTTGCGGACCGAATAATTGAGGTTATCGATGATACATTGACAGGAGAAGTCTTGCTGGACGAGGCATTGAAGATGATGAAAGCTAGCGAGAAGATGAGCGTGAGCTCATGGATCGATCTTATGAGCGGTAAACCTCTATATCCAATATAACCCCTTTGTTTGTCCATATGCCTGTATATCTAACTCTTGACGATATAGGCGAGACTTGGAATCTGATGAAGATTGGCTACCAGCTGAAGCAGGTGCGAGAACGGCTTGCAAAAGGACTAGTTGACAAAGGCGTCCTCCGAACTGAAAAGCGGAACTTCCTCCTTTTCGACATGGCCACACACCCAGTCGCAGATGGCGGCGCAAAGGAAGAATTACATAAAAGAGTGCGCAACATCTGCAGCAGCCGTACTGTTATGTTACCTCCAAACCCATTCCTCCCTGAAGATATTGAATTCAGGTATCTACGGACCATTGCATTGGTGTGCGCCGCGTATGCAGCAAACGTGCTGGAAAATGCCCTCGTAACTATGGGCCATGAAGCTAGGGAACGAGCATTTGCACAGGTAGATGAGCTGCTAGCAGAGTATTCACAGTGGCCATTTGTGTCAAATAAGGGCGCTGGCGCACATGTTATCGGAGCGAATCTACCGCAGGCTGTGAGCGAAGAGGTTGAAAAGGCCAAGGATAAGGAGCTCCAGCTTGAGGTAAGCCAAAACCGCATTATTATTCTTTTTCCAGTTTCATTTTTTCAAACTAACATTTCTCTCATTCGTTATAGGTCGTGGCCGCTTGTTTGGGTGTATTTACTCGCCTTGACTCCTTACTCTAAGCGACATACCTCTACAGTCCTTAATAGAGCCCATTCAATGTCTACTAATGTCTTATATCTTCATTTCGTCGCATCTACCGTTTCTTTACTTTCTATTATCATCCGGACACTACTTTCATCATCCTTCCCTTCTCTTGGCTCACGCTCAAAATGTGTTCTTAGCTTTTATTCCCTTCTACCCTTACGCCCTGCCGGACTCTTAAAAAAGGATAGGAGGAGAGATGTCAAAATGGTTGCATTATTCAAGAGTTACCGGTATGATCCTGTTTTTCTATTCATGCTTATAATCCTATATTTTTCTCTATTTTATTTCATTTGATGTTCTGTTTGAATAGTTTCATTGCCCGAGCGGTTTAAGCAGGTAGAACAGAAGCGAAATAATGACAGAAATACATCCACACAGGTATGACTTTATATTTAGCATATTTATCCTTCGCCTCTGCCATTCAACAATCTATTGTATCCCTTTGACCTCCGGTCTTCTGCTTCTTGGAACTCCTAGTGCCTGAATCATAAAACTTAATTCTCGTTTTCCCAGTGATGTTTGATACCTGTGATCATTATAGATTGGGTTCATATAAAACTATCCAATTTGATATCAATACGTTAAAAAAATACATCCCCTTGGGACTGTCAAACTATCTAATTGACCTTCAAGACAACTTTTCCACGGACCCTTTTCGACTCGACCAGTTCCATGGCCTCCCTGGCCTCGTACAGTTCAAAGACCTTGTCAACGAAGCCTCTCACCTCACCCTTTCCCACCAATATACCAATTTTCTCCAGCTGCTTTCCGTTTATCTCAATGATAAAGTACCGACTGTTTAGCCCTCTCTTCTCAATTCCTAGATTGCCCCATTCCTCCTTGATTGGGTGTGCAACGCTAACTATCGATCCATTATCGCAAACGACAGATGGAGAATGGGCCTGTTTCAAAGACGATCCTCCAATACAGTCGAACACAAAGTCAACAGGCTTCCAACCGTTTGACTTGAAGGTTTCACTCAAATCCGGATGGACGGTGTAGTCGATGACTTCATCGATATGTAGCGTGTCCTTTAAGAAAGCTGCATTGCGGCCTGAACATGTACCGCATATCCAGAACTTCTGGTTTCCGAACAAAGTCTTTGACCGCAAGAGTTGAATAGCTTGTACTCCTACGCCACCGGATGCATTTGTTATCAGAACGCGAATGGGCTCATTATGGGGTTGTAGTTGCTTGACCCCTTCTCCGCCATTGTCATCCATGCAGTCGTCTCGCACTACCTCACTGTCCAGATGCCCACATTTGTCGGCAATGTGTTTTAGATTCCCATGAGCAAAAAATGCCTGCCATGCAGTCATGGCCGAGAGTGGGATACTCGCTGCTTCGATGGCCGTTATATTTTTTGGTTTGAATGCCAGCTCATTCTCTTCTGCCAGTGCACAATCGGCGGCACCCCCTCCTCGATGGACACTGAGCCATCCGAAAACCTCATCGCCTACTTTGAACTTGGGGCCGTCGTACGTCCGTTCATCATCGGACGGCGTTGAGAGAATAGTCCCGCATACATCGTAGCCAGGGACTGGGGGTTGAATGACACGGGAGCTAGAGATGACTTCGGGCCAGGTGAGTTCCTCGCGGCATAAGGCGGTACTGTAGACTTTGATTAAGTATTGAGATGGGTTTGGTTGAGGAGTTGGGAATTTGGGGTCATATATCAGGGATGATGGTAGAGGAGGCGATGATGCGTCGTAGGGCCCAGGAGGAAGATGGACCGCAGGCATAAAAGGAGGGATATGCTCTTGATCTGCCATCATTGACTATATATGATGCCGTTCGTCTATATATGTATATCGTGGAATGGGAGGTGGAAGTACTGTCACTCTATCCAAGCGACTAATCCTGTCCATTATTTATATAGAACTAAACAACCTCGATATGCAAATATGGCATCAGTACGGGAGGTGCAATACCCGTGCGGATAGCTCGGATTATTGTACTACAAAAAACAAATATTCATACGAGCTGATTTGCTTTTATGTAGAATAACATCCTTACAACTGTAGAGCTGAACATTCAATGACGTCAGAGTAGTTAAACATAACTATTAGCTATACGGCCTATCAAGACAACTATAACCGCACTGCTTAGCAAGTATACAGGGGAAAGATGCTACTATTAGCTAAGGGATGGTGAACTATGTGAACAATGAGGCCAAATGCTGCAATGAATCAACGAGAGAAATGAATAAAACCGCCTTTAATACGGATCATGTCCGAGCCACCATTAACCACCAAAAGGTATGTATACAGACGAATAATAGGAGACTGGGTCCGAAGATAAACAAAACGAAAGACAGAAACAATCAGAATGCCTGAATGAAAACACATAAAACGAAAGAGGGAAAACCATATATTAAACATCGATATCATCATCATCATCATGACTCCTACTTACCTCTAGAACTGTTGGCCCTGGAGCTCATTCACAAGCCCCTCAAGCTCGTCCGCGGTCTCAAATACCTTCCAAACAGATTGAGGAACGCCCTCAAACGCCTTTTCGAACCTTTCAGGGTCATTCTTGCCGGCCATATTTGCCACATCAGTTACTTTCCTGATATATATGGCCTTGATCCAGCCATCATGTTTCTTATACGCTTCTGCATAAGCCTCTGGATCACTTTGTGTCGAGTCTCCGATGCACAGGACCTTGCGTTTTGGGAACCACCCAAATACTTTGGCTAGTTGGTTAACCTTGTACTCCTGCGTGCCCTGGGTGAATGACTTGAGCAGACCAGCCAGGTCCATCCACGAGTTTTCACGGAGTAAAAGTGTGCCTTGTGGGTAGGTGGAACGAAGGAAGCCATGCAGGAACGAATACAAGTTATATGGGGAAGCCGAGAGATAGAACCAAGTTGGATTGAGTCGTTTATGGATACGACTGTACACATCTGGCATGCCATCGATTGGTTTTGGATCATCAACGAAGGTTGTACGAAGGATACCAATGGCGTCTGGTGTCTGGGTGTATTTGATTGTGTCATCAACATCTGAGATGACGGCCCAGCCCTCCTGGGCTGCAAAGGTTGTCGACATCGTCAGGGGCTTTGGTCCCCAGTTTATTGCATGAGATTCCAACACTGATCCATCGTGGATGCCATTTGCAGGGATTATCAAAATGTCATCCTCGGATATTCCGTCCTTATTGGAGCTGCGTAGCCTAAATCTATGCACTTCTTCGTTCGAAACGGGAACCTCCAACTTGATGAATCGATTTTGTACAACGGCATTCAGGAACGGTTGGATACGCATGGCGATTCGTTTGCGGACGGCACCCTTGTCGTCTAGACCTGGGTTACCATCTATCCCGACCAAGTCAGCGATGATGGCTACCCATCTACCGATATCCCGTCGTCCGTGCCTCTCAAACATGCATCCAACCACATGAGCCTTCCATCCAGGAGGGCCATATACTGGACCATGATCAGGCTGGTATGCAGTGTTATCGAAGAGCCAGACAATATGCTTCTTCGGATCGGCGAGCTGGCTTCCTGGTGTGAGCTTCGAGGTAAGGGAGGACGAGAAATAGGTGATCCATGAGGCTATTCGCAGGACCGAGGTAGGATCCAACGTCAACTTGTTTTCCACCTGAGGAAACCCTCCATTTTCGCGGTCTTGTCGCTCTCCAGGCGTCTCGCCTTGCTCTGGTTGGGGCGGCATAGTCATAGCTCCGGATGGCTACCTCTCTAGGTAGAAGCAAGGTATGGTAGTAGTAGTATCGAGACTTCTTCCGGAAAGGAACGTTCAACGTCTAGAGTAGATGTCTGGAGTCCCAGTTTAGTTAGCTAGTCAAGAAACGGATCATTGAGATGATAAAAGGGAGAGCAGTAAGCGGCAGACCAGGTGGTTTAAGGGAGCCAGCAGGCGTCACCGTGACCTGATCATGAACTTGAGCAGCCAGCCACGAGTCACAGTCGACTCGATCAACGCAGCCCTTAAGTATAATTGCTTATTGCCTGGTATGGTGACTATTTAGCATCGCTTGCTGATGATCATCTCGGTGGGCTGTTAGTTCTGTGGTGATGATAGCTATCGACATGTATCATGTTGGTAGGTAAGGATGGGACGTGGAGCTACAGTGCACAGCACCAGGCACCGTCCTGCAGTAATATATAGGCAGTGTTTTCTACAGGGAGTATCTTATGCGATATGATGTAGTGTCTCTGAAACGTCATTTTTATCTGGGGTTCATTAAGTTACAGCTTGACTCCCCCTTAGCGCCGTTAATACGACGGACACCAGCAAGTATTATGATGTAGACCATTTTGATCATCCTCGTATATCTTATTGAAATGCTTGTAACAAAACTTTTGAAAGCCAACTACCGCATCGCTCCAAAGGCTGAGACTTCAATAGCGATAGACATACCATAAGAAACCGGGTAACAAAAAAGAACATAAACATTAACATTATAGCAAAATAGTGATATAAATGACCCGGACGACGCCCCTCCATCACAAAACCCCATCTCGTTATTAAGCCACAGACGATGTTCAGGTTGCGACCTGGTGCTCTAGCTCTTCTGCTCGTTTCCAGTCACATGGAGCAGGCGAAGGCAGATTCTTTCCGATCCCTCGTATATCAGACGGACGCATGGTCAGGAGCTGAGTGACTTTATTGTTCAACGTGTCGATATATGCGTCCTTCTCGACAAGTTCTTGCTTCAGCAGCTGTTCAGTCTCCTTCGAAGCTGTGATATCCTCTCTCAGTGTCTTGGCCTTGGTTTTGTATGCTCTGGCTCGCTTCTCGTTGCGGATAGCAACTAGTTCGAGTTTGGAGATGTGGTCCTGGAGCTCTTGTATCTGTCGAGATTGATACATGTGTTGGAGGTCTGCTTCAAAGGGGCCTCTACCACGACATTGCTGCGCTGAAACAATCTCTTTGACAGCCTGATGGACATCACCATCAGACATCTCAAGCTGGTCGCCAAGGTGCTCGGTGATGAACTTGCAAAGGGCATGGATACGTGCGTCATGAAGCCGTAGAAGACCTGTGATTTCATTCTCTTTGGAGTTTAACCGAATCTCACATTCGGCTCTAACTTGCTCCGGATCTTCTTTGCAATATGATTCCTGATCCTGTGTAAACCAAAATTAACCACCTGAGATAGATGGGGGACGAAACAGTTGATGCTTACTTGTCTACTCCAGGTGCCAGATGGGGTGACTGAAGAAGGGCTGCTCTTCATATGTTTTGCTTCCTTAAGTTGTTTGCAGATGGCCGGATGCCAATATACCTTCACTTGATCTGGAGTAAGGTCCGGCAGAATCTCCATGAGCTCGTCATAGTCCATCTGTCTCAGAGACTTTCCATTACGAATAGGTTCTGTTTCCAATAAACGGCCAAATTTGTAACGGTCCTGTTGGTCTGGTGCCGTCTCGGTCCTTGGACTTAGGGACAAGTTTGGTGGCGAGTCTAACATATGCTCGTCCAAATGGTCGAATGTAAACCTCGTTGGCGTTGTGGGTGCGTCTAGCTCAACGCTCCGAGGTGATGCAATTGACCCTGGAAGCTCTGCCACCGAAAAACAGTGATGACGAGGAGAAGAGTAAGATGGGTTCATTGGCACCGATTGATTGCACGGCTGGCAGGAGCAAGTAGAATATGAGTTGGCCGATCTGAATTGTGATTCCACTGGTGAACCCATAAGCATCGTCTCTCGGGCCATACACCCTGGGTTTGAGCAGACAATTGTGCGGGGAGTGGGTGGATTTGAAGTTGGCCATGGGAGATCCGCATAAATCACTTGGGAGGTCGGCGTGGCATTCGTGATTATAACATTACCGGCCACAGAAATATTGATAGGAGGAGGCCGTTTCTTCCGCATCTTGGAGAACGACAACCTATTTTCGAAGCCACCGAACCCATCAGCGGAACCTTTGTTGGATTGAGAAATAATTCGAACCTGCGACTTAGATTTTGAAGAGAAAAGGGAAGACATGAGAGTGAAATGAGTGAATGAATGAATGAATGAATGAATGAAGCGTTTCGTTGGAAACAAGATCAATAACAAAATACGGTATGAATCAGTAAATGAGGGTAATGGGTGGGAAAGCGATGGTCTACCAGAGACCAACTCGCGTTTGATATACAATATGTGGAAATGTATATGAAGAGAGAAAAGAAGAAGAGATATATAGAGAAAGAAAGGCAGATTATCAGCTCTATGTCTACACAGCCGCAAAGTCCAAGAGCAGTGGAGGGTAGAAGCAGTTCCCAAAACCGCCTATGAGGCTTGACCATCTAACGATTCGCTAGGAGGAACCAGTTTATAAAGCACAGTGGCAACAATCCTTTGGATCCCATGGAACCAAAGTCCATCATAGGCGAAACCGACAAGGGGGGAGGGATGAGGCAGACTATCCTACTCAAATCCACGGAAGCCGGGCGAGATCTACTCTCCCCAAGGGCTATCATTGTGAAAATAAGAGGGGAGAAACTCCTATTTTCAAAACATCGCAGTCGTGAAAAGCAAGGGAAAAAAGAATATACATACATACATGCACATATCTGAGGGATGAAGGTTGCGGGGAGCCCCTTTTTCTTTTTAGCGCCGGCCCCATCCATGGCTGCTGCCATGCTTTGTTTCTCGAACATTCACAGCCAACGAATTTTCTTCGACCAAACCCCAGAAGTGTCTTCTTGAACAGCGAGAGATGCAGGATGCACTCTTATTCATGTGTCTGACCCGCTAATGCGGGCTCTAAAGCGTGGCTCTCGCTCATTGGTCTTGTTGCGCAGTTCGTTCCTTGTTTCTAGGAGAAACTGGTCTTCTGTTATGTACTTAAGCGCCCTCCATCCCACTGTTAAAACACCTAGTTTCACATCGCCTATCCATTTGCTGATATCTTACCCTCATTCGTATCCGGGAGACCTCGTGTTTACATGATCCTACACGATATCGTGGCTGAACTACACCAGGAAAAGAAAACATCTGGAGAAGAAAGGCTCCCAGGCACTCTTCCACATGGCATATGATGGAATTTGAATGCTGTTGTTAAGACCACAATTGCCGCCAGTCAACCTCTCAGCCATCTCCGACAAAAAAGAAACAACCTGGTATAATTCCGAATTGAGCCAGCCACCAGCAATACCCATCCGGATCAAGCCATGGCTGGCAATGATCTAGAAGAAAACAGTCTCTATATCATGCTGTTTCTCCGAAGCCACCCGCCTATTCCAAATGATTTCCACTGGGCTTTCTACTTCCACCGCGGCCCCAATGATGGGATGAAGTATCACGTCAGGCAGCAAGGGAATAGTGGATGGATGGCAGACCATGGAGCAACAGCCGGTGTAATGAAGGGGTTTTTACTCGTGGGTTTGTTCAAAATTGGTGATGTTCCTGCAGACCTCAAGGAACATATAGATGGCATCATGAGGGCATACGATGATAAACTCAACGTCTCAGATGTTATCTGTACGTGTCGTATCTGGTTGCTTTGGATCCTTACACTCTTACAAACACCTATTGGAGGAAAAAGGATACTCAGAACTGACGATTTAAAGGCTCTTGAGGATGAAGTCAAGACGTGGGGAAATGAGAATGCTATCGGTGCATCAAATAATGAACAACCTAGGCCCATTGCTGTTTCATCAATACTGTACATACCGGAGGACCAAGACGAATGTCGTAGGGCACTGGGAGGATGAACAACAAAGCTCAGAACATGACTACGCTAGCGATGCCAGCCCTTGTGGGTATGTAGTTACTAAACTAGGGAGAGTAAGGATGAAAGAAGGGTGGCTGGTGGTGAAGGAAGTCCGAGGACTTGGATGAAGGACTGGTAGTACTTAGGTAGCTCGGGCAGGTCCTTGTATAGCTACTTAAGGACTCTGCAGGCTGCTTAGCTGGGCTAGGGCAGATAAAAATGGACTATATAGCCTCGACGGACTGGTGTAATAGAAGTAGAATTAAATGGTAGTAGTTGTTAGTTGACAAAGGACTGGTAACTAAAATCTATAAGTATATATAATAGAAAGAGGTGGCAACTGGGCTTAGAAACCAACGTGCTAGGAGGATTTGTTAGCCATGGCTGGGCCTCTGATATGTGGTAGACCAGGGGATGAGGTCGGAGAGACAGAGATACCCAGTGGCATTCATCCTCTTTGCTGAAACGAGCTCCTAGTGTTGCGATATACCCGTATCAGGCATTGTGTTGCTTCATGTAAAAGTTCAGCTGTGACAGTACCTGCTTGTACTCTATTCCAATTGTGAGCTTATATCCCTCTCTCAGTGACGTCTTTTAGGAAAAAGTGGTGATGATTGATTGATTTGTTTCTAAGTATGTTCCCAGTACATTCTGATAACACCAATGAACGCATCCATCCGGACCTGTGAATTCCATTTGAAGGAGGACTTGAATTTCAGAGCCTTTCTCCTCACGTAGTAAAAGAAGGGCTTTTAGACTATGCCTCATAGGTGACCGGCCGAGGTGGGATGACATCAGTTTGAGTCTGCATCAGGAAGTCCTGACACCGATTCAGAATTACGTTGATGTTGAACATATATTCCAGCGCTGGACCGGAGTGATATCTGTGTGCTTGTAACGAGTCCTCCTCGTTTTCCTTGTATCTAAAACATCTGACCGGATATCGAATACAATAAGACGACGTTCAGCGAGTAAGGTTGCTTGCCACATCCCGGCCTAGAAGCGTTGTTTGCAGCACTGGAGACCCATTTTCGAGGCACCTAATAAGTGAAATTTGAGCCATATTCTCGGATAAATGTTTATATGCGTCGGATTCAGACCGTTTCCCGCTGATTGCTACCTAGGTAGTTATAGCGAGTTTCCCGTATCGTGAAGTTAATTGTTGGAGTGAAGCGAAGATTATATTCCAAATAGTTGTTGAAACTAGGTGTCGACTTTCATAAATATAGGCCCGTTATAAATTAGCTGATTGGTTAGAATCCTAGCCTCTAATTGGCTACTAGTGTTGCAGTACATATCTAGTGGCTTGGTATCGCTTAGTCATACCCTATCAAAAATTTCTGCTCGCCCTGCTCATCCTTATCGCCCTATCTATTAATATCCTTATCAAGCTGCTTATCAAGCTGCTCATCGAGATCCTCATCGATATCCTCATCAAGCTGTTCCTTATAGGACTCCTTCGCTCCGGTACTCTATAGATAGCTATGCTAGCTATGGGAGGAAGCTTGATACTTCTGACCTACCTAGTATATATAATAGAAGAATATTTCGGGTGTGACTACACGAGCAAATAACAATGAACAAGGAAGCAGATAGGGTGAAGAGGGGGGTGAGTAGTGCAACCCGACCAAAGGAAGATGCCGGAGAAGTAAAGGGACTTACAATATCTCTCTATTCTTTTCTATTTTATTTTCATGTTCCTTTTTATTAATCGATTGGTCACTGTACAACAGATAGGATCTTTTTATGTTCTTGTCTCTTTCAGCTGTCTCTATTGCTCTTCTTTTAATAGGCTCGCGTCTTCTGTCTGCGCTTCATCCTTGAGTAGTTCTATCCCTATTGCTGGACTTCGCATGTTTTTACTCCCCTAGTTCCCTCATATCCAACCCGCCTGGACCTGTTTAGACCAATTTTTCCTCATTTCTTCCTCCCTTTCTCCCTTGGTTTATATCCAATTCCCTTTCCTTTTTATTGAAGCAAGCAAGCAGGCAGGCGGAAAAATGGTGTATGCGAAACTAGTTATCAGAGGGAGTAAAAGGAAGAGTAAGCGAGAGAAGTGAGGAGTTTCTTTATGTCTCATAATTTCCTTTTGCTTGTCTATTTGTTTAATTTTAATGTTCTGTTTCCCCTTCCTCTTCCTCCTTATTCCTCTTCGTTTCTTGTTGTCTATAAATCCATAGTTACGTTTTAGTACTTAGTTAGGCCTCCCTTTGCCCCTTCAGCTGGATTAGATCCGCTTGTTTTTTTGTCCATTTTACATACCTACCTTTCCGCATACCTATCCATCTACATCCTACCCATTGTTGGTTGTTAACAGAGCAAGCCTTATTTTGGCAAATGAAATAGCCATTGAAATCCTAATACTAATGAGGCATACATTTGTCACCATATCTTCTAGCCGTTCATTTTAAAGAAACTCCTAAATTGGTAATTAATATCATACACCCATCTCAATCCAACGACCTCTAGCTATTCAACCAGGGGTCTTCAATCAGCTCCTTTGCTGTCTTCCTATCCTCCGGTCGCCATTGCAACATTCCTCTCATGAAGGATAAGAACATTTCTTTGTTTTTCCCTCCCAGAAATTCCTCTGACTGCTCTAAACTCCTGCCTTGTCGTATTTCGATATTGGATTTCCACTTTCCTAATATACAGATATCGTTAGAGGGCTCCGCCAAATATTTAGTGTCTGAGTGACATTTATGAGCAGAGGCTTATAATTACCATCTTCGTCAAAAAATTCGCTGCTTCGCTTTCCGCATTTCAACATATCTAATGGTGGGGGACCGAGAATTGCAATTACTTCAGCGAGGTGCGCGCGGGTTGAGTACCCTTTTCCATCAGGGTCATTCCCATAGAACATGTGTTTTCCTTCAAAAAGATCCCAAACCCGGTTTAAGTCTTGATTAATACTTATCAAGGATGAAAAAGGGTAGCTAAGCAGCTAGACATACCATAACTCCAACGTTCCATATATCAACAGGATAGCTCCAGTCAGTCTTTAGCATAACCTCTGGTGATCTGTAGACATTTGGTTGTGCGTCGTGATTTCGTTTCTCATCTCCACGTACAGCTGAACCAAAGTCACCCAATACAGCTCTGCCAAATGTCTTTGGTAGACCAAAGCGTCGCGACATATACACAGGTACGCCATCAATAAATTTCCGCGGAGAAGGATTTTCCATCTCAGCATTGGTGAATTCTTCTAGGATAGATTTATCTTCTATCTCTTGGAGTATATTGTCACCTTTAATATCTGTAATTTATATTTAGCAAGGACTTCAAAAACACTGGAATATTTCATACCAGTATGAACAAGCTTGCACTCTGTATGTAGATAGTCGAGGGCAAGAAAAACTTGCATTAGACCCGCCTTTAAGAGGTCCTCCGTGAATCGATGGGTGGGATTGCGATAGAGAAGGTCTCTAAAGCTCTCCCACATAGGCTTTTGGATCAGACAGTAATGGTCGCCGCCAGCGCGAGGGATTGTGAATATGTCCAAGGCTGTTCGCACATGAGCGTAGCCAGGATGCGACTGATTTCCCTGGTTTATGTGTTTATAAATATCAAACTCTTCCCGGTTATCTTCTCCCCGCGTATATACTTTAAGAGTTACATGTCGATGTGCTCTAGTTCATTAGTTTCGTCATATAATCTGGATGTAAGGGCCGACTTACTCAAGATCACGAGCGAGCCAAACCGTAGAGGTAGCTCCAAATCCCAGCTTGCCAATAGCCTGGTACTTAGAACCAAAGATATCCCCAATATTTACTGGATAATATTGACCAGCCTTGAATTCTTCAAACCGCTCCTCATCAAGTATCTTGGAGGTATTAACAATCTCGAAACCGCTGGTTGGAAATCGCATAGGAGGAGATGGAGCTCTCCGAATGGCTCTTTTAGCCCATTTCAAGAGAGAAGCCATGTAATAATAGGCCGTAAAAGAGTGGTTGATGTAAATATGCATGACTATGTTCCAGGCATCTCCAAGCGCCAGCCCCTTTTTCCATCTCTACACTAGTATCTTCCCGTCTTCTCCTTACTACTCTGTACTCTGTCCTCTGTCGACACCCTTTGTAATATCCAGACTAAGCATGCAGCAGTTTCATGATGGAGCAAGAATGTCCGCTTTCACAACTCCCTGCCGATCGAGATACGGCGTACATAACTTAGCGTAGCTAGTTCGCAGTCTGGGGGAAAAAGGAAAAAAGCCACTGGGAAAAGCGCCTGCTCGATGAGTGCGTCAATCGACCCCAACCGGTCGTATAAGCTGTCTCCCGAAGAGTCACTGTCCATCAATACCCTCCCAGTTGTCCTTGCCCGGCAGGATACGGTCACGAAGCGCAAGCGGGAGTGGGAGGATCGCGAAGCCGAGCTGGAACATGTCAACCAGATGTGCAAGACTGCTCTTAGGCATCTTGACGACAAGGTGCTCGGCGAATCCCACCCCGAGGTGCTGGAGAAACTAGAAGCCTTCCGCAATCGGGTAGCGGACGCCAAATCAGAGCACAAGGAGGCTATCCGTGAGTTCCGTAATGAGAAGCAGCGACAGCGGAAAACCCCCGATGAGCGACAATCCTCCACTACAGGATGCCGTCAAATGTACTCAGAACATTCAGAAAGATGACTCGATCATCAAAAACTCCGTGGGCCTCAGCTCCACTCCGTCTATTAATTTCACTGGGGGCAAACAAGTCGCGTCCTGGACGCAGATAGCACGCGGCAGAGGCGACCCAATACACTACTGCTTAGGCAGTCGACCACTACGGCCAAACGCACATACAAGGACCGAGTAGGTTATAGTTAAAGAGTAGAATATACTCCGTATAATAGCCTCAATCACTGCTTATTCGCAAAAAAGTTAAGCAGCGCTGCAAAATGTAGTATTAAATTTCAAGTTCCCCAAATTTAGCACCCCAATACAGGTAAGCCACGACCACCAGATAACTAATAGTGTGGCATAAATATGTAGGAAAGAATAAACGAGGAACGTGGAGCATTTACTACTATTAACCAGGGTCCCCTACCTCGAGATTCTTACAAAATGTAAAGGCATTCAGCTGATTTCGCGCGTATTTACGAAGCTGCATTTTGATAAAGCGGCCATATTCTTATACTAGAGTTAGGGAAGAATCCAGATATTCATTTGACTCTAGAAGGTAGTAAGTTGAAGGTAGGTGTTCAAATGGATAGAGCGTTTACAGCGCTTAACCCATTTTATACCATAGACCACAGCACCTGTGAATAAAGAAAATAAGTATTACGGTGATGAAATACAGCAAGCGGCGTCATAGTCACTTTGATTAAGTTAATCAAACAACCATTACTTACTGTCATTATTTTCTACAGTATACTACTAACCACAGAATCTATATGCTTAACAAATGGCAAGAATCTTGTATCTGAATTTGCAGTAATGGAAGAAGCTTCGATAGGTACTCGTAAAACGATTATTCCGAATAAATATGAGCCAGCCACTTATTTCCTGTATCAGAGGCAAAATCGTATAAGTTTATATATATAGAGTTGGATAAGCTTTCTGTAAGCCTGGTAGTTATCGGTCTTAAGGTTTCTTTTTACACACATTGCTCTACAAGCAACCATCATCCACTTCATCTACAACTCGGCTTGACTTTTATTAGCATGGATTCCGATCGACTCTACAATATCACACGCGCTGGCGTCCAGATCCTCAAGTTGCTTCATAAAACTGAGTTCACTCGTGTCTTTCAAGTAACTGTACGGGGGCTTACTTGCATCATGAAAGTGGTATTATACAGCTCGTCTGAGACCCCTGTTCTGCACTTATACATTTACTACTCAAGAATGTTATGTATCCAATATCATTACTTTTGCAGTTGCAAGGGATTGAACGATACACATGGGACGCTCCAGACCGTGAAATCGATGGTTTCATCTGCAAACTACTGCCTATAGGCGAATGAAGTTCCATGGGCTATGCAAAGCAGGAGTAATTCCGGACTTTTATGGTCAGATAGACAAGCTGGATCCGAAAGTATGGGCGCCGCATCTTGACACATTCGCGGAAGATGAGCTGTTGCCGCATGCTATTTTCATTGAGTGCATTCCTGGCCTGAAGATGATTGATCTTTCTACTTTCTCGGAATTTCGACTGGCTCAGCTACGGCCGATACTTAAAGATATTCACCGTTGCAGAGTTTTGCATGGAGACATATATCCAAGGAACATGATGGTTCAAGAGGGATCAAATTTCGCTTTACCAAATCAGAGAAAGGGCCACGAACTCGGTAAGATCAAAGAGAGTTGGAACTACTATTATGAATATAACTGAAGGGTACAAAATAATCCTATCCCATGGGGCGACATTTGTACTTTACAACGGCCCGGTGTAAGGCACGGTAGAACCCGAATCCTCGTCATAGGTGAATCTTTATAAGGTTGTGTACAGGACGAAGTTGATAGATGGGTGGCCACACGTCCAAATGGACGGACATTCAGTTTATCCGGATCATTTTGACCCCTCCTCGCGCTCTCTCGACGGATTTACAAAGACAACTGGCCAGCCGATATGCTATTTTCTCCTCGTCGGGCTCCTTATAGCCATTACTGTGACTTTGAACCCGCGATTCTTGTACTGTTGATACCATCTGACTTGCTGCGAAAGAGGCAAACGGAGGAGTCGTCCCAACCTGAAACGTTTGTCTGATACCTAACGTTAGCCCTGTGGTTTATGGCTAGAGGCGTTAGGGTGTGATAAGGCCTTCAAGATTTAATGATTATAAGTTCACGATGCAATATGACAAGGAGAGTGGCCAAGTTTACTCGGAAGAAGTGATTCGAGTCGCGCCCTCTGCCCGCAAATTGAGGGGATTCGCATGGGTTCACGAATCTCCGTTCCTGCCCCGAGGATGGGAGGCGCACAGCCCGGTTGGCGCTCATTCTCTGAAGCATATGGCCATGAGAGCCGTCTTGGCTGACCAACGGAGCCTGACTTCCATGCACTTTAAAGGGGTTCCTTGGTCGATTGCGGAGTATCTTTGGGGCTGTATACGCCGAAGGTAAGGCCACGACACCATTGCGTTTATACAAGTCATATATTTGGTGACATCCATTAATACTCGCCTTTAGCAAACGCACAAGCCTGTATTTGTGGAAAATTTTCGCAGAAACCTACCCTACGAAATTTAACCAAATAGCTCCTCGCTATTTACTAAAGCTAAGCTCCCAGCAGATGCCGGTCAGCAATTATTTAAAGCTTCTATCGTCGAAGACCCTGAGCTGGTTAGCTATCGTAAGCATATCAACCGAGTTTTTCGAACCTCATGAGTTCCTTGAGATCGCTAATGTTCCCAATATATTTGGCCTGGAAATCCGCTCCTGGCCAATACTAACTGACAATGGATACACATCGCCCGCCACTATATCTGACCGCATCGTCAGAGGTTGGAGTGAAATGGCCCTTGCAGGCCGCGCCTTTGGGCAGCTTCGGATTCTGGTTCTCCGTCTCCAGTCTGCTATGACTGAGCACATGTTTACCTATCTCGAAGCATTTCCATTACTAAGAGTGTTCATCATGCAAGCATGTCCGAGGCTGTACAGTAAAGAGGCGAGGGAGCTCGCAGAACAGCATGGCTGGGAATCTACCACCGTCAATTATCCAGATAGTAGTCTTTACAGGATTATAATGAACATGGAGAGCGACCTAAGAGCCAGCTCAGAGGGGAGTTCTTTTATGCTCCACACCTCGCCGGTGGTTGAATTTTCTCTACTCCGTCGCAACTTGATGTCTCTTGACTCGGAAGATCAGATATTATTCAGAAAGAAACTCAGGCGGCGCGGATCGCATCTAGTTCCCCAGAAGGACGTGACCGGAAACCAGCAGATCGTCCGTGCCGGGGAACCAGCTAAGCCTAAGAAGAAAGAAAAGAAACCTGTGGTAAAGGAGAACCGTAAGAAAGAAGTGGAGGATCTCCTTGCAGAGTTTAAGTATGCTTCTCTCCCCCTTTTTGCTGCATCTCCAGAAGACTGACAGCCGGGTAGGTAAGACAATACCACTATCTTATACCCCGACTGACCATATTCCCCCTTCTTATCTCTCATCCGTACATTCGCGTCATCATCGCTTACCATCCCGACATCGCCTTTCGCCTCCTTACAGCCTCTTCTATATAAAAGTATCACGTGACGAGGCTCTCCCGCAAAATTTTTTTTTTTTTTTTTTTTTTTTTTTTTTGCCTTCGTAGCTTTTTAGTTGTTTGCGTTTTCGTTTTTGTATATTCGGGCAAAAGATAATATTCGGTACTCATTTGTCAGTCAGTCAGTGACCGTCTTAAAAACATAAGGAATTCCACGTCGTTGAACTTGGTCTTGTCTAAGTAAAATAAAAAGGATGTGAGATAATAAACTAGCTATGACTCCATCAAGCGCCCCCACCTGGTTATATTTATGTAACTAACTGCTCCAACCCCAGAAAACCCGGCGGGCTCCCTTGCTGGTTTTCAGCCAGCGCACCAAATAAATTCCTTGTCGAAGCCTTTGCACCGCATAGGAAAAGGGCCTGCTTTCTGCAAGCTCTAGCGATCCCAAAGGGAGATTTATTGGGCTGTCTGCTCCCTGTCTGAAGCCTCAACCACACACGGATGTGCTCAGGATGAGTGACAAGAACACCCAACCGGCAAGGGGAGAAGCAGGTCAAGAAGCTATAGTTTCTCCTCGGTTGAGCATCGATTCACGGTCGTCCTCTTCCCGAAGTTCGTCTCTGCGACGAGAGCCTGCTAAACTATCTCATCGCCAGAATCTCGGTGACTCTCTCAGAGGCGTCCCGTCTTCACCTCGAGCCCGCCGGCAGCCCTCATTTACACAGGCCGCCGTGCAGAGTCTGATAGATAATCCGCCATCGCATGTCGCTGCTGACCCAGCATTCTCTGGTCGAGATTGGACGCAGATTACAATTGGCGAATTAGTACAACCTGTGGATCTAAAGTTTGTGGACGCAGACACGGCAATCGAAGATGCTACCAATGTATGTTCCTTATATATAGTAGCTGGAGGGGCATTCTCCCCCTCTACTTGGCGCAGATGAACTAATTAATGGGTATATATAGCTTCTAATCGAGTCCAGTGTTCATTCGTTACTTATCCGAGAGTCCCCTGGCTCATCAACTGCGGTCGGTACGTTCGGCTACGCTGACCTGAATGCATATCTCCTCCTTGTCGTGGGCTTGATTCAGCCAAGCCATGAAGAGCAAGCGGCTTCTCTTCGGGAGTTGGCCAGGAGAGCAAGAGAAGGAGAGAAGATCCCACTCAAGGACGTTAAGGGACTTGGGATGCAAGAGCCTCTCACGACCCTACCGGAGTCTACCAACTTAATGACGGCCGTGGAGACTTTTGGAGGAGGCGTCCACCGCATTATTGTTGTAAAAGAGGGCACTACGGAAGTGATCGGAGTATTCACCCAGTGGAAGCTCGTCAAGTTCTTGTGGGAGAATGGCCGTAGTTTCCCTGTCGTTGAGCAATTATACCCTCAGCATCTAAGGGAGCTGAGGCTAGGCTCACACTGCGTGATTTCAATCAAGTCAGTATATCCACTCTCTCTTTCTCTCAGCGTACGGAGCAATTCCACCTCCACGAGCCGGAGAAAGGAGCTAATCTGTCAATTCCAGCGGGGACCGGCCGCTTTGCCATGCACTGGAACTGATGAACAACGAAGGTGTTTCATCTCTTGCAGTAGTTGATAACCAATGGAACGTTGTTGGAAATATTTCTGTTGTTGACGTCCAGGTTAGTCTTATGACTTCCCATCACAGCCTACAATGGATACTAACAAGCAGGCAATATTCAGCTTTTAACAAAATCTACATCACTCCCTCTGCTTCACAATACCTGCATCCACTTTATCTCAGTCATCCTGTCTACGCGGGGCATAATCGAGGGACAGGACTCCTTCCCAGTCTTCCATATTAACCCGCAATCTACTCTTGCTCATACTGTTGCTAAACTTGTTGCGACTCGTTCTCACAGGTAAGAACTTATTGCTTATGGCAGTTATGTTTCACAAATGGCAACGTATTAATCTATCTCCCCGTGTTTAGAATGTGGGTTACTGACCCCCACTCACCGGCCTCATCTACACCATCTACACCCTCACACTCTACGACAAATATTCCCCTTGGATCAGCTCCCAATCATACCAGCAGCATAGCTGGGCCCGCGGTGGCCAGTACAGGTGCTCAACTTCCTTCACCCTCATCTGCCACCTTTGTCTCTGGAAACCACGGCAATAATACCCACCAGAACGGAAGCGCCCGTCCTCCCCATAACCCCATTTCGCCTTTCCAATACCCACAAACACCATCCTCGGCTCCCCTCTCTTCCTTCAATTCATCTCCTCCCTCTTTCACAGCATCGGTATCTACCTCGATTCCGGCCTCGGCACTTCCAGGAGCTAGCTTATCCGGTCGTCTCGTCGGAGTAGTCAGTTTGACCGACATACTTAACCTCTATGCAAGAGCTAGCGGTTTGTACCCCACGGACCCAAATGCTAACCGTACGCGACGACGACGTAGTAGCAGCTCTAGTCTCAACTTTAGGAGAAGCGGAGAGCTGGCGAGGGAGTTATGGAATCGTCCGTAAATCTGCCTTGAGCTTTTGCGCGAATTAGTATGGTGTTCGCAAGCTATCCCACAGTAACATCGCACTAGCCTGACGGATAAGAATGGAATTCGGCCCTTGCGGCCAAAAGTACTGAATGAAGGAATATCCCACGAAAAAAAAAAAAAAAAGAGAATCAGATATGAGATATGACCGATATTTTACAAATCTACCTCGTTTCAACTGACGTTTGATTAGTTTATTTTTGGTTCTCTTCGGGTGCTAAATATGATTGAGGGAAATTTACTGCTAGTTCTCCTGTTTATATCTTTTGATGCCTTATCGAGTAGTCGGATACATACCAACAAAATGCAACCGTGTATATATCAAGGATGGCCAGTATAAAAGCCAGAATTCGTACGGCGCATACCTAGCAACGAGTTATTCCAAAACATGTGCATATTAATTCTATTGGTAAATCTGCAGTTATAACTATCTAAATTTTTATTAGAGATTTGAAACGTCGAGCACATATCCCTTTAGACGCTGCTTCTTTCATATGGGAGGAAGGGGGTAGGTTAATGTTTCTTTGCAGTAAACATCTCCCATCCTATACTTCCATCCTTCCCTTCCTTCTCCGTGATCTCTTCCACGGCCTTGACAAGGTCATAGCTGATCTTCGCTGAGACAACGCTGTCGTGCTTATAATCAGGATGCTTTGCGACAAACTCTCTTATCCATTTGGCGTTGGTCCACAATGAGCCGTCAGCACGACAACGAATGAGATCAAGATACTTAGCAAGAGCGCATCTTGTCTCAACATCGACGTTGAGGCTGTCCAGGTATGATTCTACTAGCGGAATGAGGCCCGGGAAACCGTCCGAGGAGCCGTTGATGATGTCATTAACGCTCATAAGGGTATACTCTGATTCAATAGGGAGTAAGAGAGGGGAAGAAGGGGTTGTTGAAGGCGGGGGAGAAGGAGGGTTAGAGTTCGGTGGAGAGGAAGGACGAGATTGGTAGCGCTGAGACCTAGGGAAGCGATGAGGGAAAGGGTCCTTGCGGAAATAGAACTTTTTATCTAGAACAGCGTTGCGTGCGTGTGCTGTTTCCATGTTTTCTGTGGTTTTGGGGATGGGTATATAGAAGTTTAGGTCAAAGCTGAGGATGGCACGGGTGATGAGGACCATGAAGATGCTGAACGCGGCGTTTTCAAAGTCGGTGATTTGGATCTCCATGGGACGGAACTCGACACGCCAGCCTATGTCGTTGTCTGCGGGCGGAGGCTTGAAGCGGATGTGTTGCCAGTTAGTTGATTGGAGGTTTTCGAAGTGGTCAGTCTTGGTGAGATCGAGTTCCTGGAGATCTTCGTTGAAAATCACAATGGGGTCACGGATGAACAGGTGGGCGAAGTGGGTTGCTAGAAGGTCATCCATGCCACCGTCCATCAATTTCTTCTTGATATCTTCGTCGATCACAAGATCAGGATCCATGTACTCTGGTCGAAGGTGGGGGTCTTGCGATATATAAGTCGAGTTTGAAGCATATCTGGACTTTGGAATACGCCATCTATCATTTTTAAGGGGCTGTATCGAGGTAAATGTTAGACTTATTTCCATAGGTTCGGTAGTTCAACATTAACCTACCACTTCTCCCAGCTCCTCTCGTGTCCTGCAATCAACTGCGTTACCAATCTGGTTCCATCTGACATCGGTATCGACCAAGAACCCCTTGTATATCGGGGTTGCCCCGGTCAGGGCTAACAGTATAGGCCCCAGCGGGCTCAGCTGATCATATAACTTCCTCCCTTCGGTGATATTCTTACTCTGGAAAGTAATCTGCAGACAACAGCTCCCCATGCCAAATGCCATGGCGTCCATGTATACATGGCCTTCTTTTGCGGCTCCGTTCCGCACATCGTCATCCTCCGGCCAATTGTGCAGGTCATAGTTGACGGTGGGGTCCTTGAACGGCCATGGGGTATTTGTGTCTCTGAATACCGGCACATTTAGCTCGACCTTTCTCCCTCTGCGCGAACGGATGTTGGCAGCTAGAGTGGGGAATCGAATGTGAGGGTTTGCTATCTCATCGGGAACAAACTGTGAGCGTAGAGCCGGGCCCGACAGCGAGTATGTCGGCGAAGTAAAGTCATCACTGCAGCCTAGACGGGGGAATGTAGTAAGAGTGATGGGGTATTCATTCGCTGCCATGTGGTTTTTGGCCGTAACTCGTCTGGCAGGCTTTGAATCAGCCTAATTCAGGAAAGATAGCCAGTAGAGCAACCATACCTCCATTTCATGTTGGATTCTACCTTGAGAAGTTCCTTAAAGCCGATTCCCCATGGTTTCCCCGGTGTGGCTTCGAGCATAAAACGGCCGAATTCAGGATGAAAGGTTGGAAGAGGTTCCTTTCTATATACCAAAAAGTGGACTTGTCAGCCAGCCGAACGAACTCTTCCTGTTCCTTTTGAGAGAGAGACTGTACTCTTCTGATGCATTTCCATTGGCTGCAGCTTGCTTGGAGAGCTCGGCATCCTGCGCAAGCGCCTTGAGGATCTCTGCCTGGCACAGAGACAAGCGTACTTTTTCCTCCTTATCATCGACTGCGACGACGAGATATTCGACCTTGTAGTAATAATTTAGTGAGCTGTACTTCGTTCTAAGGGTGTATTTATATACGCCCACATACCTCGTCGCCCCAGAGGAGGGCGTCCCGCTCCTTTCCCCGCGCTTTCTTCCATATGGCGAGTAATTGCTGTTCGAGAAGAGGTACAACATCAGACCAAGTCCGCACGGCGAGCGAGCCTCTAGAAGACGCAGTCCAGAGGCAGAAGCGAACAAGACGGCAATACCTCGATACCCCATTCCCTCACTTGACCGGCTCTCTTCTTTGCTTCTGGCCATGCCAGTGGTGTGCCAAGCGCGCTGCAGTCCAGTTGTCAATTAGCAAAATCATTTATCGCTGCGGGAGGAGTTCTCATACAGTAAGCCCATGATGTACTACTCAGAGGCAGACGATGGACTGGGCAGTGCTCAACTCGAAGACATGAAGCAAGTAACAGTAATAATAATAACAATATAAAATCTAGATAGAGATATAGATATAAAAAAAATGTTGCTCCGACGGCCGAACTTATACACTTCGTTTTATCGGATGGATTAATAAGCGCGGTTATTTTTTCGGATGAGAAGCAGAAGAAGTGAAGTAGAGGATGCAAGAGAGCAGAGAAGAGAAGAGGGAGGACGGAGGGCGGTTTTATATCTCATGCAGTCCCTGACGTGAGGTGGGATGAAAAGATGTTATTTTACATAGTTAAGGCCTTTTTCATCCCGGTCGACGGACGAACCTTTGCAGGGCTTGCTACGATGTATGTATGGATGGATATAATGGATTAGTTGATGAGATGGCGATGGAGACGGAGGATGGTAAGGAGGATGGCTCTTGTCTTGCTCTTCTCATCTCATCCCTACCAATATCCAAAGATATCAACATCCATCTCTCCCAGGTATCCATATTACGATGCTTAAATATCCGTAGGCAAGGATGACAGGTGGATGACAAACTGATGAAGTCTTCCCGTAAGCCCGGAGGTTGGCCTTCGTCTGATTTATCAGCATCTTCAGCCGTGCTTTTAGTCATGGTAGCATATCTTGCATGACCATGCATGATCTTATTTTCTCTTCAGGTGGAAGGAAATGGTGTGGACTCCGTGTATGGAGGCTGATATTGATGGTGAGAACTCCGTCTATATACAGCAGCGCCGTCAGTCTCTCTCAAGTAACTAACATCACATCGTATGCCACCACACACGCTCTCTATCCTTCACCTCCATCTTCGTATCTTCTATTTGATCGTACAGAGTCGACCTGACTCAAAAAAAAGGGCTCGATTCAGTGTCATCTCCCCTAGTTGCTGCGTGCACCGCCCTTGGCCGCCCGCAGCTCGTCCATCTTCGCAACTCGTTTTTTGAACTCCTCGTACTGGCATTTTTCATAGGTGTGTCGTTCGTTCTATTTGAGTAGGCCATCAGTATCAGTTCTCGTCTCCTCCTTTCCGCTTTTCCATTGAGGGTTGGAGGTTGGCTACCTCGCACTTCCACGGGAGATAGTACTCCTCATATCTGCATCGGTTCAGCGGTATCAACAGGTGCGCGCAGCTGTCTCTGTAAGCGATCGGAAGACGGGCGTTGGACATCTCTTCCCGCGTAGCCACTATCCATCCTTTCCATCAGCATGTTTCATTCTTCTTTCCTTCCATTGTCGTCTTCTTTCCCGTGGTAAAACTCACGTCTGGCGTCCGCCATCTTCACTGACTCTCCGGCCGTCATTGTTCTCTGCCGTACTGTATATATTCCTCGATGTGAGAGGGCGAATGGATCATGCCGTGGTGTCTCTTCGTCTTTTCATCTTCATCATCTTGGAGGTTCCGCTCCAGCTCTGTCGGCTAAATGTTGTTCCGGCTACACGTCGAAGTGGACGGCCAGGCAAGTCGACCTCCATCCATGGATGGATATCAAACCGGAATTTCATAAGGTATCAGTTTCTGGACGGATTACTTTTACTGCCAATTACGATGGCGGCTGTTCATACAAGCGTCTTCGCGGCATGAACCCTCAAGACCCTTATTTTTTCTCTAGCGCCCGTAGAAGGTTTTCATCGACTGTGGTGCAAGAGAGATGCTAATTGCCTATAGGATACGATACCTGTATCCATCACAACTCATATTCTTGAAAGTGTTGATGATTCAACCTTACCCTGTAACATTTACTATCATTTCTCTCACTTTTGGTCTTTGCTATGCAATTATACCCCCTCGACCAAGTTACTCACCGATTCAGGCGTATATTTGCTCCAATGCCATTCCTCAGGCCAGGAATGTATTCGATGAATATGACCGTGGGGGAATATTCTTCCTTCACGAACATTCAAGTTGTGGCCAGTATAGCTTTGGGTCAATATTTCAATCACTCCACAGACGTACGGGAAAAACCCTCGGTTAGAATTCTATATATGGCGCAGCACAATAGCACACACATCGTACTTGATCTATGCTGAACATGTCCGCGATACTGAACTCAATGGTATAATTCTTCTCACAAAGGAAGCCCTTCATGAGCTAGACAATATTCATATCATTAACAGCATTCCTCTTACTCACGTGTATTAAAGCTAACTTATCAATGGTCTAATTGACCATATTTATGCGGAATATACAGCAGCCATAATCATAGCGATGAATGGTTGGTATACATTATAATACAGATCCCTTATGGGTATATGCTAACGGATTGGAGTCTTGCCGGAGGTCGGACGCTACCTGACGGCGAACCTGGGCCCAGGGCCGTCGCATTTCAATCAATCTTGTGGTTTGGTCGCGATCGCGGGGGATTTTAAACCCAGTAGGCTTTCATAGCTGGCTGTTGCTAATGCAAGGCGGAATCCAGGGAAGACAAATCTATCAGCCTGGGAAGACTCGCTTATGGCTAATCTGCGGCAGCGACATTTCTACAACGGGGGACAGTCAGGATGTCGGGGGATGTTGCGGTCAGCAACTATACCTGGAAAATGGCAAGGCTGCTGGGCATCCGTGCAGTTGCAATCCTCCGCCTTATCCATTGGCCATTCATTTCTTCTTACCTACCAAGCGTTTGGAGCTGAAAGGTCTCTATTAGCGGAAGACAGGCTGATTTACAAAGGCTGGGCGTAGTAATAGCTAGCTCGACAAAGCAAGTCGAGGCGGTCTGCAGCATCTCATGTGAGGGCAGACAGACGTAAGGGGTATTTATGAGAATTCGTGTGAATTCACCCGAATATGGTGTGTAAGTGGAAGGGTATATCTGGGCCGAACGCAGGCCTGAGGAAGATCTTAAAAACTTCGAGAGGCAGTGGCCCTTTTATATATTTGGTCGAGCGGATCCACTAATCTAACTAACTAGTTAACTATTTGCTCAGCTAGTTATAGTTACAGATATATTTTAACATGAATAATGGCCTCCATAAACCTCAATATTGGCGGTGGGATCGTTGAAATCGCAGCTTTGACGGCCCTCATCGGAGCCACGACTGGAGAATCTCTTATTTTGGGAAGCAGAGGAGCCGCTGGCCTACCATGGGCTGCAATGAGCCTTTTTGGCACGCCGTTTTTGATTAGGGCGTGCATCTCTGCGCGTACACCTACGTGGCTGCGGGAGATGATAGGGGTTAAAAACGCCAAATGTGACACAATGGTTGGGATGAGCTCGCGCATAGAAAGAGTCGCCCGATCGGATGTGACGCAAAAGAATATTGCTGGGATATCTGCAGTCCTATCAAATGTGCGTTGTTGGATAGCTGGTTGGCCTGGCGAGAGAGCCGCTCGAGTACTTTGACCCGGACGAGACGGGAAAGGTGGCCAAAGGATACTACTATGATCATCTACGACCTTCCAAGCGTAGGATCTCCCGGACAACATTGCAAAACCATCCTCAATGCGCCCTCGAGCGTCCAGGGCCATCTCATCTGGCGCCTAATATGGGCTTTTGGTGATTGTATATGCACAGCGACTCTGCTGGTAACGTTCATATTCATAAGAACTTAACCAAGTACGGCAACATATATATGGCTAGGTTTCCAAGTATTGTGGTTAGTGGCTCGGTCCATGTTCCTCCACCTTACACATGGGACAGACCACATCTAACTTGGGATGACGAGGCGGATCCGGGAACGAGAGCTCAAAAGGTATGGCTTCCGTATTTTTTCCCTAGCGTCGGGCGTGTCTCGCTATCAGATATTGGTCCATCCACGAACGCAGGTCTGTTACCAGGAAGACACGCAAGATCCTTCTACGGTTTACCAGCTCATCAAAACATGCGAACTCCTCTTCGATAAGGCACAGGTCGCTCTCGAGGTTGGACTCGAGCAGTCCGACCCTAGCAAACCATCGACAGAAGTTGAGATCAAAGCTGTTATTAGCGATACTCTCCTTTCCAGTATTGCATGGATCCTCGGCTACCCCGATACATGTATTGACGTATACGATTGTTGCTTGGTTGCCCTCGAAATAGCGGGGAGAACCGTCATTATACCATCCGCGCGCGTCCTATCTGGGAATGTGAAAAAAGCGGGCGCCTTGCTTGGACCCCGAAGCCGGCATTTCAGGTGAATACATCCAAAGGGCTCCAGGAACGATGGAGTCAATATTGGCTGGGTATTCTGGATTCCCCTTGGTGCCGGTCAGCGGCTGCATCTCATCGGTGACCTGAGCTTTACTGGAAGGCAGAGAATGGAAGTATTGAGCTCTGAGGATGTGACCAAAAGGCTTAATGTTGGCAACCTCTATATCGGCTTAAGGGACGTCCACGACGTCCAGAACGTGGTCGAGAAGTCTTGTAGAGTTGGGAGATTACTTATCAACCTATTGAAGGAAGAATCTGACCAGTCCTAGTATACAACTGAAGCAAGAAGCAATCCATATAGTAAAGACTATGAGTTGATATGGGTATAGACAGAAGTATTATTCAACTGTTCAATATTGTACTGCAAGGGCGAAACTATCTTCAGCATTCGACACTAGACTCCGCTCTTCTCTGCATGATTAATGACTTGCTATCATGTAAATGTATACTATGTTGTTGTGTGTATATTCGATATTCTCATAAGATGGTCGAATTTCTCTCTCAGAAAGGTGACTTCGCTATTACATAATCATCCGATGTTCGCGGAGAAAAGTCCCGCCGTCCCGACAATCCTTGTCGCGTCCACGTCTTTTCTTCTTCTTTTTTTTCCACGCGACGGGAATAAATAATACTTAAATTGGAAAATTGGATACTAAGAACGACGAGGAATGGTGCAGCAGTCCTTTACAGGGAACTCTCCGCGTACGTGCAGCATGCTAGGGATAAGTGGTATTGTCTGAGACCACTGCCCGCAACCGATAGTTTATACACAAAAAATTAATCTCCTTGCTGTTGGGCTTAACGGGTGTAAACCACCACGGCCTAGGGGAACACGCATATTATTTTATCCAATTCCTGGCCGGACAAGTTAATTAAAATATTTCTACAAAGAGTGGTAGATAGGCCGTGATGGCCTCTTCAGCGGCCGATGAAGGGCGCATCTACTCTGCTACATACAGCAATGTCAGCTCCTCCTCCCTAAATGGCCAACCGCTGGTGCTTACACTGCTTGCTCATAGGTTCCGGTCTACGAATACAAGCTGGGTTCTGAGAATGTGATGAGACGGCGGGTGGACGATTGGGTCAATGCGACCCATATCCTGAAGATTGCCGGGATGGACAAGCCTTCGAGGACTCGCATTCTTGAGCGTGAGGTCCAGCGTGGTGTGCATGAGAAGATCCAGGGAGGATACGGGAAATATCAAGGTTATTACCTGTCTTCTGCTGCCGGAAAACGGGCTCAGATATACTGACAAATAATTCAGGGACATGGATACCTCTTGCCGAGGCGCGAGCATTGGCGGACAAGAACAACGTTCTCGAGAAGCTACGTCCGCTGTTCGACTTCATGACGGGCGATGCCAGCCCTCCCCCGGCACCTAAACACACCACAGCGGCATCCAAACCACGCGCGCAGAAGGGGGCTGCGACTGGACGTCGAGCTCCAGCAGGGTCGACTCGTGGTTCGTTTACGACCGTCAACCAGCGCATGGCACCTGTGCAGCCCGCACCAGCTACTACCACTTCAATCGGAGGCAGCTACAGCCATGAGCAATACAACGTCAATCAGTCTTTCAACGAGAACTCGTCCGTAATGCAAGGAAGCCCTGAGACCTCCTCCATCATGGCAGACGATGACCTAGCTCAGATGTCCCCCGAGTCAACCCAATCTCGCAAACGCAAGCGGGGGGCCAACGATGTCTCCATGAGCATCATAGAGCAGAACCACATACTATACGGTGACCAATTGCTGGACTACTTCATGACCGTTGGCGATGATCCGAGTGCCTCCCGCGTGCTCCCCCCGATGCCGCCCGCACACTTCCAGGTCGACCGGCCGATCGATGACCAGGGCAATACCGCACTGCATTGGGCCTGCGCTATGGGCGACATCGACATAGTCAAGGATCTCATTAGCCGAGGCGCAGATGTGCGTGTACGGTCGAACCACGACGAAACGCCACTTGTTAGAGCAGTCTTGTTCACCAATAACTACGAGAAGCGTACAATGGCAGAGTTGGCCGACCTGCTGCACAGCACACTCACGTTCCGCGACTGGTTTGGTGCAACGGTCTTTAACCATCTTGCTGCAACGACACGGAGTAAAGGGAAATGGAAGAGTTCTCGGTACTACTGCCAGACGCTCATCGATAAGCTGTCCCAAATCTTTCCTAAACATGAAATCTCGCTACTTCTTTCCTCACAGGATGCGAATGGGGACACGGCGGCCCTCACAGCAGCGAAGAATGGGTGCTACAGGCTCGCCACTACGCTGTTGGCACACTGTCCGGAAGCAGGTGATTTGCAGAACAGACACCATGAGACTGCCAATGAGGTGTTGATGGCACTGTACAAGCGGCGCAAGGAGAACCCCCCTCCTCCGTCGTCCGTAACGTACGCCCAAGACATCGATGGCGAGGGCGAGGATGCCGTTACCACGCCTACGGCAGGCACCTATACCGGATCCGCAGTTGCTACAGAGGCAACCAACGCACTTCTAGTCCGAATTGGTTCTATAATGGCCGAAGCCAACAGACGTCTTGCCCGCGCGTACGGAGAGGCTAAAACCCCACCGCAGAGCAGTGGTGGAGAGGACATGACCAACCCCAAGGGCCTGTATGAACAATTGGAGTCTGACAGAGCGAGTATCCGCGCCCAAACGGAAGGGTTGCTAGCCAAGGAAGCAGAAGGTGAAGATCTCGATGCCTTGCTCGCACGCTTCAACGAGATAAAATCCAAGTACGAGTCGTTACTAAACCAGACTCATGACCTGGAACTTACATCCTTATACGAGGCGAATGGCGTTAGCGACGAGGCAGCCGACTCGGATCCGAATCGTGGACTAGCACCGGAAGAAATGGTAGAGCTATACACGCTCGCAGACGAACTGGCTCAAGCACAGGCTGACCGTGCCAAAGCCGTAGCCCAACTGATCCGACAACGAGCGGACGCAGGCGTCAGCACCAAACTGGATGTGCATAGAAAATTAGTCTCATTAGCCACCGGTCTGGCAGAGGACGAGCTAGATCCGATGAGCAGCGAACTGGCAGACGCACTAGAGTTTGACCGCGCTAATGAGAAGAGATCCGGACCCGGACCCATGCCCAGTACTGCCCGACAGCTCATGGCCGGTAGGGAAACAGAACCAGAAACACCTGGGACCGGCAGTCGGAGTGTCAGCCGTAATGGCAGTGGTAATGGTAGTGGCAATGGCAACGATAGCGGGAATCCAAACGGGCTGGAATCGACCGCGGGTATCGACATGGACCATACCGCCGAAGCTGCCTCTGCGGCTGCCTGATCCTCGACGTCACATTGCATTAGGCTGTTTCGACGGAGTAGGCGTTAACACTTCTTTTTGTTTTTTTTTCGTTTCTCTTACTCGTCTGTTTCATCCGGTCTGGCGCTTATGGCTGGAGTCATGGTCATGGGCATGGCGGCTTGCATACCTTGTTTGTTGGGTTGATTTTTTCTTTTCTGCTTCTACTCTTGGAGTACTGCTACCATACTGTTCTTTCTCTTTTGATATGTTGGAGGTATCTACCTGTCCGCCCATCCGTTCGTCTGTCTGACACTATATCCTGATATGTATGTATGCTTGTATATTTTGTACTATGCGATAATGAACCTGCTTCTGACGTTGCCGCCTCGTAGCCCACTTAACTGTAACCCATCCCTACATAGTATGCAATGCGCTGTATAAGCAGCATGTACCTTTAGCGCCGTGTATCATGTCTTCTTATCACTCCCTTAACTCCTTCTCTTCTCCTGCTTACTCTCTTCTTTTCACTTCTTCCATCTCGTCCATCTCTTCCATCCCTTTCCTATACACAATCCTTATATCTCTCCTACTGCAGCTTACTTAAGCCCCATCTGATTGGTCCTATGCCTGGCGCTAAACCGCGATCTCTGGCGCTCGCTAGTCCTAAAGCGGCTTAGCGCGCGTCTCTTTTGCCCTTTTTCCCCTTTCGAACCAAAACTTCTTCAACTTCTTCTTCTTCTTCTTCTTCTCTCCATCCCATCTTCATCCTTCGACATCCTCATACCCGTCCTCGCTTCTTGTTCTTTTCTCTTCTCTCTTCTCTCTCTCTTCCTCTCTTACTCTCTCGCTGCTCTCTCTCTCTCTCTATCTCTGCGTTCAGACTTCTCTTCGTTCCTTTTCGCCTGCTCTGCTAGCCGGACGACCCAAACGCTCCAATCGACCGCCACGCCCACGTCAACCGCTGTCGTGTGCGAGTCATCTCACTCCATCTCAAACAACTCCAAATAATTCTCTCCTCCGACCCCTTTCTTTTCTCCTTCTTTTTTGGACTCCGGCAGACATCGCGTACCGTTGAAACCCCGTTTTTTCTCAAAGTCTCAACTCACCCCATAGAACTCGCTACGCTGTAGCCTTGTTTTTTGGTCGTTTTCTTTTCTTTTTTTCCTGGTTGTTTCTCCCATTTGTTCTTTTCGAGATCCTGCAACAAGAAAAACATAGCCAACGTCCAACAATCATAGCGTGTTCCATCGTTACATCATCTTTTTTCATCCTCCGATCTTCCTACCCGAAGTCCCCCCCTGTTGACTGAACGTGCCCGGAAACATCATCCTCCTCGTGCATTGTTTTCTGCATTGCATCTATATCGTGCGTGCATCGGGGCCCTTGCTGCCTTAGACGCTGTGCTCTTCGACTCTCAAGCATCCTATTCAGTCCAGGCCTCACGCGAGCCTTGCAGAGCATCCTCGCCTTCACGACTTCGATCTTTTGTCCTCTTTCTTTCTGTGACAAATTTACCTCTTTATCATACGATCGCGTTACTTCATCTGTACATTTTTCTAATTTGGCTCTATTGCCCTTTTCTTCTCTCCCCGTGCCCCTATATTTTTTATTTTTTTTTATTTTGGCTCTGGTAAGTCCTTACCGCTCTTTTACTGCGTCTCCTCGTACCCACTAACGAGTTACAGCCGGATACTCGTAACGGACCCTTCACTACATACACCTTAATCGCCTAATTTTGATATCTACCTTCGACTCTGTGACCCGTCGGATCTAACATCCGATATATCTCGTTACTTAGTTTTCGGTCTAATCTTTTTTCTTCATACCCACCATCCATCGCTCGATCGATCTCCTGCAAGGAACTGGTGCATATACGAATTAAAAATACTGATATCTAACTCACTTCTGTTTCACCTCTCGAATCTTTGACGACTACGAGCATGGACACTGGCGGTCTTGCTCAAATGACTTACAACAACAACATGTCCTTTAACACCCCTTCCCTCGGCGTTCCCGGGTCTGGATTTGCTTCTCGTGGCAAAGGCTCGCATATCAAACGTCTCAGCGTTCCGCATCCATCCAAGCTCGAGCAGCGCGACGATGCTCATGGATCCGTCTCAACCCCACGCACAAGTCGCTCTCACCTACTTGCAGGCTTGAGAACTGCCCCCAAACAGCCAAGCACTCCCTCTACCGCCCCATTGATGCAAGAACATTCTCGCCAGAATGGATTTCGCGGGCTGCAGAATTATGGTGGTCACTCCAATGCATACCTTGGCGGTGTACCGCAGACGGCTACAGGAGTTTCATTCAATCATTCAAAGTCTTATAGCAGCGGAAGTACCGCTCAGACCTACGGGCAGATGTACTCTCTGCCCGAACATGTTCTTGCTCCACCCACTCTGGACCATATCCTCGAGGAAAATGGCGAACCCATGGACGAGGCCTTGTACGCAGAGCTAGTCTCTACGAACTTATACCTCGCCGCTCAACAACAGCGTCTGCAGCAGCAGCTTGCTAGTGTCACTGCAGCAGCCCAGCAGTTCCAGGCACTCCACCTAGGAACTCCCATGCATTCCACCCCCGCACAGGCTCTTCATCAGCAGCACAGCAACAACAAATCTTCTCCCCACTGCCTAATATGGGCTTTTATCAACAACAGGCCCAGCACGGCATGCAGCCCGTAGTTCAGCCCGTACCAGGTAAACCTGGCGTGTTTTCAGTGTACAACCCAATGACGGGGCAGCAGAGCTATGTGGTCGACAACAGTGTATATGACGACGTGCCACTGTCTGCTGCGCCAACTACCACCACCTATGAAGACCAGATCCGTTCACCAGTCGAGGCCAACTCAAACAGCGGCAGCTTTCACGCACAGGCTAATGTCAATTCAAACGGCCACACGAACGGAAACACACACTCAATGTTCCGTGCTTCCGCTCGTGTCTCTCCACCCCCAACGGAATCCCGCCAATCCCCCGTCCGCAATCATTCCTCCACACCATCTACCCGGAACCCCACGCCTCCACGTGAGGCCCAGCCTCAGTTCCAACCACAGCAGCAGGCTCGTCAATCACCACCCCTTCAGTCTCCTGCCCCTGGTATCAAGCGTGATCACAAGAAATCTCTTTCTTTAGCCGTCAAGCTTATCAACGAAACGGCTCGATCTAGCGGTAATGGCTCCTCCACCCCCAAATCTGCGATGTTCCCACAAACCCCTGCCTCCGCCGGACCCGGTACCTTTGGGCCCGGCCAAGGCCGCGCTGGAGAACACGCAATCCGTCAACCCCGTGGACCACCACCGCTCGAGGAATTAGTTGCCAAACCAACGACTAAACATGAGGGAAGCAAGAACTTTGCTACCCGCCAGCGTCGTAGGGCAGTACACAGTCTTGTGCGTGCTAGACTAGAACGGAACACGTCCACTTCCACCTCCAACGGCAATTCACACAGCACAGGTGGCAGTGTGACTCCATCAAGCGAACATGGGAATGAACATGATGGCGATGGTGAATTCTTTTCTCCATCCGATGGTGATGCCGATAGCAGCTCCTCTCTATCTGGTCGACGAAGTTTAGGAAGTCTACGCGCCGCTGCCAACGGAGCAATCGGCTCTGAGAGAAAACAGTGTGCCGTCGGCAGCAATAACGGAGCGGGAGAGCTCGACGCTGGCCGTAGGAAGATGCCGATTATGGTTCTATCGAACGCCGAGAAAAGAAAAAGCCCTGTTATGTAGCTCTCTTCTACCCTGGTAGATGGTGTTGAGGCTCTCAACACATAACAGGCCATATGGCGTGGAATGTGATCGTTTGATCGTTTTTATCATTTTTTGTTTCTTTTTAGGGTGCGTGATTTATTAGCCATTACGGCTATGTTCAGCTGTGTGCCACTTTGACCGCCAAATGGTATTTTGACATCCGCTCTTGTTTTTTAAATGGGATTATTTCTGTGTCTTCTTATTCACTTCGTTGCATTCTTTTGATACTTTTATATTCCTATATGCCTACCTGCCTGTTCCTCCTACCTCCTGCATATGTGTGTGTTTCCTCTATGCACATCCTGAGCGAGTTGATTTCTTGCTCGTCCGCTCCTTTTACAATTAAGTGTGTTTAAACTGATGTTGCTTTCTTTGGTCAGCGGAGAGTTGAGCAAAAGTTAAGCAGGCAGCTTGGTAGGATGGTATGGTACGGCAGGAGTGGTTTGGATGAAATGAAATTTGTTTTTAATGAGTTAAAGGAAATCAAGATAGCAATGCGTTGACTTGCATCTCGCCTCTTCCTTTCTTCTAACAGTGAAGTCGTGATCTTAGCCTTGTGTTAAGATGTAACACAGTGCCTGTGCCATGTGGTTGACCGATACTGTACTCCATCTTGTACCTCTTTCGAAGGAGATCGCTCCCTATGTGTCGATTTCTACTTGATATTGTGACATGGCAAAGTAAACCCCGGAATTTTATTGAGCCTAAAACCCTTAAGCTTATCTAAATAGGGTTGTCCCCGCACATGAACAGCGACTCAATCAGTTCATCTAGACTTTCTTCTGATCAAACTATCGAGCCAGACGTTCATTTGACTCGCTCCTGTCTTATATCTTCTATTTGTGTACTGTGATATCATAATACAAGGATGATTTCCCTCGTTGCTTTTGACCTTGATGGCACTCTCGCTCTGAGCAAGCAGCCCCTACTCGACTCGATGGGAGAGGCACTCGCCGACCTACTTGCCGTGGCACACGTTGCCGTTATCTCTGGCGGTGACTGGCCGCAGTTCCAAAAACAGGTCGCCAGCCGCCTCCCACCTTGAGCTGACTTATCGAAGCTCTGGCTGATGCCGACAACCGGAACGAAGTTATACCAGTGCAAGGATGGGGCCTGGAAAGCAGTATACGCAGAGCTCTTTGACGATAAAACCAAGCAGTTGATCCTAACTGCCTTCGATGCCGCCCTAGAAGCAACTGGTTTTAAACCTGAGCAAACTTGGGGAAACCGTATCGAAGACCGTGGCAGCCAAATTACTTTCTCAGCACTTGGTCAAGAAGCACCTATCCACGCCAAGGAGGTTTGGGATCCGGACTTTGCTAAGCGTAAAGTCATTCAGGCGGATTTGCGGAAGCGCCTACCCGACGTATCTATCAATATGGGTGGCGCAACTTCTATTGATATCACGCAAAAGGGTGTCGATAAGGCACATGGGCTCAAAAGGCTCTGTGACGCGAGTGATATCCCTCTAGAGCAAATGATGTTTATCGGAGATGCTATATTTCCGGGGGGGAACGATTATCCAGCGAAGCAGCTTGGTTTAAAGACGGTTTGTGTCAAAGATCCGAATGGGACGCTTGCTGCGATTACTGCGATCATTGCATGCCTGTCCTGATTACGGAGCTACATATGTGAAGGTCTTGCGAGTAGCAGAATTGAGACAGGTACATCGGTTTCTACATGTGTATCGGATAATGATAAACAAGATAGCAAAAGGCAGCTTTGAAACAGAACCAAGGGCTTTCAGGGCTGGGCCATGAGTTAACTTACTCTTATTTAATTTTCTCCACAAGCGAACTGCAATGGGTATAGAATAATTTTTAAGAAGATCTTGACTGTTTGTTATCAGCACTGGGTATCCCGTATACGTATAATATATCCCCTGGACTCCTTGCAAGGGGGTTCGCAAACCCGTTTGATGTATGCATTATTAAGCCTTGACGTCGAGAAATAGATTCCGGAAACTACGGCACAGTACTGCGCGTTTGCACAACAGTTTGATAGCCAGGTTCCACCTCCGTTCCGTCTCGCTTAGCTCGTTGTGCAAACAGCCTTGCCTAGGGAGTACTGTGAATGTGTGTGGTATAAAAGCAGCCAATTTAGGCTACTTGAGCCGTCACATAACCTCTCACTCATTCCTGGTAGTTTTCTGCAATGCCTACGCTTCTAGATTATAAAACCATGTTCCGCTGGGCGCACACCATCCAGACCTGAGGTCTATGCGCTCTCCCGCCATCCATGGCCCTGGACGTCGTATCCGGAACTTATTCTTAGTTTGATAACAAGACGGGAACAAAGTTTAAGGCTGTGCTTGCTTATATAAGCTTATGCCAAGCTTCTAGAACTCGGCGCTTAGTTCTTCCATGCGTCGCTTGCTTTGAAGCTTTTTCAACTTCCTATGTCAACTTCACCTTTTATTTTCTTGTCTTTAGAGCCCAGACTCATCTGTTAGTAACCTCCCTGTCAATCGCCAAGCGTTAATACAGTGTTGCTGCCATAGAATATGTAGAGGACAACTGAGATAGGATGTCCTGGCTAGTTATGGTCCAGCCGCCAGGTCCAGATCTACAAGATGAATGGAACCCGTGGATCCGTGAATGCAAGCTAACCTTCGCCTGAACTGCCGAAAGTCAGACCCTCTACCATCATCGCCACCGCACACAGCTATACTACTAGCTATATTCTGTATCTTGTTGGACGTTTTGTTGCTCATTCACAGCGCAAAAAAATCTCGAGATAAGGAACCTAGAGCCGTAAAGAGCTTGGGCACCAACACTAACCACAGTGGACCGACCTCTGCGTCGGTGGAACCGATATCTACACTCCTTTTTCTTTTCTCTTCCCCTTTCTCACTACATACCACTTCTCAACTCCGACCGGAGTTCCATCTTTTATCTTGCTTTACCTGGGAAGGTTTGGCAGAAATTTCGCCATCTGGTGTGAAAGATTGTTTCGTCCAGTCATGTCACCAAGTAGTATATGGCAGTTTTCTTGCCCTGGATTCCTCAGACTGTTAATAATATTATGATATCAGATCCCGATACCACAGGGGCGGATCACCACCTTGGTGCTCCATCGATGTTGGCCAATGCACGTGGATAACACGCAAGCTCTGAGAGCCGGATACAAACAACGCAAGCAACCCTTGAGGCCCTGAAGGGGTATGACTCGTCCGGATTAACCGGGTCAAACCTCGTTTGACCTACATAACAGTCTTATCTAGCTGCACAGGGCCTTGGTACTCGTGGAATCCCACTTTTGGGCTTCATTTTTCCTGCGCGGCTCCACTGATACCATGTCGTTTCCCGTTTTTTGCCCTTGAGCTGCCAGCCCGTTTGTCTAGGTGATGTAGTGTTCCTGTTACGGATGTGGCGAACGGGTACATCGAACGCCATCTAGAACGATATTGGTAACTGATTGACAATAAGAAGAATATCCTGCTGATCGAGTTTTCAGTTCCCCTTTTGATCATTATTTATTTTTCCTCTCTCTCGCATTTTCCATAATATACCCTAATCAACTTGTTATCCCCCTCTTACTCTATTGTTCATTGTTTTTGCGGTTAATATTAATAGTCTTTTTTTTGGGCTCAGCTGAAATTATTATAACCCCTCGCTGTGCCACATTTTTCATAATTACTCCCGCCGACGATGGCTGACTGGCCTCGCCAGACGTCACACTTCCACAACAACTCCTTTGCCTCAAGAAATTATACCACTCCCAATTCGCAACAACAATCTCAGCAGGACCAGTCGCCGATAATCTCACCTCGTCTTGGGCCAACAATCCATGTCAGCGATATGAGTAACATTAGTGATGATAATGATACCAGAGGAGGACCTTCCAATCGTGTACAATTTACGCTTGGTCCTGAAGGGTCTGACTCGAGTGTGGAAGACATTCCCCTTCGAGATGATACAGACGATTACTTTTTCCCCGAGCCTCAGGTTCCTCCATTCGTTCATCGGCCTTCTCCCCCTACCTTTAAATCTTCCGATTTCATTCCCATATATGCCAACCAAGGCCCACTATCCGAACGGTCCTCTCCAGTAACAACACCTATCGAATCCCCTATTGGCAGCCCTGGGGATACATCAGCCACAATACCAACTCTCCGATCATCGCCCAAGGCAGCGGACGACTCATCCAAGATAAAAAATAGGGCAATTCAGACAGCATATGAGAAGGCACAAAATCTAGCTTCGCAGGTTCGAAGGACATCGTTTTTTCATCGTCGTCGGAAATCGGACGAGGAGTCATTATCAGAGGATCCAGCTCTACCCTGTCATGAAGGACGGCATGTGTCGATGTCCATCAGAAGATCGAGGTCAGGGTCCAATGCAACATATGATCATGAGAAAGACCGAACACGGCGATTCACGCTTCGTGCCGAGGAAGCCAACGATATTGTGAATAACATTCGTGCCAAAGTAGAACCTAATAGTAGGCGGCACTATTCTATCGATACACTGTCGAGTGGTGCAGAATCACCACCTCCTGTTCAGCATGGACGGAGTATCTTGACGGATATTCTTCGATTAGGCCAACTTCGGGAGTCTGGAGAAAACCGTACTCCCCAACAGCATATGCCAACACCGCAAGGCAATACCCCTCCCCTGCTGACACCCCTTAGCGGTCTGGGTTCTGGAAAAACATCGCCGGGGCGAACCACTCCACGCCCTAAATGGTATGAAAAGAATAAGAATCCTTCTGCCCTATCACTTCACACTCTTGGGTCGGAAGCTACATTGGCTGGAGGCTCGGGGCCTGGATCTGCAGGACGGCCAGAACTTAAACGATCTCGAAGCAGCGGTTTAATGTTTAATGCAGTCAAGAAAATCCGCAACAAGCCTCGTCTAGAGGATGAGATCCGCCTTACAGTACACATTGCAGAAACAATCTCTCGACAGAAATACCTGGAGAAGCTGTGTGAGGCTTTGATGGCCTATGGAGCACCGACACATCGACTGGAGGAGTCCTTGCGAATGACGTCTCGTGTGCTAGAGCTCGATGCCCAGTTCCTATATCTCCCTGGCTGCATGTTTGTGTCATTCAATGATTCATCTACACACACTACCAGCTTGAAGCTACAGCGTTGCGAGCAAGGTGTGGATCTAGGGAAGTTGCAGGACGTTCATCAGATATATAAGGATGTGGTTCATGATATGATTGGCGTTGAGGAAGCCATGCAGCTTCTGGATGAGGTCAAGGCCGAGAAGCCAAGATATAACGTGCTGATGTTGATACTCTTATTCGGGCTTGCCAGCGCTGCTGTTGGCCCTTTTGCCTTCACCGGCCGTGTGATCGATCTCCCCATATCCTTTGCCCTCGGCTGTATACTCGGCGCGCTCAAATACATTGCTGTCCCACGCTCACGGTTGTACGCCAACATCTTCGAGCTCACTGCTGCCTTACTCCTCTCATTCCTCTCTCGGGCGTTCGGCAGTATCCGTTATGGTCCAGACGACAATCGCCTATTCTGCTTTCCTGCTCTCGCTCAATCCTCCATCGCTCTCATCCTACCAGGCTTTATGGTTTTGTGCAGTAGTCTCGAGCTACAATCGCAAAACATCCTTGCAGGTTCAGTCCGTCTCGTCTATGCAATCATATACTCTCTAGTCTTGGGTTTTGGGATGATGCTCGGCACCACCTTCTACGGCAAAATAGATCACAATGCCAGTTCTGCGTACGTGTGTCCTAACAGTTCCGGCCGAAATGAATATGCACACAACTTCCCAGCCGTTATTGCATTTACCATCTGCCTCACGCTTATCAACCAGGCGAAATGGAAACAGGTGCCAATCATGGCCCTCTTCTCGTTTGTCGGGTACTTGGTGAACTTCTTCACAAGCAAAGCGTTCCCACATAACCTACAAATAGCGAACTGTATGGGCGCCTTTGCTATCGGGATCATGGGAAATCTGTACAGTCGGCTTGGCCACGGTTTGGCTGCCGCCGCCATGTTACCTGGTATATTGGTGCAGGTACCTTCTGGACTAGCAGCGAGCGGATCTCTAGTCTCCGGTCTTGCGTTTGCAAATCAGGCAAGCTCAGGCAGCAACACAGCCGTTAACGAAACGATGAGCACTGCGACCTCAACGATAGCAAGCGCCACTACGGCGGCAACGACAGCAATAGCGTCTGCGCTCGCTGGCCATCCCGGGAGCCCTGGCAACACGGGTGACGCAGCTTTCCAGGACCTGGCAGCGCGAATTGGATCGAGCAAAGTATACGGCGACGTTGTTTTCGATTTGGCGTATGCGATGATTCAAGTTAGCATTTCTACCACGGTGGGGTTGTTTCTTGCAGCGTTAATTATCTACCCTGAAGGCAAAAGGAGGAGCGAACTGTTTAGCTTTTGATCTCATATTCTCGCATTCCATTATACATAGTTAGCGTTGAGCGTGTACATAACAGTAGATAGGTTATCATTCGAATATAATACATTGAAAGCCATTCATCCTGTTGACTCCTATGACGTCAAATCTGATCGATGTACAAATTACATCACTCAGTGTCGATCTCCAGGCCGGCTTTTTTACTCTGTATGGTTTCATCTCCCTCTGCGGCCCACAGGGTATACCGAGCCAAAACGCCCTCCCTTCAGCCAGTAAGGAGTTACCAGAGCAAATTGCTTAGCCACTCTTGTCTCCACGCTAAAATATCATGCGGACTGGACTGGGGGGCCAAAGCCAATGGCGGCCAGTGACGGGAGGGGGGAACGGCGACAGATCTAAGCATACTATCTATATACGACTTGAACTTGCCCATGCAGCGCTAACTAAGTACGACACTGCAGGGAAGAAGAGAAGATCTTGAAATAACCAGAGAGACAAGCATGTGGAATTCGATCGAATCGAGGCTCTGCTGTCGGTCCCTCCGTAACGATACCACGCTAGGAAGGATGTTAATATCGTAATAGATCTCATACCCACTGTATCATTGTAAGATGCCCCTCCATTGGGTGGCCCCCGAATCATGTAAAGGGGCCAGTTAACTTATATCTGATACGTAAGAGCAGGTTGGAAAGTTCGTCTGGGTTCCATCTTGGTAGCTGTTGGGGAGTATTTATCTGGCCGTCTCCCTCCCCTAAAAGTTGTAGTTTTCTGTCTCTCTCTCTTGTAAAAGACTACAACAGTTTCAATTCTTCCACTTGGTGAGTTTGGCTCAACCATGCCCTGACCCGACTGTATATAGCCTATAATATTTAATTGGAAGAAGCTAACGGGCGACGTTGGTTCTTCCGAATATAGCACATTCAGCAACGAAAAAAGCCGTTACTCCTAAGCACAATGGATTTTGTCAACAAGCTTGCAAGCAAGGCCGGTGGCAGCAGCGGCGAGGACAAGAACAACGATAACCTCAACAAGGGTAGGCTTCTCTTCTGTTATCATCAAGATCAGGGGCAGCGTGGTGATAGATACTGAATGATATAGGTATCGACTTTGCCCAGAAGCAGTTCATCAAGGCTGGTGAGGGCAACAACGACAACATCAACAAGGGTGAGTTGTATTATATCTGTTAATTATGAAGGCCCATGGCTAATTTGGCGAACTGTATAGGCATTGACTTTGCTCAGGGGTCCTTCTTGGGCCAGAAGGCTGAACAGAAGCCAACTGAGGAGAAGAAGACTGAGGAGAAACCAACTGAGGAGCAGAAGTAGATGATGACCGCGAGGTCTCCGTGTAAGCGTTGAACTCTTAAGGGGTAAGCTGTTGCCGTATTATATGATGGATTCAGTGAACAGTCGCTAACTCTACCCAGTTCATGCCAGGCTTTCTCTTGTTTTATGTATGAACGATAGTTTGGATGACAGGTTATTTAGTGGTATTCGTTAGGGCGGCTTGACTTGCCAGTGGGTTTCAGATAGCCATGTCGATACTTGCTGTCGATATCACTCGCACCGCTTAATATAGCAATATTTTCTTTCCATTGAAACAATCTGATGAGCCTTTCTTGCGACCTTATTCCGAGATATCTCCAATACCAAGCGGTAACTAGACCTGGTGGCCGGATGACCTTTTCAAACTGGTCTAAGAAAGTAACAAGTTTGGCCATCTCAAACCAGGGGGGTACCCAGGGAAGCCTTCTCCCTCCCCTCCCCCCGGTCCTTCGTTAGGAAGTCTGATGTGGCTTGCGAGCCGTGAACCCATTCCTCGGAACGGCTGCCAATAAAGAATAGCCATACAGACATGATCAAAGGGACATGCACCTGGCCACATTATTGCATTCATTCATAGTATACCCGTATACGGCGTAAGTTATACGCCAACAACTTGAACCACTATCAAACAGCCAACATCCCATGTATATTGTAGTTACTCCATAATATATACACACACATGTGTATGTATAGAATATCCACGGCAGCTGCATGAGGGTGGAGAGTGGCACTTCAACCAGACTGGCCTCCTTTCGTTTCTTTTGCCCATGAACGGGATTTCGATTGCTTTTTTTTTTTTACTTCTTTCATCCTCTAGAGTTGGGCTTGCGGAGTAAGTTTACCCCTCCACGGCTCACAGCATGTTCGTCAAACGATGGCTTTGAGCTGGACTTCCGTGGTTCTCCGATGATGCGGTTATGTAACATATCAAGTCACTGGGAGGATAAGACGGGTGCTGGAGTTGCTTATGTCGAGTTGGGCGTGCATAAAAGAAGCGGACTAGGTTGCACCGGCAAAAGACGGCCTTGAGCCGTTTGTTTAGGAAGCTGATTTGACGCCATATCATGCCTGTTTGGAGGTGTTTGTGTCTCGTTGATATGAGGGCTGATATCTGCACATACGTAGTAGCTGGAGGCGATGGTGTGGCAGTGCGGGATCAGTCCGAAAGCATGGCAGTATGTATCGTACATAGGATAGGCCTGACGATGCAGATGATTGACACCGGGTTGATGCTGGGCTGATGCCTGATGCTGGGAAACATGACAGGCTTCCTGGTGGGGAGGGTGTGGCGGGCGCTTTAACTGGCTTCATCTAACCTTTAACTGGCCTTAACTGGCCTTAACTGGCTTTACGTGCCTTTAACTAAGCTTAGGGCGCCCAGCCCCTAACTCTCCCCCCGAGCCAGGGCCGGAAGAAGCTTCCGGGGCTCTTCTTTCTGGTCAGCCGCACGCTTTTTGTCTCTTTTTCTCGTTATCGATAAAATTAAACTAATAATAATATAACCATCAGCTTCGTATATCTCTTGCTCTCTCCTTTTTCTCGCATTTCTCTCCTTGCGATGTAACCCAGCCTTGTTTTCCCCTGCATATAATAACTCGGCTGGCGTTGGCTCTGAGAAAAAGACGGGTTGCCCCTATATATAGAAATTTCCGTTCTTCTGCCTTTGTATTTTTTATTTTTTTTTGCCCTTTGCGAGCCTTTCCCTAGCACTCCTACAGCAAACCCGCGAAACAACAACAGCAGCAACAACAAACCAACCATCCTACTCCAGTTGTTTTCCCCATTCTTTCTTCGTATGCCTGTTTCTCTCTCCCTCTCCGTCTGTCTATTCCAGCATTAATTGATACTGGAAGTCGGTTAAGTTCTTCTCCGCTCGTTTACCGCCGTCAACAACCTCCCAGGGAGCCTGACCGTAACCACGACACCTCAGAAAGCCTATAGCCCTCTTTAGCACGGAAATCATCGATGAATTGACCCGTACCGGCCTCTATGACCCTACGATCATAGTCGACAGAGGCCTCTTTTCGATCGTGTCGGTTCCCTGACCTCCGCAGACCGCTTTCAACCAAGGGAAAGCTTCCCTCTCACTGAGCCTCTCTAAACGATGGTCCGCCTACCTCTCCCACATCGACGCAGTGGGAACCGTTCCCCGAAGATTGGTTCCTCGTCTCAGGATGACCTCTCTGCCTCTCCTGGCGTCTCTGAGATGAAATACCCGTTGATCTTGAAAACTCAGGTTATTAGTGTATGTCCTCAGCCGCATCACAACGCCTATATCGTTATTCCTTTTTTTTTTTTTATTTGCATAGAGAGCTGAATGTATGGGACTTTTAACCGTCTAGGGCCGCAACCTAGCTGCAAAGGATAGGAATGGCATGAGTGACCCTGTATGTGAATCCCTGTCTAACAAAACAAGATACACACGCACACCCCGGACGAGTAACCCATCTAACCAGCTCGTCAGTATCTGGTAATCACCCTAGGCCATGCCAGAGAGTCAACGCCGACAATCAGCAAGACTTTGAACCCGGAATGGAATGTCTGCTTCGATCTACCTATAGTCGGCGTTCCGTTGCTCGAATGCGTGTGCTGGGACAAGGATAGGTTTGGGAAGGATTACATGGGTGAATTTGATATCCCTCTAGAAGATATCTTTTCAAACGGTCAGATTCAGCAGGAAGTACGCATACCAACCCTTCGTTGATTGCTATCTTACTTTTATTTTCCCGCTTCTTCCGAAGGACACAGATATAGGATATGGACTAACCATGTCAACATCAGCCCCAATGGTACGACCTTCAATCAAAATGGAAGACAAGCAGCAAGAAGAACAATGATGTCTCCGGCCAGATTCAGCTGCAATTCTCTCTCATTGACCCTGCCAACCCTTCTGCCTCCCCAGATCAGATCCTCTCTAGGTTCAAGAGCCTCATCCGTAACAGTGATGATGAGGATGAAGATGCCACACCTACCACGTCTGGGGATAATGAAGAGGTTGGTGAAAGCTCAAGGGAAGACCTGACCAGGCCGGATGATATTGTGCAGCAACGGCAAAAGTCAAAAGTTGCTCGACTAAAGCGGAGGTCTATTGCGGTGCGAGCATATGAATTCTGCGGAGCCAAGGACGGGGTAGTTGGGATTGTTTTCATTGAAATAAACAAGGTTCTCGACCTACCACCAGAAAAGAACAGTGGGTCATCCTATAAACCCGAGCTAGACATCGAATATATATAGAGTACTAACTACGGTATAGTGACTCGCACGTCCTTCGACATGGACCCGTTTGTAGTCACGTCTCTCGGCAGAAAGACCATGAGAACCCGTGTTATCCGTCACAATTTGAATCCAGTCTTTGATGAGAAGATGGTATTTCAAGTGATGAAGCATGAACAGTCCTACTCCATCAGCTTCACAGTTATTGACAGAGACAAACTGTCTGGAAATGATTTTGTTGCATCTACAAACTTTCCTCTGCAGACCCTCATTCAGGCTGGCCCTGTAGCTGACCCAGAGACCGGCCTATACCAACTGCTCGATCTTCCCCAGGACCCGGTTGAGCCCTCCACGCCTCCATCTACTTCCAAATCTAGATTCAGGCTTACCCTCTCACGCTCTACTTCGGCATCAAATCTCACTAAAATGGCAAAGCCGTCTCTAAAATCTAAATCCTCAGCTGCTTCGTTAGCTAGCCAATACCAACAGGAAATACAGCAGGCCCCAACTTCTAACCCTACGTCTCAGAATGAGCCCACATCAATGCTGAACGTCCCTGGAGCTTCCTCGCCAGTTTTTCCCGACAAGGCCAACTTCTCTTCCACTAACCCAGACACAGAAGCATTCAAACATTACGTTATACCACTGTTACTGAAGAACAAAGATAGGTGGGAGGACAAGCATAATCCCGAACTGCATATCAAAGCAAAGTATATGCCGTACCAAGCTCTAAGGCAGCAGTTCTGGCGTGTCATGCTACGACAGTATGATGCCGATGAGAGTGGGCGTATCAGTAAAATCGAATTAACTACTATGTTGGACACCCTAGGGTCGACATTGAAAGATTCGACTATTGATGGGTTTTTCCATCGGTTTGCAGCGGAAAACGAGTCAACTGGAGACACTATGGATCTCACTTTTGATCAAGCGGTGATCTGTCTTGAAGAGAAGCTGCAGGAGTTGCAAAAGAAAACAGTAGGCGCCACAATGTCTAAATTAGTGCAATTCCCATCGTCCTCTTCAGGGCCGTTAGAAAGTGAGATCCTACCCGATAATGATGATGAGGATGATGATGACCTCACCCCAGCTGGGGGCGGTATTAGCCTGACTTTGAACCCTTCACGTACTAACCTTGAGGGAGCAGTATCGACCACAGCTAGTCGCGATGAATCGGCCTCTGGTAGCGAAGAGGGCACCAGCTCACCCCAGGGTGAACTCTCTGATGAGCGTGGTGAAGAACATGTTATTGAGATTCGAGAGTGCCCTCTATGCCACCAACCTCGCCTAGGCAAACGGTCCGATGCAGACATCATCACTCACCTTGCTACTTGTGCTAGCCAGGACTGGAGGCAAGTAGACAATTTGGTCATGGGCGGCTTCGTAACGTCCAGCCAAGCACAGAGGAAATGGTATAGCAAAGTTATCACCAAGCTATCGTATGGCGGCTACAAGATTGGAGCAAATTCGGCCAATATCTTGGTCCAGGACCGTTTGACGGGACAAATCAACGAAGAGAAGATGAGCGTGTATGTTCGACTAGGCATTCGATTACTGTATAAAGGCTTGAAGAGCAGGGAAATGGAGAAGAAGAGAAGTCAGTCAACTCATTTTGCCCTCATACCCCACACCATCAACTAACCATTTGCCAGTTCGAAAAATGCTCAAATCTCTGAGTATCAAACAAGGTCGAAAATATGATGACCCTGCTTCTTCCAGTCAAATTGATGCTTTCATCGAATTCCATCAACTTGACATGAGCGAAGTTCTCCTCCCTCTAGACCAGTTCAAGTCATTTAATGAATTCTTCTACCGTGCTCTGAAACCAGGCGCACGTCCCTGCTCCGCTCCCGATAATCCCAACATCATCGTCTCACCTGCAGATTGTCGCTCTGTGGTCTTCGACCGCATCACCGAAGCCACCCAGATCTGGGTTAAGGGCCGTGAATTCTCCATCGAGCGACTCCTTGGTAAAGCTTATCCTGAAGACGTCGAGCGCTACAAGAACGGCGCGCTTGGGATCTTCCGCCTTGCGCCACAGGATTATCACCGCTTCCACATCCCCGTTGATGGCATTCTAGGCACCCCAAAAACCATCGAGGGAGAATACTATACCGTTAACCCAATGGCCATTCGCTCTGCCTTGGACGTTTATGGGGAGAATGTTCGAATTGTTGTCCCCATAGATTCTGTTGCTCATGGCCGCGTGATGGTTATTTGTGTCGGTGCGATGATGGTCGGCAGTACCGTAATCACACAGGAGGCTGGGGCAAAGGTATCCAGGACTGACGAGCTCGGATACTTCAAGTTTGGAGGAAGCACCTTATTAGTCCTGTTTGAACCAGGGCGAATGAACTTCGACAGTGACTTGGTCGATAACTCAAAAGGTGCATTGGAAACCTTGGTACGTTGACTCTTCCGTTCCCTACACATGTATGCGTATTGCCTAACATCCCTTTTTCTAGATTCGCGTGGGAATGTCCATAGGTCACAGTCCAACTGTCTCCCAATATACCCCTGACATACGTAAGCCTGGTAAATATGCAACCGCCGAGGAAATAGAAGAAGCAAATCGCAGGATTGGTGGTCCCGATCCTTCATTAATCCCAGAATCAGCCTCGGACCTTCGCCTTGACGAAATAAAATAGAGACCCCGACAGCTCAGCTCGGAAACTAAAAACACCGCATTGGATTTCTAGCGATTATTTTTTTTTCCCCATTCCCGCTATCCCTCCTTTCTTCTATATACTTTTCCCTTTTTCTCTTCTCTCCTTTCCCCCAGGGTATATGAGTGCATTTATTGCCCGTTATTCTCTCATTTTAATTTTCATTTGTTGCATTGTCTGCCCCAGCGCCAGCGGACTACTTGTAATTCATAACTACTTCAATTGCATCTTCATTAGACACAGGGATAAGCACGCATATAATCTATCGAGTTCTTATATACTATATTTCCACTCTTCACGTCATAATCCATTCATCTGTGGTAGAGCTTGTTGGCTATTTTCTATGGCCCCCTCTAAGTCACGCTTTACTCAATAGACACATATAAACAGCTCGAGTCTCTTCTATATAAGAAGAGAAGGGTAAAAAATAAAAAAGAAAATGCATCGACCGGGAATCGAACCCGGGGCCCGTCGATGGCAACGACGGATTTTACCACTAAACCATCAATGCTGACTTGTCATGTGATAACACCCTCGGCCTGGCTTTTGTGGAAGGCAGCAAGTCACGAGGAAGCTCGAATCGAGATGACAGAAAGACAGAAACAGAAGACTCGACGGTACGCGAGGCCGCGATGGGCTGCAGGGATAGCCTATACTCACTATATAACGGCTGGGATAGCATAAGTAAGTGGAATGCCAACTCGTTATGTACAGTTACTAACCATTATGCAGATGTACTATGTATGTCGGCCAAGTAATGCTGTCTACCTCCACCTGGCAAGGCTACTCTACCGTCCCCGAAAGTGGGAAGCATCGCCATCAGATATAAACATACTACGTATGTGGCCATGGATCCTTGAAGTCTAGCCTCCTGCGAGATACATTGTTCGCCTCTAGCCCCGCGCCGCACCCATAACTATCCATTATTACAACCGCCAGCACCTCCAAAGTCGACAACCGGATATATATACATACGCACACTCGACGATAGCAAGGATAGCTATGACAGTTCGCTACAGCCAGAAACCTATCAATCTGTTCCGAGGATGGCCTCATCCCTCCTTACACCCAACGACTGCCCTCTCTGACGCATCGACAGCCGTCCTCGGTTCACCTACCCTCTCCGATCCAGCTTTAGGCTATGGCCCCGACGAAGGAGATCCCTCTCTGCGCAAGGAGATTGCGAGATGGCTGACTGCCTTTTATGAGCCGCGGGAAGCTGTGGAGGCAAACCGCATAGTGATATCAGGAGGTGCGAGTCAGAATCTGGCCTGTGTGCTGCAGGTGTACTCTGACCCGGTGTATACGCGGAATATATGGTTGGTGTCACCGACGTATTATCTTGCGTGCGGGATATTCGAGGATTCTGGGTTCGGAGACAAGATGAGGGCCGTCAGAGAGGACGCAGAGGGTATCGACCTCGAGTTCCTGGAGAGGGAGATGAGGAAGAGCGAGGAACGGGCTGTGGCCGACGGAAACCTGGCACCCGTACGTCATTCATATCTTTGCTGCTTCGTGCGAGTTGATTAAGATGCTAACAGTAGGGGTAGAAGTCCAAACTTCCGAAGCCATGGCGCAAGATATACAAACACGTCATCTATGCGACGCCTACCTTCTCCAACCCATCTTCGAGGATCATGTCTCTACGCCGGCGGACACAGCTTGTCCGTCTGGCTCGACAGTATGACGCACTCGTGGTGACGGACGACGTCTACGACTTTCTACAGTGGCACAGCGACCCGTCATCCTCGCAACCACAGCGTACTACCGCCGTTGCACCGCGCCTGGTTGACATTGACCGCTTCCTGGATGGAGGGCCATCGGACGAGTTTGGACACTGCATGAGTAACGGGAGCTTTAGCAAACTTCTCGGCCCGGGTTGTCGAGTGGGCTGGGCAGAGGGGACAGAGAAGTTTGTGTACGGCGTTGGGCAGACGTGAGTCTTTCATCTTCATGGAATTACATGTATCGGCCCCAGAATAACCATGGATTAGGGGCTCGACGAGATCTGGCGGTGCTCCATCACAGCTGACATCCACCTTCATCCGCCGCCTCCTCTCCGGCGGGTTCATCCAGTCTTACATCCCAGAGGTCCTCTGCCCCGCGTACTCGAGGCGGTATCACATCCTCAGCTCGGCGATCGAAAAGTATCTCAACCCGCTTGGTGTGACTGCTATCAAACCTCTTTCCCCAGATAATGCCTCATCATCTTCTTCGTCTCCTGCGACAGAGGACATTCCCAGCGACGTCTCAGGCGGCTACTTCTTCTGGCTCCGTCTCCCTCCCGGAGTTGAGTCAGACAGAGTCGCAAAAGTCGCGGCAGAAGAGCTAAACCTGAAGATAGCGGAGGGAGAGAAGTTCAAGGTCACTGGCGCGGCCGCAAAGCCAGACTATGAGGACACCAATGAGCCCCTAGAGGGCTTTGTGCGGATCTGTCTGGCATACGTGGACGAGGATGTGTTGGAGGAAGGGATCCAGAGGCTTGCACAGGCTGTTGAAAGGGCGCAGCCTTCCAAGGCAACTGGTGGGGGACTCGCCCTTTGACAATGAGTTCATACACCGACTATTTCGGGATATATATTCGTTGCCAATTGTACGGACGGTAAGTTGGACACAAAGTTGAACATATGCTTGCGTCAGCCGAAATGAGCTTCGGGGGAAGATCCAGTCACGGGCATTATCATGAGGAACTTTCGGTACCTCTGTGAACCAGCACATGCAAGGAAAGGAAATTGACTACTCAAAGATCTTGGGTGGCTCGTATTGAAGGGGGGAAATAAAGGTCGAAGCACTTGGCCGAAGAGACGAAGCGAGCCAGCTCGGTTATGTAGGAGTAAAAAAGTGGCATTTCAGTATTCAATATTGACGGTCAAGTCAACTGTTGCCATCAATCGGGTCGTGTAAATGAATATCCACGCCTGTCCGACTCTGCAGTACCACCCACACCTTTTCTCATACTTATGCTCATGACCACGGAGGTGCATATTCTGGAGGTTTATATGTACGGAAAGTAAGATAACATGACAGCCATGTGGATAACCGGACGGAAGCGTGGCCTGCTACCTTAACCTGCCGGTTGTACATTTGACGCAGGCTTGATACCAAGTCGACGGCATCTCATTGCAGGTTTATGTAGAGAGATGGAGAGATCCGTCTATACGGCGTCCGTATCCCCATATAGAATGATATACGAAGGAAATAATATGAGAAGAACGCCCTGATGCCGAACTAGCAGCGCGCTGCAGCGATCGACAGGATATCATCTTCTTAGTCTCTTACTAGTCCGCAAAGCTAAAGACGGGTTGGCGTTGCGGGATGCAAGTGATGAACTCTTCTCTTCCGCTCTTCTGTTCGGGTCTGTGGTCATCTTAGCTGGTGATCAAGCCCTTCCCCTTCTCTTCCATCTTCGTCTTCGTCCTCACAGGGCGTCGGGGGTGTAATGTCAAGGATGCTCTGCTCAGGGACATCAGCATATCGACATGGATAAGGGCGCGTAGCCCATCTGATACTATCCTTCCCACCCCCAATCCGTTCATAATAGTAGCAACTCCATTATAAACGGTAGAGCAGTAATTAAGGATGAAGGCCCGAGATGGACTTCTGATATGTTCGAAAGCGAGAGATGACCAGGTCACGCCCCGTCCTCCCCGTCTTCTTCCTCCCGTTGCCACTGAAAGTGCTGGATGACCACGGTGCTCGTCCAGTAAAAGAGAGTAGATGGACTATTATCATCAGATCCAAGAAAGCAGACGCAAGCAGACCCCGATAACAAGACTCTCGAGCACCGTCTCAAGAGAATGTATATATTTGTCGCCCATTCCCCATCCCATCGACGGGGTCTCCATGCTGAAACAGAGAGTATACAAGGGAAAAAGAGAGCACGTCTCCTCGATATCTCTGACTTGACAACATATAACCGTGGTAGGTGATTAGGCATAGACGCCCATCTGGAGCCCATCCCTCCCCCTCGCCCCCCGGTCTGAAACGCAGGCCGTGTTTCTCTGGAGTGCAGGCCACCGTCCATGAGTGGCTGTGAGAAGAGCATCTTCCTCCCCCTGAACGGCCGAACCTGAGCTTAACTGGCGCCCTTGGACTCTAGCTGGAAAACGGTGGCTGCTGGTTGGTGAATCTCTAGGAGCCTATTCATAGTATATTCGATCCATACTATGCTAGCATAGAATCCCTGGTGAGTGTTTGCTTTTTTTTTTTCCTTTCTTTCTATATCTCTTGCTGCCCCGGTCCTTGTATCAGGTACGAGCAAATGGTCAAGGGCTAATGAAGGGTTTCTGCTTCATATATTCGTGACATTCCTCGTCTTCCTGTCCTTCTTTTCTCTCTCTGTATAATTTCACTCTCAAGTGTACGAGAGGACCTGCTGTCCTTCATTGCCATCTTCTTTTCCTGTCACTCTCTTCTTATTGTTGATGCTGTGAATGGGTCCATTGTTTTGTTAGGCGCGCGAAGATATTTATACAGACACTCCCTTGAACTCTTGCGCCCAACACAGTGACTCTGCCAGGTCAATTGAAACATATATTTATTATATTGACTGAATACCAACAGGTTTCTCTCTTTGATATCGACATTCCTTCTGTCTTCTTCTGTTGCACATAAACCAGATATAAAAAAGGTGTTGAGCTCTGTGCTGGCCACTGAAGCTGCATCTATACAACAACAACAACAACAACCACTACACCAAGAACAAGGACAAGACCAACAAGAACGGCATCTGATATCCCAGACATCAATCATGGCTCAAGGTTTGGTCTCCAGCTTGCTGCTGGGCCAGATCCTGCTCGTCCTCGTCGGCCTCTTCTCGCCTGCTGCGGCAGTCCCTACTCCCCAGTCCCAGACACCAAACCCGGCAACGCAGGCATCAAACTACTGGGTCAGCTCGATCAAGCGCCAGGGAATCGCTCCCTTTAACGGTGGCGGCGCCGATTACAAGGTCTTTCGAAATGTAAAGGACTTTGGCGCAAAGGGTGCGTTCTCTCCTATATCTCCTCCCCCTATGACTTTAACATATTTAACTGACGAGGGCAGGCGACGGCTCCTCTGATGATACGGCGGCCATCAACACGGCCATCTCCTCCGGAAGCCGCTGTGGAAAGGGATGTGACTCTTCTACGACCACTCCGGCGCTCGTCTACTTCCCTCCAGGCACCTATGTCGTGTCCAAACCGATCATCCAGTACTACTACACCCAGATCGTGGGAGATGCGCTCAACATGCCCGTCATCAAGGCTGCGCCTTCGTTCGAAGGCATTGCCGTTATCGACTCTGACCCTTATGAGAACGATGGCAGCAACTGGTACACCAACCAGAACAACTTCTTCCGCAGCATTCGCAACGTTGTCATTGACCTGACCGGTCTGGACAGGGGCAAGGGAGCTGGTATCCATTGGCAGGTAGCCCAGGCCTCCAGCTTGCAGAACATTCGCTTCGAGATGGTCAGGGGCGGTGGTGACGCCAACAAGCAGCTTGGTATCTTCATGGACAACGGCTCCGGTGGCTTCATGACCGATCTCGTCTTCAACGGTGGTAACTATGGCGCCTTCTTTGGCAACCAGCAGTTCACCACCCGCAACCTGACCTTCAACAACTGCAACACCGCCATCTTCATGAACTGGAACTGGGCATGGACCTTTAAGTCTCTCTCCGTCAACGACTGCGGCGTGGCCCTGAACATGTCCAACGGAGGCTTCAACCAGACCGTCGGCTCCGTCATGATCCTCGACAGCAAGATCAAAGTG